CTCTTATAGCTCTAATTCTTAGTATTAGCTATTAGTAAACGCTTCTTAATAAGGCTACTTAGTTTAGCTAGATATTATGCCGCCGTCTCTAGCTAAAGAGGTAATAATCTTTAAATAATATAAGAGCTAGGTTTGCGGTCTCTACTACTATAAGCGTTCTAGAACATCTAGCTAGATAGGTTAGCTATAGGTAGTACTATCTCTATAAGCTATAAGAATAAGAGGTGCTAGCAGAGTAGGTTAGGTTAAATTTAGCTATCTAAAGGTAAGAAGTTAAGAAAAAGCTCTAAGAGGCTCTATATATAGAGGTGCTAAGCGCTAAGGCGCTAGGTTAGGTTACGTAATAAGATTACGTAACCTAAGGTTATGTAACCTAAGGTAAATCTCTAAACTAGACTATTATAATTTCTTAATTATTTACTAGTAATAGTATGCGTTAGCCTTAAGCTTAATAAGACTTATCTAGGTTTTTAAAACTAGGTCTAGCCTAAATTAGATTTAAGAGTCTAGAGTATTAAAGAATATCTAGATATACTCTAGATTACTCTTATTAAAGGCTATAAAAGAGTTAATCTTCTTCTATTAAGTAGTTAGGTAGTAGAGAAGCTTTAATAGACTTCTTTTATCTTATTTAGCTCTTATAATTCTACTATAAGTATTCTACTTTCTTTTCTAGTTAGTCTCTAATATTTCTAGTATCTTTTGTTTTATAAAGGTCTAGGTAACATTAGTTTAGAGATAGACTCGCTAGACCTACTTCTAGTACGTAAGAGAAGTGTAATCTAGATATTATATAGCTTATTAAACCTAATCTTAGGCTATTAGAAATAGGTTAGAATTAAGAATAAATTTCTTATATTCTCTTTACTAATTATTATAATTCTCTCTTAATTTTCTCTTATATTTAGGTAGAGGCTCTAACTTTAGAAGTTACTATAATAGTAGAGAGTAGATAGAGTACGTTAGAGGTAGCGCTAGCGCTACTATAGAAGCTCTAGCTTATTCTTTATTTTAAGAGTATAAGGCAACTAATTAGAGTAGAAAGAAGCGTAAGTTATATTATTCTATCTAGGCCTCTAGCTACTAGATCTAATTTTAGAGAGTTTAGCAGCGTACTTAGTAGGTAAGCTCTACCTCTAGCTCTCTAATCTAGTTCTAGAAGGCCTTCTTTAAGAGCTTATTACTCTAGAGAGTTATAGCTAGACGTAGCTATACTTTATATTTAAATTTCTATATTAGGTTTTAACCTAGAGTATATAAGTCTAAGAGCTTACCTAGACTCTCTAGATCTTATAACGCTAATACTCTTATATTTACTATCTCTATCTAGGCTTTAGAAAGTAGAGAATTATATTATAAAAGAAGAATCTACGTATAATTCTTTAGACTAAGCTAGTAGTAATAGAGTAATAGTAGAATATATAGATAAAAGATAGTTAATTCTAGAGTATTTTATAATATAATTCTCTACTCTTTTTTCTAGATAGAGAATCGCGACTATATCTAAGAAGAGTAGGCGAGGTAAGCTAATACTACGCTAAGCTAATCTAGCCCTATTTAGGCTAAGCTAACGCGGCGCTAGGCTAATCTAGCCTAGTCTAGGCTCTATTAAAGTAGCCTAGGTACTACTCGTAATAGCTAGATTTATTAAAATTATACGTGTCTTTATTAGTAATATTATACTTAGCCTTTATATTACCTACTAGGTTAAACTACGTCTAAATAATTATAGAATCTTTTTACTTTACTCTCTAATAGTTATACCTATAATTAAGCTATATTTTAAGCTCTAGATAGCGCGTAATAAAGTAGTTTAGCTAGTTCTTACCTATAACCTTTCTCTTCTACTTAGTAAGTAGCTAATTAGCTATATTTTAAATAGTAGTAAGCTAGAGAGTAAATTCTCGCGCGTCTAGGTTAAGTATATAGTTAATTATTGCCTACTCTTTATTTATAGTAAGCTTTATTAAATTAGATATCTTTTCGCGTCTTTAAGTTATTCTATTATGTTAACGGTAAACTTTCTTCTACGGTATATTATAGAGAGCTATAGCGCGTTATAAGCTTAGCTCTAAGTTTTACTAAATAGTCTAAAGCGTAAGCTATATCTAGAATTTATCTAAAGTTAATTAGACGTTTATAGAGAGCTTTATAATTAAGATAATAGTATTTAGTAAGAGCTTAGTATTTTTAGAGCGTTTAGTAGTATAGAGCGTTTACTAGTAAAGTACGTTATCTAGATTTATCTTAAGAAGCTTAAAGTTAGAGTAATCTAAATAAGATAGCGGCTTTTTAGTAGAGGCTTGGCAATAGTATGCAGCTTGCTTGTATAAGTAGCTCGCTTGTAAAGTACGTTATTAGAAAATCTTCGTCTTAACGCAGTTATTAAATTTCTACACACCCAGCGACTACTTTTTCGCAAGCCGCATTTATACGTACGGTCCGTCTCTTCGGTTTCGTTCAGTTCACCACTACCAGCTGCCTCGGCACTAGCCTCGTCCCCCTATTAAACAGATTGTCCGGATCGTACTTGTGCTTCAGCTCCTCCAGCCTCTTCGCGTTGCTGCCGTAGATCTCGCTAGCGGGGACATCGGCGTCTGCTTATTCGTTAGCCGTACTTACGTGTGTCTAAGGCGAGGAGGCGGCAAGCTTGGAGAAGAAGGAACCAGTCGCTCCAACATATGTTGAAACATGGTTGGGGTAGGGGAAAGAAACTACTCACTGGCATAGTTGCCATACTGCCCAACCCCCTCGACAGCGCGGACCGCCTCATCCTGCGCCACGCCGGCCGTCTGACTCGCTTTCTTCAGCAGGCTGCGCGAGAAGGCGCGGATTTCGTCGTCGAGCTTGGCGTCGAACCTGCGATGGTGTCAGTATCAGCATCAGCATCAGCATCTGCCACATCTTCTTCCAACCATAGCGACCCAAAACCCCACCACCCATCCTTCTTAGCCAAGCTACAAGTCCGCAAGAAGACTCACCACTTGAAGCACGTAGCCACATTATAGTAGTTCCCACGGTTCGAAAACGCCATCTTCTCGTTCGGAACCCCGACGACCTTGGCATACGGAATCGTCTCGAACAGCAGCAAGCTCTCGCCCATGCGCTCGTGGGCGTTGACGAAGTCGAGGAAGTCGGCGTGCAGGGCTTGCACGAAGGCGGGGTTGAGGGGCAGCTTGAAGGCGCCGCCGCCGAACCTGGACAGCAGTCAGCGAAGCTGGAGTAGCGAAGTCCCAAGACCCGTCACCCTTGTTGATGTATAGTAGCGGGAGAGTGAGGACTGGGAAATGCTAAGTAACAGGGTTGCTTTACTTACATCTTGCGCCCGTCGAAGCCCGCAGCGGGATTGAGCAGCGAGTTCAGCTTCTCGTACGGAACCATGGCGATCATGTTCGCCACGGGCCCGGCGTCGACCAGCTCCTTGAAGAACGCGGCGCCTTCGTCCTCGGTGCCGTTGTGAAAGCACTGCGCCAGCACCACGGGTGCATTGTCCGGAGGCGGGCACGAGAAGCCCCACAACAGCGCCTGGTTACTAGGATGCGCGCGTGGAAGTCAGCGTACGGTACGTAGCTCTTATAGTGTAGGTAGAGGGGTGGCAGTTAAGTCTATGTCTTGACCAGCCAAGTTTGCTCGCTATCACTAGACGCCCCTTGAGAGGACATTTCAGATAACTGGTGCACACACTCGCGCCTTGGCGGAGGCGTGGGACTGCAGTACTGGGGCGTTGGCTTACCCGTCGTTCTTGTCGTGGAATTTGTTTGCGAATTCGACGATTTGGGGGAGTTTGTCGGGTAGGAAGATGAGCGTCCCGGCGTACACTGGGTTCGCTTGCGGGTAGCCGCGGAATGTGAAGGCGGTTACTACGCCGAAGTTCTGGGGAGGGGAATGGTTGTTAGTAGGTCGGCGGATGGGTGTGATGGGATGAAGAAGGGAGAAGAGTAGCTTTGGGAGGGAGAGAGAGTCGAGGGATGTTGGATGGCGACGTACCTGGCCAGCGCCGCGGACGGCCCAGAAGAGGTCAGCGTTTTCCGTCTCTGAGGCTGTCACTTGCTCGCCCGAGGCGAGGACCATGTCGACCGAGAGGAGATTGTCTGCCCACGAGCTCAGTCAGTCTCGTCCTCCGAATATCCTGGCTCCCCCTGACACCACTCCCGGATACCTTTCGAGGGACAACGCGAATACTTACCAATCGTCAACCCATACTTCCCCGTCAAATACCCATACCCGCCTCCGAGCGTCAGTCCACCTACGCCCGTATGACTGTACCCTTCCGTCAGCAAAATCCAACCCAAGCAAGCCACCCCACATCCCAATCCCCATCCCCATCGTAAAAAGAGTAAGCTTACTTCACAGTCCCCCCCACAGTAGCCAGCCCAAACTTCGCCGCCTCAACATCCACATCCTCCCAAATCGCGCCCCCCTCCGCGCGCACCGTCCTCTTCTCCGGATCCACACTAACCCTGCGCATCAAACTCAGATCAATAACAAGCCCGCCTTCGATCGACGCGCTGCCGGACGTCGAGTGTCCGCCGCCGCGGACGACGAAGGGGATCTTGTGCGCGCGGATGAAGGACAGGGTTGTGCTGACGTCGGCGGGGGAGGTCGCTTTGACGACGCAGGCCTGTGGTGTTTGCGGGGTTAGTAGGGGTGGGGTTTGTATAATGTCAGGGCGAGAGTGAGGGCGAGGGGGTTTGAGGGTGGGGAGGATTGTTTTGGGAGGCAGGGCGAAGATAGGAAGAGGGATGGGGAAGAAGGAGAAGAGGGCACGTACAGCTCTCTTCTCACAATGCTCACTCCACCGCTTAATACTCTGCTCGTACTTCTCGCCATCATCCGGCATAAGCACCTCCGCACCGCTGCCCTTCAACTGCTCCTTCAAAGTCGTGTAAACGTCCGGTGTGCTGCCCATCTTGGAAGCCTGTTCAAGCCGTCTCTCTGTCTGTCTCCAACGCGGGGATCCAACAGCTTTAAATCTTTAAACCCCAGCCCCAAGCGTTCTAGACCCGCAATTCCAAACCTCCGCTCGTGTGAGCTGAGAAAAAATGTGGCTCTGGCTCTCGTCTTTGTCCTCGCGCCCTTATCCCAAGCTAGCTCTTGTATGCGAGAAAGCGGTTCAGCTCAACCCCTCATTTGAAACTCTACCCCAGCTGTCTTACTCCCTGTTCTCTTCGCCCAGATCGTCTCCCAATATTACACAAAGGCCAAAGCAAAAATTCCAAAAGAAGATGATATCTAACTTGAGCACATATGCCGAAAAGCCAGAGGGGTTGCTGATGGGGGGTGGCCAGCGGTGCATCATCAGCAACGTGGGGCTGGCGGAATGCCTAAATACCACACCAAGCCAAACCAAACGTACCCACTTTGCCTAGCTAGTGTAAACCACAGAGCGCAATGATGCGGGTCAGCCCGGCACGCAAATCAGCACTAGCTAGCTGACCGCTGGGTCCAAGAGGGCGATTACTATTATGGGCTAGCTATAGGTGAGCGGTCATCATTTGCGCCTGGAATGTTTTGCGACGTTGGTTGGTAAGAGGTGCGAATCGCCTCGAGCGTAGAGTAGTGGTTCTACATAGAATATTGTACAAGTGTATGTACGTGTGCGGTTCGGAGCGAGAGCCGCGGTCGCGGAAGTAGTACCGTGTTCCTGGTCGAACGGGCGCGTTTATCCTGACGCCAGATCCAGAAGACTCCACCCAATGCCTACACACTACACAGTATATGCAACATATTTTGTACAATCCTCCCAGCCATCATCCAATCCCATGAAACCTTACACAGTCACTAATACACATCGTGCAAATCATACTCCCCCAGGTCCGCCTGCTTCTTCCTGCCCTTCCGTCCACCACTCCCTCTGATCTTCCTCTCCTGCGTATACTTCCCAGTTTTCTTAATCCTCGCGCCTTCATCTCCCCTCTCACTAATCCCCAGCTCAATAACCATCTGCTTGGGCGCCTTGATCCTCCTGCCCTTCTTGTCGAACTCGTCCCGCGGCCTGCCTAATCTGACGTTACGCGGAATGCGCGTCTTCGCCCCCAGCGCCCAGAGATCGCCCCAGCGCGCTTTGCGGGCGTCGCGGAAGGCTTGCTTGCTGAAGCTGCGGGGGACGGTCCAGCGCTCGAGTGTACCGCCCGGCGTGCATACGTCAAGGATGATGTGGCCGCGGCGTTTGAGGGCGGGAAGCACGAGGCGGGGGAGTGTTAGGGTGTTTACGTCGGCGGAAGTGCGTAGGTCGTTTTCAGCGTTCCATTCGTGGCCTTCGAAGGCACGAGTCGTCGATTCTTCGTTCTGGACAACACCTTTGCCGAGAGGATCGTGGAGAGGTAATCGCTGGTCGCGTCCACGTTGAACAGCGAGGTAGCTGAACTGTACATCCTCGTGGTTGCGGTCTTTGGCGTTAAGAATGCGCTGAAGGTACGGCGGCCGGATGTAGCGTTGACTGAAGAAGCAGAAGTCTTTCCGACCTGCGCTGATTCCGGGAGATTGATACATGGGGCATGTGCTGTGGTTCGTACAGGGCGCGATAATCATGCCCGTCTCTTTCTCAGTGAAGCGGGTGTCTTGCTCTGGTTTAGAGGTCTGCTCCTCAAGGGGCGTTTCCACTTGCGTGGAGCCCGGTGAAGCGATGTGCCTATTCAGCAGCAATTCGCGAGCTCCAGCGATGACTTCAAAACCTCGAGGCAGACCCTTTTCGACGAGAACCAGAACACCTCCTTTCGGATTAAGGAGCGACCAGTATTTCTGCACCTGCTCCTTTCGTAGGTATTCTTGCTTCAGCGGCCACAGGGTATGTGGCGCGATAATCAAATCGTATACCTTCCGCGGCTGCTGGGAATTCTCCTCTTCTTCTGACGCGGCCATTTCCGGCATTCGTGGTATGAACGTCGTGTTCTCCAGTAACCGGCTGGCACGGTGTCGTAAGGTATCCGAACCTGCCAGCACTGTGGCTTTCCCAAGCGGAGCGCTCCCTTGCGAGGTAGCTCCAGCCTCTTCGTGCATCCTTTCCCACTCTGCTTTGAGGATCTCATGCCATGCCAGCACACCAACACCACCTGACCCAGCATCGAGCACCATACCACCTTTCTTCTGCAGCAGATGCTCAACCCATGACGTGCCCAGTCGTCGTCGGACCTCCACCAATGCGCTCATAACGCTCGCATAAGTCCCTGGCTGGACCGAAGCCATATACGCATCCGCCTCGATATTGCCCATGTCTGTTTGCGACGCATCGAGAGGTATCGGCTTCTGCTCTTTGCCTAGGCGGGCCGGAGGTGTGCTGGCAGAGTGTGGCAGCCCATTTCCACCGAACAAGCGATTCACAGATTCGGCTAGGTGCTTATGGTTCGCTCGTGTCAAGAGGAGCGTGGTCGGGTCGACGAGAGTCTCTTTGGGGAGGAAGACGGTGGAAGGAGAGGGCTTGAAGCGGCCTGCGAGTGTCAATGGATGTGCACGCATGAAGTCATCCTCCTCTGCCTCTTGCTCATCCTCCCACTCTTCCTCCAGCCCCGCCCTACTCTTTTCGTAGATCTCTTCGTGATAGCTCTGCGCGTTCTGCTCTCTCAACTCCTCCCACTTCTTCTCCGTCATGGTCTCCTCCGCTTCGCCCTCTAGTTCTTCCTCGGGCTCGTCAATCATCTCCACCTCCTCCAGCTCGCCATCGTCCCCTTTCCTCAGCAGCACCGTGGAGCCATCCGGTTGCTCCTCCGCGACGATATCGGCCTCCTCCACACCCGCTTGCAGATCCTCTGCCTTATCCACAAACACTGGCGTCCCGTATAGCCGCTCATACACAACATATTCCTCCTCACTCAAGTGTCCTCGCGGCAGAGCATCGCCAAACGCCTGCCTCGCCCTCCGCACCGCCACCTCAATATTTAATCGATCGCCCGGCGTGGGTGGGTAGTCATCGAGGGGATTTGCGGATTCGGTTGCATGTTCTCGAGTCTGCTGTTTTCGGTTCCGTGTGCTAACAAACGTCCTTCGCTGCGCTACACGCTGTCGTAAGGCGTCTGTCCGGGGGAATCTGGTCGATCGAGAGAACTGGACCTTGGAATGCGCATTGCGCGCTTGAGACGTCAGAATGTTAAGCCGACATGATAGACAGACCGACTGCAGACTCCTCCCCGTGAGCATGGTCGGAATTGGTTGTCACGACTTGTAAAGTGTCAAGCTTGTGAGCGGCGAGAAAATTGGAAGTTGTTGAACTCTGGGGTTGACACACTAAGCCGCTTTCGGCAAGGAGCTCTCACGAATCACAGTGGTAGCATTAGTTAACCGTGGGCAGAGTGCAAGGTAGAGTTTGCACGCATTCAACCCAAGGTGCCTATGCTGAAGCTTCAGGTAACAGTCCTTATTCGATGAGCGACAGCCAACAACCGGGCACGCCGGGGTCTCAAACATAATTCTTCAATGGCTCAGCCTTATGTGACAGCTCAGATTGCCCTTCCGATAATCCCCTGTGAACCCCTCACCACATCTATCCGTACGCCGCGAAATTTAGTAGATCACCATGAAGCATGCCCGAAGAGAATTCTAAGGAGAGTCGTAATTTGAAGCAAGTAACTATCTGGGACCGTCTTCACCTACCCGCACTTCGGCGGCCATGGCAGCATTGCTAGATCTCACCTCCCCGGAAGCGGCCCTTTCAAGTCCTTCCATCAAGTTGGTATCGGATTAATCTAGCCGCCGTCCATAGCAATCTTTCCCTCCCCATTCGCCGAAGCCATCTACCATCCGGCCTCTCCACAAGATACAGAGCAATTTAGTTATGTTCGTCCCCTTCAGCTGTCTGAAACCTCCCCACAAGCTGGTAGACCATGCCAGGAAGCGGAGGGGGTAACGCACGAGGGGATAGGAAAGATGTAGGAAACCGCGGGAAATCACAGGGGGAGGGGGGATAATTAATGCGAGGGGGGGAGCAGTGAAATCAAACCAATTAACCATGATCATCCGGGAGGCGTTCCGTGCCGCTCGTTCCTGATGTATATTCAGGAAAGTGCTGGCGACCGAGTCTCCAAAGGTGGTAGACGATTGTCAAATGTCGGTCGTGAACTTGGTCCGAGGTTGAGATACCATTGGGACGAGCCCGTTAATACCGAGCCAAGCCGTCGAACACCCAAGGCCGTAGCAAACGCAAGACACCGAAGAGTCGTAGCCAGGGTCCTGTTGAAGGGAATCGACTAACAAAGCCCGTGTACTGATCGAGGGGAAAGAGGCTGCCGTCCAAGAAAGCTGCGGGACGGCGGTGCCGCGTTTCCCAAGGGTTGAGCGGAGTGGCGCCGATGTTGTGCGCACCACACCCACTAAAGAGATTGGAGATGACGAACCGAAAGCCGTATCAAGGTTCAGTAGCCACCAGTTGCATACTGATCACCACCGCGCTTGTTGGACGAACGAAGCTGCCTGAACAACAAAAACAGAGGTTAGTAAGGTCTGAATACGCAATCCCCCGCGCCGAGCGTTATGATCGAACACTAAACGCAGAGGAGAGGAGTCCCTTACTAGGATCAGATTTGTCGAACTCACATTCCGGTGCCCTCCTGACGCGCATTGACTGGGCCACGCTTGTTGGTGGAAGCAGCCGCAGTGCCAGCGTTGGCGGCGTTGGTCGTGGTGACGTGACGTCCGCGGCCGGTCTTGTCATCTTCCTCGCCCGGCGCGTTGCCAGCAGCCTGGGCAATGGCCTGGGCGTTCTTCTGGTACTTGTAGACCGTCCAGTCAAACACGTAGTCGTACTGGAAGCCTTCGCGGACGAAGAGGTCGCGGAAGATCTTGCGGAGGTAGGAATAGTCCGGCTTGTCGTCGAAGCGGAGGGATCGGGTGTAGTTCAGGTAGATGGCGAACTCGTTCGGGAAGCCACGGCAGAGAACCTCGGTGGGCGTCGTCATCTTTTTCTCCATGATGCGGTCGTACTTCTGCTTCTTGGTGGCCGCCTTGAGGCCCTGCCAGGGAAGGGAGCCACGGCAGAAGTAGAGCATGACATAGCCGAGAGACTCCATGTCATCACGGCGGGATTGTTCTGCTACGGTCAGCTAAACGGTACATAGAATAGGGAGGGAATGACTCACCAACTCCCAAGTGGGTGTTGATGGAGGCATAGCGGGCAGTGCCAGTGAGGTTCTTGTTCTCACGGTACGGGATGTGGAAGTGGGTCTTGGGGTCACGGTACTTCTTGGCCAACCCAAAGTCGATCACGTTGACCTGGTTTCCACGCTTGCCAATGCCCATGAGGAAGTTGTCCGGCTTGATATCACGGTGGATGAAAGACTTGGCGTGGATGTACTCGATCCGGGAGATGAGCTGGTCGGCGAGCAGGAGGACCGTCTTGAGCGAGAACTTCCGGTTGCAGAAGTTGAAGAGGTCTTCCAAGCTAGGGCCGAGCAGATCCAAGACCATGGCATTGTAGTCGCATTCGGTTCCAAACCAGCGGACGAATGGGATACCGACACCTCCGGCGAGGGACTTGTAGACGCGGGCTTCGTATTCGAGCTGCGGGTGCTTGGCCTTGACGCTCTCGAGCTTGATGGCAATCTCTTCGCCGGAGATGATGTTGGTGCCTGTGTCGGTCAGCCCTAGGTCAGGTTACGGTGTTGGCGGCGCGCTTACCAAGGTAGATGTCACCAAAGCTACCGCTGCCGATCTTGCGGCCAATCCTGTACTTGTTGCCGACGCGGAGATCCTGCTACAGTCAACAACTTCAGCCTTGCAGTGTAGGGGGGAATGCGGAGGACAGCGAGGGTCGGGTGGGGTCGACGTACCATTGTCGTCATGTTGGGAGCGAGTTCAACCTGAAGGAGGTTGGCCTGCGGGTGGGTGTGTTGTGGGTGATGGAGAGTCTATCGGGTGCAGGAATATCGGGTGGATGTGGTGAGGGTCGGTTCAGCCTGCTTCGGGAGTTCCGGTCAGTGTGAGGCTTTTGCCAACGAGGCGGTGTAAGCGGGCTAGTAGAGCCGGACACGGGGTAGAGTGGAGCCTTGAAGAGGAGGGAGCGTGCAAGAAGAGAATAGGTAGAAATATATACGCGTAGGGCGATAGGGCGCGGTTGTGAAGGGCTGGGAGGCCGGCAACCGGGGGACGACTTACAGGGCGTGAATGGCGGACGGGGCCCAACGGAGAGCGGAGGCCGTGATCTTCGTGCGGGTGGGCGGGCAGGGAAAGGTTTGCTGCAAGGGCAACTGGTGCAAAGAGGCGGCTGCACGCAACGAGCCAGCAAATAGCCCCAAGGAGAAAGCACTCGGACGAGAGTGTCGGCGGTGGAGAGAGAGGTGAAGGAGAGGAGCAGAGTGTGAGCGAGGGCTTCGTATCGAGGCCCCAAGCCTTGGAAGTGGCTACGGCCGATCACGTGGCGCGCTAGCGGCCCGGTGGGTCTCATAGACGCTCTTTCACCACTCGAGGAATCGGTTGCGCCGCGCCAATTTACCACATTGCTGGCCCGGCGGGTACACTATCTTCCTCTTTTGTTGGTCCTGCGCGCCCGTCAACCGGCAGTGTTGCTTGGTGCACCGTCAAAATGCCTCACGACGTTTCAGACGCGCGATCAAATGGCCAAATCATGCCGAGGGTCCTCCAGCTGAGCTCCCTTTCAGTCATCTGCACCGCGGCCCCTTTATGCGCCTCTCTTACCACCGCTAATGTCACGTTGTCCACGATAGTCTTATTTCCAGGAACCTTCGGATGCATTCTTCCACACGCACACGCGCCGGCGTCGAGGCTGCCGCTGCCGAGGGTGCTCTGCAGTTGTGGGCTAAAAGCACGCATTAGGCTCTTCATTCCCATCGTCTCGCTTGGTGCGTGGTGTCCAGTCAAGAAACAACAGTCGCAGATATTCCCAAATGAGACAGCGGCGGATCCGTGTTCCAGAAGTTCTCTAGTCTAGGATACCTCGTCGGCGCGGTACCCGTCCCTTGGGCTGTGCGGTTTGGGCTCGAAGGTCTGGCTTGGTCGGGCATTTTCTCGCGCCACGGGTCATCCCTAGGTAGCCGCAATTTGACAAGTGATGATCTCAGCGGCGTGCCCAACCACGCTGCAGCTTGAGAGCCCGCATGACATGCAGCGATGCGGGCGGAACTCGTTCGTCCAGCGGCCTGGATCGGAACCACTTCATCTGCGTCGGACAGCCAACACCGCACTGCATCCGGCGGCCCTAAGGACACAGAAGGTCCAAATAAGCTCTTGGCATGCAGCCTCGTCGGCTATACTCGCTGTTATAAAATATAATAAAAGATAACTAGAGCTCTATACAACTAAAATTATATCATCGCGTTCAATGGTATTCCGTTTTCTCAGTCGCACAGCTGTGCGGAGGACTTGGCGGTAGAGACGGCTTTACTTCGGGATGTGATTATGTCATCTTTAATTGCTCTATATCACTTAGGTGTGTCCGACGATCCTTTCAACTTATCCTTTTGCTTCCTATGCTACACTTTTTACGCTCTTGCGACTTCCTGCTATAGAGTCGCAATATTCCATAAAGGGAAGCGTATATGATCTCCCCTACCTCTCTCGTGGCGTCTCTAGCATAGTCTACGGAGTCTCCGAATTTGCCGTTATCAAAGCTCCTTGCGGTATCGATCAAAGCCGAAGAGAACTTGCCATCGAACGCACTATATTCGATCGTCTAGGCTCTCACCCTTATACCGTCAAGCTCCTTTATATACACAAAGGCATGATCGTCCTCGAACGCCTCCAGTATCCCCTCCGCAAGCTCTGGGATTTTCACGCCACTAGAGAGCTACCCCCAGCCAAAGACGTTCTACGATGGGCTACCCAGATTACGCAGGCTCCTCAGCATGTCCACTCGCGCGCTGTGTTCCAGGTCGATATTGGCACAATATGCTGCTGGACTGGGATGAGAATGTGAAGTTATCTGACTTCGCTGGGTCATCAATTGACGGTTCTACACCATCAGTAGTACCCAGCCCGCACTCGGAGCACCCAAACATGCCAGCCATACAGCCTTCAATACAGTCTGAGATGTTTGCGCTTGGCTCTTCACTATATGAGATAGAGACAACTCGGCAGCTATACCACGATAAAACAGACGAAGAGATTGAAGGGCTGTTTAGGGCAGATAAATTCCCAGATACAAGCGCGCTATTACTGGGAGAGGTCATTAGGAAATGTTGGATGGTGAAATATGAAGATGTTGGCGAGGCATTAAATGATATTTGGTGTCTTGAGGAGTATTCGAAGAGTAAATATGGTAAGAGCCCCGCTTGTTCTCGAGCAGTCGCAGTGTACGCTCTCCACACGGCGCGGTTCACGTAGCCGTCTGCCATATGGCAAACAGCTTTCTCTGCCGCATCCGTCTCATCGCTGCGCTGGCGTCAATACTCATTGCTAAGGCCGTATAGATTGCATGATGTTCTTCAATTGGCACATTCTCCAGATGGCGTGAGCATATCTATGCAAACGGTGGCCAGTCTTATACCGTGACATTGCATCGCCAACGAGCCACAGTCCTACACGTGTCTCGCATGTCTGACGACCTCGAATGAGGCGTCTATCAATCCCGTCCGCCATCATAGAACCCTCTGCATATCTCCGCCACCGCCAGTGGTAGCGCAAGCCAATGCCTTGCATGAGCCGTTCCGAAGTACGATGCCGTAATTTCTGTAACGGTGCGCGGATCTGACCACTGTGCCTAGTCCGGTCTGCACCGAGGATGACGCTAGTCCAGAATGGTGCACAAGGTTGAAGAGGCTACGCCACACGGATGTGAATTCGGGCGACGTGCGCATATGCGGCTTCCTAGGGCCCAAGAAGATGGTGGTAACTGCTGCAACAGTAGGCAACTCCAGCCGAGAGGTACCGAACAATACCTAGGGATGTTGACTCTCCTTGCTCTTATTCGGCGGAGTCGCGTATACCTCTTGTTAGCCGTTGCAGCGACCTTCAATGGCAGGTGGTACGAGTCCGAATACCGGCCTTCTAGAAGCCAGATTTCGAAAAGAGTAGTGATCCCTGGCTTATATGAACAGGACCCTGTCTCTGAGTATCAGTTTCGGACCCGTGATGGTGTGCACATTCATCAATGAGTTCGCGAGACATCAGAGATCCAGCGGCGAAGAGCACCATAGAATCCTGGGGACAATACGTTGGGAAGTCAAGCTGTGATTTTGTCGGATACTCTATACACTCCTCGTCGTAAGACCACCCTAATCCCCAAGCGCACAGCTATTGTACATTGCCTCCCGCTATGCCCGAGATCCCATCCGCTGGTGTTCTATCGTTCCCTAATCGCTCTTAATGGGCGCTGTCGGACGTCGGGTTCTTGTTGTAAGGGTTCCGCGGATCGCTCTTGTACTCGTCGGCTGAAGGGAGCGTATTAGCACACGATGTCTGGGAGACGCAGGAGTGCCTGGTGTAACTCGGCATCGGATGGAGAGTGGAGGACGACTAACATTGCATCATTGCCGTCGCGGCAGCGTTGACTCCGTAGAGGATAATGAGGCCTATAGCATCCTGTCAGTATAGTTGCCGGTCATCCCGTCCGAGTCCAATTGCATCGCCATTGCATCCCGAGCTCTTCTATCAATTTCCTAAAGGTCTACGCATGCGCCCGCAACGTACCGGAGATGTAGAAGGGAGCCATTGGCCGAGCTGTAGTTCAGAAGTCGTTAGCTGGCTTCCTTTTCCACTGGGCCTTCCACCGCCCACTCTGGGGCCAATTGACATACCGACGGGCGCACCGAATTTCTTGCCAAGGAGAGAAGCCATGATTATCTGTGGCGGAGGGTAGATGGACTATGTGGGCGGTGGATGTAAGGTTGATGGATGATTGAGTCGGACGAGCTTGTGTTCACCAGAACTTCCAAATGCCAAGACCGAAGGCCGAAGTATAACCGAGGATGAGGGACCGCGACCGCGACTGGAAAGTAAACACTCGCACCAACTGACGAAAGGTTCACGAACTCCACTAGAATCTCGGAACGCAGCCGAACGACGCCTACTTTTACCGGAAAGTTAGTATCCGACATGGCGCTGGAAGGATGTGTCGCCTCGCTGCGGGGCAGCATGCAATTGCTGGATTCGTCGATAAACATACTCGTTGAGGGTGTCAACGACTTCCCTAGATTAAGCAAAGTGCTTCAGACAACAAGGGTAAGGTTCTATTGCTGCAATGAGTGATATACCATCGAAGCTTCACTCTGGCATCTACCCTGTTTCTATACATTCCGGCTAACGTACCGCAGCACTTCGAGCTCATATCCGAACCCGACCTCCAAGCCGCACAATCTGCCCTCCTCTCTGAAATCCGTCCCGAAGTCGAGAACCTCCTTCAACGCGTAAACAACTACCTAGACAAGCTCGAGCGCCGCGAACAAGCTCTAATAGCGAAATGCGATCTCAACGATGGCCGGCTAGGACGCGATATCCCAGGTGAATCAGCATTCGCACCGAAGAGCAGGAGCACTCAAGGGAAAGCAGGAGCAGAAGGAGGCAAAACTATGAGCGCTCTGCAAGAGATGAAGTACAAGCAGCTGAAGGCGAAGAAACAGCGGTTGAGTTATGCGGTAGAGACATTAGAACTGCAGGCAAAGCAGAGGGAACGGCAGCTACGTATGAGTATGGCTGCACCACAATCATTCTACGACGAATAAACACAGATATACGATAGTTTTAGGGCGCATTTGGTTCTGGAAGAAGGTCTTCGGCTTCTGAGATACCCACGGAGAGAACATAAATCACGGTTTTCATCATTGCTTGCCCCTCCTGCCTTCATTCTTTTATTGTCCCTGCACGGCCGGGAAGGACTGGTGCACCACACACATCAGCCGCGCAGCCCGAGGCCCACCCGGCCTCTGCCGCCTTGTTTGGTCGCTACCCGGTTTTGCCAACTCAATGAACAGAGAGAAGATTATATGGGTGGGCCCTGCTTCTGTTAGCATTCGTACAATGCACAATGGATACTCAGGTCAGTCCGACACCTTGTCCGATGGTACAAACTTACAAACATCAACTAGAGACGTTATGGAGAGTCCACCGTCAATTCCCATGGTTCGTGAACACCGGCGAAAGCAGTTACACAGGGCGGAGGACACTCGAAATCAAGCGTGACAGCCAGCGCAAGAACCCATGGGATGCTGAATTCCTTCGGGCGTAGGCATCCGGACTTACGACCTAAGGATGTCGAGTACTTACAGATTATATTTTGTTCACATAAATTGGCGGCAGAGATCAAGACAGCCCATTCGAGACATGAGCAGTGGTCAACACAAGCTATTCTAGGCCAGTCCCGGACCTCTATGGGATCTGGAAGCTAGCGCTCTCAACGCTGATCGGCTGAAAGGGGTGCAACATCGCGCAGACGCCGTGTTCGCCGGAACAGTGAATAGAACCGAGCGACGCCTCTTCTAATTGGTAAGATCTCTCTATGGTCCTTTTGACGCTACGGAATCAACCCAGCTCACATGGAGGAAGTCCCCTGCGTTGTTATCGTAGCTAGGCAGCGACAACAGGACGGAACAGTGCCCACTGATGAGCGGGGCTGGCTGCTTCTGACCGCCAATCTAAACCTGCCAGAACAATACGTTGATCCACGGCTTCTTCCCCCCAATCTTGCTTCACATTCGACAGAAGCGAAGAAACATGGCCCCGAAGTCCCCGATACGAACTCGGCACGGTCTCTCAAAGTCTACACTAAAAGCATGTCAAGCCATAAATTGAAAGAAGTATGCTAACTCTCCTAGTATGTAACTCCCCAAGTCTGGGGTATTCAGACACGATTTTCGCCTGATTGGGTACCACTTACCTCAATGAGCTTTGCTAAATCCATATTCAAATCTCGGGTGGAGACTAGGCAACGATAGTAGAAGAGTACTCGAAGCGCACCTCCACACATGGCAGTGATCGACTGCCAGCGCTCTCCGGCTTTTCACGGCTTCAGCAGAGGAACGAGGAGTATCTGGCAGGGCGCTGGATAGATCATTACCGCAAGGACTGCTATGGGCTATATTTAACCGGGCCGGCCGCTGTCTGCATCATCCGATCTACTGAACAACAAAGGAACGAAGAAAAGGTGGGTAGCAGCACACACCGACATGTCTCGGGTTGGTTTCCCACCGCCCATCCGAAAGTCTCTCTACCATGGATACCAAACAGAGACACGCTGGAGCGCATACGCCAACTAGTATCCTAGGCGGACAAGCGGCGGCACCGCAGGAAGGTTCTCCGTCCTGGTCCTGGGCTTTACTACCATCAGTAGTACCTATCAAGTTCAGTACCCATATGACGTCTAGCAGCCGCGTACTCGTATATCATATAGAGCCCAGGGCGATGACAGGTAGGAGCTGTCAAACGCGGCTAGAGTCAGGTCGAGGCTACCGTGCGCCCTTTTCTTCAGCCCCATGCTAGGAGGCCGACTGGCCGGTCATATTGCAGGCTGGGGCAGTCCAGGCCACCCTAGTTCGCGGGGAAGCTTATGCTCTCAACAGTATGGAAGGGAAGATCATGTTTCTGAAGGACTCGCAATGGCCGGTTGTGATAAAGGCTGGCTATGAGGCACCGGAAGATTTGGAGCAATGTGTGTGATGATCTCTTGGATGGCTTTTACTCCGTGGGAAGGGCCAAAGGCGACCAGAGAGATGGATCTGTGACGGAGGCACGCCGTAAACAGCAGTATAAGAGCGTAGATATCTTGGTGGATTCCAGCCTCGGAGTTCAAATTGTACAAGGAGCCTGGGAACCCTAGTCTGGCCGTTGTCCAGCACAGAAAGAGATTGGAAGCGTTCATTGGGGGAGCGATCCGAGATCAGACGGGTGGGTCCGCGGGTATCGAAATATCATGCCATCAGCTACCACCGACTACGAGCGGCGATGTACTGAGGAGTGAATTCATAGCTTGAAGAAAGGAGGACACCCTGGACTTTTAGAATGACACGTCTGCTCCCAATTCACAGCTTGGCACACCCGAAAGCAGTAAACGCTAAGCCGTTAGCGCGAACGTTACCCCACCACCTTTCGCTACGAGGTCCGAAATCTTGCAGCAACATCACAGCTCGAGTCAGCGCCGTATGAGCTCTGCTTACTGCCGCGGCTTTTCCGTATGCTTACTGAGCCCTTGTTTCCGCTTCTTCTTTAACTTCGTCTCTCACCACGAGATTCTCCTCCAATTCCACTTCACTCTGTTCGCACTTCGTGATACTCTTTCCAAGAGCTCTACGAAACCGCAACCATCCATCCCAAGGCAATCCTCAAACATAAACTCATTGAAATCTCCTAGTTCCCCAATTTCCTTGCCATCTCCAAAATGTCACCGCCGCCCCTCACAACGCCCCTAACTGCCATCCTGGGCATCAAGCACCCCATTATGCTGGCAGGCATGGACATGGTCGCAGGGCCCCAACTCGCAGCCGCAGTATGCAACGCAGGCGGCTTTGGCACGCTAGGAGGCGCGCGGTATACACCGAATATGCTGAGAGAGATGATTGCGGAGCTAAAGGAGGAGCTGGACGATAAGAACGCGCCCTTTGGAGTCGACCTGTTGATCCCGCAGGTTGGTGGGAGTGCAAGAAAGACGAATGTGCGCATGATGCCGGCATCGAATGAGTGGAGAAGAGTGGCTGACGGAAGTGGTAGTATGACTATACGAAAGGGCAGTTGGGCGAGCTGCTCGACATCGTGATAGAGAGCGGAGCGAAACTGTTCGTTTCGGCGGTGGGCGTGCCTCCTGAATGGGCGGTTGAGAAACTGCATAATGCGGGCGTGTTGTAGTAAGTCGATTTTTCCATCCTTGAGCTTGCTAAGAAACGCTAATTTCTGGATATAGCATGGTATGTATCTCCTCGGACTAGGGCGTGGGTTCGTGCTGATGAAGGACCTGCAGAACATGGTCGGCCATCCAAAACATGTTCACAAAGCTTGTCAGGCGGGTGCAGACATAATCTGTGCTCAGGGTGGCGAAGCCGGCGGACACACCGGCGACATACCTACTCTGATTTTGACTCCAGCATGCGCAGACATATGCAAACAGTATAAGTCACCCCTCACTGGCCGATCTGTCACGCTCGTCACAGCAGGCGGTATCAACGACGGCCGGAGCGTAGCCGCAGCACTGATGATGGGGGCGAGCGGCGTGTGGGTTGGGACGAGGTTCATTGTAGCGAAGGAGTCGAAAGCGCCGGAACACTGGAAGAAGCAGTAAGTCGAAACGTGGCCTCCCCCGCGCAGGCTTTGGGGGATGCTGGGGCTAACGGGGAGGCTAGAGTGGTTGAAGCGGGATACGATTCCTGGATCAAGAGCACGATTTGGTCGGGGCGTCCACTCCGAGCACTGAGCAACCCTTATCTAGAAGATTGGGAGAACAACCGACAGGCCGAGATCAAGGAGCTCACGAGAAAAGGCGTTGTACCTCTTCCGTACGAGCTGGATAGATTGCATAAGGAGGGGAAGTTGACGGACGAGATTGAAGATGCGGCGGATGTGAGGTGAGCCGAATAGGGTACTTCCTTCGTGTGAATATATGCTAATGCGTGCTTTGATTGCAGGCCAATTGGCATAGTTGCAGGGGCAGTAAACAAGGCAGGTCAGCCCGCTAAGGAAATCGTCGAAGAGATGGTTCAGGAGACAGTTGTGGCACTGAAGGGAGCCGGAAGCCTTCTAAACGCTGGTGCAAAACTATAGACAGCAGTAATCAAGGTGAAGCTCCCCAGAATCCTGACCCATTTCCTCAAACGATGCAAACCTACGTCGCTCTACGTGAATCCAACCCCGTCTCCCCTATTCCATCAACACACCTCGCCCTCCGCAAATCTTCCCCGATCCCCCTCAATATCTCCCCTCATTTCAGGAAACTTCTCATAAAACCTTTCAGTCACAGTCCAATATCTCAGATCCCTATGATACCGCTCAAACAGCGGACTGGGATAGTACCCCTGCAGCATCTCGTCATAGAAGAAGGCGTCTTCGAAGCTGAAGGGCCAGTCAAATTTGAGATAGTGGGAGTACGAGTGGGAGAGGTCAGATGCTTTGAAGATCTCGGTATGGTGTTGGACAAGGCGGTCGCGGAGGGTGGGCCAGGCGAAGAAGTCGAGGGCTATGGGGTGTTTGGTGCGGGCTTGTGATGGGCTGGAAGAAGAATTAGTTGAAAGATGTTATTGAGGAAAGGTGCGCTTACCTAGGCCGAAGCCATTCAGGGACTTTTTCAAGCTCCTCCTTCGTGGCGTTGAGATAATACTGCCTCATTGTAAGCCTTCCCCTCTTATCACATCTACGCCCCACCGCTCACCTTTAAAAGCTTGAAACTCTTGTACGCCACAGCCAACCTCTCCATCTTCTCTAAATGCCTAAACAAAAACTCATCCACCTGCTTCAAAATCCGCAACGCCGGACTTCCCATCCACTGGTCAAAGCTGCTCCAGCCGTCTTTAATTCCCAGATACAGCAAGCCCGCTTCCACGCTATCTACGTTGAGCGCCGCGGTGCCGGGCCGGTAGCTGAACACCTTGCCGAACAGCTCGTTGCTCTTTTTCCAGATCGGACAGAGAGAACCAGGGATGCTGGACGTGGTGCTGCTTGATGTTGTGGAGGGTGAGGAAGGCGGATTGCCGATATGCAGGATGACTGGGGAAGGGCAGCGCCAGGAGGGACCGAAGATTTCGGACATGAAGGGCGCGAAGGCCGCAGTTGTGGGGGAGTCGGGGACGTCGAGCATGGAGGAGTCCTCTGACGCCTCGTGCAAAGGGTGGAGATCGAGATCGAGACTCAGGCTTCGGTTTGTGGTTGTAGTTAGTGGAGCGAAGTCCGGCAAGACGGTCATACCGTCCAAGTCTACGGGTCTTGATGCTGAGATTGGAGCGCAACTGAAGTGGAACTGGTTATTCGGAGTTTCGCTTTGCAGAGGAGGAGATGGGAGCGGAGGGGGTGGTTTGGCGTCCGACTGCGTGGGAGAATGCTGACCTACCGGCATGTGAGTCTCATCTCTTCAGGTTCAAATTCAAGCCGGATTCGAAAGCACGCATACCGACGCTTGCTGTAGGCGAATTCGCTCCCCCTGCTCCCGCTCCAGCTGTTCCAACACCATTCTGATTCGACACAGACGCAGTCCTGGGTAAAACTTCACCCCCTACCACGCTCTTTACGCAGTCGATCACATCCCGTAGCCTCTCGTTCTCCGCCCGTAGTCCCTCGATCTCGCTTAGCAAACCCGCTGTTGCTCCATTCCTGTCCTGGTTCCTCAAGATTTCAATTGTTCTCTCGAGCTCCGCGATATGCGTCTTTGTCTTTTCTCTCAAGGAACGCTGAGCTTCGCGATCAATAGCTCTCTTCCGCTCACGGCGTTCCGCTTCGCCCAAGCAAGACGCTCGCCGTTTCCGCTTCACGACGGGGGCGATGGGAGCCGAAGGCTGTGGGGCGGCGTCACTGGCGCGGCGGTTTACCATTTTAAGAGCTCATGGAATAGTGAACGAATAGGAAAAACACGTCCGTATCCGACTGAATCGATGCAAACCTGTCAATGAGAAACAAGGATCGAAGTAGTCGAGTCAATTCTATCAGTGACGTGGTATATAACTAATATCGCTCTCGAAGATACGCCTACCTCGGAATCTTCCCAGCAAACGCCGGCTCCGTCGCGACGCCATCGTCGCGGATATCCGTTCCAAAATGCGGGGGAAAAGGTGGGGTTTGGGGAAGATCGGCATTGGGGTTACAGGACCGCTAACTCTCTTTCGGTAGGGTGGGATACGAGCATTAACGGCTCTGGGTTTGGCTGTGGACCGTTGTCGGGTTCGTGGCTGATGGATTGACGGAAGTGGTCCCTGGGTTTTGGTTGGTGCCATGGTGGGCATTTGCTGCTTGGTATTGGATGGCGTTGTGCCGGCAAAATCTGGGAATTCTCGGTAACTCGAATAGACTAGTATAGGTCCCCTATACTTTGTGCTGGCAAAGTTGAAGAGGGGTCCGGCGCTTGTTGGGGAAGCAGACCACTGTCAGTAGTGCAGCTGGCCAGGGAAATATCTCAATAGTGTTAGATTTATAAGATATATCTACAGCTTCGAAGGCTTCCAATCCGGCTTTCTCTTCTCCGCAAAAGCCTTCAACCCCTCCATCGCGTTCCCCCCTGCATTCAATGCCTCGCTGTACCTCTCAATCGTCAACTGCGTCGCGCGCTCGACACTGCCCGTCTCCCACGCCTCCTTCAGCGCCGCCCTCGTCACAATCGCTGCATCAGGACTTATAGCCGCAATCTCGTTTGCAAGTTTGAGAGCCTCGTCTACAACGGTGTCCTGCGATGGCGATATCCGGTTCACGAGGTTGAGCTCTTTGGCTCGCTGCGCGGTGATGGGTTTGCCTGTGAGTGCCATTTCTGAGGCAATGGGAATGCCGACGTTGCGGACGAGGCGGGGTGGACCGCCGGCGCCGGCGAAGATGCCGCGGAGGGCTTCGGGGAGGCCAAAGCTCGCGGTTGGAGAGGCTACGACCATGTCGCTGAGAGAATATGTTAGCAATGAAATTGGTCGGGAATCTGAAATATGGTGCTTGGTCCCAACCGTCCCCGGTCAGAACGGATACCTTCCCCTGCACAAGCGCAAGAGGACTTATCCTCTTGAGCACATAAACCCAACAGAACAGAAGTCCACTCACCAACCCAGTACAATCTCAAACCCCCCACCGAGCGCAAATCCATTCACCGCAGCAATAATCGGCTTCTTCCCACCCCTCCTACTAACACCGCCAAACCCACTTAACGGGTGTCTCTGACTCGCGACATCCTTTTTCACTTGCCCACTCCTAATCTTTCCTAGCTCAATCAGATCCTGTCCCGCGCAGAACGCCTTCTTCCCCGCCCCCGTGATGATAGCAACGCGTAGATTGGGCTCGCGGTCAAACCAGTCGAACACCTCGCCCATCTCGATGTGGCCCGCAAACGGTATGCTGTTCATTTGGCGCTCGCGGTTTATGGTGACGAGGAGGACGTAGGGTGCGGGGTAGGAGAGGAGGACGTGGGAGGTTGGTGGGGGCGTAGTGAGGGGTTTGGGGTGGGAGGCCATGGCGGGGGATGATACTGTTGTTGGAGGAGGAAAGAGGAGAGTGGAGGGTAGGATTGAGGTAGCAGAATGGCGATATGAAGCCTTGGAGTAGGTATCCAGGCTGACCTCGTTCGGGCTTACATGGCTGTGAGCTGAGGGATAAGTTCAAGCGAGTCTCCGCGTTTGGAGCTTTGGGCCGAGGTTGATGTTGGACCCCGGAATGTGCTCCAGATCAAGTCGGTGGGAATGCATTCGGAGCAGGCTGACTTTAAGTTCTACGATACCTCCACCTGCCACCGGAAAAAAAACACCTTAGGGACAAATTTAAGAGTCATGAATTGATAGTTGATGCGCTTGCAATGGAATCTGGTTCTTTCAACGACTTCCTTAGTGCTTCTGCAATCTCTTGTTCTCTTCAACCCCCCCAGCAGAACATTGCGCAGTAACCCTTCGCATTAGGAAGCCAAGCATCGCGCTTAACAAATATCCTAAATACAGTAAGCATACCTATTAATCGACTTTGTAAGCTATCGTACCATTGATTATCTACCAAGCTAGCTTGGTAGACATGGTGTGGAATTCTTGCTAGTAGCTCCTGCTCTTCTAGGTTGCATGCAACGTTGAGATCGTAGATAAACCCATATGGGATGTGAACAGCATCAAATTTTGACGCTGTTACTTCTGTATTGAAAGGCCTCCCAAGGATCTTTGTGCAGAATATCTCCCCAAGGGTGATCGGGCGGCGACATGAGTCCCCTGGTATATCCGTTACGCGGGCTCGAATGATGATACGAGATTCTTCTCCGTCGCATTCCATGAGCTTTACGACGGGCGAGTGGAGAAAAGGCGGACGACGAGTTGGGATGGGAGGATTAAGGAAGTGTGGTTGAAACGAGGAACGTTGAATGCGGTAAGGTTGCGAGCGGCGCACGAGTGGCAGCCTCAGTTCGGTAAGGGTGTTGATTTGGTTCAAAGTCGTTGTTTGGTGAGAAAATTCAGGTTGATATCACTGAGCATCGCTGAAGTGTGAACGTGTTTGATGATTAGTGATCAGTCATTGTAGGTGCTTTTGCTGACTCAGCGCCGGTAGATAGTTATCCTGATGCGTAGTACGCCCTCTCGTCTTTTCTTTGGGAATATTCCGCAGACCTCGCTCCTTTTTTTTGTGCCCAAGCTGCGGGCGTCTAGCGGAGACAGAAAAGGCCGAGCGTATCAGCGTCCTGGCCGAGCTTCGCGTCTAGGGTGGCTGCAGCGAAGCTGACAGGACCAAGGGAAGGAAAGGGATGAGAAGGGATGAGAAGGAAAGAGAATGAAAGGGAAGGAAGAAGGAGCATAGGCAGACAGCCATCGCGAGAGAGGCGCTCAAGAGTCTGGTCCATGCGGTGACCCTGGCAAGAGGGCTAAAAGGTACGAGGCCGAGATGGACGTCCCTAGCGCCACGAACTTCGGGCAGTTCGTGCGAGACTTGACAATCCCGCTCTGCCTCATCGACGCCGACATCCGGGCCCTGCGCGTGGTCCCAGAGCGCTTCCAGAGACTGCAGCACCTACGCCTCCTCTTCAACCTCGAGTTGCTGCGAGACGGACCCTTCGTGAGCTACGACGTCGCGCTAGACCCTGGCACGATGCTGTCGCGTGTCTTCCGAGACTTCGTTGAGGAGAGGCTAGCAGGTGGTCCGGTGGTCTTTCCTAGCAAGGGCACTATAGCCGTCGCCTTTGGCTCCGCGAACGACGACTTTGCCGCCAAGGAGCGCCGCAACCTCGAATAGTTCTACCAGAAGCTGCACGCCTTCTTCCAGTTCGCGTCTCTAGTCGACGAGGACGAGCATCCGGACAAGCCCCATGTCGCTGGCACTGCGAGCGGCCTGGGCCTGGAGGTGTATGGCCACAGTGTCGACGAGTGGGGTACGAGCACTACGAAACTATGCACCTATGGCTCACTCGCTAGAGAGCAGAGGGTACGAACTTGGATGTGGATATAGTGGTAGGGAAGGTTGCAGCATCGCCGTCCGCTCTTGTCCATGTTCGTTGGCGTTGATACCGTTGGTGGGTCTGGCATGATTCCCAGGGGATGGATGGACACTAGTTTGTACAGTGTGGAGCGGCTTCTGGATATCTTGGTTGTAGCGTAGGACTGCTCTCCCGCGCCTTCGTACAACGCGCCAGCAGCTAGGAACTATGGACTCTGCTCTACGTTGTTTTCTTCTCTTGCTTGTTCGTGCGAGCAAACGGGCGTGGTGCAGCAGCGAAGCGGCCTTGCATTCGCGCCGCCAAAAGGTCTGCATCGCGCTGTTTCAGGCAGAAGTATTGGTCCAGAAGCAAGGCATTAGGTGCACAGCTGCATCGAGCGGGGCGGGATAAATTGGTTTCCGGCCCTACTCTGTACGTTGGGACATTCTTCCTCTTCCATCCTTTGTTCCTGTTTTCCTTAGCATATGGCCGCTTGCTTTTGGCTTGTAGTGCCTGCGCTGGCTCGACAAACCCATCAATGGCCAGAGTGGGCCACCCTCTACGCTAGCGACAATATTACCATGCCACATGCAACCGCTTGCGTCCAGCTCATGCCACAACAACTAAGTCGCGCCACCCACAAACCCCTTAGGAACGTATCGTCATTGCCAAGATGCTACTCCTGATCCAACCGTGGTACTTGGTTCTACAAAACGAGAGGAGGCATGCCCAGTTTGCAACGGGGAGAGGCCGGAAGTGGTAGTGGTAAGGTTGTCTAGATATATCGTCCAAAAGGCCGGCTAATGTACCCAGTCGTACGACAATTGACCGTCTAGGAAGGCGGTCACCATCTAAGTTGGTCGATCGTCGGCATCGGAATACGCGTGCGCGTTCGTTGGTTTGGGTTGTAGTATGAGGTCGGCAACAACTTCATCTGCAGAGGTATAAGAGCCATGCCAGCATTTTTTGATGATTTCGGCGACGGGAAGGGTCCCAACGTCTGGAAAGCACTGGTGTTTGTAGCTGTCCTCAACTGTGTCGTTGGGTTCATCTTCGTAAGGCCGCGTAGTTGTCCAGAGTTTATAGATAGTTGATCCTAGTGCAAACAGTTCGCTTGCAATAGAAGGATTCTTATCGTCCTATCGCTGAGATCGGCATTCGTAACCGGCTCTGGCAGGCTCCCTATCAATTAAGGAGCCGCCAAAATCGCATATTTTGATCTTATTACCCTTCAAAAGAGCGTTGTGACAGCCAATATCTCCTTGTATAACCCCTTTTTAGTAGAGGTACGCTATTCCCTTAGCGACTTAGCAGGACCATTTTAGGGCCTGCTTATGTGATGGAGTCTTCCCTTGCTTATAGAGTTTCCGTAGGTGCTTGCGGACTGGCTCTCCAAATCTCTCTAGAAGAATCCCTCGTTGAACTGAGGAAAAGTATTGGCATATTCGTGGATAAGACCCTAAACGCTGGTATACAGATCTCTTGGTAAGGAGGTCTTGAAGGCATAAGGAGGTAGCGTACTAGTTGTCGTATGTAGGAGCGATTTTTACAACGGTGCGCTCGTCAAGAGGATATACAATGCCTAAGATTCCGACCCTAAGCCAATAAAGACCCGATGTTGAAAGGACGGGGAGGCTAGGATCATCTTGCATGATATGAGAAGCGCCTGCGTCAATGAAGCTTTAGTAAAACAGGAGTAAGAGTAAATAGAGAGGACCTTACGTGAAGAAGCGTAGAACACTCTGTGTTGGAAGGTGCAGCACAGGACTGCGGCGTATGCCGTCGGTTGTTGCGACCTATTACTCCGTCCTTGGCGTTGTGCTGGCGCGGGAACGAGGTTTCACTAGGCTGAGGTCCTTTGTCTTCGAAGCGCGCGATGACGCGGTGCGCCTGCGTGATGGGCTTCTCGTCGATGAACGGTCGAGGACCGGGAGAAGCGGCTAACTGGGGTAGTAAGAGGGTGAGAGCAAGGAACGCGACTGAACAGGTTGTTGTTGATCGAGAGAGCTTTGAATAGTAACCTCTAGCTTACTTAGATAGCGGCTAAGCCTGAGTTTTTATATATACGCTACTAGATATTTCATTTCAACAAAGGTGTCCAGTGCCTTGTGCGAGATCGGAAAAGCTGCGCTGAGGCTTGGCGTTTAACAACACAACCTCCCTCAACCTCCCTCTTTCGAACCAAACACCATGGATCCTGCGGCTGGCGAGTCTGAGGCCTCTCAGTTTAATCGAATGGTTATGAAAAAGTTGCAGAAGGCTTTAGAAGCGGACCCAGAAGTGGATCTAGCTTCTAAAATTCCCTCGTCTTATTCAAGCCGACTTGCTCATCGAAAGGCCAAAGGTTTGCGGGCACCGCATCTAATACTTTCAACTCTGAGGATGACAATCTGACAAACCCTAGCTCGACATGAAGACGGCCCGTCTCCAGAGCCTCTGAATCTCGGAAAGCAACCACCACGATTTCCTGAAGACGATGTCCGCAATCTGCTTGATGGAGCTGCCCCGGCTACAGTCCTATTTCCGCTCTCAGAATCCGTCCGAAGCCTCCTCGAAAGCCATTACCAAAGCCCATCCTTCGCCAGTGGCTTACACAGACTGGTTGAGCAGAGTGAAGTGGTCTGGAAGCCCAAGTTTGGCCGCCATAAGATCGTCGTCAAATGCAGTCCAGAAGTTGCTCTGAAGATTATGCGGAACATGGATGACTTCACCGAATACACAACACTGCAATACACTGAGAAGTTTATACCCAGCATCCCTGCGCCAAGACCGCTCGGTCTCGTGCGCTCCGGCGAATGCTTCCTCTTCTTTATGTCTCTCATGCCTAGTACTACACTCGAGGCAGTTTGGCATAAACTGGACGACCAGCTTAAGCGCTCAGTTCAAGGCCAGCTGAACGATATATTCGTAAAAGTGCGGTCCTTCAAACGTCCCAACAACATGCCACTTGGGGGTGTGGCGGGCGAAGGCTGCAAAGATTTGAGGAGAAATGTCCGACACACTAAACAACTTATGTGGACTACGGAAGAGTTTGATGATTGGCAATTCTCCAATCCTCATTTCGGAAGCTCAATCTACATCGAAATCCTTCGACGACTTTCTCCACCCTTGCCGCAAGAACATGTTCTCAGTCACAATGATCTCCGGCCGTGTTTCACCTCCTCCTAGCATCTCATACTCAGGCTCCATCTTCGCGAGCCTTCGGCTTGCCCGCTCCTTCTTGTATGTCTTGCGCTGCCTGTTGCGGCGTTGGGGTGCTGTCCGTGTGTTATCGCGCCTTCGATCTAGTGGCGCGGATTCCGCGTTCGTTGGTGCATTCTTGGTGATTCGACCGCCGCGAGTTTTGCGAGAAGTGTCTTTCGCTGGTTGAGGTACTGTTGCTGGCGACTGCGGCACTGCTTCGCGCCCAGCAGGTCTCTCGCCGAAACCATACAAGCGAGCCCGTTCGTTCTGCTCCTCGAGAGGGACTCCGAATTCGTCCCACACACGGAACGTATCGTTCATTTCGTCCTGGTTTAGAACGAAAAGGGGGTAGAAGCCTGGAGGTAGCCGCTGGGGGCGCGCCTTTTCTGCCCTTTCTAGGGCCCTTTCTAGGACTTCACGGTCTCTTCGTTCTTCGCCCTCAATCCTTTGCAAAGTTTCTGCACGTATTGAAGTGTTGCCTATAGCATCCGACAAGGCCTCTCGTTGTTGCTGGCGGGAGACGCGAGCGTAGATACCTCGGTACCAGGTTTCCATTGCATCTCTATCCTCCTGGGTCTCCGGAACCCCGAAAGGACTTGATAACTTGGGTGGGAGTTCTCCGTAGAAGCGAATCCTTGCAGCATCGAGCTTCTGGCACCAGATATCCTGAGCGGTCTTTTCCTGATCGGTGACTGTTTTGCCGACCGGACCAGACCCCCTTGGTTCAGGGCTCTTCTCGCGCCATTCATACAGGGCAATAGTAGCTTCATGTGCAGCAACAATCTGCTCCAGCGTCCAGCCCTTCTTGGGGAGGTCGATGTGATCTTGAAAGTGACCCTGTTCAAGGGAGAACCGAGTAGGATCCACGTAGCGAAAGCTTTCCATTAACTCCCGCTTCTCGCGGGCTTGCCTGTCGCCTGGCTCATTTTCACGTAGCGTCCTAGCCCCGTCTATAAGAGCCTCCTTGAGGAAAATTCTTTCGAACTGATATCGCTCCTCGTCCTAGTGGAAACGTCTCCGGTTGAACTCTAGCTCCTCCCATGGATCATCGGGGATAGGCGTCGGCTCGCGGGGCTCGGGGGTTGGGTCGTACGTGCTGTACCCGCTGAGGTCGGTGTCGTTGTCGTCGTTGTCCCTCGATGGTGTTGGAGATGCGGGAATTTCGATGCCTAACTCCTTCGAAAGTCGAGCCCACAAGCGCTTCCAGCTCTCATTGAACACGCCAGATCGTGGCTCGAACGGCCGCCGTTCAATCTTGTGTTCCATTATCCTCAGGGCTTTCTGGCGTTCCACATAGACTGAATCATACTGAAGGTAGATGTTCCTTTCCTCGAGCATGGTCTTCCGCAATTGGTACCACTCTTCACCGAAATGCTTTCGGCCCCACGCCGAATAGATTTCGGGACTATACGGCTCCGGTTCGGGCGTCCATGGCCTTCGGCCATCAGGATCATACGTGTCCGGGTCGTAGGTTTGTGGCACGAGCATCTGCTCGCCCTCTACCATTGCGTACAATTGAGGTGTTGGTGCCTCCGTTTCCTCGCTTTGTGGCTCGTCGGCCGCGTAGCCGATACGCTTGGACTCGTAGTTGCCATGGAGGCTCTCGCCGTTGGATAGGAGACGCACATCATCGGAGGCGGCCGCAACGGATGGATGAAGGGTTGATGTATTGTTGCGTCTGCGCTTCGCACGCGCGTGCGGAGCCATCGCGACGCCAATGATGAAGAAATTGATCAAAGACGTGTACTGTGGTACAGAGGCCTGTCGCGGGTGAGTTGAGGTATGCTGAGGGCAATGGTGAAGGATAGAATCGAGGGTGCTGATGGGTTTTTGTCCAGCAGTTCTCTGCGAAAGTTGTTTGTTGGACGCGCACGGTTGCCTAACTTCCCCGCGTCCCGTCTCAGCCAATCCTATCTTCATAATGTGTGAAGCTGAGTTTCACCTGATACCGCGAAGAACGCGGGGCCAAGATAAAGCGACATTTACCGAGAAGAGGCTTGCATTCGCTAGCCAGCTACAGAGAAAGCATGACTAAGAATGTGGCACGGCCACGCAACTGCAGCTCTTCGTGAGGTCGATACTGCACCTCCCCAATTCTCTCCTATCCGCATCTTTCATTCCATACTTTTTATGCGCTCTCCATGATCAGGAACCTACGAACACCCACACTGTCACAGCACCACAGTACTCCTGCCCGTGGCCGCAACGGCTTCTTATGGATCATCATGCTTCCCCGAGTTGTGTTACGCCTACTATGTCGTACGGCGTCATGACGCCTGACGAGGCAGAGCTTTTGGCAATGGGTGCGTCTGGCGCGATCTTTGCCTATCCCAGCAGACCACATGAAGTGTCCAAACTCCCTTATCGCGCACAATCTTCTATCGACAACGTCGAGATCGAGAAACGCATTTACCGCCGGCTGGAGACCCATCCGAATATCATCCGCTGCCTTCGGATCGACGATGATGCCATACATCTCGAGCGAGCAAAATACGGCTCCATCCGACAGTACTACAGAAAGGGCGGCACTGCGACCCTCCAAGAGCGCATCAAGTGGTCGCGAGACTTGGCTAATGTGCTGCAGTACATTTACGACAAGAACGTTAGACATGTTGACATCTGCGGCAAGAATATCCTCTTGGATGAGGACCGGAACATCAGACTTTGCGACTTCGCTGGCTCGGCTATTGATGATATTCGTCCTACGGTTATCGCTCAAGACGGCTTCCGGCACCCTGATGACGATGCGAACAATATAATTCGAGCGGAGATCCACGCTTTAGGATCGTCCATCTTCGAGTTGATAACCTTCACCTGCCCACATTAGTGCGAGGAGGCTGAGGAAGAAGGAAGAGCTGCAGCATTGCTGCGGGAGGGCAAATACCCTGATATCACTAACGTGGTACTTGGAAGTGTCATCACAAAATGCTGGAAGGGGGAGTACACATCTGCGAAGGAAGTTGCAGATGCTCTCTGCTTAATTACTAAACTAAGCTAAGCCTTAAGCTGCGTTAGGTCGATCCCGCCGTCCCACAGGGCAGCAGGATTAGCAACCTCGCTCTCAACTTGCCGACTCATCATAAACATCATACTTATGCCGACTCCCCACGTGGTCACTCCTCAGCAATTTCTGCCCCTTCCCGTAAACCTTTTCTCTCGCCGTCAATCCCTCGTTACTCTCCCCATATATCCCTCTCCTCCTCAACTCCGGCACCAACAACTCCACCACGTCTTCGAAACTTCCGGGCGTCGTCACATACCCAATATTGAACCCATCCACATCCGCCAGCGTCACCCACCTCTCCAGCTCATCCGCAACCGTAGCCGGCGAACCTACGGCCACCGGGCCTAGCCCGCCTATCGACGCCTTCTCAGAAATGACGCGGGGAGTCCAGCGCGGGACCTCAGGAGATGTAGCGGTGAATTGATGGAGCAGGCTGCGCACGCGGTGGTCTTCTGTTGCGTCGGCGGCACTAATTTCATGGTCTGGAGCGTATTTGGAGAGGTCGATGCCAGTCCATCCAGACACGAGCACCAGCCCTCCAATCGTAGATGCATACCTTTTCAGCTCTTCGTACTTCTGCTGCGCTTCTTCGTCCGTGCGACCCAGCACGGGCGTGAACGTAGCGAAGAACTTGATGCTTTGCGGATCGCGCCCCTTCTCTTGTGCTAGCTGGCGTATCTTGGAGATCTTGGGGCGCAGAATGGTAGGTGAGTGGGAGGAGACGAAGATAGCTTCGGCGTGGGTTGCTGCAAATTCCGAGCCTGCGGAAGATGTGCCGGCTTGGAAGAGGAAAGGCGTGCGTTGGGGTGAGGGATCGACGATGTGGCGCGATTCGAGGTGGAGGTATTTTCCGTGGTGGTGGATGGTGCGCACCTTCGCTGGGTTGATATACTCGTCCTCTGCGGTGTTCTGGGTAATGGCGTCGTCGGCCCACGAGCCTTCCCAGAGTCTATTAAACACGCAGTCAGTCAGTCACCGTATCGTAGCCGTCGGGTGGTGTGAACGCACTTGTATAGAACGCGCAGGTACTCGTCCGCTTGTGCATATCGCTCGTCGTGTTCGATCGGGGTATCCAAGCCGATGGCTTTGAAAGCGGCTTTCTTCCAACTTGTGACAATGTTCCAGCCGAACCTCCCTCCCGTAAGATGGTCCAGAGTGCTAAAGCGCTTAGCGAGCAAGAACGGTGGCTCAAAAGACGTAGAAGCTGTGATGGCAAAAGCTAGGTTCTTCGTCACTGCCGCCATTGCGGATATCGGCTATCACTAATCAACAAAGATTGCTCGGAGAATACAGAGGTGCTTCGTGGGAAAGACTGACTATTGTTGGATCTGTCACAGGCCATTGCGCAGCCCTTCGAATACAGTTGTCCAAGCTTTCTTCGTAGGTGTCGTATCCGCCGTATGTATCTGCTAAGAAGAGTGCGTTGATACCGCCGCGCTCTAGCAGTTTGGCAAGATCAATCCAGTAGCCGAGCTTGCGCTTCGTGGCTGAGCGATCTTTTGGGTTCTTCCACTGACCTGGCGAAAGATGGCCAACCGTAGACATATCGAACGCATTGATCAGTATCTTTTTTTTGGGCGCTGTTGCACCGTTGGCGGTATCGTTGGTACTGTCCGGAGTTGACCCTGTCATGGCTGGTGCACCTCAAGGCTCAACATACGCAGAACTGTAAAGGCGTGGCGCTGCTTGTGAAGTTGCCTCGAGTCTTTCGGCACGTTTTTTCCACCTCTGTTGCTTTCCGGATGTGTTGGGGGTATGGTCTAGGAAGACTTCGGGCCGTGAATTGAAAAGACAGGCTAACTACGCAATGGATTCGAGGGTATTCTAATATCTCCGACATCGATCCGACAAGGTGACTTCGCGATGCAGGGACGTCATTGCGCCATTCTGATAACATTTATTGAGATGTCGGGCCATGAATCGTTCCAGCGAGCCCGCTTTTTATCAATGGTGACATAAAGTCCGCATATTGCGTGCTTTCTCCAGGTGGAGATGCGGCCCTCACAGTGCAGGATAACCTAGACGGGCGACATGGAATAGGGCGCCGAGGGCCATTATGTCTACGCATTCGTTATCCGCGTAACCAGGAGGACCCTTTTCTGTTTTCGCGCTTCTCCGAAGGTATGAACGAGCTTATGGTGGGGTTGCCAAACGTGGGAAGCCGAACGAGCCGGCATCTTGGGAGACGTGACTACAGCGCACTAAGACAAAGATTGGCGGGGTTCAAAAGTTTCCAATAGGCATTTAGCTACGACATGGTGCGAAATTTGCGTCTTCTCTCACAGGATGTTTGCCTTCTGATGCAGCCCGAAATTCGGGATCTGGGGTGATAGAATAGATGCTTGGAGATGGCTTTCCCGTCATAACTCAACGCATGACTCCTGATCCTACGAGGGTGCATCGACCTTATTCGGAGACACGGTAGAGCCCTCTGACGTGGTTGATGTTTGACCGGCCTCATCGTCTGTGACGGGATCGGATTGTCTGCACCCGTGTCAGTGAATCTTTCGTCAAGAGGAATGCTTATCCATACCTCTTCCTCTTCTTTTCGAAGTAGTTGATGATGTGCGCGAGGATGATGAGGCAAAAGGCATTCCCAAGCACAAAAGGATATCCCTTGCGAAACCTCGGCGCCTCGACTGTTTTGAACGTTAATAGCGGTGTCCAGGCGGTCGTAGACTGCGCCAGCGTGTTCGCGAGCACCAAAGCGACAGAACGCTCGGCTGGCGAATAGCTTAGTTGGCTATTGATCCATCCGTAGAGAACGCTCGACATGGCTACCGCTGAATAGGTCGTCATGAAAGCAAACCACAACGCCGATTCTGGTACGCTCCAGATTGTTAGGGTAACGAGTCCGATGATATTCCAGACATGGGCCACGGTAATCGCCCACGCTGGTCCAAGGATGAGATCAGAAGCAAAGCATATGGCCAGGGTGTAAAAGATGCCTAACGCAGGCGAAATGGCACCAAGCTCGTTGACACGTGCGTTCGAGTATCGCTTCAGGCTTTTAAGCCAAAGTAGATAGCCGCCAGTGGAAGTGTTGATGGATCCGTTCCTATATACGTGGAGATACAATTAGCAAATGACTCAGAAATGGTATTCCATATCCGGGGGTTGCTTACCAGAAGAAGATATCAAGGAGCAGCAAGGCCCAAACGCGGGGAGACTTGGCGATTTTGACAAAGGTATTAGGAGTGACATTGCCTCCTACAGCATGGCCTGCCCTCCGAAGACGCTTTTTTGCAATCTGCAGATCGTGCTCCTTCATGACCAGCTTGTTAGGCTTGTCTGGCGTCCCCGGGAGGACCATTAGTCCCAGGAATCCTATTGGAATTGTCACCAGAGCGCAGATGATGTACATCCAGCGCCAGCCTGCGAGGCCATTTACGCCATCCAGTCGTGATGACGCTCCCGACTGGATGAGAGCAGCTGTGAGAGTGCCAAGAGTGAGACCGACGTAGAAAAAGCCGCCTCGACGCGCAATCTCGTCACCTCGATACCACGAGCCTGGAATGATGTCAGTCAAAAGGTGCAAATTCCCGACCGCAAGGATTCGTACCGAAGATGTAATGAATGGCGGGGAAGAACGCGGCCTCGAACCAGCCCACAAGGAATCGGTAAGTAGCCAGTTCTGCAAACGAATGTGCCCGGTATTGAAGTAGCGTGAAGAGGCCCCAGGAGACATCCAGAAATGGAATGAGGTAAAACATAGGCGTCCGAGTGAAAAGGTACAGAAACGGGAGCTGTCCAAGTACTGCACCCAAAATATACATGGTCTGGAGCCGTACAAGTTCATTGCCATGAAAATTCAAATCCTCTTTGAGGCCGGCAACATAGGCATTATCTATGTGGTCAGCTAGCAGGTCGCTCCTTTGCCTGGGTTCATACTCACTAATATTGGCCTGATCGATGTACTTGACCCAGTACGCGAGAAAGACATAGGGCACAATGAGGAGATCGAGCTTCACAATCAACTTGCGCTCCTCTGGACTGTCTTCTTCCCGGAACCAGCGGATCTGATACCATTTGCGGATTTGCAACGGAGAAGCCATATCGCCGAATAGTACCTTTGTGACTAACAGGGCGCCCGTCGTGCCAGAGAGCTTGCCCACACCACAATATATGGCCCTGCAGAGCACAGAAGCATCGAGCTCCGCCTCATCCCCTTGGCCGCCGAGCAGCGTCCAGAACTAAAAGTCTGTTCTCCACCAGCGACATTTGGCCGAGAGGAGGTATTCTGCAGGGTTGCGAGCACGCCAGTTGATGGGGCTAATACGCAACCACAGCGACGGGTCCCATAGCTACCGCAGCTGGGAGCGCCACCACGCGATCACGCCGTTCCGCGTCTACTCATCCATCCCAGGGGACCGCTTGTATCATGGTTTCGGGTCTGATTTCTCGAAATAGACAGCTCTCCTGTTTCTTATCTTGCATTGGGACATACCGTCAACGGAGGGGGAGAAGGCGTGATCGGCCACATCATGCAAGCTTCGTTATCGCCGGTTGCGAGCCAAGAGCGGAACGCCGGACGATAGATAAGAGAGTGCAGTAAGGATGCGGCTTGTCCTTCGTTCTTTAAAACCATAGCGCCGAAGACGCGACGGAAGTCAACTGGTGTGTGAGGGTTGACATCCGCAGGAGAAACGCGGCACTTGAAACGAACGCGCCACTTGAAACTAGCGAGGTGTGGGCTAGACTAGGCCCGATCAGGATGGCGCGCAGCCCGATTGCGATTGTCCCCGACGTCGACAAGACAACAGCAGAAGCGCAAACATCGACGTCAACAAGACGCGCCGCCCAGCTCACTGGCCATCTCGCGCCCGCGAAAGAGACGGAGGAAGTGAACACAGGCCCGGCCCTTCCACCCCAGTACCCCGTCTCGCGACTCCGCTTCGATGCCCACCACCACATCGACGATGTGCGTCCGCTCAGAGTTGCTGTGGTGGGCGCGGGGCTATCAGGCATCACAGCGGGCATTCTGCTTCCAGCCAAGGTTCCAAGTATCACGCTCACGATATTCGAGAAGAACGGCGACGTGAGCGGGACCTGGCTGGAAAACAACTATCCCGGCGTGCGCTGCGACATCCCGGCACACGTCTACCAGTCCACGTTCTCGCCAAATACGCAGTGGTCCGAGATCTTCGCTGAAGGCTCTGAGATACGCGACTATTGGAAGTCGTGCGCGGAGAAACACGACGTCTACAAGTACGTGAAGCTGCGGCATCGCGTGGATTCAGCTTCTTGGGACGACGAGCAATCACAGTGGCACCTCTCGGTTCACAATCTCAACACCAAGGCATCCTCTACCGAGCGCTTCGACTTCGTCATCTTTGCCATTGGTCGATTCAACGCCTGGAAGTTACCCGACTATCCTGGAATCGATGACTTCAAGGGACATCTGCGACATACATCCAACTGGGACCCCTTGTACGACCCCTCGGGCAAGAAGGTAGCCGTAATTGGCAATGGAGCGAGTGGGATTCAGGTTGTACCAAATCTGCAGCTCATATCGAAGCATGTCACGCACTTTGTGCGCAACCCGACCTGGATAGCCACGTCTTGGGCTGGCGATGAGCGGACCTTTGAACCACAACCGTACCTCGAAGAAGAGCGACAATCCTTTCAAGACCCAGCAACTTACCTTCATTTTAGAAAAGAGTTAGAAGAAAAATACTGGCGACGTTTCCGCGCCATGGTGCGCGGCTCGGAGGAGAATGAAGGCATGCGAGAGCTGTTCATCGAAGTTATGAGAAAGCGCGCATCTAAGAAACCTGAATTGTTAGAAGGACTCATACCTGACTTTGCACCGCACTGCAGACGGCTGACACCGGGTCCTGGCTATCTGGAATCGCTCACCGAAGATAACGTTGAGCTTGTTAAAGCGCCCATCAAACGCTTTACCGCTAGAGGAATCGAGACTACGGATAGCAAGCAGTACCATTTCGATGCCATCTTTTGTGCCACGGGCGCCAACACCGATCTTGTCCCACCTTTCTCAGTCAAGGCACGAGGCGTGGATTTGAAAGAGGCTTGGAAACCCGATGGGACGTATGGTTTCCCGTACACGTATATGGGGGTTGCAACTCCTGGCTTCCCAAATCTTTTCTTCCTCGCCGGCCCTCATGCAACCGGTCCTTCAGGCACAGTACCTTACGCCGTGGAAACAGCACTTACATACTATGCGAAGGTTATGCGCAAAGTTTCATCGCAGGGCATCAAATCGATCGCGCCATCAAAGGCAGCAGCCGACGACTTCGTTGACTACTGCGATGCATTCTTCCCTTCCACCGTGCTGACCGACAACTGCTCGTCCTGGAACAACGGAGGTGTTCCCGGCTCTCGTATCCATGGCCTGTGGCCTGGGTCGGCAGCTCATCAGACGTTTATACGCCGCGATCCACGGTGGGAAGATTGGGAGTACGAGCGCTTCAATCCCGTAAATCGATTTGCTTACTTTGGAAATGGGTACACGCGCGGTGAGGTGGACGAAGGCACGGACCTGACGCCGTATTTAAGGGCTCCTGGACAAGAATTGGATTTGAGAGATTTGCATGAGAGCTGGTGGGACCTACCAGGCGCAAGCAAGAAGTCATAATGAGGGGCAAGTGAATACGGCACTGTCGTTCAGTTCAGTGAAGCGTATATCTTGTGTCGCAACATATCTACAAATTCCACAAACTCTACACATCTATTCGAGAGTCAAACCAAATAATTAACCAGGAGCATGTCACTCAGCAGCATCAGCTGATTTGCATACATCTAAAGCAGCGCCGGTTCCACGCTGCGACTCGCCTCGGATTGCCGCTCTTGAGCAAAAACCTTTCTCGCCTTTTCCTCTCTTCGCGAGTCATTTTGCACGACGCAGAGAATAGGTCCCTCAACTTGTCTCCGCTTTCGGCCCACGATGTTCTTATCGCGCCGCGGAACTTGCACTGCAGCATGCTATTATTTGCGAAAGTTAGGGTAGATGGCGTGCTTCCCTATCAATCACCAAACTTGCAAATCTCACCGAAGCGAGCTCCGACGCAGGCCTAAGCAAGTCCGGGAAACTGACTCAAATCCTTGCGCGTCGGAAGAGTCTGGATTGCGGGCCCTCGTTTGGGTCGTGGCGCAAGAATGCGTGAGCAACGCGCTCCACGTGCAAAGTCGCTATAAAGACACACGGTGGCAGGGTAAAGCACAGGCTGCATCAGCAACCCGAAGCAACCGAAAGAACATATTCAATTTCATTGGTCTTTGTACATACGATCTTCGCGGTCTGTATAACTCGGTTGCTAACAAGAATCCGGTATTCGCACCATGGCGGAACCGTCACTCTCAAACCTCGAGTCCAGTAGCGACCTCCCAGCCAATAATACCGAGAAACGTGACCACCCCAGTACGTACTCCATTCCATTCCGCTCCCATTCAACTTATCAACTTACTAACTGCCGCCCCGTAGCGAAATGGCATCGATCTACCTTCTACAACATAACCATTCTAGGTCTATGCAACTTCTCAGCGCCCGGAATCTGGGGCGCGATGAACTCGCTCGGAGCAGGAGGTCAAGCATCTCCAGGGCTCGTCAATGCCGCAAACGCACTTACGTTCTGCTTGATGGTGGTGAGCTGTTACTTCTCGAGCGTGCTGGTGAAGTATGTGGGGATTAAGGGGGCGTTGGTGTTTGGGACGTAAGTCCTTCTATCTACTTACTCCCTCGCACTGCTCTTGCTCATGGAAATCATGATTATTCGGGTGGATTGTTCTAAAGGCGGATTCTAGCATCGGCTACGCCCCCTTCGCAGCAGGCCTGTACACCAACAATCGCTTCGGCACCACCTGGCTCACCCTCTTCGGCGCCGCCCTCTGCGGCATCTCCGCAGGCGTCTTCTGGATGGCCGAAGCCGCAATCGCAATCGCCTACCCCGAACCCTGGAACAAAGGGAAAGCGCTGGGTTACTGGCTCACGTACCGTCTCGCGGGGCAAATCCTCGGCGGTGCCATCAACTTAGGACTGAACGCGGACCGCAACCAAGCCGGAAAAGTGTCGTACACGGTTTATCTGGTTTTCATTGCGCTTCAGGCCGCGGGACCAGCAGTGGCCTTGCTGTTAAACAAGCCGAGCAAGGTGCAAAGGAAAGATGGAAAGAAGGTGGAATTGAAGATTCTGCAAGATCCGTGGTTTGAAATCAAGGAGACGACGCGGCTATTCTTCACCAAGCGCTTTCTCCTCACCGTGCTCTGGATCGGCCAAGCCGTCTTCGCCGAAGCTGTATTTTTCACTTATCTGGCCTGTACGTTTGCAACGCCTTCGTCACGTATACAATTGGGATATGGCTAATGAGTGCCTAAAGTGTGGTTCTCCGTCCGCGCCCGCGCACTCGGCTCCTTCGTCTCCGGCCTCGTCGCTGTAACCGGCGGCAACCTCCTCGGCTTCTACCTCGACACGCACCGCATCTCCCTGCGCACCCGCGCCCGAGGCGCCTTCTCCTTCATCGCTGTATTCCAAGGCGCTTGCTGGATCTGGGTCAGCGTCCTTGTAACCCGTTTCCGCGACACTCAACCCACGTACGACTGGGCCAGTCCCGGATTTGGCAACGCCTTTGCCGTTTTCATACTGCTCACCGCTTGCTTCCAAGCCAACTACCTATTTTTATATTTCTTTATTGCGAATTTGGCTGAGGACGAGCCGCAGGTTATTCGGTATGCGGCGCTGTTGAGGGGCACCGAGAGTGCGTGGCAGGCCGTTAGCTATGGGGTTACGAGTGTGACTGTTTTCGCCGAGGTGGGGGCTGTGTATTGGAACTTTGCGCTTTGGGGTGTGGCGATTTATCCTGCGTGGCTGGTGCTCAGGCATTTTGGGAAAGATAATGAGAGTGTGATTGAGCATCATAGTGATGGGAGCGGGAGTGAGGGGGTTGAGGTGGCCGTGCAGGTGCAGCAAGACGGGAAGGAGACGCTGGGTTGAATCAAGATCTGGAGAAGAAGTTGAAGCGAGGCCTTGAAGCATAGTGAGGGTAGAGCGGTACTGGGGGAAGGGGAAATGGATGTAGACGTGCGATTGAGTGGCAACACAAGAGTAGAAGCGCTTTGATAAGTAGGCGTTCTGCTGTATATTCGAACGAAATGGAAAGATGTCATCGTCTTCTACCGCAGAACAGCAACCAGCCTTCCACCACTAACCTCCCTCTTCCTCAATCTGTCCAATCCCGCGTTGATCCCTCCAAGCCCGTCCACCGTTCCCAAAACATCCGGCGGCACCAAGAGTCCCTTTACCAGTAATCTCTCAGCCCAGCTGCAAAGCGCTTCGCCTACCTCGGGAATCTCGTGGAAGAGCTTAATCGGAACGCTGTGTAGAGCCACGTCTTCAGGGACATTTCCCTTGGGGAGTCCGGTTAGGCCGACCAGATGGGAGCGTGGAGCAGAGGGGTTTGCTTCTGCAGGTGTAGATGGTGGAGTAGGGAGCTTGGAGTTCAACTTCGAGGTTGAATATTCTTCCGGATGATTAGGGAAGCAATGAAGAGAGGCGAGCGAGCGGAGGAGTTGCGAGGCTGTCTCCTTGCCTTGTGTGTCAAAGCCAAAGCGGGCGCTGTTATTGGTTGCCGACTTGATGATGCTGATTGCGCGTTCAGGGTCGTGTGCATCTACGAGCAGATCAGGCCGAATATGATCGCGGGATGACAGACGCAAACCGTGCTTGCTAGAATCCACAACGGAGATGTTTCGAAGACCAGCAAGGCGCGCAAGTTGTTTCATGGTGTATGCGCACGTCGAGCTGCCGCCCCAGATGACGAGAAAGTCGCCTTTCTGAGCTCGTTCGTCGTCCCTAATTCCTTCGAGACATTCTTTGCGTATATCCGCTGGGAGATTCTCGGGATCGATACTCCTAACGAGCTTGAGCAGATTTGGCCCGCCTTCGATGTCTTCAAAACTGACGCCCATGCAGATTCCCAAAGCAAGAGCTGCCGCCACAAATGCTACGCCCAGTATCGATCCGGCCTGTGTGGAAATGTTGCGAGGAAGGCGAATAGTGTTAAAGGACGACGCTATGCTATATTCTTGGAACGCGGCTTTACGAAGATCGCGGTAGTCGGTAGAGGGAACAATGACAATATCGCCTTGACGTATGCGAGAATTCGTACGTGAGGCCGCTTGCACGACGGTACCGGTGAACTCACGACCAGCTATGTAAGGCAGTGTCGGGATACCGAAGTTAAAATCACTGCTATAGCATGAGCACTTTGATAGTGTGATTGCAGAGGTTGGATAGGCTTACGGTGCCTTCCAGTCTATTGGGTTGAGCCCTATAGCGAGAACTTTGACCAGCAGTTCGGTATCGCGTTTCGAGGTTGGTATCGGGTGATCGGTGACAAATTCGTAAGGTTGGCGCACTGCATATAGCAATAAAGCTGATTGAGTGTTTGACTGAGAAGCTTCGACATCGCCATGTTGGAATTGAGTAGAGTTGGGGTTGGCTTTGCTTGCACGGCTCCGTCTCCGCCATTTGGATATTGAGAAGACCATCGCGAGAAAGAGCTTATTCACGTGCCGGCTGATGGACTGAATGGGATGCGAGAAGATAAGGGTCTTGTACCACCTTTCTCAGGTAAGCAATTTAATCCGTGGATGTCAACAACAGTCCCGAATCTCCGGTATACCACGTTCTGACAAGCTAAGCGATGTATCACGTTCCAGGAAGCTGTTTACCGAAATGATACATTCAGAATCCTCCGTTCCCATGATTCTCCGAGAAACGACCGCGATAGTGGAGTTCGATAGGAGCCAGAATAAAAGGGGGCAAATGATTGCATCATTGCGGGGACTCATAATGAGCTTGCCGATGAAGTTGGGGTCTCGCTGCATGTTGAGGTGCGGCTTGGTGGTGGGGTTGAAACTGATGCGATTGCGTTCAAAGATGCTGCAAGCACATCATCCGCCCTAATGGAGCCACCGCGAACATCGGTCGTATCTGTATGAGCGACATCGGAAATCGACCCTTATCTTTAGACTTGGAGTATAAAAGTCTAGTTATAAGCACGACATCTGCCGTTCGATATGCGACATTATGGCCACCGGAAAGAAGTTGATCCTTAATGCTTTTGTGGAGATGTGTAAGTGCCACGTGACTTGGAATACGTCTGCTTCGTACGCCAGATCGTACTTCGGACACTGATTTGCATTAAGAATGACAAACTGACTCCGGTGGTATCTAGGCAGTGGGCACCAGTCTCCAGGGCTGTGGAGACATCCTGACGACCATTCGCATGAGTTCAATAGGGTTGAACATTGGATTGAGCTCGCGAAGTTGCTGGAGGAAGCAAAGTTTCATGGCATTTTTATTGCCGATGTGCTAGGAGGATACGACGTCTATAACGGAGACTTGAATGCTGCGATAAGATCTGGAGCTCAATGGCCTGTCAACGAACCGCTTGCCGTCATATCCGCCATGGCTGCTGCGACCAAAAGCATTGGCTTCGGGGTGACATGCTCCACGACGTATGAGCAGCCTTACCACCTAGCTAGAAGGCTATCGACTGTGGATCATTTGACAAATGGAAGGTAATGCGGTGCCGTCCAGACCTATGAACGTCGTTAATAAGAAGCAGACTCGGATGGAATGTAAGGGACAAGTCGCATCCATGTTTGGTTACTGTAAGTGACGTCGGGTAGATCGTGACAAGCTACCTCGATTCCGCTGCACGAAATATGGGGTTCAAAGAGCAACTAGAGGTACGTGCTTGTTCGTTATTCTGTCCGAGATCGAAGTCCTGACTTCTAGTAGCATGACGAGCGATACGCCCAAGCCGAAGGTTCGTCAAATCTCCTCCAACCCCGTCGCCAAACAGTTCTGCTAACCTTGTGCAGAGTATGTGAAGGTAATGTACAAGCTGTTTGAGTCGTCCTGGAGAGACGATGCGGTGATCTTCGATCGCGAGAAGGGGGTATACACGGACCCCGACCGAGTGCGAAAGATCAGTCATAAGGGGAAATACTTCACCGTGCCGGGGCCTCATATCTGCCAGCCCAGTCCGCAACGAACGCCATTGATTCTTCAGGCAGGGACTTCAAGAGCAGGCAAGAAATTCGCTGCGCAAAACGCCGAAGCCATCTTTGTCTCGGCGCATGCTCCTGCAGTGTGTGCAAAGAATATCTCCGAAATCAGAGATGCTGCCGAAGCGCAATTTGGCCGTGACAGGAATAACATCAAAGTTCTCGCTCTCGTAACGCCGATACTTGGACGAACAGAAGAGGAGGCTCAATCAAAACTTGCCGAGTACCGCAAATATGCTTCACTTGAGGGAGCGCTGGCTTTATTTTGCGGGTGGACCGGGATTGACCTCGGAAAGTATGGTGATGAGGAAGAGTTAAGACACGTTGAGAGCAACGCTGTCCGATCGACCGTCGAAGGCTATGCTCGCTTCTCGCCTGGGACGTCGAAGTGGACGAAGCACACCGTGGCCGAGCACGTTAGCATCGGCGGAAATGGACCTGTCCTAGTAGGCACACCATCGCAGGTAGCAGATGGCCTACAGATCTGGGTAGATGAGGCCGGTGTTGACGGATTCAACATTGTAAGTCCAGATTACCGAATGGAAACTTCCGTCCAAGGTCCAGTGGATAACGTAGATACAATGCCAGGCGTATGCACTCTTCCCACAGTCTTTCAAAGACGTTATCGAGCTGTTACTCCCAGAGTTGAGGCTACGAGGAGTGTTCTGGGATGACTATGCTGTTCTAGGCGGCACCTATCGGGAAAACTTCTATCGGAAAGAAGGGCAGAGCGGTCCGTTGGATGAGCACGTCGCATCCACATACCGCTGGAAGGCAGGGTTCGAGGCGAAGGATCATATAATTCCTGAGTAGGTAGGGCTATGATGATGAGTTCAAGCAAGTCTCCGCGGCTTGGGCCGAAGTCAGATTCCGCTCCATATCAAGTTGGGTAGGCTCTATTCAGAACAGCATCACATCAGCATTAGCCCCACGATTCTCAAAACTAAAGCTAATGCTATCTCCTTGAGCTGGCACTCACTTCCGGCATAGCTTTGCTTGTTTAGTAAGACTAACTAACCGGTCATAACAATGGCACTCTTACCTACCCCCTCTAGGCGTCGATCCACTCCTGCGATATTTGGACAGAACTGAAACATTATCCCAGGCACTGTGGCCTAGTTTCTGAAGAAGTTGTATGCAGATTAAGCACTCCTCCAAAGCACCCCCCATATAGCCCCCAAATCCCCATTCCTCGCCCTCAACTCCATCCAATACCTCTCATCCACATCCCATGCAAACGCATCCTCGCCCTCCCTCCTACTAACAGGCCATCCATTGCCTCCCGGCTCCAGCACAACCGGCAGCCCCTTGCCCCGTCCGTCTCTCTTCCCCACCCAACCCAACCTCTCCAACAACCCCGTAAACCCCTCCGTACTCCGTCGAAAGCCCTCCCAGTACTCCGCCTCGCCGTCCCATCCAAAACCCAGAGCGTTGGCATTCGGCAGCATGGTTAGGGGAAGTGGCTCCGCGCCGGGCTCGAGTCTAACGCGATGCCGCTGCAGCTCGCGGAAGCGGTCGAGATCCACGGACCCATAGTAAAGCACTTGCAGACGCACACGTCGGCCCGTCTCCTGCAGCATCTCGCACATCATCCAACTCGGTTCCCCGCACGCACAAGCGCACGGCTCTACGCCGTCAATCCCCTGCATCGCCTCAGCTACAGCCTCCCGCGCCATTTCCGGGCGTCCTTGCCCGAGCATTTCTTCTAGAAAACAAGCCGTTCTCTCCTGCGGCCACAACACGCTCCACTTCTCACCCTTTTGCCACGCATACTCCCTTCCCTTAACTACGTTCTGCACCGTCGTCAGCAGCCAGCTCGGCACCCTTCTCTCCTTCAGTCCACCCTCGTAAGCGGGCCATGGGGTCTGCGCGTGCACAGCGTTTCTCTCCACCGGCTTCCCCTTTTTAATGCGTAACTCGAGATTCTTCAGCCCCGAGAAGAGAATTAGGGAATTCGCGATGAAGGGCGTTCCGCGGTGGAAGTAGTACGTTTCTGCTTCGCTAAGATCGTACGCGAGGGATGTTATAGCGGAGAGTTGTGCGCTGGAGAGGATGCTTGTGCGTGCCCGCAGGGCGTGGAAGGTTTGAGGGGAGGTGCTGCGGGTTATGAATGTGCGGGTTGAGAAGGCGAGGAGGGTGGCTTCGAATCGGATTTTGCGGCAGCTGAGGAGGAGGGAGAGAGGCTGGGTGGGTTTCTGCTTCTGCTTCTGCTTCGGCTTCGGCTTGGTTGGTGGTGAGTTTGGAGTCTTCGCGGTGGGTGTTGTCTCTTCTTTTGCTTCGTCTGGATCTCCGTCCTCTGAGTGTCCAGTTGGCTCTGTCTCCTTTCCTTCATCTTCCTCATCTTCCTCATCCGCCTCGTCCATCTCCTCGACCCCCATATATCTAAACACCCAACCATAAATCTCATTCCTAATCTCCGCGGGCAGCATCCCCAGCAACGGGCTCTGCATCTGTTGATCCACTGGCCTCTCATCTAGTACCTTTGGCTGAATCGGCACGGGCTGCGGTGGTTCGAACACTCTCCCCGCCTCCGGTGTAGCAGAAAAGAAATTCCAAATTCCGTACGAGCCCGCAGGTGGCATGTTGACGAAATATATATAGCCTTCAAGTGGGTTAAGTCTCGTAGTGAAGTCGAGTCGAAAAGTGTTCGCACCGGAGACGAAGTTGGACGGTGACATTCAGGAACAACAAGCGTGTGGCACGATGCTGGCGCTACCTTGTGGCCTTATACGTTGGGGATGTATGCATAGACCCGAGGTTCTTCAGCTAGTCTCCGTATAGTAGGGATGTGAATGCCTACTTTGCATAGCGGCCGCACTTGCACAGCCTCGTAGCTCGCAGCGCTGCGAGCGAAGTAGACCAAGCGACGCTTCCAAAGAAATCCTAGGGAACAAGAGAAAGAAGTTGAGAAAGAGATACCTTTATACTATAGCTTCCGCTTAATTAACAGGTGTACACAACCGAAGTCGTTAAAGGAGGATGCCTGATGCTGCGTGGTGACGAATGCAATGTCGCGCACGGACTGCAAGTGCAAGCTAGCGTCAGCCGCAGACACCGCCACATCAAGGTAGCGAAGTATTGAGGCAGCTGTGAATAACGCTCTTCTACTGGTTGGGATGAAATTATGAGATGATGCTACAAACACACTGTGAATACTTTGACCCTGTCAAACTGTAAATGGACAATCCCGAACCAACTCCTGAATCGTCTTCGAATATACCTTGTAGGCAAATGAACGCTGCACTGAGATATCATGCACAGCACACCACCCAGGTTCCCACGTCCCACGCCACACTAATCTCACTGGCCAATGTACTAGCCTTGTTGAGTGCGCCTGAAGGCACCCGGCCTGTACTTACCATCGCTGGGGCCTTGCGCAGGCGGCGGAGCCTCCCGCTCAGTTTCTCGCCCCCGGGGGGCGTCTTGTTGAAGACCACGGCGCGCGGGTGGCACGTACCCTCCACCAGAGGCTGGAGACTGCGTCCTGGCCTTATCGCCCAGGTCACTGAACCGACCACGAGCGCTAGGAGGCTCGTAACGACCAGAAGGAGCAACAGGAGATTCGTTACGACCGGTAGCACCGCGCCCGCTGCCTTCGCGCTCCCTCCATCCACCAGCAGGGCTTCCCTCAGCGCGATTGCGCAGTGCAGGCGGAAGGTAGCCAGTTCTCTTGGGAGGCTCGGCCTCGGCGGCAGCAGGAGCAGGAGCAGGAGCAGGAGCAGGAGCAGGAGCCGCAGGGGCAGGGGCAGCGGCAGGGGCAGCGGCAGCGGCAGGAGGCGGTGGGGTTTGACCGGCAGCTTTCATGGCCTCGCGCTCACGCCATGACGGTCTGGCACCGGCAAGGTTGAGCTTCGGCCGTCCATCAGCGGCAGCAGAGGGCTCTGGCTGATCGCGGGAGACGGGACGTTCTGCAAACGCGCCAGCGCCTGTCTTCTTTGCGGCACGCCTGGCTTCCGCCTCCTCTTCTCGCTGGTGTTGGAGAAGCGCTATCTCGTCCAACCGTCTGACCAATGTGTTAGCTTTTGCAAAGTGAGTACCTAGGGGATATACATACTTCCTCTCCTCGTCCCTCTTCGCTTTCTCTTCGGCGAACTTTTGACGCCTTTCTTCATCAGCCTTTGCTTTAGCCTCGGCTTCTGCCTTCTCCCTCTCTTCCTGCTCCCGTTCCCGGCGTTCTGCTTCCTCCCGCTCTCGCCTCTCCTTCGCTGCCTTTTCCTTGATCTCCTGAACACGCTTCGCCTTCTTTTGCTCGAGCTCCTTCTGGGCGATCCTGCTGCGCTTCTCGAATTCGGCTTTACGCTGCTGTTTTACTGTCGAAACGAAGCCCTGGTAGCTTGGTACAAGCCTTGATAGGCGGTGCTTCAGTGCAACATCTTCCCTGTGTCTCTGCTCGGCCTCCTTCAGTTCCTCGGCCTTTGCCTTCTCGTAGGCTTCCTCATCCGCCTTCATCTGGCGCTTGTAGTCTTCCTTGAGGTGCTTGATCTCCTCTTGGCGATAGGCCCTCTCGAGATGGTCAAGCCTCTTGCCGGCAATACGTAGTTGCTCGCCGAGCAGGTTCTTCTCCTTCTCGAGAGCAGCCAGCTTCATGGCCCGAATACGTTGTGAGTCTAGCTCGGAGATGTCGTCCGGAATCTCAATGTCTATCTTAGTGCCTTGCTTGAGTTCCTTGAGCTGCTTCTCAATCTCCTCACGCTGCACACGCTCTTGTTCTGCCTTGATGCGCTGTGCTGCGCGCTGGCGCTGTTCTTCGGCAAGGCGACGGCTCTCCTCCTCCTTGGCTTGCTGAATGCGGATGAGTCGCTTGGTTTGCTCCTCGCTCTCCTTCATCTGCTGCGCTTTCAAGGCGGCTTCCTTCTTTTGCGTAATGATTTCGCGGCGGGCAAGCGTATCCCGGTGTTCCGCCTCGGCGCCCTGCTGTGTTCGGAGAAGAGCGGCCTCCTTTGCCCTCTGTCGCTCTGCGTTGAAGCCGGGGTCTACGTACTGGCAAGTGACGAACAGAGTCTTGGCAAGGCGGGTGAGCTGGGATCGGACGATCTCTGCAGGAGTGCTCTGGAGTCGCTGAACGGATCGAACCTCGCCCTCAGCAGAGCCAGCACCTGAGCCAGGATGCATGGCCTTGGCAGAAGAGAACACATCGGAGTCGAAGGTAAGGACGCCAGTAGCGTGGTCGATTCGAATAGCAAGGTCGCCCTTCTTGCAGCCATTCATGATGAACTTTTCAATGGTTCCGCTAGACACCTGGAATGGATCCGGGAACTGTGCAAGATCAAGCACGAACTTAATCTCCACCGAGTCGTAGACTTGCGATAATTGTTGGAAAAGACGGGTGAGGATGACCTGCTGCAGCGGTCCAATGTACTTCTTCATCTCCTCGTCCGCGCCGATCTTAGCCAAGATGGGGGAGATCTTCTTGCAGATGGAAAGCGGGTGGAAGTCGACTTCAAGGATGTTGTACAGGTCGCGGATCTCTGGGCGAACTCGCTTGAGAAGGCCTTTGCTGAGGGCGTCCTTGAACAAGATGGCACGCGTAGGCGCCTGCGACATTCCCAGCAGGTTGGTAAGGCGGGAGTTCTTGTTGTTCCTGGCCTGGTCGACATCCACTAGAGCACCCCTAGATCGCGAGGTGCTGATGACCGGGATTGAAAGGGCAGACAGAAGGACGAAAGAGGCAGCTTTAGTCATGTCAGCCTCGGTAACGGCTGGATTGTCTTTCTTGGGGCTTTGTCCAGATGCTACGGCTGTCGCCGACTGACGGAGGAGGTTGAAGTACCGGCTCCAGGCTGCAGCGTGAAACAGATAGTTTTCGGACACCAAGAAGATACGCGTGAGCTTCTCGAAGTAGTTGGCCATCATGACGTTCTTTGCCGGGCGCTTGCTCAAGCTCAAGAGGGTATGGATATCCTCGACACTCCTAAAGGCCTCCTGCCAGAGCTCGAGCTCCACCGCCACATTCAGCTGCTGGAAACGGGTATCGAGGTGGCGCTGCAGCGTGTCTGGGTCCGACAGGTTGATAGCGTGCATCTGGTTGGAGAACTTGGCCGCATTCTGGAGGTGGTTCCGCAGGAGCTCGCACAGACGGCGGAACTCGGTCTTGCGGGCGTACTTTGAGCAGAACTGGAATGCTTGGTGGGCAGTCGACTGGTACATAATCTCCAGGCGGGCATTGTTCTTGAAGATGTCCAAAACCGTGCGGTAGGTCTCCCAGAGGAATTTCAGCCACGGCGTTACAATAGCTCGGTCGGTGCGGTCGCGCGACTGCTCGCCGGAGACCGTAGACAGCAGGATAGACTCGGGAGTCTCGGAGGCTTCCAGATCGTCGACATTCTGGGTAGTGGAAGGGGTTTCGAGCGAGGCCTGCACCTCGTCTGCCTTGGCCTGCGCTTCGGTGACTTTCTGCTCGGCGAGTTCGATGAACTTCTTGAACACAAGCTGGGGCATCATATGTCAGTCATGTCTATTCCAGCTATAGGTGCCGTATTGCATACCTCAATAGTCCCGACGTTGGTGTTCTGCGCGGTGTTCTTGTACTGATACAGGCCGTCTTTCGCGAGTTTGCCTTTCCGGAGATCTACGCAGAGTTCGACAAAGAGGATCATCACCGGCTCAAGCGAGGCGATGGGGCTGTTGCGGGTCCGCTTGGATATGACATGCTCGTGGAGGAGCTGTAGCGCGGCTTGCGGCTGCTGCACTCCGATGAGTTCTTGGGCGCGTTTGCTGGGAGGCGTCAGTGGGTTGCATCATGCTAGCGCAAAGGGGCCACGCACAGAGTATTCTCAGGCTTGCTGTGTGGCGGCGGCGCCATGCTGGGCAGCTGGGGATCGCGGATCCAACTGCAGGTGACGCTTGGGGGCTTCGAAGCAGGCTCAGCGACGCAGCGGGGAGTGGTGTTGCACGGCTCACGACCGGACTTGTGATGATAGAGGTTGGCGAACGAAAATCAGAAGTGGGCTTAGGTAAGCGGGCGAGGTCACGGGACGGCGGCCCACTCCAGCCGCACGCGCACCCTCTTAATCGCTCGCAGGCCTCGGGCGCGCGCATTAAACCTCTGTGACTCCTCAGGGCTCGTCCGTAGGCTCGCCGTTTGTTTACAAGCACTGCATCTGCCCGGTGACGCAGAGCCGGGTGCACTCCAGTTCGGCGGTGAGGAAGGAGCAACGTTCATTTCTGGAAGGGGCTAGCTAGCCGCATTCAGAGCCTTACCGACACCAAGGCACCCCCCGAGCCCATTCCAACCTCCTGAGAGCCGTCGCCTATCCCGCGCCCGCAAGCAACAATCGTCGCGCAATCCGCTGCCACGCCCCATCGCAGCCGCCGCTCTGCACTCGCCGCTAGACCGACGCCCTTGGGCAAGCAAGGCTCGACGCCTCCGCTCCTTTACCTTCAGGCCTGCTCTGCGCGCTCTGGCAACGCCTTCCGCCGCAACCAGGCACGTCGCACCATCTCGCCGACAGACAACACATCATCGCACCTCGCTCCTAACGCCGTCCAGGCCGTGACGCCCTCTCCCTTCGACACTCCGACGCACCCGAACACGCCCCACCTCACCGCTGCCCAAGATGATGGCCGCGGCACCCTACGAGCTCCGCACCGGCGGCGATGGCAAGAGCAAGAAGCAGAGCATGGCCGAGCTCAAGCTGCGCCGCCTGACCGAGCTGAACCAGCGCCTGCGAGAGGACCTGGAGCGCCGCCGGATACCCGTCTCGGAAGCCGCGATAGAGTATGACCCCGCCGATTGGTAATCGTGAAAAGGCCGGTTGGGCTGACATGGGCGCGCAGTCTCATTGCATTCACGGACAAGGAACCCAAAGACTGGATGGTGCCGTCGCGATGGGGAACAGTGCGTGACCGAGTGCCTCTCGCTGCAGTAAGCCTGGCTGACAGCGACCACAGATTGACAAGCGCGACGACCCTTACGCTCCGCAACAAAGCAACGGCTGCTGCATCGTAATGTAAATCGACGAGAAAGAGTTGGGGGTGTCATGTTAAGCAATGGCGTTCGTGCGGGGCCTCTGACGGCAAAGTCTTTCATATACCTCTAGGTCGCGGTGATAATACCCATGGTAGACGTCCTGGGACCATTTTGGACGGACCATGTACTTTCAGCAATGTGTAAATTACGGAAAAGAGAGCACCGTCTGCCTTTGCAGCGCGGTAGGGATTTCAGGTGTGTGTTTAGTCGGCCATTCTGCCTTGCCAGGTATTTCGATTATGAGATAAAAAGCAGTTCCTAATCGCACTCGCACTCGCCCTCTTTTTTTGGTCCAAATGCCGTCTCACTGGTCTTCCTATGATCGCTCCTGGGCTAGTCTAGCTACTCCAATTGTGCAATTCAGAAGGCAGAGCGGTTTACCGGAGCCATTCATCTGATCTCTGGCTGGTATCTGGGGCAGCGCCATCGGAGCTGCCATGTACGGCGTGCCTCGTTTCTCGGGGATTTTGCCTTTCGCATTCTTCCTTCGAAGCGTGTTCCTCTCGCGTGTCAGCCCGGAGAGGAAGGTCGGAGGAATCGCACGGTCAGCTTCGATTTGACGGCTAGGCGAGATTGCCCCGGTCGTAACGATGAGTGATGAGCGCCCACACCCGTCGCGTCAAATTGCACAGCATGTTACAACGCTATAAATACCTAACCAAGCTGCTGCAGAATTTTGCACGACAATTCCAGATTCCTTTGAGCGCCCGAGCCATGGGCTACCCTTTTGTCGGGAATCTTCAGCTTCGACGCTCTGCGGCAGCCTCTCGAGCCGGCAAGATGCAGAGGCCCGTGTTGGATGCGGGCCCGGCTCGGCATGCGTTTGCAGACGGAGAACGATCGGAGGGTTGCGGGGGAGCATCTGATTGGCCCATGCCGGGTGGTGTTGAATGTCACTGCTGCGAGGGCTCGTTGATTTTGAGGGTGTGCTGTATAGGGTGTGCATGATCCCGCGATGCTGGTGATGAGCTATTGGACACCTTGTAGCTCCAACGATACATTGAGGCCCATATGATAGACTGAAGCAGAGCGGAAGAATACTCATCACATGTAGCACAGTACTCCGTCTGTATCCCAACTCGCTGGGTGCTCTCGTTGTTAGGGTCTGAGCACGTCCCACGCCCGCACGACTCAGGCTTCGTTTGTCTCGCTTGCCGGACTCCCTCAACACTATGACGAGATGCGCCGTTCGCCTTCGTTATATGAGCCGTTGCGCTCATCCGCGGGTGCAAACGGGGCAGTTGGAGTGCGCATCTGACCCCGAGGACGGCTTCTCGTAGTCCGCGGCGCGCCACATTATTCGGCCTATCATGCGGGAAGTTGGGGTTCGTAGCTTATCATGTAATAATCCGTGGGGTTGGGGCAGGGGGTCTTCCTACCTCACGATCCTCAAGCTCTGCTCTCTCTCCTCTCCGGTCCTAGGAGAGAGCGCATACGCGGCCTACCTGCGCAGACTCGTTGATGTCCGGTTTGTGCCAAAACCTGCGCATGGTTCGACAGCCACCAACCCGCTAGTCTGCCCCCACCATCGCGCCGAAGAAATTGCGCCTCAACCCCGTCCCCTCAACACCTCCGGCCTCCCACACTCGAGACATCTCGCCGCGTGCGATGAACGACGCGGACGGGCCAGCATGGTCTGGCGCGGAACAATTCGACGCCATCGGTGCGGCTGCCGAGCACGACTTTGGCAGCCTCATCGACTTCGATGATATCGACCTCGGCGACTTCAACAAATTCAACCAGATCGACTTTGGCGATGGACAGGATGCACAATTGGGCGAGCTCGCGGAGAGCCTGGACGTACAGCACCTGCACAACCCCTTCAGTCCGGCCGGAGTATCACAGGAGCATCGTGGTGGGGCTGGCGGACCGCAGCAGCGCGGCATGGACACTCACGGCATCCCAACGACCGGGGACAACTTCTTCCAATTCAGCATGCCGCCCTATAGCCAAGCAAATGCCCCGGTATTCGGTCAGGCGCAGGAGCAGATGTATCGCCCGCATCATGCCGTCCCTCCCACACCGAACAGCACAGAAATGCACGGCGACCCAGGCCGGTACTTGCACCAGATGGATCCGCAGCAGGCCATGTTTGACCAGCGCTATCAGATGAGGAAGGACGAGGTATGTCGGGCATTGGAGAAAGCGCGTGTGCAATGCGACTGACCGTAACGTAGACATTCACGCCTCTCGTCTCCCCGGCTGTTACCCCTCACGAAGCGCGCTTCCAGGTGCAAGAGTTGACCACGGTGCCAGGCGCATACTTCAGTCCGCTAACCTCGCCGGCCCTTAATGCGCAGAGTCACCAACAGACACAGCACCACTCGAGCCAATACACCACCTCTGGGAGCTCTACGGGAGCGTCGCCCGTCGATGTGGACATGGAAATACTCGGCGAGGCGGCAATGGCCCCATCAGAGCAGGGCAGGAAGCTGAGAAGCTCGAACCGGAGGACCGCACCACGGCCATCCACCGCTGCCGGACGCGTACGGCAGTCACCCATTGTGAAACCGGGACGGCGGAAAGCAACAGTGTCATCACTCATACCCCCCAAGGAGGTGACGGAGCTGATGCAGGAGGCACGGGCGAGTCGCCCTTCGTCAAGTGGTCTACAGGCACCCCGCAGCCGCGAGGGCTCAGAGGCCGATTCAATATCTCCCGAGCCTCTGCTCGAGATGGGCCCGCCACCCAAGCCCGGCTCCGTGACACAGTCACCCGCGATGATGGCACAGAGCAAACACACCTTGGGCCAAGGTGTCGTCCCTGCCACACCTGCATCCTTGATGCGCATTCACCCGTCACCTACTTTTGGTGCTCCAGATGTGCCCCCAACACTAGATGATCTGACATTGCCGGAGGCGTCCCTGGACAGGCAACCGTTGGAGCGTATAGACACTTCCGTCCTAGATGGCGATCAAGATACCCCTCGACTATCCGCTCGAAAGACGCCCAAATTAGGACCGCTCAGCACACCGTCCGCTTCCTTAGCGCAGTCTGGCAAGCCTAGTCCTATGCTTAGCGCTGTTTCGTCCCCGACCAGCCCCGCATTCGCGTCAGGTACAAGTAGAAGGGGGGAGCCGAAATCTAGTCGCAATTCGAAGAAGAGAAATAGCGTAAGCTCGAATCTGGTCAGCCCTGCGCTGAGGCCGAAGATCTCACCCAGCATCAAACCACTGCTTCCAGAAGGTGGTAAGTACTGATGATTCATTATCATACCGGCGGCCGAACTAACAGTCCACAGCGGTCTCTGATGACACTCATGCACTTCTGCTCGCTTCCAAGTCCAATTACCAGAATATTCTTGATGGCACAACTGTTCCCGGCGTTATCTATCCGACTTCGCTCTCTACGAACCTAACTTCAAAACGAACCTCACACAAGATTGCCGAGCAAGGCCGTCGGAACCGCATAAATACGGCTCTTCAAGAGATGCAGGCGCTTCTTCCTTCTCCACAGCTCGGTGCGAAAGAGAGCAAGAGTCCGGAATCGGGACCGCAATCGAACAACTCCAAAGCCGCCAAAGTTGAAAGTGCGATAGAGTACATTAAGCAGCTCCAGAAACAGTGCTTAGACAAGGACAAGCTGCTGGACCTGAAGGACCAAGAAATGGAGGCTTTGCGCAAAGAGTTGGCGACTCTGAGACGGAGCAGCTCTGGTGGACAGAATTCAACTCCTGAGGCAGTTATGCAAACCACGGAAGTGAGCTCTAGTCCTTCAAGGGAGAACGGAACCTGAACGAGTAACGACCACCACGACTTTGATATTTTATGGTTTTCCAGCATGCAGCCGAGTGGCAGGCAGGTCTACGAGGTACGCATATCAAGAGGCACACACATCCTTCAACTTCGTATACATTAGCCAGAGCAGCCTACTCCCCAGTACTTGCAGCTCTCATCCTCTCCGGCGCATAGGAGGGAAGACGTATTGGGTAGACGCTGCAGTAGTACTTTTCCCCGGGCGTATCTTTGCAAACACTAAAGCATCTGGAGTAATCTGCGCATACCGAACATTTGTACGACCCGCGATTCTGGTCGGTGGTAATCGCCATGTCCGGAAGCCGTTGCTTCGGCAAGGTTGCTAGACGTTTCGGTTGTCCAAATAGCAATGGGATACTAGCCATGGCGCTTATAGTACCCGATAGCTACAATGCATCAATATAGACATTCGACCACTGAACCTGTGTTCTACTGTCGCTCGTCTCCCCAAGGTATATTTGCTCAGGCTTTTGATTGCGACTGTGCGGACGCGTTGTCTTGATCAGTTCAAGCTAGTACAGCAGCTCTGCCCCTTTTCTCGGGCGCCATGTGGAGGGCTTGGGATGTTGCGCTTGCAAGTCGGGCACTACATCACTTTGCTCGAGCAAAATCTAACTGTATTCCACGGGACTCGGGCATCGTGGTTTTCGGCCCGCTGCGAGTCCCATGGTTGGTAGAGTCGAGCTCAGCCGCCTTCGTCATTCGTTCGATACGCGCATGTATATCATACCATGGCAGAATATCCCGAGGGCTCGTCCTGCATATTGATCATATCGGGCAGAAGTGCAACGTGCCTCCATTAGACTGGGTCGTTCGAAATTTCGCTGAAGCACAACCGCAGCATGCAGCCACATCAAGCCACATTCACGGCTGGGGCTCCGAGGATGTGCAGTACATGTACTCCGCCTTCGATCGCTTTTCATGCCCATTCTCTTTGCCCCGTTCTAAACAGCCATATTGAGCTTGCCTTCCCGCTGCCAGGACCTAGATGTGGGGCAGTTCGGCGGCATACGGCGCAGTCTTTCCTGCGGCGAGGCGTATTCGAAACACAACGCTCAGACGTTGACTTCACGTCAACCATCGCCAAACCCCCGAGGAATCAACAACGATACGAGTAATTCAGCCTCAATTTCGACCTGGGACAGGAGATCAGACTAGTTGTTATCCATCCTTGTATGTCCCCCGAGGAGCCGATCTCTTGTGAAATCATCCACGTCAACCTTCATGATGACCCGGAATATGCCGCATTCTCATACAACTGGGCCACTGAAGATGGAGACGATAGCAAATCGCGGTTGGTCCACTGCCTGGGCGGCACGGGCATACCGGTCACTGTGAACTGTGAGGCAGGTCTTCGTCAAGTAGGAGAGCGCCGATTATGGGAGCCTGGCCTTGGACAAAACCCACATATCTTGATCGATCTAGAACCAAATGTCTCAGCAATGTGAGGTGTTTGCTAACATGCTTTACGGCACTGGAAGCATATATAAATTTCATTTATCAACTGTGCCTTTTGATGCAACCTAGGTAGCATAAGAACTTTGAGGTTTTCCAAACGAAAACAACGGATCGTCACTAAAATGGCTACCTCCTACTCTGACGGTTTTGACGCGATAATATTGCATATATCTCTGTATCCTTGCTTTGAACTGCGACAGGTGGTCGCGACGTATAGGAGTTGTTTTCATAGAGAGCATGCATTCCGGTATGAAATATAAGAACATTCCTAACAGTAACGCAACCTAAGTATTGGCCTCACTAGCGCAACACCCATTTCTCTCTTGTCTCTCTCCCCGACCGCACCAAATGATTCGAAAAGCGTCAGAGGCAGTATTCGCATTCCCCTTTTCACCCTGTGCCGCACTATTTCGACTACTTCAAGATGCAGAGAGTTTGCCATTGAGGTGCGCATCTCTCATGAAGTGGGTGGAATGCTGGATGTAGGCGCCTGTGACGCTGATGTCGTTTTCGGGACGGTATCTTTCCAGGCTTTCTAGAGGCGCATACTTCTCACACAGGTACAGCATATCGTTGTAAGCCCTGGTGGATGTTACTCCAGGTTCCATGGATGCGATGGAAAGAGGTACTCGTGTTGCTCTCGAAGTGCTACCTGGATGCCCTGCAGAGTCATTCAAGTACGGGTGGAGGCTGTAAAGTCGGTTACGGTCGTCCCATTCATCCACCGGCTCCGAGGGCTCAACCTGGCGTTGATATAGTCGCATGTAAATCGGGGAGTTAAAGCGAAACGCCCAAGAGCACCTCCACGTTCCGAACTCCATCTCATTGTGGGCATATGTGCTTCCGGGGTCGAGCGATTGTTTTCCTCGCAACTCCACACCGTGGCACAAATCTGGCGACTGTATTGAATCGTGTACTGCAATCAACACCCCTCACACATTCGAAGCAGTTTATATCTGAACTCACGCGGAATTCGTCAACATTGCAAAAGCTCAACGAGCAATTTCGTCACATTGCACCAAAATTGCAGCTAGTCTCCTACGAAACTCGGCCTACCTCGATCGGGTTTAAGAATGCTCGAGTGGTGAGTCACCGTTGGAAGCACCTAAACACTTTCATTCTTTTGCCAACATGTGAAGATGGTATTGGAAAAGGACTCATCGTTACTCGGCTATCCAGGCGAAACGTCGAAGGCTTTAGATGCCGACCACCACGGTGTCTGCAAATACGAGAACCCCAGAGATCCGAACTATATCACAGTGAGAAACATCCTCAAATCGCTAGTCGGTAAAATGATATCGACGAAGCAATCCGGCAGGCCGGAGATTTCTAATCGGACAAGATCCCGAAAACTGAAAGCCATATTGGCTATCTCAGAGTTTCCAGACATCGATTACATCTTCTTCCGGGACCAATGGACGCAGGGCACCTGTGAGTGGATTCTTAAAGAACAGGACTATCTCGAATGGCTCAACTCTCAAGGACACTCCCAGCATGTACTCTGGTTGAAAGGAGGTGCAGCAACCGGGAAGTCAGTCCTCTGTTCGTTCATCATCAACAGCCTCGTCGAGCAAGGTCTTTGCTGTCAGTACTTCTTCATCAGATTTGGGGACCGAAAGAAACGAACTTTGAGCCTTCTCCTCCGCTCAATAGCCTACCAGATTGCTCAACAACATCCCAGCTTCCTGCAAGATGTCCTTGAGCTAGAAGATGAAGCTGTGGATTTTGAGGCCGCGGACCCAAGAACCATATGGGATCGCATTTTCAAATCCATACTCTTCAAGCTGAATGCGCAAAGAACCCTGTACTGGGTTATTGATGGCCTTGATGAGGCTGGTGATGCTCGAGCGATCGTCAAGCTTCTCTCGGGTATCACCGTGTTATCGATGCCAATTCGGATTCTTTTGGTCAGCCGAGAGACCCCAGATATAGCTACCGGTCTAGAGAAGATCCCACAACCTCTATGTCAGGGGTCCATCAGGATTGAAGGCCATCTGGAAGATCTACGTTGCTATATCTGCCGAGAACTTCCCTTATCTGGCACACCCGAATTTAAGGAAGGCATTGTCCAGCGAATCGTGGAAAGCGCGCAAAACAATTTTCTCGTAAGCATCGTCTGTATCTTTGTTCCGCGCAATACTAACTGCTCAGTGGGTACGACTTGCCGTTGAGAGAATAAATTCCTGTCATACGCACTCTGCCGTTGAGCGAGCTTTGCAGGAGTGTCCTCCCGGCATGGAAGCACTATATGAGCGAATGGCCCTGTCAATCGCCCAACACCATTCGTCATCAGATAGGTCCTTAGCGTCCGCTGTTCCCCAGCGTGTCACTTGTTCATTCCGTGTTTTGACGGTAGCGGAACTATTACAGGCACTAGATGAGGATATCTCCGAATTGCTGGATATGTAACAATCCATCAGAAATGTCTGCGGTGGCTTCGTTGTTATGGATAACGGCGGAGACGTCGCGATGATTCACCAAACCGCTCGGGAGTACCTACTCGGCGATGCGGATCGGCCTTTCCACGTGGATCGAGACTTAGCACACGAACAGTTGTTTCTGAGCTGCATGCAGTGTCTGATGTCTAGCGGTCTTCGAGCGAAAGTCAATCAGAACACACCGGAGTTTCTCAACTACAGTGAGACTTGCTGGTCCTCTCATCTGGTGTCAATTCCTCCAGATCGTGAGCCAGTAGCTAAGGTCCTAAGCAGATTCCTGGTAGGTCACTGGGTATTGACGTGGATCCAAGTTCTCGCAAAGGAAAACCGGTTGCGGATACTCATCCAGGCATCAAAGCATCTTTCAGAGTATGCTGCCAGACGCAAAAGACAGGGCACATCCCGGACTGGAAAGCAGGCAGTTGTGGAACAAGAATCCATCGAAAGCTGGGCGGTGGATCTTGCCAAGCTTGTCGGAAAGTTTGGTCCCACATTACGACGGAATCCCGCTTCGATATACAAACTAATTCCTCCTTTCTGCCCGCGCAACTCTGCCATATACCAACAGTTCGGCAAGGCGGAGACGAGAGCTCTCATGGTTTCCGGCATTTCGACACGGACCTGGGACGACTCTCTCGCGCGGCTATCGTTTGGATCTGGCATTTATGCCTCCTCCATATCTGCGGCGGGTGCTCAAATTGCGGTTCTCGCGTCATCAGGAAACGTATCCCTCTACGGCTCCTATGTATACCGGATGACGCTAAGCAATTCCGGGACATTACTGGTTACCTACGGCTTCAGAACGACAAAAGTCTGGGAAACAACCACGGGAAGATGCAAATTGATGGTTGAGAATATAGAATCACGGCCACGACCACTTGCAATGCTCTTGACGAACAACAACAACACGCTTCTGGTTGGTACGGATGGTAGACGGCTACAAACACTTGACTTGAATGAGGCTACTCCAACATGGCAACTTCTAGCAAAGTTCGATGAAGAAGAGCTTGAAGGGCACTTCTTGAATGCCTCAAGTTACATGGCTCTCAACAATGATGGCACTTTAATGGCAGTGGCATATCGTGGCCATCCGCTATCGGCCTGGGAAGTCGATGGTCCACTCCACATTAGCCACTGCTGGCGTGCTCGCAAAGAAGTTGCCCGAGGAGAAGTCATCGAGGCTGTATGGCACCCAAAAATCCAGAGATTTTGGGTCTTTACATTGAGGGCGTGGTCTTCAAATGGAACCCTTAATGCGGTGACCCTGAAGGACTTAGTACGGGAGCTTCGAGATTGGCCATTAGCGGAGACGGAAATCTTTTCGCAACTGGCGACGTACGCGGCACCGTCAAAGTCTACACCACGTCTGGATTCAGGCTTCTGTATCAGTTGGCTTCCCAGGATACCGTCCTTGGCCTGGTGTTTAGTGTCGATCAGCACCGCCTTTATGACGTCCGAGGCTACTATGGAAACGCTTGGGAACCCACTGCTTTGATGCGGTATGCCGAGTGTTCAGGGAACGGAACGGACAGCGAAAGCGAAAGCGAAAGTCTTTCTCAATGCTCTATCACGTCTGTAAACTCATCTCAAAGGGTTGACTCTATCACAGTACTTACAGCTTCGCCAACCGGTCGGCTCTATTGCTGTGGTACCGAGTATGGACGCGTGCAACTGTTCGACACAGAAAAGGGAAAGCTTTCCGATTTCCACCTCTCCAAAAGCTTCTTCAGCATCAAACAAATGACGTGGAGTGCCGATGGTCGATACTTTTGCTACGCCGACTCCAGTAAGAAGGTCGTCATATTCTCGATAACTACGTGTCCATCTACTTCTGACACTGTTGCCGAAATTCGTTGCGAAATATCACTAAAGGTCCACATGGAAGGCCCTATTCAACAACTGTTGTTCCAGCCAGATTCGAGTCACCTTTTTGTGTCCACTTCATCAACAATCTGTACGATATCGCTCCTGTCAGCTTCTATAACGCACTCAGCAGCGTCGCATCTACATGAGCGCAAGTGGGTCACACACCCCCAAGATTCGGCGCTAATCCTTGGATTCGGACCGGATTCCGTCAAATTGCTGGATTGGAGCTTGGACGAAAGACTGAATTACCGGATCGAAACTCCGCTTGACCAAGCTACCCAACCCGATTACAAGAGCGCCACGGGCTCCAGAGTCATTGATCGCGTCCTTGTCACCCCCGACAGGAAGCATATGCTAGTTCAGATGTCGTTCGGCCGCAACTCGAGAGAAAAAGAATACCTCTATTTCCCCACGTCATCCGTCTCAGCAAGCACAGCAGCTACCATCGAGCTCGAGCAAGCCAATAGGTGGGAAATAATTATCCCTGCGCTTCTTCCGCGGCCGATGTCCTCACAAATTACCCTCGCACTCTCTTTCCTCAAACGAGACCGCCTTTTGTTCCTTTCGCGAACCTTCACAGTCTGCTCTTGGCAAATCCCGTCATACCACGACCTATCCCTATCTTCACGGCTTTCCCGCCGCGCAAGTTCTGATAGTACCGCCACGGTAACGTTAAACGACGCATCCCTCCCCGATGGGGAAGATAGTCGGGACGCCGGTATGCCAGCGGAGAAAGTCAGCAGCGAAATCTTCGCATTACCTGCAGACTGGATAAGTAGAGATTGTTTAGAGTTATGCAGGGTCTGGCTTAGGGAAAAGTCTTTACTGTGTCCGCGAAATGGAGAGGTTGCACTTGTCAGATGCGCCAGTTTCGTCTAATCTTGAATCACACTAATGTTGGGATCTTCGTAAATTCTAGAACTTCAGCATCAAGAATAATAGACCGCGCCAAGGTGCCACTCTTCAATCGCGTGAGATGCTGAAGACTGAATAGCTTTCGACGACGTCGGAGTTTGGACCATCACCGCCACCATCCGGAGCTTTCTCGGCCATGGTGCTGCTGCATGCGATTGCTTCGATATTAAACTGTAGGATCTTAGATCTGACGACGATGGATAGATGGTTGGATGGTGGGAGAAGGCCACGTTACGACGTAGTCAGTGTGGGTCCCGCCCCACGCTTGGCTCCGACCACCAGTTGCCGCCTCGTTCTGTGCCCACCTGGCCGCCCACAAGCTTTCCACCCGTGTTATCGAGACGTCGTTTCCCCGAGCATAGAGGAAAAGAGGCGCAAGACGCCCATAGAAAGTATGTTCATCCTTACCCTTTCGAAGTGTGGTCTTAAAGGATCATTTCTAAGGGCCGCGAAAGGCCGACACGGCTAGTTAGCGCGATTCCTTTCCTTCTATTACTAAGCGGAGCAGCAGAAAGTCCAATCGTTAACCTTACACACCTCCATATCCAATCCAGGTTCCCCGATTCCCTAATGGAGATGGCATATCCTCCTATCCCCGAGAATATATGGAGCCTTCAGGCTATCGCCCATGGCGTCTCTGGCGTCGTCTTTAAGATTTCCGACTCAGCCGTTGTTAAGGTCGCTCTCGGCAAAAAGAATCAAGCAGCCGTTGACATCGAGCATTCCATCTACCGACGACTAGGCCACCACCCCTTAATTACCAAGTTTCTCTACGAACAAAATGGAAAGCTTGTCTTCGAACGTCTCCAATACCCTTTACGCAAACGACTCTTGGACCTGTCCGACGCTGGGAGAGCCCCCCTTCTCAGAGATGTCCTTCGTTGGGCTCTCCAGCTGGCGGAAGCACTCAGCTACGTCCATTCACACGGTGTGATGCAAGTGGATATTGGCGCTCATAATGCGCTACTTGACTGGAACGAAAATGTAAAATTATCTGACTTTGCTGGGTCATCTATTGACGGATCCTCTCCAACTGTGCTACCCAGCAGAAAATCTCAAAACCCGAACCTTCCCGAGGACGAGCCTTCAGTTCACTCTGAGATATTCGCACTCGGCTCAATGCTCTACGAGGTGGAGACGGCAAAGCAGCCGTACCATGACAGGTCCGACTCTGGGCTTGAAAAGCTTTTCTCCAGAGGAGATTTCCCGGATACCAGCGCACTAGTACTCGGGGAGATAATCAAAGGGTGCTGGAAGTCGGAGTATAAAACTGTTGACGAGGTGGTGAAGGATCTTGGGCGTGTCCGGGACAAACATCTAGATGGCGAGATGATCACAACGACTACCACAGGCACCACACCAAATGCAGCCCCTGATGCGACGCCTGCCAACCAAACCTCCAGCGTTTTCGGCGGACTCTGATGTTTCTCGGAGAATCGATCCTCGCTTGCTGTTAGATAAACCCGGATAAGGGCGGAAAAGGTTGAGGCCACATGATGAGCGCCTTTTAGCATAAGCTGGTCAAAGAGCGCCTCATGTACTAGAAACTTTGATGAGAAGCCTGGGCTTTGGAGACAATCAACCTGGGCTGCTAATGCTAGCCTTTCCGCATACCGATGTCGCAGTATCTTTATGGGACAAACGTCGTTTTTACTCGTTTGGAAATCATTTAGAATCGATGCTGCTAGCGCATCTGGTGCGCCATTCAATCAAGCTGTAACGAAAGCACCGCTTTTTTCTTGTTTCCCTGCATCTTTTCCCAGTCACTACCAGCAAGTGAGCGCCGACGTAATCTAGCACTCTGGCATCCTCTTGCCGTTGAAACAAGGCTGCGATATATAGACCGCTCGCTTCTCTCAACCAGACTTAACTAATGCCGATATCAATGCCTCTTTCGCTTCCCCTGCATCACTCGCGGAAAACTGACAACAGAACGCCAACAAACGGTGCGCTGCTCCCTTAAAACATCTACGCCGCAAATAAGCACAGACTCATAGCAAGCACCGCAAAAGACGACTAAAAGACGAGTACAACTTCACATACCAAGACTCTCAGCGAGACAAGAGCATCACGAATGCGCAGCGTCCGATGTCCGAGCTAGACGCGGTATCTCCAAGAGATCACTATATCACATTTCGCGTGCTTCATTAAAGTTCTCCGTCTTGCAAATGCTGCTCCGCCCTCTTATACCTCACTGCTCTTTCACGCTGCTCTTTCACGCTGCTCTTTCACGCTGCTCTATAGGACGACGTCAGCGAACGAAACCACTAGATTGGCCTCATGTACCGAATATATCGACAAGCTTTGAGAGTGTTCATATGTATCAACCACCCGACGTCCGACTACCAAGTGGACATCAACTGGCTCAGCCGGCCGGTTCTTCGCCGATAGCAGACGCAGAATATCGGTCCTACTCGTTGGATGGCACACCAGTGGAAGTGGTAGTGGACGACAATCTACAGGACCTGGTCACAATCGATCAGGCTATCATGAAGTGGGGAGACGGCATTTATTTAAGACCACAAATAGCGTTGGTTTCACAAGCGGCATTTGTGTTCAAGGAGACCCAGTGTTTGCTATTGATGGCGTAAGGACCCCATTTATATTGCGACGCGTTGGTGAGAACCGGTAGAAGATCGTCAGCGACTGCTATCTATGGGCCGCTGCGTATTTGCTTGGAACAAGGAAAGGCGTTTGGGGCGGAGGAGATGACAGCCATCGTGTCGAGGAACGAAAGCAAATGATCGAATTATGTTGAGAATCGCCATGGTCTTGCGCCACCACTAACTCGCCACCTCCAGGGCGTTGCTGGTCGGCCGCAACGGCAAGCCAGTCTTCAAATATGTCGCGTCGATCACCTCCATCTGCCGGATCGAATCCTCGGGCTCGACCCAGACACCTGATCCCTTCCTCTTCTTAACACGATTCACGAATTCTTCGAGCTGATACCGATACGTGCCCCACCATTCCTCTCCCTTCTTACTCTCCCCGCTCGTCGGCCACTTGTACGCCTTCTTGTATTCGGTCTCCTTCTCCATCTTCACGACGCTTCCGTCTTGCGGGCTCTTGAACCGGGTGGTTGTAACAATATCGATGCGATGGTACGCATGCGGGCCCATATAATTGTGGAACACGATAGTCTTCTGTATCCACTTATCAAGGCCCTTCTCAGTCCCTTCATTCTTTTCCTTCAATTTGACCGTCGTTTCAGGCAGCAGGGGCCGCATGCTCGGCCAATTCTTCGTCAGTGCTGGAAACCAATACCCTCCAGTCATCCGCAAATCTGCTAATATCTTCGCAATGCCGCCATTTGGGAACTCGTAGGTCGCATAGATAGCCTCGTCGCACTGCTGGTCGAAGCCGTCAGGCATACGGCGATATGTGGCAGACTTGATGGCTGTCGGCTCCGCGGCGAAGACGGCACGCGTGCTGCTCACCGCGTAGGCCCCGAAATCCATCAGCGTGCCACCGGAAAGCGAGTAGATGAAGCGGATGTCGTTCCTTGGCATCAACCCAGCTAGGACCGCATTCCTTGCTTCAGCCTCCTCGACATCCTTCGGATCGAAGAGGGTAAGGAAGGTCTGCCAGGCGGGATGGAAGCGATAGTGGAAAGCTTCTAACAAGACCGGAGCATCCGGCTTGCTTAGGAGAGGATGGCGGAAAAGCGACTTCGCCTCTTCGGCGTTGGAGACGGAAGGCTTCTCGAGAAGGACGTGTTTACCCGCTTTCAATGCCTTGAGAGTCCACTCGTAGTGCAGCCCGTTCGGGAGTGGATTGTAGATAACGTCGATGCTCGGATCGGCGATGAGATCTGCATCACGTGAGCAGCTATTCACCCGACCCTACTCATTGCGGTTCTTACGTACCGTCATATGTCTTGTGCACAACGGGGATGCCATGCTTTTTGGCATACGCTTCGGCTTTCTTGGGATCGCGGGCCGCGACTGCGGCTACAATAACTTCAGGATGCGATTTCGCGGGGATGATCAAGGCCTGGGGTCTTTGCGACATTTAGCTTCGCTAATAAGACGTTGGGTGCTGGACGCGTGCTAGGCTCACCCGATTTTGGCAGCTCCGAGTATCCCAAAGCGGAGCGCGTCGTCCTGTTTCAGGGCCACGGGTGGGTTGAAGAGCGCTGTATAGGTGCGCTTGAAGTAGTGTATTAGAGAGGCCATACTTGCACTTGGGAAGGTAGTGCGAAGAGTCTACGGGCTGGCTCGGATCGCAATGATCAAGCGGTTAAACCTATATGCGTTGTGGGTTGCCGGATTTCGTCCGGAGATGTGCGATGTCCGGAACCTTTCGGAAGATTGGATTGGCATAAGTTACCTCGACGTGGTCTTAATATACTTACTAAGCAGAGGATATCATCCGACCAATCAGATGCGACCCTTGACGCCGAGAAGAGAATACGATGAAAGATTCGTCGAATAGTGTACGAGGAGGAGATACCCATTCTGGAAAAAATGAGGATAAGGAACAGGTGAAATACAAGTGCGTAAATGAGAGCTTAGACCTGCCTAGCTACGGTTCTATCATTCAAAGCACTAAGAATTCGCTCGACACTGCGATAGACTCTAACAGCTATGCCTCCCTCAAGCGTACAAGGAAAGATCATGGCTTTAAAGCGCGCTATCTCCACCGCTATTCTCGTGAACAAGCGTACTTGAGACTGTCACGGATACGGCCATCCCCAACGGTCAGTGATAAAGCGTGAACGGTTCCCGCGGGTATGCTGGGCTACCAAAATAGAACGAATCGTGCAAGACCCGGACTCTAAACTCACCGCATTAATGGAGGCCGCATGCCACTGTTACACACATCTCCCGTTCTCCCTATTCTAGCCTCCATGGCCAACCCCGCCTCATTTCCCCTTCAACAACAAGAAACAGATCCAACCTGAAGGCGGAGAGTGATCAGGTCAGATACTAGGAAAGTTGGCTCGTCGGTAAGTTTCGCGGATTCCGCTCCAATCGTGTGCGTGAGACCAGCGTTTGCCTCACCCAGCCCCTGCACTGTGCCTCCAAACGCCTCATCCATACGCACATTCCTGGGCGGCGTTAGCGGAAATGAGCAAAGAGTCTTCATGCGTATCTCTCCACGCGACTATGCCGATTTTCCGAGTCAGTGCCGAAAAGCATAGTATAAGTAGCGGTCTCCGCGGCATCGGACTCGAGCTTCTTCATTCTTCGCTCAACAGACCTCTTCTTACTTCAGTGCGTCCTATTCTCCTGCTGTTGTCTCCACAGTTGCAAGTGCCTCAGCTCCCTATCATCCATATTCTCTGCCTTGCTGAGCGACTTGATCGCATATCCGACCTGTCAACAATATGCGTGTTTCGGATCTCCTCAAAGGCCTCTTGGCCATCACCACTTTCGCCGCCTCCGCAAGCGCTGCACCGTCGACCGAGGCCTCAAAGCGCACTAGCGGTAACACTACCGTCGAGAGATTTCCGCATATGTACGCATTCAGCGAACTGGCGCCTGGTAGCGGATCTTTCGAGCAGCCTTACTTTCGATTCCTCATCCTCTTCCGAATGAAGCCCAATGCGACGGAGGAAGAGGTCAACGAGCATTGGAAGACTGTCCATGCTGACCTCACCATGACCCTTGACGACGTGGGTGGCGAGATCCTGCGATACGTCCAGGGAAGTGCGCCCGATCGGAGCTTCAGAGTCTCTCTCTAACGTTCTGCAGTTCCATCAGCTGAAGAAACATCGCGAGATGATCAAGCCGCTGTTGGATATGGGCGGTATGGCCATCGCGCCGTACGACGGTATCGCCGAGTTTCACGCGAAGAATTACGCCTCGTTTGAAAGGTTCCTAATGGACGCGTTCAACGATCCTGCCAACACTGCCGACCATCAGCACTTTGTCGATTCTTCCGTGCCTCTTCAAGTCATGGCGGGCTACGACAACCTAATTTTCGGAGGCGCAGTTAAGACCTCGGGTGGAGTGAACGGGATCCTTCCTCTCGATGAGCGTCTCCGCGGCCAGAAGCAGGGATGAACGGCACCGGTGTCATTAGATCTTGTGTGGGTTCCTGGGACTTTATTATGATGAGAAGGTGGCATGGGGGATAGAATATGCATAGAGAATCGGTCTTCTGTATTTTCTTAACCCTGAGCTGTAAGCTTGTTTCCGGCTTTCCAGAACAGCCGGAATAGAACACCGGTCGAAATAGCCCAGATCATCGAGCGCAGATACGAGTACTTTTGCCTGGTGATGCCGATGTAAGCAAAAATGTACGCGACGCGCAAACCAAGGTAAGCTCCAGCTGCGTTGTTCATCGTATCTGTAAGGTCGGTTAGTACCCTTCTTCCGGTTCGATATACACACCCGATCCCGAAAGCGAGCGCAAGCAGCATATGGACTGCGGGACCGGAAACAAAAGTCAAACCATACCAGCAGGAAGACCCATCATATTGCCCACAACAACAGCTCCTATGAACAGCGGCGCGTTCTCCAACAAATTCTTATGCGCTGCCTCAGCTCTTTCGAATCGCGCATAAACTTCGGTGGGACAAGTCTTCTGGTACTGGGCGTTCGTGTCCAGACCGCGTGGGTTGGCATTATTCCATTTCTTGTTGTTTGCATTCTTGACAGTTTGCACCTGGTTGGAGATCCGTATTAGCTAGCGAATGCGAAGTGGAGTTAGGGGGAAGTCGTACCGCGTAAGCGTGCGGAAAGAGAGCTAGCACCCAGTACACCGGGATGCTGTAGAGAGAGTAGTTGGGTGTCATGTTTGCCGATTGAAGAGGATGATAACAGACGAGAGGAGGGCGAAAGGCATTATATAAGGTCAAATTGACGTCCGTAGGAGTGGAGTAGGCCCGTGCTTATTCGTCTTAGTCGGGCTTAGACTCGGCTAGGCTTGCTTAACAACCTTGGAAACCTGATCACTAATACGCCCCGCTGGCAAGCTTCCATACATCACCCAATCCACGTTTACTACCCTTGCTCGGTATCGCAACTCTTTCTACTCTAGGTAGAAAGGTGTAGGGTGCATACGAGGAAAACTGTGATATTTCGGAGGATTCTACGCACCGACGCCGACACCAACATTTGAAACGCGTCCTATCGCGTCAACCACGCGTCAGACGATATCAGATGTCTAGAATGTCCTTGACACGAGATCATCCGATGCTCAAAGAGTCTCGATTGCTACAAGTAAACTTCCCTCCCCCTTGTCTTGACTAGAATCTCATCGAAGAATACCTAGGTAGCTCTGTCGCGATCTTCTTTCACTCTACCAGGTATGCCCTACAACCACTCCCGAGCCTAGTCCGTCCGCTAATTGACTGCAGATGAACACTTATTTCGGATCCTAAAGGGAAGACTCGACCAATCTACAGGACAACATAATGCGCTACGATCATCGTCTTCAAATGCCTTCATGAAGCTGAACTTCCAGCGCTGAATGATAGACTTTTGAGCCGCCCCAATTAGGGGGACTACTCGGTCACCCGAAGGCGTCTTCTTACCTAGGACCTACTTCAGCCATAGTTCAGCGATCCTTGGGGCGATCAAGTGCCTTAGAGCTTCTTCAGATTCCAAGGGACACTTACCCTTATGAGGCAGCTCAAGGCGACGATTTCGTCTCTTAGACATGTGCAAATGCAACAGCAAATTCTAAAGAATAGCCAGAAGAAAGCGCTCAGCAGATCACCTCTATGTCAAGATGTCATTCAGGGTCAGAACACCAGCGGGAATGGAGAGATTGCGTCGACAAGTAAAGGTCGCAAGACATACCTCTTCACTACTACAAAGGCCGCGGCCCCAAATCAACCTACTGATATGCATAGCATCGGGTAATCAAGGTTTCATATGATCGTTCCTTTTAAAGCACAGAAGTACGCTCTGGACTCTGCAAGACATCAGAGGACCTTTCACTCGCGACCCTCACTAAACTCACTCTTACTCTATACACTTCCCTATTCGTCACGCGCACAATAGCAACAATCCATGATTGGACCCACTTCGGTTTCCAGCAAACTGCAGCCGCCCGTGCGCATATTCTGCAAGCTTCTTATTGTCTCGGACCACCCCGAACATCGCTTCGCCACGGTGAAAGGGTCACGACTACCCCTACACTTCACTCACCACCGCTCCCAGCCACCTGAATTATCGCACACCTTTTCTTGAGACTTTCGTCAACTTCTCGACAGTACACATCTATCAAGCACCATCGAATTTTGCATTATTATTATTGGCCGCTTTGGAACAGCGTTGACCGCTTCCAGACCAACTCATCATGGACACTCGCGACACTCCGCCGTATTCGGCGCCAACGACCCCAGAACAGTCGAAAACCGCCAACTTCGTTGCGCAATCTACGGCTTCCACTCCAGAGAGCATCAGCTCAGCAACTCTCAACACCACCCCCCACATCCCAAAGAACCTGACCCAGGACATGGTCGAAGCCGACCCACGCCTCAAGCGACTCCAGCAAGACCTACTCGTCCTGACCAGCTTTAACGACAACAGCACCATCCACTGGCGCCCTTCTTGGTTCCAACAGGAACCGTTCTCATCACGCGTCTGGACACTACACAACCCACCCCACGTGGTCACGGAAGAACTTCCTCGCCGGCCGGCTACGCGGCAGGTCATGACGCGCCGGATGAGGCGACCGGGTGACCGGCCTCCGCTCTACATGAGGAGCCAAGTTCAGTGGGAGCGATACTGCGATATGTACGGCGTTCCGCATGACTTCCTCTGCGAGGATCAGATCCGGCTACTGCGATTGGGATTGCCGCGATCAAGGGATGGCCGGCTTTGCGGTATGTACCCAGCTAATGAAGCCCTTCTCGGAAGCACTGAGCTGACCGTCTTAGAACCCCTGTCATATCCCCTGTACCCGGAGCCGCAGCCTCTCAATCAGGGCGACTACGTCCTGGATGTCCGCAACTATGGAGGTCTCCCCCCCAAGTTCCGCAGCGTGGACCCGGAGTTTGGCGAGTACGGCGAGTGTGTGGTCGTGCTCTCAGATGGTAGCTTGCGAGTCGAGCAGCGTGCGGGGCGGTGCGTTGCGAGAGATCAGGGGGCAGGTAGGAGGTGGAGTTACTTACCGTGGACGGAAGCGCAGGAGGTGAGCTGCCGGCCCATGACGCTGAAGCTGCGGTTATGGAACTCAGTCAAGGTGGAGTAGGAGATTGATGGGAAAGAGAAACAGCCCTGAAGGAATTCCGACTGGATGAGGAGGACGACGACTTTGGATAAGTATACGGCTCATATCGCCTGGTTATCAGCTATCATTACCTGCAATCAATGGAAGTACTTCCACGTCACACCCCTACAGATCTCCCAACCCTTATCGAACGCTTCCACCACGTCCTTTGGCAGCTCACCAGCCTCAAAGTCCTTCAAATTCATCTCCAGCTGCTTCTGCGAGCTCGCGCCAATTATCACCTTATCGCCGTTCTCCCTCTTCAACGCAGAATGATGCATCATCCACCTAAGCGCCGCCTCACTCTCCCTAATGCCATGCTTCTTCAGCACCGGCCTTAGCATCTCCAACGCATCAAAGAACGCATCATTCCAGTACCTCGCGCGGTACATCTTCCCCTGGAGGCGCTTCGGATCGAAGCGGCTGCCAGGCTCGACCTCCGCGTCCGCAGTGTCGCGATGGTAGCGATCCGTCAGATACCCGCCCGCGAGCGGATTGAAAGCGTAGAACGCGATGCCGTATTTCCTCAGGCAAGGGAAAAGCTCATGCTCCACGGAGCGGTGCAGCGCGTTGTACACGCCCTGATACGCGCTCGGCCGCGGATACCCTTCCTTATCGCAGATCTCGCACATCGCGGCGACCTCCCACGCCATGTAGTTGCTCACGCCCCACCGCTGGAACTTGCCCGCCTTGTACAGCTCGTTCACCCCCTGCAGCGTCTCTTCAATCGGCACCGTGCGGTCCGGCGCGTGTAGGTACCACATATCGACACTCTCGGTATTCAGCGCTTTCAGGGACGCGGTCAGCCCGGCGCGCAGGCCGGGGATGTTGTGGTGCGTAACCGGCCGCCCCATCATGCCTTGGACGTTGGGGTACAGCTTCGTGTCCATGATGATGCCGCGGTCTTGCCATTTCAGCGCGCCGAGGTACTCTTCCGAGGTGCCGTCGCCGTAGAAGCGCGCGGTGTCGACTTCGGAGTGGCCGTGCGATTGGAAGGTGTCGAGGATAGCGGCGCAGTCGGAGAGGGAGGAGGTGCGGACTTGTTCTTTGCCTGTGGAGGTCAGTGTCTGTCAAGGGAAGAGGAAGGATGGGCGTTAGGGAAAGGAGGGATATGGATGGGATGAGGAACTTACCTTCCTCACCGAAGGTCATGGCTCCGAAGACGATATCTAGCTTGGTAACTGGCGCCATTTTCTATATCAGATTTTTCTGAAAGTGGGAAGTGATGTGATCTCGCAGGGTGGTGAAGGCAATCGAAGCCTGAACACTGTCTTTGCTGCCGCAAGAGAAGCAGTGATTAAAATGTCCATTTATACTTATCCTCCCGAGCCCGAGACTCGCTGCACAAAAGTCCCACGGTCATGCGATTTGATGGTTCGTAGTCACGTCAAGGGAGTTTGCCGGACTTTGGACGGAGTTAACTTCAGGCGTCCCTTCGATGCCCTGCTGGAAATCGACGACCCTTGCATGACATCAGGCCAAAACAGCTCGCCAATGTGGTCCGTTTGCAAAATCATCATTGCTCAGCGTAGGGCTGCAGGTGGACTGGGATCGAAATCCAGTATAGCGCCGTAATGCATGCCTAATTGAGTCTAGCACCATATCAACTTCGTCGCAGATACTGATACCTCAAGACGGTGACGGGAACATCCAAACTCATGTATCCTGAAATTCCGCTCATGCCTCCGTCTCCTAGGTCCGTCAGCCCCTAATTCCGTTCTCCTTCCTCCACGTCAGCCGCTCAGTGTCAGAAACCCCAGGCCCCCGATACACGCTGCCATACAGTCCACTTGCCCAATCTTTCCCCTCACCCTCTTTCTTCGCCTTTCTCCGGTGCCATCTCCCATAAGCAAGCAGGTAATACAGCCGGAAGCTGAGGAAAGCAAACTTGTCTCGTTCGAGGTCTTCAGGATACGTGGCGCCGAGATCAACTGCTGCAGCGATGCCGCTCATCACGGCGACTTCGTGAGCGTTAACCAGAGTCCAGGCCGCGGCAAACCTAGTATGCTTACGACCCTGGAGAAGCCACATCCATGGCACGACGAATAGGTAATGAGTCCAAGAATGGCATAGCTGGTGTCACCAATCCTTCCGGATGATCTTGCTCTCTTCGATCTCGTCGATAGGCCACAGATGGCCGTCTCTGTGCTTATTTAGGTAGATGGTCTGGAAGACATGCTTGTCGAAGGAAACCTCGGGCGGGAACTGGCTCTGGTAATTGGTGCAGTCGAAGCACATTTCGAGCTTTGAGCGATCCTGATCGTACATTTTGATGTAGTACATAGGCTTGAAGGACTTCTGTGCCATCTGAACGCGAGTCGTCTGGTCAACGCCGGAGAGAGTTGCCACTACCTGCTCTGGATTGTAGAAGTTCTCGTAGTGCTTCTTCATGTAATCGCTATCCCAATGCGTGACGGTGATATCGTCGGAGAATTTGGCAGACCCAAGGACGCGCTTTTCGCGGAAGGAAGCTGTAGGTTGGAGGATGCGTTTTGCAGTATCGGCACTAATGCCCGTCAGCAATGCCGATTTCTTTTCAGTCAATTGGAAACGTACAGTACGCAAAGTACTAGCTCGTCATAATGCTCCTCAACTTCTTGCGCATTTGGTTCCACGTTACCGTCCTCTTGGGGCACCCATGCGCTATTTGGATTGTGGGCGTCTGAGGTCGGGGTACGCTTGATCAGCTTAACAATTACGCCATCCTTGTCTCTCTTCGCAACCTTCGTAAGTTCGGTCGACAGACGCACGTTCACGCCCTTCGACTCCAAATCTTCTCTCCAGCTCTCGTAAAAATCGCTAAACTTAGGAAAGACAACCATAGGAGGCAAGTTACTCGCAACGCTCAGCTTATCCGCAGGATACCACATTCCATACGTCGGACTGGTACACAATCTCTCAAGGATAATGCTCGGCACTTCTGGAGTAGCATTCCCCGTTCCAAGAAATAGCGCGACCATTGGTAGAACAACGGTGTTGGTGAACTCGTCCGAGAAGAAAAACATCTTCATGAGGATCTTGATGGGTATCAAGGCGAAGAACAATTCGAACCAGCGAACGATGGTGAGCATTCGTTTGAATCGCTTAATCTCCATCTGATGCCGGGCGAGGAGCTGCGTCGGGAACACGTTCGACCAGAATACATCATCCTTTCCAAACGAGACCTGCAGCTGTCAATTAAATCCTGACCTCAACCATCGACTTGCCTACCTGTAATTTTACCGGATCTGCGTGGTACCCTTGTCGCGCAAACATGGTCATCGTATGGTGGAATATGCAGCTACCACCCTGTACTCCCTGATTCAACCAGCTGGTTCCATGGCGCTCTTTATCGAGTGGGATCGAGAATGCTTGGCCACCGCAGTAATCCACAGCATCGATAAGTGTCACGTCGAACTTATCAGGGTGATTCGCGAGATGATGAGCACATGACATTCCTGAGGACCTGATGAGTATATATTCCGACCTCTTGAATGGGTTCTTACCAGCGGCTCCAGCGCCGACAACCAAGACACGCTTCCTTTCGGACTTGCTCCTCCTGTTGGTCGCCATGTTCGTCGTGGGCAGACCGGGCTCCTCTTCGCGTGAGCGTCGCATTGGAAGAAAAGGCTTCAAAAAGTGGAAAGGGAACCGTCAGAGCTGCCATGGTTGCGTTCTTATCCCCGGACGTCATGGCTAGATTGTCGAAGCAGTGCGTCATGAAGAGACAAAGATGGTTGGTAGATCTGGTGGCACAGACCCTGACCCGCGATCGCGAGATCCGGTGCCGATCGGTCTAGCCATTTTGGGCTTCAACACCATGCGAAGAGCAGCAAGCATCAGGCTCGTTTGAAATGTAAGAAATTATATTGCTACAAGATAAATCGAGATGTATTCCACTCATAGTAGGTCCGAGCCTCTGATAGTGAGGTCATAGTTGGTATATGCACCCAGACTTTCTGTCTTCTGTCCGAGCATTCGCGACTTTAGTGGCAGGCTATTAACGTCAAACTCAAGCTATTCCCTAAGGCCTTCAAGCGATGCAAACATGTTTCCCAAATAGCCGACTCTCGCCACTTGATCCAGTAATACAGCTCTGAGGAAATTTCCTTCACACCGGCCGACAGGCGTCAACCCAGCCCCATTAAGCGCCGCTGTCTCTCTTCCAGCTTCGGTCCCACAGAAGACGCCAGATAACAAACCATCAGCGCCCCAACCGTACCCGTCGCTGACCACAGAAACACGCCGAACTTTTCTCCACCGGGTGCATACTCAGTCTGCATGCCAAACACGGCGGCAAAAACGTTGAATGGCACCGCCACCGTGGCCACGATGGCCAAAATGGTCAGTCTACGATTCAGATCCGTCGCTCGCTTTCCCTCGATGACTGACATAAGGGACGTGATGAGGGAGACGGTCTGTGCGATGCGCTCGTTGTTTCTTTGTATGAGGTCGCGGACTTGCTGGAAGTCGGAGCTGATGGCGTCAGCGGCGGAAGAGGAAGGCTCGCTAGGGTCGAGCCAGTGAGTGGGCAGGTTGACGTGAACGTGGTTGTCAATCAGCGATTCATATTTGCGTGTGCGGCGCCGCATGACAAAGATCTGCTCGAGGAAGATGTCGAGCGTGGAGATGTTTGCAGTGCCGCGCTCCAGCCGCCACTCTATGGCGTTGAGATCGCGTTCCAGGTACGCGTTCACGGCCACCCATTCCGATGCGATGATTCGGTAGAGATCCTGGATGATAACTACAGGGGACGGTTGCTGCCTGCACAGATGTGGGTTCCGCTTGAGGCAGTGGATGAAAGACTCTGTATACGTATTTCTCGTGTCGATCTCAAACGAGGCTTCCGCATCAGGGGTGGAATGTGGGAGGAAGGAGCGGTATCTGGACATCTGGGCATCGAGATTGTCTTGCGAGAATATGAAGGGCGGATCAAGAAGGATGATGGCTGAGTTCTGTTAGTCGACACATTCTTAGTGTCAACGAGAGGCCTACCTTTCCGCCATTGAGTCCCTGCGTCGAACCACACGGCGGCAGAGTGCCGAGTCATGGCTACGGGCCACAGTATCTGGTCCTTTACATGAACTGGGTTGTGTCCACCGGCGATCCGCTCGATGTTGTTCTGGTCTTGCGTAGAATCGAGTCGCTCACTAATCGATACCGGCTGAACGGTGGATGTGGTATCGCGGGGATGGTACTCTCTCGGGCCAATGAAGCGTATATGAACGTGTTTCGCAAACTGCTGCACTGAGCGTAGCGCCGGGGTATGGTTCTCAATATCGCTGAGGCGATACCAGGGGAGCGTCACAGTCCCATAGCGTGTCTCTCTGGATTCCTTGGGCGTGGATGGTGTGCGAAGAACCGTATCTAAGTAATCCAGGAAGAACTGGGCGTCCACCTTGCAATGCCCGCCGAGGATTTTGAGCGCAGTCGGAGAAAGGTCTTCAACTACGTAGAGCTCATGATGGAATCCCTTCTCAAGGTGCCCATCGAGATCGTCTTCGTCGACCCTGGGACATTCAGGCGAAGCATCAGGAAGGAACGTCACCGCATGAATCCTTGCTTTTCTGGCGGATGGAAAGGAGACGAAGGCGTTCAAGGGTCGAAAGTGCGGATTCTTCGAAGACAATCTCTCAACAAAATGTTGATACTCGACTGCTTTGCTGCTGGTTCCTGACTTTTGGTCGTTGGAAGATGTTGGGGCCATGACGGCTGTTAACAAGTTTTATCCGGAAACTTAAGAGGAGAATGCCCGAGAATGCGGGGTCGTGGGAGGCTGTATGTAAATTAGCATGCAGGCAAACGTGGGCAAGGCTGAGCTTGGCAGAGCTTGCCTCGTTGTTCCTTTTTCCAGTCTTCATGCTCAGCCTTCCTGTGACAACATGCAGCTGGTCGCGACGTATACAACCAGTCTCCGCGCTTCCTATGCGCCACTGAATAAAGAATCGTCCACAACGGTCACTCTACACTTCACTCCGCTCGCGTTCAGACCTTCCTCCATGGCCTTGCCATCGGGCCAGAACTGCCACTCCCGCACAACCCTCATCTGAATCTCAAAGGCCTCCTTTTCCAGGTCAATGCCCTTGAGCTTCTGGAACGCCCCAATAAGCGTGTGAGGCCGACTGGCACCCAAAAAAAAAGCCGGCTCCACTAAGAACTGCAGCTCACGCAGCCCAGACATGGCAAGAAATGCCTTGCAAGTGGCGTTCCAGTCTCCCTCTGAGGTTGAGGAGGTAATGCGATTGGCATCAGCGCCATCGAAGCGCTTTTTGGAAAAGGCATGGCGGATGATGACTCTGCGAATGAGCGCAAACCGTTTAGGAAGCGTCGTCCGACGGAAGAAATGTAACGCCCACAGACGGTTGAAGTGGAACGTGTTATGTGCGTAGAGGATGTCGATGGCTTCAGCATAGCTGCAGAGGTCAGCTCGCAATTCTCTTCAGCATGGGAATAGGACATGGGAGCCTACATTTGCCGGCACGTCAGAAGTATGTTGAGCTTGTTCCAGTGTTCTAATTGCCTATCTTGTGCAAAAGGCTCGGAGTATTGGATTGAGGGGATCGCAGGCGACTTCGTTATCCGCCCACGATAGCAGTCGTCGCACGCCGTCTCTTCACCGCGGCAGACACAGTGTCCCAGCTTGTGGACCTTTGCCAGAATGTGCACGACGTCGCCACCGAGCAAGAGCTCCCAGATGTGCAGCCTGATCTCTGCGGGGAGCCGACGTAGGAGCAAGCAATCCTCCTGGGGAGACTGCTCTACCCGAGGGCCAGGCTCTTTACGTCCGCATTCTCTGCGAAGACTTGGTCGTTTCCGGTCCTGGCAAGCCTCCGCGTTTGGAGGCGGAGTGAGTTGGTCGCGCTTGCGACGCGGGGGCAGCGGTGCTGGCTCCACGACCTCGTACTGCACCTTGGAGTGCTTCTTGAACTCTTCGGGAATGAAGCGGGGTACGCGATACAACATCGCAGTCGGAGGTAGAAGAGAAGAAGAATTCAGACAGAATAAAGACATAGCGGAAGATTTGTGTGGGCGCGGAAACGAGGAAGAGGTACAAGCCAGCAAAGGGAAGCCGATGAGGGGCAGGCGAGACTAAGGCTTCGGTCGCCCGCTGCGTTGCGCCTCAGGTTGTCTCGTACGAGCGATCAAGAAACTTGGAGTCGTTCGAGGTTGATTAAGAACGTCGCTGATTGTATTGCTAGAATATCGGCCTCAGCACGAGGATGGAATGTCGGATGGATGGAGAAAGGAGAGCCACGCCTTCCCGATCCCTCTCGCAAGGATCGCGCCTTCCTCGCTTGCGCCTAGGCTACCACGATCCTTGCAACACAACCAGCCACACCCTCGTCCTCATTGATCTCTCCTTTCCGAAAACAAAATCTCGAAAAAAGGTTCGCGAGCGAAAAAGCAACTTCTCTCATCGTATGATCTGCCGGGACGGCTGCTGATGTGGCTTGCTGGGCTACGCAGCGCCTCGCGCGATCGTGGCGTTTGCGGAAATTTGGTGACGGCTGTAAGATTTCGGCGATATTTTAAGATCTCTTTTTGGAGGCTCTGAGTGGGATGGGATGGGATGTGCAGGCGGAAAGGGGTGAGCGGGAGTGCGCACGACATTGAGGTGACGAATCTATGGTGACGGTACAATCTTTAGCTGGACCAACTATAGACGTGTGCGTGATAGCTGCTGGTGGGTACACGTATGCTCAGTAACGTAGAACGAACGAAGCACAATGCACGCGTCAATCCGTGTACGTATTCATGCCGGACAATTGCAAGGTTGCCTTGAAAACTAGCTAGATCTCTGGTTGCGCATCTACTACTTCGCTTTCAGTTCCGGATATGGATCTCGATATCCTTCGCCCTCCCATCATCGGGGCTCCTCTGTCACGTTGTGGCAGTTACTCTATCGTTATGGATTGACGAGGATAAAATATACATAGCAGGTGTGCGCCGCCTTCCTCATCACGTTCGTATGATGAAAACCATCCTCCTCCCACAATAACGCCAGATGCCTCGCCTAGGGGTATGAAGGAGACTCTTACATACGGGTAAAGTGTTCAGAAGGAATTTATACAGTGAAGACGTAAAGAAAGTAGTGGAAATACCATGATGTGCATGGAAGCAAAGTTTCCAGGTGCCTAACTGGCATGCCAGACGAAGCCGTCATGGCGAGGTCCGGCGTGACAGGGCTGTGCAAGCCGGACGACATCTATAAACGCCTGCGGAACCCGACGCAACGAAGCGCTATCGCACATTAGGCTCAAAGTCGGGCGGCACTGTCGAGGGGCATTGTATGGCTGCGAGCTGTAGCGCCAGATGGCACGCCATAGATGAGAGCATGCATTGCTTCCCAGTTCATCTCTCGTGATGAGAGACCGGAGATTTCATCATCTCTGTGCTTGAGACCCGGGGCAGATGCGATGACTCCGAATCAGAAATGCTCGTCATCCGGTGGAGGGAGATCGCGGGTCCAAATTCGCGCGTTTCGTTCGCATTACATTTGTAGTCGACGTCGTTCTCATATGAAACAGGCCTCCGTGCACGGCGATCCCTTGAGAGAAAGTCCATCGTCTCTGCGAAGGCGCGCTTGCACTCCGGCCAGGTTGTCGAAATATATACCATCGAATTCCAGAACCCTTGTAATGGGAGAACCATTGCCGATGCGAGGTTGAGTCCGTAAACCGCGTTGTCCCGGTGAATGAATTGTTGCAGCCGATTGACGGTCGATGGGACCCAGACAATAAAGAGAGCCGTGAACATGAGGAAGGCAACCTTGAAGTAGCCCCAGGCAGCCGCATTTCCTTCCATGGCCGCGTTTCGGCGTCGATTGGGATTGCCAGTGCCGATTGAGAGCAAACGAGGCGCCTTTATTTCTGCACCGCTGACCTGGTTGGTGGAGAAGGCAGTAGCTCGGTACCCGGTGTCCGGTTCATTCACACTTTTCGGCACTGTAACCTCAGCACCCAAAGGCGAGCTTGCACCGCATTTCACGCGTGAGAAGCGAGGCTCGGCAGATCCTGACGCTTCCATGGAATTGGAGAGGTGCCTCGTACTAGCAAAAGAGCTGCGAGACTCGTTACCGCAGATTAGAGTTGTGGGCGCGGAATCTTGCTCAAGTGTGGTGTGCGTTTCCACTTTCAATTCGGTCTCCACCTTGATGTTCCTTAAGTCGCCAGCGGTGAAGGGGTTGGACAGCGTAGTGGCCTTGGCTTCTGGATCGGATGCTCTCTTGGAGAATGACCGAAGTTCGGCGCGCTTCTTGAAGATCTTGCGCCCGGTCACAATGTATATACTAAGGGTGGCACAGACAACGACCCTAGATTCTCGTTAGCTTATATCAGACGGGAGTTGGAGGCAAGCTTACCAGACGGGTCCATAGAAAAAGGCGAGGCGCATCCACTCGACCTCAGCAGAGACCCAGCACCAGATCTAGCATGTTAGCTGCGTCCAATGCTCACTTGCGGCGGGCACTTACAGTCGCAGGGCCAATGATCCTCTGCGGCCCGACATGATCGAGGATAATGTATACTATTGCAGGGATTCCGGGGAGCCCATAGCTGAAGAGCAGATACCATTTCTCCAAGTGACGAAGCTGGCGAGAGTCGTAATTGTAGAAGAAGACCAACATTACATTGAGAGCCATGCAGAAGACCCACAGAGAGTCTGCCATCATGAACCTACACGAGTCAGCCCGCGGAGCCTGGAATGGCGAAACGACTCACCATTGGATCAGAATTCCTTGGAATTCACATAGACTGGAGAAGTGATTTGGGGGCCTGGGCAAGGCGGACAGCGAAATCAGAGTCGCAACGTTGCACATGAGGTTCCCGAATGACGCGTAGAAGACCAGTCGATTGATAGGCTTTCGAAAGTAGTGCCATCGAGAAAATGTGGTGATAATGAAGAGAGAGCCGACAATGGAGAGGATCGACATTGTCCGCTCGGAGGCCTGGATGGCCGCCAGCTGGCGAGCGGTTAGGGCTCCCATTGCGACACGGCGGAAGTAGCCTCTGGGTGTCGTAGAGGTGAGGGTTGCTGTGGCCGTGTACGGTGACAGATGGGGTCTAGACAAGGCCGCAAGTCGAAGTTATGGACGGCGCGGACAGCGAGGTGCTGTTGCCGGTCGCGCAGGCGGGCGAGCTCGTGCGCAGTCGCCGGGATGCTGAAGACGGCCGACGCAGGAGGTTATTGACACGGCAATGCTCTTCGTGTGAGGAGTCGGGGAGGGGCGACGTGGTGTTGTTGGTGGGGCGCGTCGATGAAAGGCTGCAGGACACAAAGGGAAGTCGCAGGTCTGCCGAAGTAGGAAGCCACAAGCGCTCACCAGGGTTCTTGGCAATGGGCGGAGGAGTGTGTGTGAAAGGGACGCCGAGACCGCGCAGTGAATTCTGCTATGGCGTGACTCTCTTCAACAAAGCGACTCCGGGATGTGGGTGAACTTAAGCCGCCCCGAGGGGATACGCCAAACTACGCCAGACTACGCCAGCTGGGGCCTAGGTGAGATGTACCTCCTGGCATTCGAGTACAGTGGACTGAAAGGGAGAAGGAAATCACAGTGGCCTGCCGGGCAACGTTGTACAGCACCGGACGACGACGTAGACGAGCTGCCGGCGGGTTGTGCCACCTGGTCGTTGTTGGTACCTGGCCGGTGACGAGGGCGCGGTGCGCTGAGAGACTCGGGACAGGCGATTTCCAGGTTCCTCGTGCTGGCTCGCTGTGAACGGGTGTGAAGCGGGTCGGGGCGGACGCAAGCTGTCGCGTTATTCACCTGTACGGGGGACAGCACGAAAGTATCACAGACCTTCACAGTCCCACGACGACGCGAGATACATATAGCACAGCGTGCGCCACTGCGGCAGCACAGGAAGCTTGCCATTTTCTAGCACACGTACAAGTGCTAGGGCGGCCTGGGTACGCTGCCCTGTCATTGCGAGAGGCGTCTGCAATCTCAGAATCCATGCTGATGGCGTGCAGGCGAGCTACACGCGGGCTTGGGGGCAGCATGCACTCGGGCGCTGCCAATGGCTCACTGTGGAGGATGTTTGTCGTCGTCTTTAGCTGCGGGTAGGCGAACGCTGCAGCCACCTCGGGCACGGCACGGACAGGGCGATCAGTCATCCATCGACGGACCATCGCGTCGCGTCTCGGCAGTGTCCATGCCGTCGAAAGAGCAGAACGAACCCTCCCGTGGCGTCGCCAGAGGATTCCTGGCGGATTCCCGGCTTATGGCGCACCATCGCGACCGTGATTGGGGCACGCTCGCCGGAGGCGTTCTTATGCCCTATACTTAACCGCGAGAGGAGGCATACGGGGCGCGTCCTCCCCCCGGCTCATCATCTTGTTCCCGCAAAAATAATCTCATAGCCCAGGCAAATTTTCTCTCCAGGTAACATCCATCATGCGCTGATGGACTCCACGCTGCCTGCCCCGCACGATCCGCGAGAATCGGAAAACCATCGGCCCGTCTGTCAATCTCCTTTTCCAGCGAGCAGCAAAGCCGACCGCTATCCGGGTTCGTAGCACAAAAACTCTCCTGCATGCCCAGAAGGCGCCCCTTCGCGAATCCTGGACATGGTTCGCGTGGCATGCATGGCTGCGAAGTCCTCCCCAGAATCAGCAGCGTCGATCTTATCATATCGAACATCCTTACACCACCACGGGCCGTCTGGAGCCTTACCATAAGCTGACATACCTCTGCGGCTTCACGACGGCCAATGACGCCCACTGACTTCAAGTGCGAGATTTGGGTAAGAGTCCTTCAGAGAGTATCGAGGAAATGCACCTGCACCTTCGGTTCTACTGACTGCCACTCGCTCATTTTCGGCGACTACTTTTACCCAGTATCGGGCTTCCGGTTAAAAGTTGCGTAGGCAGGCTGCCAGCGCAGCCCACCATTGGACGAAATCAGAAGATGCCAATGTTGGAGTCTCGTGGCTCCCTTGTCAGACGAGCTGTCGCGTTGTCTGGGCCTGGAGACGGCGCTCTTCCGCTGGCTCGGGTACCTGAACACCATCGATACCAAGGGGTATCTAGAGCTTGACCTTGAAGCACGAGCAGTGTGACCATCCTCGAATAGCCCGGAAGTCCACCTGTACTTCTCGCTCCGTGCTAGCAGAAGGACGTCAATGGCTCAATCTATAAGAAGCGGTCAACTGAACTGCATGTCGCATTCATGCAACTGTCGTCACAGAACCTAACCATCAGAATCCGCCAGCCAGGGACATTCTGCCCCTCAGACTGCATCATTCAGCCTACTGGCCTATCAACGGCCCGGCGTGTTATACTACGTTGGGGGGCGAACGACGCGACTTCTTCCCTGACTCGATATTTCCCGTCGCTGACGTATTTTGAGCCCACGCACGTGGTGGAGAGACGGGAACGCTGTCTGACTCGCAAGCCGAGTGGCGCATGTCGATAGGCCTCAACGGTGTTCTATACCAGAGGAGAGCAGTGCCCTACTCAGTAGCCGACAAGATACGGGAATGGGCGTCCAATCCACCCCCAATCCGACAACACCAAGACACTGCCCAGCTACCGGACTCATATCGTCGGATAAGATGAGAGGGGATTTAAGTTTTGCCTTGCGTGGCAGGATTGAGGAAGACAGCTGAGTTCCGGGTACGGATTGCATGAGATCCTGCAGGGTCCTGCAGGGTCAAGATGACAGCCGCGGAGAGGCATTCGAGTAAACCTGTTCAAGCCTCCGAGAACGAAAAGAGCGCGGAGAGAGAAGGTTGTGCTGGTGGATGTGCCTTTTGATGCGTAACCGAGGTACCTCGGCCAATGAACTGCGAGTCGCGGTCTGCAGCCCAGGCCAACAAGGGACCAGAGCGTTTCATCTTCACTGGGGCTTGCAGCTCGCCTCCAACTTCTCACTCTCCACGCCGAACCACCTCGATCATCCGTCCAGACCCTGCGTAGGACGCCCCACTGAATCTCCAGAATCTCGCGAATCCAGAGCACGTCGTGTAGAGACAAGATGGCAAACCTGTCACGGAACCACCCCGCATACAGTAGCAACGCCGACGCAGGGTACTACTCAACTAGCCCGACTTTTCCGTCATAATTAAAGCCTCCAGCCTCCAAAGCCATGTTTCATGCTATCTACACTATCTGACAAGCCTTTCTTGCAGCGTTCCGCTTCCTCATCATGACCCTCCTGAAAACTGTCCATCGCTGGCCTCGCATAACGTCTGAGCATTTCAAAGAGCGGGGAGATATCGATAGCGCGGGTGGCTGACGGATAGTTTGCGTTATCCCCCTTGCAAACCGTCACTTGCATGAGGCGCGACTCTGAGTGGGTGTATAGCGCAGGACAGGCTATTGTGCCCGCCTAGTGAACCTCATTCCTATTCTCGGATACCCTATGCGAAGTGCCGGCCCCCAGTTGGTTTCGCTATTCTTCGTCATCTCATATGGGGAGGCCAATGCTCCCAATGTCGGCAACTGAAATGGCAGTTCCTAGAGACGCCCACATCATCCCCTCTTTTACAGGCCCATGTAGCCTCCGGTGGGCGTCTCGACCGTCAAGTTACAACCTTTTTTCATCAGACCACACCTACCAATTTCCAGTCTTCACCAATATCCTCAATGGCTGCTATTTGGACATATCCGAGGACCTCAGTCCCAACACGACGGTGCGTGACGTTAAAATGTGCCAAGAGAACCGCGTACGTCTCGGTTCGTGTCGGCGAGGAGCACTCAAATACAGGCCAGAGCACACATGCTCCCGACCCGAGAGGCAGCAGTTGACGCCGTAGAATATCAGCTGCGACTCGCAAACATGTAAGGATTTCGAAGGGCCATGTGACTCATCGACAACGAGAGCAGTTCCCTGCCTCTGGCAAAGTAGAGGACGCGATCGAGTACCTCAGAGGGGCCACTGGGGACACAAGGTTGCGCAACTGAATACCTCCGAAGATCAGGACATAGGAGGAGCAACAAAGGGGCTCTGTCCGGCCGCAGACCATGAGCGCACTAGGGCCTCGCAGGCACAGAGGGGACCGAGATATATAACAGAAATGGAGGGTCAAGCTGCTGTTTGGAGAGATTCCGAGGCCTGCAATTATTAATTCCGCGTACCATCACCTCACTTAGCTGTCGTCTTCGTTGATATCCACTTCGTGGTCCAGTCCTCCGCTCGCGGCTGAACGGCGCTTAGCCAATCATTCCGCAGCCGCCATTGGCCCTGAAACTGTGGGGGCTCGTGTGGGGGCTCCTGTGGCCAAAGCTTTCGCGAGCCTCCCCTCCCGCCTGCACCCCACAACTTTCGCCTTCATCATGCGCCGTGATGCCGAACCGCCAAACCCGATGAAGCACTCTCGGAAGCGCGCGCGCGAACACGACTCCGAGTCCCCCAGACGACACCGTCGTCCACGTTTCGGAGCAGCGCCGCCCGCTCCTCCACCTGCCCAGCCAGAAGCACCGTCGCCGCCAACACTAGCACCCACCACTGCGTCGTCCAAACACGTCAATCCCTCCTCTTCGCAACGACCGCAGACACCATTCGAGGCGGAACCCAACGCACGCAAGCAGCCCAGCAAGGCGCAGTCAGAACCGAAGCGTTCCAAGCGTGCGCTTGACGACCCCGATTGCGATCAGTCCGCAACCAAGCGTCGTCGGCGGTCCCCACCAGCGTCGGAGCCTCGGGTAGCGGAGCCTCGAGCAGCAGAGCCTCAGGGGACCTGGTTCCTCAACCACTGGCTGGAAATCACTCCTCAATCGAGAGTCGTCCAAGAGAAGGTCGAAGGCAGTGGCGTCATTCCAACCATTGCGGAACTTCCCGAATTGGAAGCTGGTCGCGATCAAATGTCGCAGCAGGATGCAGAGAGCACCCAGGCGCCGGGCTCGGCGGTTTCCGAGAGACTCAAGACATCGAGCCCTATGTACCGTGGATCACTGAAGATGAACGGCATTGTCATAGACAAATTTGGGACCGAGATACCGCGGGACGTTGAGGAACTGGTCACCAAGCACGTACGAAAAGCGCGTACATCGCCACCGTTGGGAGAGGACAAGAAGGCCAGCATTAGGCGGAAGATCGAGGAGGTTTGGGACAGCCCTGAACCTACGGTGTCGGATATCATCACAGCTCCCCTCTTTAACCTCGCCCACCCTGCCCTTGCGCCTGGACGTGATATTCTCTGGTCCTCCAAGCCACTGCCTCGAAGTACCGACTACCCGCTCGTTACACCCAAAACTGACCGCCACTTGGGATTCCAGCCCACCCTCAGGTCTGAGTGGACTCGGGCCGAGCTCGCTGTGGCAGATCATCCCAAGGTTCGACCGTACTCGCAACCGACACGGGAAAACCTGTTCCCGTCTTTCCTTTTTGAGCTCAAGTCAGAAGCTACCGGCGGCACACTATACGGAGCTAAAGGCCAGTTGGCCACTGCCGGCTTCCACCGCGTCAGCTCGTTGATGTGGATACTCGAACAAATCGATCCGAATAGAACTCAATCGAGTTGCGACGCCATCGTCTTCTCGATTGCCATTTGTCAGAGAGAAGCCGTCGCGCACGTGCACTACTACAACCCGAAGGACCAGACCTTCCACATGTCCTACATCGACAGCTTCTACTTCGCAAAGGACGTCCAGGGCTGCCATGACTATGCCCAGAACGTCGTTGATTGGTTGCTGGAGACCCAACAGCCGATCGTTAGAACGCATTGAAAGCGTTGCATCCGATTACAAAGCTGTGGAAAAAAGCTCGATCTGCTAGCGCTGTGGTAGACGCAGTGGACTCGTTCGGGAGTGAGAGCGGCAGGTCAGCCAAGAGCCAACGACTGGTCTAGTTCGAATATACGACACTAAGACGGTCCCTCAGTCTTAACGATGGGCGGCTGCTCCTCCAGCCGCTTCCAGGGCCATCCTAAGCCCTTTGCCCTCCTTCCCAGGCCCAATTTCTCATCACGCGCGTATGCCTTCATCCCTATCACCATCGATCATTCCTGCACAATGACCTTTGCCATTGCCTCTTGGAACTCCCCTGGAACTCCCCAAAGTCCTCATTGCGTTTGAGCTCGTCAAGCTCCACCCCGATGCTCACCGCCAGCTGCTTGAAGCAGTCGAGCGACCCATTCTCCGCAGCTTCCTACCACTCGTTCTTCGGTTGCCAGTGCAACTGTTCGTCCTCGATGGTGGCCGCCGCCCGGGGGTGGGGGGAGGGGGTTGCTTGCTTGCGATGGTGCACGAAGTTTCGCAGCTCTTGCGCTTCCTGGGGGGTACCAGCGAATCACCGTGTTGATCTTTGCGGCGGCGTTGACCAGTTCCTGAGCGTTGTCCAGGCTTGATAGCACGTCTAGTATGACGATGCGCCTGGTGAGAATCTGCGTTTCGAGGCTTAGTAAGGTTGATTTTTTAGGTTTGTTAGCGAGGCCTAGGGCCGATCCGTCTGGGCCAAGTCGCCGTGATTGGGAAAGGCGTTGGTCTCGACGTCGGCCATATTGTGGCAGGAGAAAAGTAGTAAGTGGAAGTTGAGTAGTTTGTCGAACGGCAGAGGGACTTTGCTAGATGGGCTGCTACGTGTGGGAGATGTGGCTAGGTATTTATATCCATGCTGGAGCACTCAGTCATATGAAAAGCCAAGCTGCCAGCGCTGGGCTAAACGAGTAAATCTAACCACCACCTCGGGGCCCATTGCCTCCCCCGGCACAGGTGCTGAGGCAGCCTGCTCTTTAGGTGCCACATGCATCTCCATAGCCTTTGCCAGTGGCCTTGCTTCTGCGTACCCAGCGCCTGCTGTACCAGCTTCCCCCGATACGATAAGCAGGCTCTCGGTGCTCTCCCCACGAAGTATGCATTTCCGAATTTCACCGGCCTGGGCTATGCTCGAGGCAGAATTGCTCTGAGCTGCGAGAACACAAAGCCAGTCTGCCATGCCGTTCATTCCCCGTGGAGGACCATTGGACTGCTGTTGCGCAAGCATTCGTGTGTGGTTAACTTCCGCTACAATGTACTCAGCCAAAGACCCCAGGACGCACGCACGAGGGACGGAAAGATTCACCCTCATATCCCCTCTGCAATCTGCATACTAGGCTAACCTCTCGTCCAAGGAGGCTCGTAGCGCGCTAAAGTCCTCTCTCAGGGCCACGCACACGGAGATCAGAACAGGCTCGGATAGCTTGTCGAACTCCGCCGCGGCCAGAGCCATCAAGACGGATATGGCGTCGAGCCCCGTGTGCCGTTTCACGATTCGATGCCGGTTCTCGCGCTTGAGGCATTGCCGCACCAGATCGGGGTTCTTAAACCGCCTCGCAAACTTCTCTCCTCGTCCACGCCGGCCAGCTCTCTTGTTGTTCTCCACCCATGGTTAGCCCTCAGGGTGCGCGATGGCCACCCACGAGTGGAGCTCCTCGGTCAAGGGGATGGTGGAAAGAAGCATACGGAGCCGGGCAGAGGGCATCCCGGCTTTTCTCTCGATGGCGAGGTCGAACACGCGCGGGCCCTCTCTAACGCCTTGAAAGCCCCCAGCAATCGCGTCTAGTGGAGTTCTCGTCCAAAACGCCTTCAGACACGTGTCGGGCTTTTTGCAACTTTTAGAGACTGGAACGCTGGCATTCCTCGGAGCACGCCCTCGATGATTTCGCCTGCAGTTTTCGCAAGAACGCAATGGCTAAGCGGCGGTAATGCTCAGGGGACCGAGAGGGGGTACTACCCTCGGCATCTACGCCCAGAGCACTAGGCGAGAGTGACCACGGATAACCGGTTTGAAACGGTCTGGTGGTTGGAAATCCGACTTCTTGCAACGAGTGTTCCTCCTCCCAAGTGCATGGGAGCGGAGGGTGGTTTGCCCCTGAGTTTGGAGGAGTCAAATGTCTCGATAGGAGGAACGACTGTTGCAGGTTCACCAGAGCTGCTTGGCGTGTATGCGGACCACACTGCGCAATCATGGCAGCCGGTGTGCTGACGACTTCTCCCAGGAGAGCCTCGATGTCTCCGCTCGTCGTGAGGAGAGAGAAGGCTGAGTCGTGCAAGGCTGGGCTTCACCCGTCATGATATAGAACAGAAGCGGAAACATGGGACAAGAAAGAAGCAGGACTTACCTGGCGCAAGACCCATCCCTCATGTGTGCAGCCAGAACTGTGGAAGTGAGATGGGGAAAGGGCAAAAACACGGGGGGCAAGGGAGGACCCGGGTACCGCGCTTCTATCGCCGATGCGTTGTCTCTTATCTTGCAATAGTATCGCTTATCTGACGCCTTTAGATAGGCACGCTATCACCTGCATCTCGAGGACTACCATCTAGACCACAGCCGGAGAGCTACTTCCAAGTCCATGCAGATCTGTTGTGCAGTGCAATTACACGGCGACTTAACGTCCAGGCTAAACACAAACATTCATTTGAGAAAGTAGAGAGATCCACGGCGGAAGACACGTCGACCACACCATCTTCTTTCTCAGCTGTATCATCGAGCCGATCTGGAGTACAGGTTGGAATGCAACTCAGCCGCACCCACAACCCATCACCACCCTCCCGCTCGCTAGCAACAACCCCAAAATGATGCGGCAGAAGCTCATACATATGGCCGGGTCCGACGACAACACCATCGATTTCCGCATCATTTGTTACCTATATCACCTCTAGAACTTCACTTACGCTCATCAGACAACTCCTGAGGTTCAACGTCGCGAAATCCGACATGTCCTTCTCCTAGCTACCCTCCACCCCACACAGCAATATTGATACGCCTGGGGGCTCGACGGAGCTCTCCAGCGCGCAGCGATGTCGATATACTTAAAGATGCAGGTAACACAATTAACTCATAGGGGATACTTAGTAGCTAGCTGATAAACTTATGCAAATACTATCCTAGTCCGTATTTCCAACTCCCCTTTCTCGTGTGGCCACGGAAGGCGCTCCACTCGAATTTGAAACTTTTCTATGCGCAGATCCAAGCCAGCTATGACCGTCATCATAGTAAAACGGGGGCTAGCCGACTGTCGATAAACCTAACACCTGAGACATACGATTTGCTGGACGGGAATATGGAGCGCCATCTAATGGATGGAATGTTGTCGGACTCCGCTATGTTGGCAACCTAGAGGTCATGTTAGCCCTAGAAGTGGACCGGCCTGACGTGTCACCCAGCCCCCAAGATGTGCTTAGAACAATAGCCATTACTAAAGAAATCAATGACGTACTGCTTGGACTGCACGAAATCAACCAGTTTTTGTGAATCATCCTCTTCGCCATCAATTACAGAGGAAGGGCCGTGCCGTTCGAAGAAACGGCGCTCGAAAAACTCTGGGTAAAATCCGGCATACTCCCAGTCAATGATGGCCGCGATCTTGAGTGAATCTGGGTCGACAATGACGTTCTTCTGGGAGAGGTCGTTGTGGCAAAAGACAAATTCGTCCGTCTCAGAGCTTTGGAGATTCCAATCATCTCGAAATGTTATTCGAGATGCTCGATAAGGGAGAACAACATGGCCAGACGGTCCGCCTATCCTCGAAGATTGTAGTCCGCGCAAGGTTTGAAGATGGCCTTCCAGCTCTTGCACCACGGTGGCCCTCTGACTTTCGTCGAGGGCGTCCATTCCAACGCCGCGAACATATTCCATTACGAGATATACCGCGCCGTCATCTTCGAAGGTGCAGTGAAGGGTTGGAACCGGAATATCCGAATTGTCTCGAATAAATCTTAGACATGCGGCTTCGTTGAGGAGTCGTTCTTTGCTTTGCCTTGGGACATGGATGGTGCCTTTGAATTTGCTCAGCTGCCATTCGTGAGGACGTAGCGACCGCTTGATAAATGCGTTATCCACATGGTAGTATTTCCTCTCCGCAGTAATACCTATGCAGTTCTCCTCTCTCTTGAGCATGTCGTTTGTGACGACCATGGTGATGGCTGATGAGGTGAACAGGCCGCGTTGCAGCGATGAGGTAAGAGCCGAAACGCTTGACCATATGCGGTAGGCGGGGCTAGGCAACAACAACCACGCCAGATAACTTCTGATGAATGCCACCTGGGCAGTTTTCACCCCTCTTTACGCCTTATAACTGCGATTTGGCTACCTACCTTCCCGTAATGCCATCCGAAATTGTTAAATGCAAGAGCTGCGGAGCGGATGTCTCAAGCACCCAAACGGAATGTCCGAATTGCGGCCAATCTCCACACTAAGGTACCCAGCCTAGGTCGCTAGAATGAACGACACTAACTACATTCCTTGACCCTATGACCCAGCTACTATTTCATTGACCGGCGAACGGCCTCCGAAACCATGTCGAATGTATTCGGTGACGTCTGTGAGCGGGCCATGCAGCCGTTCGACCCGCTCATAGCAGAGTTGGCGCCTGCTGCGATGCCAGCAGCAGCATCCAGAGGAGAACAGAATTGAAATAATCGTGTTGTTGGCGTTCCTTTATTCATATTCGTCGGAACCGCTTTTGGATTAGTCGTTTAGGGTTGTAGAAATCAACACTCACAGCTGGATCCTTCTCACCATCCTGAGCAGATTGAATCACACTGCCACATTCATTACAGTGTACAAGGCACCACACCGTGATATGGCCACAGTCCTACCTTATTCCATTAACTATCAATGAATCTGAACCGAAATGGTGGGCCATAGCTTTTGCTCGCTTCGCACCTTGCCAGTAATATACCCTTCCATCGACCCCTTATTGAGATCTGAAGTGTGTTAGACATGGTTCCTCCCGATGACTGATCAGCTCCAACGGCTCGCCACCGCGTCCCAAATTCCACCGTACAGCGCAGCACCTCCAGTAGTAGAACGGCCAATCAGCACTGGCTTGTAAGCTCCGCGAACCAGCTCAGGACATCTCGCTCCTAATATCTTCTGGTGACATCAAACGTGCCATGTGCCTCGGCCGTACTCAATGCCAAGCCGACTCAACGGCTTCACCGCTAGTCTAGAATCGCCACCCCGCGTCCCTAACAGAAGGCAGGGCACCAGGCCTTCTAACCCCAACACCTTCAAAGTCTTGGCCTCTTTTCCTCGATATGGAGACGATAAGCAAGAATGGGCGTACAGCCATTGTCTTTCGCGTAGGGCACGGCTTGGTTGGCAAAATGCCGCGGGATATGCAAGAAGGATTGCCAGGTCGCGAAGAGTTCGGCGCTGAGATCGATAATGCATTCGTCGTGGAGAGGAAGCTCTTAAGCAGACTGGGAATTCATCCCAGGATTGTTCCGTTTGTATCCACCTCCATATCACGTCCTAATTCTAATATGGCTACCAGATACTATGGGCCCTGTACGCTCGAGGGCATAAAGGACGGCTTGCTGCTTGGCGAAGCGAACTGCGGGGATCTTCAGTCGTACATCGACAAACATAATGCCAAAATCGACGACGCTTTGCGTAAGAAGTGGAGTTTGCAGGTCGCTCAAGCCGTCGCATACACCCACGAGACAGGCGTCATCCACTCGAATCTGGGCACAACGAATGTGCTTGTCCATCAGACCGGCCAGAATCTAGACCTCCTTCTTGCTAATTTTGGCGGCTCTAGATGCGTCGAGCTGAATCTAGATGGCGGCCTGCTCCCTGATAATCCCTTTAGCGATCCGTGCTTAACAGATTACGAATCGCCGAAAGTCGACGTTTTCAGTCTGGGAGTCGTCATCTACGTTATTATGACCGGTCATTACCCTTTCTACAACGGCCCAGCACCGCAGAATGCAGAGAGATTTGTATATGGCGAACGTGTGCGCATGCTGTTTGAACAAGGGCATTTTCCGAATCTGTCTGATGTGCCGTTTGGAGGCATCATCGCAGGATGCTGCTGCGCGCGGCGATTCGAGACTGCAAAGGAGGTCGTTGCAGCCCTCGAGGCAGAAATGGGACAGTAGGTTTATGAGCGGTGGTGGAAGGCAGCGTCACCAGGGTGCAATAACTCATGTCCGATAGGACACTACTAGATTAGCTAATCTACAGTCTCTCTTCACGTACGAATATGTTGTTTCCCTGCAAAAAAAGAACATCATGGCTACGGCGCCACCATTGTCACCCCAATTGCTGCTGCCCACCTATGAGGCTGAAGTTTCTTATCACTGTCCGAGGAAGCTTGACATGGAGATCGTAAATCGTGTCGATGCAGGGCATGGGCATGGGGCGTAGGTCATGGAGCATGGCTTCTCGCAGCCACGAAGGCTGCAGTTGATTACTATTCAAGCTCGATATAACTACACATGAACGTCGATGATGACTGCTCCTCCCAGTAGAGGATGTGCGGCTCGCGCGAGCTCTCCATCCATCGCTGGTCCTGCCTCCCGACCACTTGCTCCTGCTGCTAGTTTGCTCTCGCCTAGGCCGCTGACGGTCCCCCTCCGTCCCCAGAGGCCACTCGAAGGCACCTGGCTCGGCCTCACGGCTGAGTTGACGGCCCTGGGCTGTTGTCCCATCTCGTGCTGATTCGGCGAAGCCACACACCTGGCCGCCGTGTATGTGATCGGATCTAGAGCACGGGTTCGGCCGGCGGTGTTGGGGCCGGACGTGTGGAACTCTGGTTCCTTTCCTGTTCGCGCACCCACGGCACCGCGTTCGGAATCGACGGCGAGCTCGATGCGCGACGGGATCTTGGGTATGGGCGGTCGGTCGCCGTGGTCAAGGCCGTGGAGTCGAGGTGTGATACCGGGCATTCGGGGCGTTCGGGCCGGCGCGATATCGATGAACGAGCGTATACGTGACCCGAATGTCGTGCGAGCGGGTCGGCGACGAATGCAATCCATGACCTTCCTCAATCCTATTCCACACCGCTTGTGTGTGTTCGGAGGGCACCCAGTTGGCGTACGTCGACGGGAGGGCTCGAAGCTTGAGTCGTGGCCGTTTCGGGCGGGTATTCGTACGGCGTCGGTGCCGTTCGCATGCGACAGTGGGCGATGGCGGATGTGCGTGCCGCTTGGAGGGTGGCTGGTTGAGGGCTGTCCGTCGATGGCTCGAGGCTCAATCTACGTCCGTCGCGGGAAGCGGTTCATCCGGCGCTGGTGAATGTTGAGTGCCTTTGGCGCATGCGGTGGCGGGCGTTGGGGGACGGTCGGTTCGCCATTGTGGTCGAGGGATCGCGAGCTGCGCCGATGGGCGTATCGCGCTCGTCGTGGGCGAAGGCGGCAACCTCTGGGGACGCTCGCCATGCCTGCGCGGGCACGGCGCGTCGCTGGCCGCCTTTTGGTGAGGTACGGGTGACTTGGAGCCTGGTGTTGCAAAGCCCTCCCGGGTGGGCGTGGAGTGTGTGATCCCGGCGGTCGGGGTAGGTGTTTCTCCGGTCGGCTTACGTAACTCTGGCTCGCGTCGTCATATCTAGGTAATAAAATAAGTTTAAATAATAACTACTCCGCCATTTTTTGTAAGCGAGAATCTCGCAAGTAGCTTGGTCCAAGCTTCGGCCTCACGAAACGTGGTGAAACCACCACGAAGATACAACGAGCATGCAGCGGATAAGACTCCCGTCTTTGACGTTGCTCTTCTACATATCCTGGAGAGCGAATTTCGAAGACCTAATCTACGCAATCCTGCCTCGCCGCCACAATCTGGTTCGATTCGATACTAGGGCCGTTGTCACTGCTGCCTTGTTCCTATACGTGGCCTTCGCCGCGTCCCGCGCGCCGACGATAGATACGGTCGACCACAGCAGCTGCAGCAACCACCACCTCAAAGAGCGCCCGAGCATGATGCTAGGATGAGCGGATACAGAGACCAGCCTCCTCGGGGCTTTGGCCAGCCGCCTCCACCAAGCGTGGGCCACGGAAGATGTGTTCAGCTCCGGCCCATCAAAAGCCCCGGAGGCAACGCCTATGTATTCAGCAACTTGTACGCCTCCTTAGCACAATATACGGATAAGCTCTTACTAATCTTCGCACAGAGCTGCCGTGTCTCCACAAGATTTTCCGCCCTCGCGGGATGGCTCCGATATCTATATACGCGTTAACCGCAACTTCGTCCTCTCCGCGCGGCCTACCGAGGGCTGCCGTCCTGGCGAGATTGGCTTAACGGATGCGCAGAGAACATGGGCGGGCATCTCGCTCGGTCCCCAAGACATTGTCACCGCCGAACCTTACGATGCGTTCGCTCAGGGGAGTGGCCAGTCATATCTGGGAAACCTGGAAGTTGAGGTTGGCTTTGCCACAAAGAGGACAACTGAAGTGCTGTATGATCAAGACGAGCTTGCAACGCTTTTTAAGAAGGTACGTTAGTAAGCAATTATCCGGGATAGAGCGGTACTAACCAGACAACTTGCAGAATTTCGAGAACCAGCTCCTTGCGCCAGGACAACAGCTGCTTATGGATGTTAAGAACATTGTTCTCAGATTGTCGATACGGACTGTCCAACTCGTTGATCTATCCATGGAGAAAGCGGAATCCGCTTCTGATTCGCTCAGGGACCCCAATGCCCGTGGTATCCTCACCCGACACACCCAAGCCGACTTCTTCAAGAATGCGCGATCCGACATCAAGCTGAAGGCTTCTAGTAGGCGTCCGGTTAACTCTATCGTTCAACCTAGGTTTAAATTCGAGGACTTGGGTATCGGTGGCCTAGATACGGAATTCAGCTCGATTTTCCGGAGGGCATTCGCTTCTCGCATCTTCCCACCCGGCCTTGTAGAAAAGCTGGGTATTCAACACGTGCGCGGTATCCTCCTTTTTGGCCTACTAGGAACTAGCAAGACCTTAATTGCACGCTAGATTGGCAAGATGTTAAATGCTAGAGAGCCTAAAGTTATTAACGGGCCTAAGGTGCTTAACAAGTATGTTGGTCAGTCTGAAGAGAATATCTGGAAACTCTTTGCCGATGCAGAGAAGGAATACAAAGAGAAGGGTGACGAGAGCGGCTTACATGTTATTATCTTTGATAAACTAGACGCCGTCTGCAAGCAGAGAGGATCTAGCGGAGGCAGCAGCACTAGCGTTAGTGACAGCGTCGTCAATCAACTCCTCTCGAAACTTGATGGCGTGGAGCAGCTGAACAACATTCTTCTTATCAGTATAACTAATAGAATGGACATAATTAACGAAGCGCTGCTGCGTCCTAGCCGCCTTAAAGTTCACATGGAAATCTCCCTTCCAGACGAGGCGGGCCGTGCTTAGATCCTAAAGATACATACAACTAAAATGCGTGCTAACAATATTATTGATGGCGATGTTAACCTTGAAGAGTTGGCTAAAGTCACGAAGAATTTTTCAGGTGCCGAAATCTGTGGTCTCGTTAAAGCAGCCTCGTCCTTTGCTTTCAACCGCCATATACAAGTTGGCACCATGGCTTCCATCAAGCCCGACGTAGAGAACATGAAGGTAAGTGACTCTTCAGCTAAGTTGACTTGTTGATACCCTTCTGGATGAGCTTAGCTAACCTAATGGTCTAACAGGTTAATCGTCTTGACTTCTTGAGTGCGCTCGAAGAGGTAAAGCCGTTGTTTGGGGCAGCAGAAGAGGAACTCGGGAAACGTCTGCTCGACGGTATTGTGCATTTCTCCCCATTTATTAACGATATACTTGGAGAAGGAAGGCTCTATATCAACCAGGTCCGTAAGGGCTCAACACCAGTTCTCTCTGTTGCCCTGCACGGGCCACGAGGTAGCGGGAAGACTGCACTAGCGGCAAAACTGGCCATTGACTCGGGGTTTCCGTTTATTAAACTTATATCGCCTGAGGACATGGTTGGCTTTAGCGAGATGCAGAAGATTCAGCAGCTTAACAAGGCTTTCCTGGACGCATACAAGAGCTCTCTCAGCATCGTTGTTATTGACAACGTTGAACTACTCATCAACTAGGCGCCTGTTAGAGCACTCTTCAGCAATAGCGTACTGGTCGCACTTAAAGTTCTGCTTGCGAAGCAACCACCCAAGGTAAGCCGAAAACTGGCACCTACCTCAGAGGCTGGCCTGAAGGCGGTCGGACTAACAAGCACAGGATCGCCGTCTGCTGATTTTCGTGACTACGACCGAACGGCTATTGCTCGATCAGTTAGATCTGTTCCACCGCTTCGACACAGACATTGCAGTGCCAAACGTTAACACGCAAGCCGAGCTCGCGCATATCTTACAGTGCTCAGGAATGTCAGATAGCGATCAGCAGCGTGCTATTAGGAAGATTCAAGAAGCTACAGGCAGCGCAGAGGTAGGGGTTGGCATCAAGAAGATCTTGACAGCTATTCGGACGGCCAAGGAGGATCAGGATGTGCCAGGCCGCTTCGCCAGAGTCATGTCTCAAGCTATTGCAGCCAACAGGAAAGACGAGCGCATGATGTAATCGATCACCGGGTCGCAGAGTTCGTTGTATCAGATGGATGATGATAGACCATTGGGTACCGTCGTAATCGTAAGGAAACAGATACATGATGATGGTAGAGACTGTGTCCTCATCAGAAAGGAAAAAGATGCGTGATGATGGTAGTGACTGTGTCCTCGTATAGCCGTGCTAGTCCCTTCCCATTTCCATTGATTTGATCACAGTGGTCAGCGACTGATTCAACTGTTCAAATAATGACTGGTCCGTGATAGCTTCCTTCCCATATCACACTGATGCAGATCAATGATTATGTGCGCACTGAGCACCGTATTGCCCTGCTGGGACGTCGGCGGCGCAGTCTGTATGAAATCTTAGCCACTCTGCATCTCTGCAAAGGCTCAACCTATTTCCAAAGTGCATACTGCAGGTGTCACAGGCTACGCTGTTGACCAAGACTTCAGTCTGATGAGCCATGATGATATCCTACAAAAACTTGTTAGAGACGTACTAAAATAGAAATAGAAGTGCTTTGCAACGCCCAGGATGAGCGTCGCCTGGATGGACGGTCCAGATGACACGACTGGGCAGACCACGAATAAGTGTAAACGTCGTACCTGTTATTTGAAGCTTCACGCTGCTTCTCTGTTGTGACCGGGGAATTGATGATTGTGATGGTCGTTGTTGGAGATGAATTGTGAGATGTCTCATTCAAACAGGGCTTCGAGTCCTCTACTATATATACACCTCCAGAGGAATAAAGATTAGCAGTACCAAGCGGTGCTAGGATTATGAATGAGGCAGTGAGATGAAGGCGTCTGCACCTCAATCCTTGCGGCATCGCTACTACGGATCGTTCGGCTTTGCCAGAGCGACTTCGTTGCACTGCAGCGTTACGGAGGGAGGCAGTGGCGCGTAGGCATCAGTGGGAGCTAATTCCTTTGTATCGTTCGAGGCATCATTGTGGATTTGCACACCCTACTGCTGTACAGCCGGTGACACGACCAGGGTGGCTTCAGAAGTTCGACAATCTCATTACTATTGGCCAGCATATGCCCGCCATTGCCGCCGGGAAGCTTCACCTGCGTCGGTGTCGGCAGCGGTGAGCCTTTCAAGCAACCTATATCCGAAATGGCACTCAGCCTTCCCTCATTTATAAACTGTGCCGCAACCCTACATGGATAATTCATCTACTTGGGCTACCCCCACGTCACCTCCAAGCGCAGCACTTGTGATCGCCATATTCTTTGAGGTACATACAGGTCTACGGAAAAGTCAACGCTTCGATCTGTCCCAGTCAGACGGATGAACGAGAGGTTGTCGAAGGGGAACCTCAGCCTTGCAGCATTTTGGAGTAGCATGTGATGAACAGATAGCCTCGTGAGCCCCCTGACACCTAAGTTGCTGTACGAAGTGCGGGCCGGTGTGTCACGCGCGGGGTGGTACCTGGCCTAAGTCGAGAGAAGGAGAGGGGGGGTTTCTACCCTAGCATGCAGATCTACTGGGTTTTCGGTGTTCTCTTGTTGCTTTCGACATGTGCCAGGCAAGGAGCGATTAGAATGTGACGGAAATATAACTAAATGCGGGCGCAGATTCAAGAAGTCTTTGTGCCTCTTACCTTGCGAAGCTGTAGGGATTAGTGCTAATTTCGACGTGCATGTGAGCGGCGGAAGGGCGGAGGAGGTTCGAGAATGTCGCATAACCGCAGGGAGGAGCACTTCGATGTCGGGCAGGAGAGGATGCTGGCGGGATGGTAAGCGAGCGCATTGGCGTAGGAGTTGGCGAGGACGATGTTGGAACGCGATTGCGGTGAATGCAACTAGATCTCTACATAGCCCTCGTCAATGCGACGTCGTTTTTCCTGCGCCGAGCTTCCCTAGTCAGGAGCCATTGTTCCTTACTGCCCCTCCGCTATAGCTAGCGACAACTCATAATCGTATGCGCAGACTTGAGCGGTCGACGTCGTTTGGGTTGCGATGGCCCTGAGAATGGACTGCAGGAACGTTTTGACACGGATCGATGGGTGGGATGAGCAATCCGCACCAGACACGCCCGCGCGCATCTCCCATGATGCAATGCAATCGTTTAATGCACTCAGAGAACCACCACTAGCAATTCTAACCAGCATATCTCAAGCCAGCCCATGGATTCACCAGGATTCCCACCAGAGATAGTAGGGGGTATGTACATTCAGAGCAGCAAGAACACAGAAGTCAACTACCCTGCAGACGGGTGATTGGTTGGCTGCACCGCTCCCACCGCATATTGCTGTATGTCCAGGCACGCGTCCGACTCATTGAAGCCTCATCTTATGCGGATAACTAGACTAATCGCTAGCCGCGCAGGAGATGATTGAACATGCTGCCGACAGGTGGCGTGAACTGACCAGAAGGGATGTGTCCAACATTCGAATTCCTAAAAATAAAAGATTGTCTTCTTGGATATTGAATATGCTATTTAGGAGGAACGTAGATACGGAAAAGCCGAAGAATAGAACGTTAGGCACCGTAAAGTCCCATAACGGCTTGAAATGAAGCATTGGACAAAAGCTGTGCAGCCGTTATCCGTTTTTGAGGATCATAACGGAATCCTTCTAGCATAAAGGACAGTACGTGAGCAGCCTCGTTCGAAGTGACGTCAGGGCGGGAACGTGCAATCATTGCTTCAAGGGTGTTCTCAGGCTGTGTCCTCGGATCGTACCATGAAGCGCCATTACTGCCGGGTTGGTGGTAATAGCTGTGCCAGTTTTGGGGTAATGGACCAAGGACTTTAACCATACAAACCAAGGGAGATGGCCAAGATAGAGCTTTGCGAAGATACACATATAGCTCCACATGTCGCTGGCAGCACTTGGGTCTGTGTTGTGAAGGCGTTCTGGGGCACACCAGCCACTAGGTGATTGTGGCTTGTAGTTTACCGAAGTGCCCGCCCTTATTGCTATGCCAAAATCAGCGAGATAGACTGATCCGCTGAGTAAAGTGGCGGGGAACACTGCTGGCCTAACGAGTTCTGCAGCCCCTGTCGGAGGTGCTAGAAGGTCCTTTTTAGGCCGGCCGAGGTACTGGTATTTCGTCTTAGTGTCATACGCGTCAAGGGGCACGATGCCGCACAGGATGTTTTTGTCGTTTAGATCTATAGAATGTAAGCGCAAAGAAGATTAGGCGAGCGGGCGGTAGAAACGGACCTCGATGGACGATGTCGGCGTCGTGCAGGCATTTCAAAGCTTGTAGCACCTGCTTCGCCGCAGACATTCGGCGAGCCATTGACATGCTGGCGAAGCTGGAATTGAGACTGGGGCCTCGCAGGGGGAACACCAAGACTGTGTGGCGACGGTCGGAGCAGGAAACGGAGAAGGAATCGTGAGAAAGAAGAAGTTTAGAGCTGTCCTTGACGCGGTGGCGGATTTCGTTGTGGATAGCGAATTCGTTGTCCACCGTGTTACTAGTAAGAGTAGGGACCTTAAGGGCGACGTCTTGATTTCGAACGGTATCATGGGCCATCCAGACGGTAGAGAAGCCGCCGTGGCCAAGTTTATGCTCTATGCGATATCTCCGAGCTAGGACCATTCCAATACGGATCGGATAGTAGAATGGCCGCTGATAGTAGTGTATCATCTCTTCAGCATTCTCCTCGAGGTCCTCGACCTCGGTCTCGTCGTCAAGGTTTACAAAGTATCCGTAGTCAGCCATCGCTATGGGGTGATTCAGCAGGGGCGGTGGTAGGTCTGTTGCTGGCGCCCTCGTGTATGGAAGCGGTAACTAAGTGGGGATGAATGGACAAAGGGTTGGTGGATAGCGTGGTGGGTGGATAGCGCGGTGGGTGGATAGCGCGGTGGGTTGACAAAGAGCGTGGTTAATGGAGAGCGTAGTGAATGGAGAGGGTAGTAGGTAGAGAGTGGTAGGTGGAGGGTGGCGGATGGTGAGCGTTGGGTGGTGGATGGTGAGTGTTGGGTTGCCGCTGTTAGAGTACAATCGCCAAGCTTCCTAATCGGGCACTAGCGCCACAGAGATTTCTTCGATTTCTCGGAGCTATATACACTCAATACAATACACCTCACCCCAATATGCTGTATTCCTCAATTTCCTACTTTAACAGCCGCCGCTGTCACTTGTTCACCGTGCTTGCCTTGGCATAAAGATTGCAAACTAGACGGATCCATCGATCCATTTGCAATCGCTGTATCCATTCACAACGAATCCAAGCCTGCGCGCCTGGGAGCCATTGCTTCCCAAGGACCTCCCGACCGCTGCCATCCCCACACCAGGACGTTAGGTTTCCCGTTGGTTTGGAGGTTGGGGACGAGGATAGCACGCAATCCGGGCATCGACCCTTTTATCGAAGCGCTTAATGTGTTAGCATCAAGGCTATATAAGCCAATCAACATCCAACAATTTCACGTCAATAACACTAGCGAGGCTTAGCAAGGCTGAGCTCGGCGCTTAGTAAAACATACCCACAGCCAATCTCCATACAGCTTTAGGCGCAGAGTAGACTTCAGATACAGAGTGACTATACAAAACAAAGCGTGGCCTCCTGATACCTCTGCGCTGGCGCTTAGACTTGCTCTTTACTGGGCATCGAGTAGTAATACACCCAGTAGCCGCCAGGAAGCCATCCTGAACCCCAACTACACCGGCCCGACTTCACAGATGCGACCAATCCTACGTTTCAGCCTGGTGCTTCCGGGTCTTCGGATGTTTTTGCCTCAACATATGGAACATTTCTAGATGTGTCGCAGCAGATAGTATATAAACAATAGTCTCCCGCCTTGTATCATTGCTATCTTCACGTCGCATTTATACACTTTACTATTCATATTTATATACCTTAATATCTAAGCAACACAGCGCGCGAAACCTCCAGCATTATTTTACAATGGCTACGGTGATTATTGGCCAATACTCATACGCCTTCGTACAAAGCGGAGGCTACGATTATGCCAGCAGTGGAGGTGTCACCTACTACTATCGCCAAACAGGCACAACGCAATGGCTTGAATACACGCAAGCTCAGAGTGGTGGCACAACTACCCAAACTCAAAGTGGTTACACGACCACCCAAGCCAGCAGCAGTAGCGGTGGCACCGTTCCCGCGCAATACTCCAATCGCCTGGTATCTAATGTGTACGAGGGTCAAATGGGCGGGATAAACATAAGATGGGGACCTGTCGCAATCCAGCGGTTGCAGGACAACACATCCGCCAAGGGGATATCGTTGTACACGATGAAGGCTCTTTGCGAACATTTCGTCTATCTGATGGCTAGGCGATTGGTGAACCAGGGAATTAATATCTCAACCGCTACTATCAAGTAGACTGGAAACTTACCTTCATAAAACACCTCAAAATCTCTTCAATATTGGCATAGTAAGCTGACTGTCTCTATAGGTCAGCACCCCATGACTTTACCGAAAACACTGCGACGCATGTCACGACTGCTGATGATGAGCATATCACTGCTGAGCTGACCGGCAAAAGGAAGGCCCACGTTTACCTTTCAGGGGTAGGTTCCGGCGCAACAGCCTATGATAATGTGAGCATGAGGGGAGAAAGTATCATGACCAGACAAGGAGGCGCCAGCCCTGCCATTATCACCAGCCTCTCTATCGGCCACTATCCTTCGGCAGGAACATCCGCCGCACAGGCTCCGGCTGCCACGACTACGGCGGCTTCTGGTTACACTACAACAACGGGTGGTTACAATACAACAGCAACCGCAGGCGGTTACTCTTGGGAGGATGACCCGCAGTATCCAGGGTATGAACGGCGCTGGAACGTTCAAACCCAACAGTATGACAGGAGGCCCAGCACGACTTGAATAAGCAAGCCCTAACTCGTCTATGATCGGGCAATGGCATTTGGTCTTTTTGCATCGATGGAGGGGGTTTCCCTTGTACTGTATGCGCGGCGAAGTGGGGCATGCTCGTGGAAATCTCTTATTTGGTAGGCTCGCTGGTTGGACGGTCGGTGGAGGAGCCGTCACAGGGTTTATCGGGATCCGGTCGCTTCTGCAGGGTATCTATCATTATAAAGGGAATAGAGGTTGATTTCAAGGCGTTGTTGGGTTATAGCATTGAAATGTTATGATTCAAAGGAGAATTACTGGTGCTGGGAAGGTTCGTCGTCGTCTTCCGTTGCTGCGCAAGACAGCGGACGTGCACACGGCTGTCGCCGGCGACCTCGATCGCTGTGCTGGCCTTCCTTCAGGTAAGCAGGGCTTTTGCTAGCGCCGATCCACCGTTGGCGTTGCAAGCCCACCCTCAACTTGGTAATGGGGCGTGCTGAGGAATCTTGACATTGCATGGTCACTAGCAGCAGCTGTGAGGTTCAATACATGCGTATCCATTTGCTGGAGATGATTTTGGGCGGCTGGGAAGGAAAAGGGAAGGGCAGCGTGAATAATACATTGTCTTTTTATTATCTAAATCTAGCAGTAGCCTCAAAGTTGAGACAGAATAGCAAAGACCGCATGCCTGTTCTTCGCCATCCTGACCTCCAGCCCAACATCTTCGTTTCTGAAGATTTTAGCATCACCGGTCTTATTGATTGGCAACACTCTTTGGTCCTCCCAACATTCCTCGCCGCTGGTATGCCAAACTCGTTCCAAAATTATGATGATGAGGAGTCCATGTCGTTTGTCCCGCCACAGCTCCCGGACGATTTTGAATCGATGGATGAAGATGAACGTGCTAGAGAACAGGAGCAGTTCCGCCGTCGGCACGTACACTTCTTTTACCTAGGGTTCACGCAGCGAATGAATTAACCTCATTGGCACGTCCTTGAACAAGAAACAGGTCTCCTGAAGCGCCGAATATTCAACGATGCTAGTAGTCCTTGGGAAGGCTTTAACAACCCCCTTCAAATGGACATTGCCCGGGTATCGCAAAATTAGTCAAAGATCGCCCCTGCCAATTCAGATGGTACCATCCCAGCATGTCCTATTGTGCTCACAGAGCAAGAGGCACAAAGAAGAGCTGCACTGGACGAGTCCCTCCGCGAGGTTGACTCTGAAATGGAACGGATCAACGGGGTCCTTGGCATCGCGTCCGACGGATGGACGCCAAATGAATCGTTTGAAAGCGCGAAAGAGAGGGCAAGGTTGATCAGGGAAGAAGGGCTTGCCGTGGTTGGCGATGACAGGTTGAAGGAAATGACTGAACAACATTGGCCTTTTGATGACTGTAACGAGGATGAGTAAGGAATCGAAAAGAGACACAGGCCAGCTTATGGGAAGGGGGGACTACAAGCTTGGTTATTGGAGAGGGCAGAGCACCCCGCTCTCGTCTAATGAGACAAGCTGCACGACATTCACAACAAATCGTGTACTATGTGGAGACGACAACACAATTCTCTACTTAAAACCAAACCCCACTACAGACGTCGAGTGTACACGCTCACAACTATCGCGATTCCCTATTCTGTGTTTCTATCTCTGCGCAGCTCTTCACTCTCTTACAAGGACAACTCCGCGTTTGCCGCTGTAGTCTCTTCCAGCATCCCTCCACATTTCTCACCTACCAGCCGAGACCGTATTCCAATCGACGTAAAGGTATCTATCGAATGATTCCAGGACCGACAGCTGGGCATCGTAATACCCGAAAGACGTTTCAAAAGCGAGGACGAGGTATGCTATTCGTCGAACCAACCCAAAGGCATTGCTAACAACTGCCCTAAGATGTGTCAGATCGTACGAGCCATGTTTGCGTGCTCTACCTGGCATGCCAGCGTAGGTGGTGAACCTACTCGCATCAAACATATCGCCCAGTGTCGAGCAGCAATTGCAAGGGGACAAAGTTGCCCAGAAAATCAAAGGACCCATGATCATGTTCTTCAAGAGGACGAACCTGATAAATATTGCCCAGAGTGTAGAAGGGAGACGCCCCCAGAGGCGCCTTAATCAAGAGCATTGCTCTGCGAACATCTCCTGCTCCACTGTGCCTCCCCAAGGATAGTTCTGCGCTCTGGCGTTCCCTGTGGAGAGCTGATTGAGAAATGCTGGCGCGACGAGGTCGGCTCTGCACAGGAGGTATGCATGTCTCTTAAAGCGAGATTGCTTGAGGAGGCAAGTCAGGCTCCACTCACGGAGGCAAAGATGTGAATTTTTCAGAGAGGTGAGCTTTTTAAGGGGCTACCCACGTGATCGAGGGCAAGGTCAATTTAGATTCCGTGTTGTTCACCATGCTACCGAATAACCAGAAACGAGCGTCAAACGGTCATTCAGCAGTGTCCGCATGTCCTTCAAATAATCTCCAAATTTCTCAAATTTGCTCAATGCCGCGAACAACCTTTGTATTTCTAGGCAATAGATGGCGAGACGGGAAGGAGAGAGACATAACCAAGAATCCCAAAGCCGGTAGGACAGTCTCCATTCCAAGACGATTATCCCACACCACCACAATTCAAACCCTTCCTCGCCAGCAACATTTTCACGTCAGTACATCTCATACTCCCTCTCAAGCAGCAGCAACCTCAGCCGCCCTCCTCTGCCTCCCAGAAATCAAATACACGCTCGCCCGCACATCCAACAACGGATCCGCACTAACATCCACGCCCTCCACCCGCGGAATTGGATCAAAAATAATATCCTTCTGCTTCTTCAAGCTCTCCTCATCACTCATCGTCTTCTCGACTTTAATCTCCCCCAGCTCCACAACCCGCCTCTCCTCCGGCCAGATCTCCTGCGCGTCATCCGTCACATCGCCCGCCTCAGCGACCTGCGCCTGCAGCTTAAACGTAACCGGCCCAGCAGCCAGCCGCGTCGGCAGCTCCTCAAACAGATAATTCGCCGATTTCGACGCGAGCTCGTCCGCGCCGAGCGTCTGCAGCCCCGCATCAGGCACAACGCGGTACCGCACATACGTCTCCCTGCCCTCCGCACTCAAGAACTTAAACGCATTCACGCCGAAATACGTCTCCGTGCCAAAGCTCGCAGGGCTCGGCTTCGGCTCCTGCAGGAACCGCACCGTCTCCGGGTGGCGGCCCAGGAACTCGGGCACCGCCTCCGCGGCGTTGGGGCCCCCGGCCGCTTGGAGGAACTCGAGGAACTCGGCGCCTGTGCGCGTCGGGAAGTAGCGCGTGCTGTGCGCGATGATGTCGGTGTGGTGGCGCCGGCCGTCGGCGGTAGAGGGCAGGTGGAAGCGGATGGCGATGCCGCGGGGGTTGGCGGTGGGTGAGGTGTCTGGGATTGTGGGGAGCCCGGTGGAGGAGGAGAAGCGGATGGTTAGGGGGGTTGAGGGGGCGGTGAAGTGTGGCGCTTTGGAGAGGGTGGATGCGGTGGGGGTGGGTGTGAAGGTGCCGGTTAGGAGGTGACCTTTCGCGTGGGCTGGGTGGGTGTTAGTTGGACTGATGGATGGATGGATAGATGGGTTGAGCGAGGATATGGGAAGATGTACATACCAGGCCTAAAACTTTGTGGAGCACCGCCAGCAGCGCCGCGCAAGGCGCCCACGAGGCCTTCAGCCGTCTCTAGAATCTGCGGGTTTTCTGATAGAGGCATTGTGAGTGCGGTGCGTAGTTGATCTCGTCCAGATTTCTCTTTCGAAAGCGATGCAGTGTGTCGGAGCAGAGCAGAAGAAGTAGACTAGCCTTCAAATGCTATTCAACCGCAGTTCAAACGTAGGAGAGTATATCCCAAGGAGTGAGTGAATCCCAACCACAGCACCCCTCTCTTCTCTATATACCACACCCCCGCTTATACATCCCCCTCTTCCCGTGCAAATGCAATCGGTCTTCCAAATACCCTTCGCGCCTCAAAAGCCCCTCTACTGCCCCGCTATCACCAAACAAACAAAGGCCTCCACCCCCGTCCACCCTTCTTATCACACCCTGCATGTGCTAGTCAAATCGCATCCGCCTCATTGGCCAATGCAGGCATGACAGCAGCTTACTCACATCTCGCACATGCTCGCGCCTCGCTTGTTCCTGGGCGGCTCTACAAATCAATTAATCCGGCGCAGTTTGTAATCGGCTTGGCGAGATCGCGTAATTGTTGCTACTGTATGCGCTTTGGGGAGGAATGACGGCATTGCAAGGCACTTCTTCGGGTGGATATGAACAGACAAGGCTGGCCCAGAGAGATCGGGGTTAGTTAGAGGGGGATTGCGAGCATTTGGAATTGCTAGGTGTCAAGCCGAACGATTCTGAAAGCTTGCTTTGCCCATGTTATGGTCACAAGGCTGATCATTAACCACCACAGCTTGATGCGTGCAGTAATCTTCTCTAAGGAGCGGCCCGTGACGCCACTCAAACAAACCGGACGAATGAGATATTCAAGTTCTGGGATGTGAAGATGCCCGTCTTCATTAATGCAACCGGCTCTGACTTTCACACTACTATCGCAGTGTAGAAGGGGAGAAAAAAATTGAAACTAGCGCGTACAAAACAGGCACGCTCAATGCGGTAGAATGACCTGGGGACATGTTGATAGACACATGACGAAAGGAGAAGAGAAATCAAGTGCTCGGCAGAGGCTTGAAATTATTCAGCCCCGTTGATCGGAAGGAATCCCAAAACGCCAATGAATTGGTGCTGATAATTCGTCACTCCTCATACGCCAATTTTTTCCCTTGAGGGTTGCCGGTGTCTCCCGTACAACTCGAGTTCGCCCATATAAGGCAAAGCTTGCTGTGGCATCTACTGCGGTTCCTCGTCGTGTATAGAGTGTTCGGTAATATTCGACGGGGGTGGCGCATAGGGCCCGTCAACGGGCTGTGAACTGACGACTGGGTGACCGTCGAAAAAAAGTCCCGGGGTAGGGTTACGAGGAGCTAAGGTGTCTCTGCTATTGGTGGATGTGTATTCCCTTGTTGGTAACGGAAGCTGGACACCGCTGGAATACTGAGGGTAGTATGGTCCCGGAAAATAGTCCAGGCCAAAAGGCGTCGCCAAGGGATAAGGAACTAGGCGCTGCATTAGCCAGGTATATCACCCCGGTTTGGTTTCTGGGTTCTCAAGGGCCTTCAACAGTCTTCCGCGGCTACCAGGTAGCGGGAAGTGGATAGACTCAATAAGCACCTTGTGGGACTTGGTAGCCCATTTGGGCTTGCTGTGCCTGCGCCTGCGCGGCTGCCATGGCGTGCGCATGTTGTTGCTGTCGCTGCGGCAAGTCGTTGAACCAGGGATGATTCAGAGCTGCTGAGGCGGATATCCGCATCTCGGGTCGGAGCTGGAGCATGCTGTTGAGGAGGTTCAGGCCGACCTGGTCGATCTGGGGGAGAATGAGGCGGAGATCCTGCGTTGCGAAGACGGGGAAGTTGCCCTTGTACTCCGGAAACTGGGAAATACCGGGCCACGATCGTTCCGACGGCGTGCCCATTAGCCTGAAGATCTTCTGCAGCTGATCTTCATTCGTTGTTCCGGGGAAAAGCGGCCGGCCCGTGTACATCTCGGCCATGATGCAGCCTGCGGACCAGATGTCGATGCTTGTGTTATAGGTGCGACTTCCCAGCAGGACGTCGGGCGCACGGTACCACAGCGTAACGACCTCGTTCGAAAAGGTGTTCACCGGAATACCGAAGGCGCGGGCAAGACCGAAGTCAGCCAGCTTCAGCTGTCCACGGTTGTTGATGAGCAGGTTCTGGGGCTTAAGATCGCGGTGCAGGACGCGGTTCTCGTGGCAAAAAGCAATTCCGCGGAGTAGCTGGTACATGAAAGACTTGATGGTAGGAGGGTCCAGGGCGCCTCGGTCGCCGCGGGAGTCCATGTATCGCTTCAGGTCCTTGTCCATGTACTCGAAGACGAGCATGAGCTTATTCTCGGTGTGGATGACATCGTGGAGAAGGACGATGTTTTCGTGCTTCAATTCCTTCATAAGGGATATCTCACGGATCGCAGTGGAGGGAGTGCCTTCTTCGGAGTCGAGGTGGATCTCTTTGAGCGCGACGAGCTCGCCCGTTTGGCGGTTCCGGCCCTTGAACACCTGCACGAGGTCAGTATCTGCGTGCGACGTAGCATCTGGTATATCGCACAGTTGCATAGGTGCCCTCTCCCAGCTTCTCCAGCTGCTGGAAGGAGCTGGGGTGCCTGCGGTTGTCCATGGTGGATGCAGCAGGAACCGTCTGGCCGCCGCCGAGATTTCGCACGCTGATGGTCGAGTCGGTGCGGTTTGCGACTGAGAGGGTGCCTGCGTGCGTCGGCCTGAGTTTTCCTGGCGGCGGGCGAGTCGTGTATTTGGGGTCCCAGAGAATTGCGCTGGCGGTGGTGAGTTGGTTGGCGATGCGTAGCTGCGGCGGGGTAGAGCGAGCGGGTTCGGGGGAAGAATTTGGTTGGGCCGTTTTGGCGGTGGAGAGCGATGAGGGGAGCGCGTCCCCAAGGCGAGAGAGAGGGCCTAAATAGAAGTGCAGCGAGTTATTGATAGCGAGGAGCTGGAATACCGCTGGCGCTGGCGCTGGCGCTGGGATGCTGCAGAGGGCGATGAGTCGTAGCTTGTGGGGCGGCAAATGAAGCCTGGGCGCGGAACAAGAGACCTCGTAGCGCCTGACCACGCGCTGCCGACGCTCCTTCACCTACCAGCCGTCGCCGCGGCCCGCTTCCTATTTCTAGCAGCCGCCTGGAGCAAACGCGGCCGTGGTGAAGCAATCGCTAAGGACAAGGACAGGTTCTCATGCTAACTCGGGCTATTTAGGAACGCGCCTTTGCCCTGAACCAACGCGCCAGCCTTCACGAGCCTTGACGGGAATATCCAAGCATAGTGAAATCCCACATTGGCCTCTTTCCAGCCCTAGGGGTCCTTCAGGAACGCCATTGCCAAAAAGCGGGATGCCTCCGACGAGATTCCCATAGCGACTTAGTGGGGGAGAGCATGAACCGATATCACGCTGTAGTCTGCCCAGGTGTTTGCCTTCGTTTCCTGTCTCGCGATTGGTGTAAGGATCCAGCTGCGGGTTGTTCTTGAAAGCCCCATTACCAGCAAGCCCAGCCTGAATCTTTTCAAGGAGAAGGCCAGGACGTGGGATGCACTCGGCCAGTCGCTCGGGACGGACCGCAAACGGAGTACACTGGGCTTTGGCCCGCGAAAATAGTGATTGGTGCTCCCGCCGTGACACTCGGGACATTGCATGTCTGCGAAACCCCTGCCTTTGCATTGCCGCAGCGTCCCGATCGGATGTGGGCTGGAATATCCAGATGCTGAGAATGCGAGGCTTCTGAATGCAGTTGACTGTCTCTATACCTCCTCGCAGCGTATGCTGAATAATAGCAAGGGGTGAAAGGGCGCGCACGTGGGAGGGGTGCTTGGCGCTGCAAGGTAGCTCTAGCCCGCGGTGGAGAAAGTTGAAGCACCGCACTCCGTCATAAAGACTGCCACGCACTCCCACGAACCCCGCGACCCCTCAGCAACGACCGCGAGAGCGCCGCAATGCGTGCACGCCTCTTCCACTTCCACAAGAGTCCGCCGCATTTCGATAGACTACCGCCTGACTGATCACTTGACCGCTGCCTTCATCGTGAGATTCGCCTCGCCGCCGTCTGCGTGTTTGCCTCACTCCACCGGCGTGCTATTTGGCCGCCGCCCTCCTTGGACGCCGCCTGCTCCGCAGACACCAAATCCGAGCCACGATGAAGTACACCGTCTACGACCGCCTGCTGCGGCGGGAACTCGCGACCGACCGCAAGCGATACTCCAGTGTGCTCGGCATCTACGGCGACAGACAATGGGTGCAGGACATGGACGTTGTCAATGAGCTGGAGGGCCACAACGGATGCGTGAACGCTCTTTGGTATGCCCCACCCCCAACATCTCCCTTCAAGCAAGAAGCTTACGGTTTGCTAGCTGGTCGACATCGGGCCGTCTGCTCGCCTCAGGCTCCGATGACCACCGCATCAACATCCACTCCTACCACCCCGAGTCGTCCACCTCGCAGTTCAGTCTCACCACGTCCATCCTGACGGGCCACCACACCAATATCTTCTCCGTGAAGTTCATGCCCTACTCCAATGACCGAACCATTGTCTCCGCCACCGACGACGTGCGTATATTCGATATCGAATATTCCGGCCACTCTGCCCTTGGCTCGTCGTCTTCGGGTGCATCGCAAGCAGGGAGACGGCGTGTAGGCATCCACGGCGTGCCGGACGGGCTGACGCTGACTGAAGGAGACACCAACGCAAAAGCATTTCGATGCCACACGGACACGGTGAAGCGAATTGTGACGGAAGACAATCCCTTCTACTTCCTCACATGTTCCGAAGATGGCGATGTGCGACAATGGGACATCAGACAGCCGGCAAGGGCGTACCCGCCGCAGAAAGACAGCATGATGCCGAGCTGGGCAGCCAACCACGATGCCTCTGATAACGTGCCGCCGCCGCTTATCTCGTACAGCCGGTACCACCTAGATCTTAACACCGTCTCTTGTTCTCCGTCTCAACCACATTATATTGCTTTGGGCGGCGCGCATCTGCATTGTTTCCTGCACGACCGGCGAATGCTAGGTAGAGATAAGCACCAGGAACGAGGCGCTACGCTCTCGAGCCCTAGTAATTGGAACGACCATGATGACGAGCTTCTAGGAAAGGCGACGCAGTGTGTGAAGAAGTTCGCACCTAATGGGCAGAAACGAATGAAGCGGAACGACCATGGTCATATCACCGCTTGTAAAATCAGTGACGCCAATCCTAATGAGCTCATCGTCAGCTGGTCTGGAGAGTACATCTACAGCTTTGACATCCTCCGCAGTCCAGATGCTTCTGAAGAGGTCACGGAACCCAATCTTTCGCCTGGTACATCTAGCCGGCGAGTCAAGGATAAGAGTCGGAAGCGTAAGCGGCCAAAGTCTACCACTTTGTCTCAAGAGGCTGCCGAACGGGCTGGTTCACGTCAACGCACAGAAAGCTTAGATGAAGGTCTGGCATTGCGCGTAAACTACGGGAATGGTCAGAGCGAAGAGATCCGCATAGCAGCGCCACAGAGCCCACTCTCACAAAGTGAAGCTGCAGCCATCCAAGATACCGATCACTATCGTATCGCGAAGACCTCGGTCAAGCTTCTCAAGAAGATGTTCAAGCTGCATGACACCAGGCCACCGACCGATCCAGATGAACCATCTGCACATACAGCAGCTTTCACCTCCGTGCTCGGCTTCGCTGCTTCGATATTGCCAGACATGGACGAGATATCGAGGACATGGCACTATCCCATGAATCCAAATCGGGTCGATGTGGCCTTGCAGAATAAGTTGCGCGATGGACGAGCTGCCTCCCGTCGCTTCGTCCAGGCTGCAGGTACCCTTGCCCGCGTACTTGGGGGTCAATTGCGAACTGGTGGTGATGCCAATGCCGTCATTTCTCAGTACTTCGCCTCTATCCAACCTGCGCCAAATGAGAGGGCGTTGTTGCCGCGGCACGAGCAATTCGGGTACGATTTCTTGAAGGCTATTCTTCTCTGGCTTGACTCCGGCCTTGGGGCGGTCGTTGAAGGATTCTCAAGTCCCGGCAGTAATCCCCGCCGTCCGATTACCCCTGATGCGGATGTGGACGCCATTGACGACATCCTCATTCCGTATCTTCTCCAACTAGCGAGCGACAAACCCATTGTCAACGTCGACGCCTCTAGATTCGAGACAGATGCGACAAGAATCCTCTACTCCCATGAGAAGGCTGCTGTTATTGGCTTTGCCCGCGCTCTCAAAGTTCCGTTTGCTGACCTCACAGGCGCGGTTGTTTCTACCTGTGGCGATCCGTCAGAGCGACATGAGGTGCAGGACCGCAAGGCTGCGATCAAAAACTGGGCTTTTAAGATCGGGAGAGGCGTGTTGCTAAACGCCGCCAAAGACATACGATTCTCGTTCGTTGATCGGGCCTTTGGTGGACGTGGTATCTCAGATGCCAGCATCCGTGCAGAAGAGCAGGAACATCGGGAGCAACAGGAGGATATTGATCCTCTTGAAGAGGAAGATGTCGTTGTGGACGCAGAGCTTGTCAGTAGAGCTTGGGCTGAGCAAGCGGCTGAACGGTCAGCCGAGCCTACTAGTCCCGGTGCAGCCGCTGAAGAGGACACAAGCACAGGCGCCACTCCTGGTGCTTCAGGGGCCGAAGTCATCATGGAGGAGGAAGACGATGACGATGAAGACTCTGACGGTGACTTCGATCCATCTGATCCTGACGATGATGACGATGATGAGGACGTAGACGATGGGGGACTTTCGCGTACCCGCAGCGGTCGCATACTTTGGCGATCCGACTTTGACCGAACCTATCTCAGGGAGCGCGTCGAAGCTCATGTGCCATGTTCGCCACATACTCGTGTGTACCAGGGTCACTGCAACGTTCGGACCGTGAAGGATGTCAACTTCTTCGGATTACAAGACGAATACGTAGTCAGCGGTAGTGATTGCGGACACCTCTTCATATGGGACAGGAAGACTGCGCAGCTTCTCAACATCCTTGAAGGAGACGGCGAGGTCGTTAACGTGATTCAAGGTTTGATTCATGTTTCCATCCGCCACCCAGTATGCTAATGTGGTTTAGGACATCCATACGAGCCGACGATGGCTGTGTCGGGCATTGACCATACGATCAAGATATTTTCGCCTGACGCCAAGGAGCAGCGCAATGCTCGCAAGGGTATAGGCGTCCAGTCCGCCGATCCCGGGGTCTCTAGCCTAGGCTTCGGACGGAGGCGACGGGCACAGCGCGCCTCTGATTCTGCGCCGCCTCGCGAGCCTACTTCTACCGACGAGGAGGATGACGAGGTTGCAACAAACGGCCTGCGGAGCCGAAAGGCTATGCATGACCAGTACAAGATCACGTCGCAGAATGACATGGACCGGAAGGGCGGGCGCGAGGACGCTTTCATAACGGTTGGTAGTTTTCTCCCAAGATTAAGAATACGTGCTGACATGCCGTGTGCAGAGAGCGTTACTTGCTCAATTAGCCCAACGACTCCATGCTCATCATCATACAGGAGACGAGGACGAGGAGGGAGAGACGACTATCGTACTCAACAATGATGAGGGCTGCACGGTCATGTAATTCAGCCCGCCGTCAGCATGATATCCAACCATTGCTACCAGATGTCCGGCGTATTTGGTGGCCATAATGCCCCTGGCCGTAGGAAAGGCGTTCTCACGGAGTCTGGTTCTAGCCGGCGCCCAAACAGGATCTGGAATGTCATGGGAACATGGATATGCCTACGATCATTTCAGACGATGCAACGATCTCGGCCATCTCGTAGGGAAAACGGAAGAGATTGGACTGTACGGCGGGTTAGGAATAGGTTATTATTATAACGGAGCCATATATGGGCATAAATTCAATTCGACTCCCTTCCAAAGCTATCTTCACAGTCCTTGTAAAGTCCGCACATAGACTCCATGCTCCGACCAAGATGCCCGCGCGAACGACGCCCTTTCGCCCTTTTGCCCTTTTGCAACGTGTCCTTCAGCTGGCCTTCTTTTGCTTGGCTTTGAGCGCCTTCTTCCTGTTGCTCCGTATCATGACGACTGAGAGAAAGCTACCCACAACGGTGCTGAAGAGGATTACGAGGATGACGGGTATGCGAATAGCCCAGACGCGAGGAGGGAAGAAGGAGTGCAGCGGGTGGTCTTCGTCGACGAAGGGCTGGCATGTGTTAGTGCTTTACTCTGTGGGTGCAAAATTTTTGCTTTAGGTGCTGAAAGCGAGGGTGGGACGGTGTGAAGGTGCTCGTACCATGAACAGGGTCCAGATGGTGTAGTAGAGGAAGACGGCGGTTGCTGCGATCAGCATGCTGAGGCCTACGAGTCGGTCGAGCTGGTACATTGTTAGTTACTGGATCTTCAATTGCGTGTACTTGCAAAGACTTACCATTTTGATTGTATTGCGAGTTGACAACGAGTGAATGCAATGTGTTGACCTGGGCTTGTTGAAGCCTAAGGTGATTTGGTGTTTAGATGCCAAGAGCGGGATTACATAACGCCGCTCCGCTGTCACAGCCAAACTTTCTGCCCAACCAACAACTCTCGCCATCACAAACACACGTTGTGACCAGCGCGGACGGTCAACAGCGTTCTATCCCCAGAGTCTCTTGCTTCTTCCGGAATACCAGGCCTCCTACAGCTTCACAACACCCAAGAGAAGCTTGCCACCATGACGGAGGTTGCCTCTGCCGTCCGCATCCCGTCACCGGAGCCTGAGCTGCCAGAGCTGCCCCGCAAGCGCGATCGCTCGCCCTACGACGCCGGACCCTCTAAGCGCTCGAGGAGACACGAATATGATGACGGAGACTCTGGGCGACGAGGAGACCGCGGGCGAGCCCACGATGACGACCGCCGACGAGATCGCGAGAACGGACACCGGCACGATAAGGATGGGACCGAGTCTCGCAAAAGGCCTGAGGCAGATGTCCCGGAGGATGACTCCCGCCTAAAGCTCTTCCAAAATGCGTTCAGCGCGCCTCGGAAGCTCGCCATCGACGACTCGAAGACCCGCGCCGGTGGTGCCTATATTCCCCCTGCGCGACTGCGAGCTATGCAGGCTGCTATCACGGACAAGAAGAGCCCCGAGTTTCAGCGCATGGCGTGGGAGGCGCTGAAGAAATCGATACAGGGCATGATCAATAAGTGCAACGTCGCGAACATCAAGCAGATTGTGCCGGAGCTGTTCTCAGAGAACCTAGTCCGAGGCCGCGGTCTGTTCTGTCGGGCAATCATGAAGGCGCAGGCAGCGAGCTTGCCGTTCACCAACATCTATGCGGCTATGGTGGCGATCGTGAATACGAAGCTGCCCCAGGTTGGAGATTTGCTGGTACGGAGATTGATCGTTCAGTTTCGGAAGGCTTTCCGAAGGAACGACAAGGCGGTCGCCGTGGCCAGCTCGATGTTCTTGTCGCATTTAGTGAACACGCAAGTTGTGCACGAGGTGCTGATTGCCGAGATCCTGCTACTTCTCCTCAACAAGCCCACAGATGACAGCGTCGAGATTGCGGTCGGTATCATGAAAGGGGTGGGACAGTTCCTGGAAGAGATGAATGGTGCCATCGCCAACGCCATCTTCGATCAGTTCCGCAATATCCTCCACGAAGCCGACATCGACAAGCGCACGCAGTACATGATCGAAGTCTTGTTCCAGGTCAGAAAAGACAAGTACAAGGATAACCCAGCGGTCAAGGAAGAGCTAGATCTTGTGGAAGAGGAGGATCAGCATACGCATCGGCACACGCTTGAGGATGAGATTAAGGTCGAGGATGGTCTCAATATCTTCAAGTTTGATCCGGAGTATGAGGAGAATGAGGCGCAATATCAGAAGTTGAAGGCAGAGATTCTGGGCGAGGAGGAGGGAAGTGATGCGGAGTATACCGATGCCTCGTCAGAGGATGAAGAAGATGAGGAAGACAAGGCTATGGACATCAAGGATCAAACGAACGCCGATCTCGTCAATCTGCGCCGAACGATATACCTCACAATCAAGAGCAGTGGAGGCTTTGAAGAGTGCTGCCATAAGCTCATGCGCATCAATCTGCCTCATGGAATGGAGAAGGAGCTTACCACCATGGTCGTCGAGTGCGCTAGCCAGGAACGCACGTACGAAAAGTTCTACGGCATGATTGGAGAGCGTTTCTGTAAGCTGAATCGCATGTGGACCGACCTGTTCGAGGATGGCTTCGTCCACTACTACGAAACCATCCACCGATTCGAAACAAACCGTCTCCGAATCATCGCACAGTTGTTCGCACATCTCCTGGCCACGGATGCAATTGGCTGGCACGTATTTATGGCCATCAAGCTCAATGAGGAGGACACCACTTCGAGCTCCCGCATTTTCATCAAGATTCTCTTCGAAGAGCTCATGGCATCACTCGGAAATAAGGTTCTGGTGGAACGGCTAAAGGAGCCAATGCTTCAGGATAGTCTTACTGGCATCTTCCCGACCGATGATCAGGTCAAGACTCGCTTCTCCATCAATTTCTTTACTGCTATCGGCATGGGTGTTCTTACAGAAGGCATGCGCGAGTTCTTGAAGAACAACGCGCCCAAGCCCGCAGCATTGCCGGCACCGGAGAGCGAATCAGATTCAGAGAGCGTGTCCTCCCGCTCCTCTTATTCCTATTCTTCTCGCTCTCGGTCAAGGACACCCGTGCGTCGGGGGCGATACTCATCGAGCTCGCGAGGCCGCTCTTACACCCGAAGCCGGTCTCCCGCTCTAAGGAAAGGCCGTGGTCGTAGCCGTAGTCGCAGATCTTCCAACGATTCCGAATCGCGGTCCCGCTCACCCGCTCCTCGCAAGAGGCACTACTCTTCCAGCCGCTCGCGATCATCACCTCGACGTCGCAGACGCAGTCTATCCAGCTCAGTGTCCCGATCCCGCTCGCCACCAGCCGGCAAGCGCCGGCGCTACTCCATCTCTCCATCAAGGTCCCCATCGCCGCCGGCCCGCCGTCGCCGCGATTCGAGTATCCCTCCGCGCGGCCGTGAAGACTCTGCTTCCCCTCCACCAGCGCGACGTCGTCGAGATTCCAGTGCCTCGCCACCACCGCGTCGCTGCGATTCAAGCGCGCCCCCGCCACGTCGAGGACCAGCCGACTCACGGGACCGGCGAGATAAGCCGCCGCGTCGGCCTAGGTATAGTTCGTCGCCGGAGAGGTCGCCGCCGCCTGCAAGGAAGAGGAGGTATAGCGGCTCTGTGTCGCGGTCGCCACCTCCGAGGCGGAGGAGAGATTCTTAAGTTTAGGTAAAGCACGCTCCACGAGAATGAAGGATCTAGTTAGGGAGCTCATAGAATGCACGCTTGAGCGATGGGTAGATTGACGAGTTTTGGGATTAGGGAGATATCAGGTAGCATGTCAATCGTAAATTCATGTGAATAGGCTTGTATTGCCTTCAGTGCGAGGAAATCATGCTGCAACCGAGTCGGAGCATCTTTGTGAGTTTGTGCATGACTCACTGATATAGCACAGGCGCGTATAAAGCGCAAGAGAGAAAATTTGTCGATTGATTCACGAGTAGAGAATCTCGAGCTTATGCCTGTGATGGCTATGAAGAAAAGCCCTACACGCAGCTCTGTTAAGCTTGGCGTCGTCACGCTCTTCATACCGAAAAGCCATTCCGCATCCGGTTCTACCTTCCCTCCAGCGCCATTGATGCCCAATACCGCCTCCCCAAACTATCTCCCCGCCAGCGAGTCCAGTCGACGCAACATCCGTCTCGGGAGAACTCATACACACTTACCCTTAACCCACTGCACCCTCCTCCGCTTCCGGCGCTCCATCTCCACGAACAGCTGTTCGTACTCGGTTCCATGCTCCTCGCCACCCCTCTCAGCTGCCCGCTTCGACCTGCCAATTCTGCCCTTGCCCTTCCCAACGTACGGCTCCACCCGCGGTTCCTCGAGAGACGTCCGCTGGTTGAGGTCGAACATGGTGCCGTCCCATTCGTCCTCCGGGGCGCGGGGAACGCGTGCGCTGCTGCGCGCTGTGGAGGGTCCTGCGGTCGCGGTGTTGTTACAGTCCGGCCAGCTGCTGGTACCGTGGGAGTTGTGAGTTCCTGAGGGTGCAGGAGAGCAGGCGATAGGGCATGCGCATGCGCCCCAGACGGATGGGCAAGGTGATGGCTCTCGTGGTTTGATGTCGTTGTGTGTGATCTTGTGGGCGCCGGTGAAGACGGACGACGGCATGAAGAAGTCGCAAGGGAGGAGTCGCTGCCCTAAGAGCGGCGATGGTGGCGGGGTGGGAAGGGAGGTAGGGGTGATGGCCATTGGTGATCCGGGGGAGGGTGATGAGGACGAGGCGACGAAGAACGTCTCGACTTCCATTGCGGATGAGGCTGCGAAGAAGCCGGGAGTCGGAGTCATGGCGTGTGGTGATCCAGAGGATGAGGATGCGGCGACGAAGAACGATTCTCCTGGCATTGCGGATGAGGCAGTGAAGAAGCCGGAGGTCATGGTCGCAGACTTTGTCGAGCGCAGAATACGCGTTCGCGAATGTGGCCGGTGGAAGTAGAGCCGAGGATGAGACTGCGTTGTGAGATAATGGTTGGTTAGAAGTCAGGAGGAGAGGAGCAGTCGCAGAGATAAATACATGGAGAAGCCCGGAGAACCCCAAAAATTCGAATTTTATTTCGGTACGCCTATTGTGTTGGACCGTATAATAGGAAGGCGCAACCGGCGGTTGTTGCTATTGTCCGAATACCACGGTAAGTTTGCTCACATGCGATCCGAGCCGAACGCGAAGTGAAAGTCGAGCCTATCATTCCCTCGGCCACAACCAACGACTGGTGAGCCTCACCCCGGGAGGCCTTCGCAGAATATCCATCCACGTCGATAACCCATCAAGTGCTAATTTCTCGTGAAACTCCGGATGCCAGCCCTGAATCCGTTGATTTACGAAGTCCTGAAGCGGTATCAGCGTCTCTCCGGCCAGGATCGAAACCGTGTAAGGACGATTCGCGATGACGGTATAGAGCCGTGCCATGTCCGCAACAAACTGACCAAGATACGCCCGTTGAGAGAGTCCCGGATTGATAGGCTGCCAGTTGATGTGGACTTCGTGGTCTTTGGGTGTGCGCATGTAGGACCGTAGAGCGAAGAGTTGCGTGTCTAATTGCAGACATTGCAACAGCCCTTCGGTTTCGATCCCGCTATCTGGCCAAAAAAAAGCGGCGTTGCTTGCAAGGACGCCGTGGAAGCAAGTGGTCGAGGATAAGGAGCAGAAGGCTGATGTCGAGCCCGCTGTAAGCCACGGCTATTTGCGGTCCGTCATGGCGCAAGGCGTTGAAGAGGAGGCCGTGAGCTTCGTTGTAGATGAGGCGGCATGTTTGGAGAATAGCAGGGTTGAAGCACTTGTCCGAAACAGCAATTGTGCAGTCGGCCGGCGTGAATACATGCGTGATCTTCTCGGGAAGCCACTCGTAGCACATGAGGCCGACCTCTTTAGGCAGGTCCAGAAAGCGGAATGGGATATGTGTACAGGCCCTTTCGACGTTGAGATTCATGTTTTCAGGCCCTGGTGTATGTGCTCTATCTTGGTCCAGGTCCAGTTAAGGGTTAGTCCAGAGGTTTGCTTCGGTTGCTGCCTAATGTTCTTAGCGTACTTTACAGGTCAACGGGAGGTGGGGCTTAACGAACTTTCGTGTAGCTTTGCGCATGTTACGAGGTTTGCCCATAACAGATCAAAAAGAAGCCGATCGGGTGATGAGGCTGGAGGGCAATGCCCAGATGTTTACCAGTCGGCCACGTGAGTGGACGCTAACCGAATCAGGGGTGGTAGCATCGACTGAAGGCAGGAGCCAACGGAGCAACCGAGGTAAATGAACTAGAAAGGGGAGCGAGCATCAGGTATACGGTCCTTTTTGGGAATTACATAAGTATCCTGAGAATTCGATTCTATACGCTCAAGCCACGAGAGATTTGAACGGAAGTCTCGAAGACTTGGGAGGATTACGCGTTCACAACTCCACTAGCACCCTCTGAAAGCTTGGTTGCTACTCAGCAGGTATGATTGGACTTCGCTTAGGCATGCTCTATGCATGACTATCCGGTCAAAAAGGCAACCAGGGGCGGTAGCCTACAGTCGATTCGTGATATGCTGAGGGTGTTATCGAGCCGTAAAAGCGACTGTTTAGCTTTTACTCATAGCTCCATAACTCAAGGCATGCGCGGGATACCGATAGCCTCTAGAATGGAGTCGAGCTTATGAGGTTGCGCCCGGAGCACATCCCATTCCTCTTGGTATTTGACCATCAGAGTACCGCCAAGGGTAGTGCCATTGAGTTGAATGAAGCCGAAGTCAGTGCCGTTATCGCCTCGAAGCATATGGCCCTCGCTTCGTCTTGGAAGTATAGCAATGCCAGCAGTTGTCATGGCCAGGTTGTAGCTTATTGGCAGGTGTCCTTCCTCAACAGAATGGAGGGACAGCTGGCCTGAGTTCGCTGCGATGAACTTGTCGACTGCTTCTTTCGCCATGCGATAGAGATCGTTGTAGAACTTGAGAAGATCGGCACCAGTTGGCTCTGAAGAAAATTTGTACGCAAAATGCGTGAAGGGAAGAGAAGGGTGTTGTATGGGTTCGGATGAGGCCGTCGTAGCGCAGGACAGGATCAGGTCGATCAGCAGCTCCCATCCAGCAGAGCGCTCGCCCTCATGCATGCTATCAACGGGGAGAAATTGTAGATGCCTATGCGGCTGGCTCGCGCCGCTATGTTCGCCGGAGTTGAAGAAGGCAAACAAGCGATTCTGCCTGCTAGGCACTCCGTTCTTCTGCCATGCTTTCAGGCAGGCGTAGGTTGCCTCGAGGTCATCCTCCTCCAAGGCATGTGTCTGCTGTTTATTTATCTTCGTAGCAAGTATAGAGTGGTTGGTGATGACGGGGAACTTGTTCAGGACGAGGAAGTGGCTTGGATTGTTCACGGGTATGTCCGTAATGAAGAGTTCGCGGGGAGGGTTCTCGAAGGGATCGAACGTCTTCTTCGGCGCGTCATCCTTGCGGGGCTCGGGCTTCTTTGCGAGGGCTGGGCAGTATCGCAGCTGGAACTACGATGTTGTCAGTCAAAGGAGACCTCAGACACTCCTGTTCACTAACCGGAATCCCAGCCGACGTACGAATGATGGCGAGCTCTGTTTGAGAGAAGGCCAGGGCAGCAGAAGCTCTTGCTGCCTTGAATTGGGCTTCCACGAGGCTGGGCAGCGCCTCAGCAAGACCGAGCAGCATCCTCATCTAGACGTGGGGTGCAATGGCGAGAAGGAAGGAAGGAGCTGCAGCCATGGAGGGCTCTTTCCCTCGGAACGATTCCGCGCACAGACCTCGACGACAGCGCCCCCGACCCCGTCGCACTTCGGCCAGACATCACCGCCATCACTCATTCTCCATCAGCTTTCATCTGAGGTACCACATATTTTGGTCGCTAGAATGCCGAAGCGCCTAAAATGCCTCCCGAAGGCAGTAGTCCTGCCACCTGCTTTGCAGCAATGCCTATCTACAGTTCGCGACAAAGTATCAAAACCCGCCTACTTCTGATAAAGACAATTCTAAAATATAAAGGAGAGTTCCTTTACGGAGTATCGCACACACATTCCACCCAACAAGCACGGTACAGCACAGATTACAAGGGACAAGGGACTCCACAAAGGAAAAGTGAAGAAGCAAAAGAAGGACCCTCTATCGAACCAACAACTGTCGCGTCAACGGCCCAAGTCAATCTCCGTCCACTTTTTCTTACACGTCGAATTGCCAAAATGGTATGATCCGCCGTACTCCGCGATGCGATCCGCCACCTTCTTCCAAGAGACCTTCGCGATACGTTGGTCTTTGGTGAGGGCTCGGTAGCCGTTGTCGAGGCGGTTCAACTCAACGCGGACGATTTCCTTTAGCAGTCGAATCTGTTACGTGTGGGTTAGTGGTGAACTGGAACAGGCGTCATTGGACTTACGTCGTTCTCGGTCCACACCGGCTTACGGACACGGTCCTTCCTTACCTTTGTCAAGGACCTGTATCTTCCTCTCAGCGTCGACTCCGCTACCTTCGTAGGCATCTTCTCCCGAATCTCCTTGTAGGTGAGCCCAGCGGCCTTACCCTCTAGAAGAATGCTATCCTCGACCTTCCGCTGGTCCTGAGACTCGTCATTGCGACAGATCTGGACGGAATCCCGTGCCGGAGCATTTCGAGGCGGCTTGTCGCGATCATAAGAACGATACGCTGCGTCGACCTGAGTATGACTTGAATATGGTACGGATGTGCCATCGCCGACCTGGTCAAGGCTACCGGAGGTGCGCTGGTTCTTGTGGTAATACGGCAATCCTGTCAAATCATTGGCATATTTTGGGATGTGCCATTGGGTCACATCATTCTGGAAGAACGGATTCGCCCATCCAGTCCCACCGGACTCGACTGCTGTACCCGAAGCGGGAGCCATCTCTCGGAAACCAGGGACTTGGCTCCCTTCCACGGTCGATAGTGAGGCTCCCAAGCCGACATTCTGCAGCCTAGAGGAGTCGACCATCTCCGCTACATCGCCAGCCTGCGCCGGATGTGGAGCGAAGCTTAGCATGTCCGACTTAGCCTCAAACGTGGTCGAGGGCTCGAACTTATTGTATGACCTCCTATCGAAATCCGCCCAGGCATTGTTTGGGGACGGTTGATCAACTATCGCGTCGGGTGTAAACGGCTGATCGACCTCTGACAGGTCGCTGAAGAAGCTCTTAGCTGACAGCGACGGTGTATTCGTATTCGTATCGGGATCTGATCCATGATATACGCTGACCTGACGTGGAAGACCGCTCATGGCCGGCAATGCCAAGGAAGTCCCAACCCCGTACTCGTAACCGCTCTTACCAACACCAGTCTGCCCAGCCACGACGCCTTCGTAGGTGAGATCGCTATGCGGCCCGAACCGGGGATCCATATCTGGCATGATGTAGGGCTCCATTGGCAACCCGTGATTCCATACAAAGGCGTTGTTGACTGCCTCATGCCCTCCCCACCAAGGACGTTGTACCGGCGTTGCCCTGTCGAAGGTGCTAGCCGCGGGCGCGTGAAGATGTTGTTCCGGACGCTGCGGCATTGGTCGCAGAGCTGGCCAGGCCTGGTTATGGAGGCTCCTATCAGACCTGAATTGACGCTGCTTTCACATCTATTAGGCGGCATTCAAGGCGTACAATTGAGGATCACTCACCACAAGAGGTTGCGCCATTGCCGGGCTTTGAATGAGGTCGATCTGTTGATGAGAGGCCTCTCGGGTTTGGAAGGCGCGAGAGGAGGACCTGGACTGGAGAAGGTCTTGCGGAGAGCAGAGAAGGTCGCCCAAAATACAGTGCTGGTGCTGGCGCAGGATCTCTGCCATGGCGGCGTGGGTGGCAAGCTTTCCTATAAGAAGCTCTCCGTCACTCAAAGAATACCACTGGCTCGATCACGCTGCCGTATGACTCTTCACACAAGGCGTCTTCGAAACAGGTAGCAAGATTCACGGTGGCGGTGTCCGTGAATGAGAATCGTGGGGGTCAGAGGGAGGGTGCAGCTGCTTTGGCCATTCATGGGTTGACGTTATCATTCGCCGAGTGAAGTTGACCGCTCTTCACACAGCTAAGCGGTAAGGGAAATGAGGGCGTCTGTTTAAGTGGCCGAAAGCCTACCCGACCGGCTCCGACACGTAATTGCTGTGATTATTGCGATTCGATGCTGTCAAGAGCCGCAATGGGTCACCGGTGCAGTCCAAGGCGAGGTTGGCTCGCTATCTATATCATGCAACAGCAGAGCCACACTAAGTCTCTGGTAAGTATACATCATCAGCGCGCTAGCATCGGCCGGGGTGTGAAGGGCCTTACCTGAATGCCACGAGAGCTCGGAAAACTAGGGAAGCCGAAGGGCAGACTATGATCGCATGGCACGCACAAACACACTAACCAGGCGTCAGCGATATCCACTCGTGGAACGAGTCCGGGCATTGGAGATAATGTACAAATTAACTGACTGACAGACAGACAACAGACAAAGCGCGGAAGGAAGCCGAAGCCCCCCAGTTCGATCACATCAGTTGCAAACCTGTTCAGGTTGAGAGATTCTTCATTTATACCTAAGACAGTGGGAACCTCTTTCACACTTGATCGGCTTCTTGTTTGAGTGCCCCATGTCTCGATGGCGCGGTAGCGGGAGGAGAAGTCTGGGCTTCCGTCCAGCCCACCCTCCTTGATGGGTGTCAACCCTGGAACCGACACGGGTGGAAGGATGGCCTGACGAAAGGATCAACCCAAATCAGGTGTGCACTGCGCCCGGCGTTCTGCCCTAAAAGCTGGAATAGCTGTCGAAAGACAGCACTGCGATGACGAGCCCGGAATCCAACGTGGCAGGCTTGCCATATGCTCAGCCTCGCCGGAGATTTCTAGCTACCTTCTGCGGCCGACGACCTATCATAACTGAGCAGAATAGCCTCGCCTGCGCTATGATTGCTCTTCTAGTGCTAGTTGCGCTGGTCAAAAGCGGCTTTGTCGTCTTGTTTGGTTGACGTGCAGACGCGAACGGTTATCTGCATGACAAACCTTGGCGGTCGGCCCCTTCCTCCAGCAACCGCCAGTGACAGAGCAGCCGAGCAGTGACTTGCATGCGGATCTCGTGGCGGCTGGTCGCGTATGACGGGAGGATTCTCACTGGGATAAACTCGCCTCAATGCACCCCATTCGATCGCCACCAAGGGTCGGTTCACGTGGAGCATGTTCCTCTTAATCGTAATGATACTTCGATGGCGCTGCCTCACCGATCAGGATGATTTTCTTCGATGTCCACGAGTGCCCTCCATTGCACCACGTCAAGCTGGAGCATTGGCATAGGCTGAAGAAGCCCCTCAGGAACATGAGCGGATGGTCAACGCGCATGCTTTACAACAAAGACCAGACTTGCGCATCCACCCCCACAGTCTCGCAACAGGATCCTTATGGAAAACTTGCATGGCTTTGCAACGGGATGTTGCAGACTTCCCAGCCTACACTCCACTGTCTTCATTGAAAAGTCGGCCATACGTGGGGCAGAACGTGGAACATCGCATGGCCTCACTACGTCTCTGATTCGGTGACGGCCCGAGAAGCTCTGATAGCTCGCGAAATCTTCTTCGCAACTGCGTGGGGAAGCCGGTACCCGTGCCGTTGGCGACGCCATCCGCCGCTCGTCGTCTAGCGTGGGACGAAACGTCCACCGTGCATGATGCTCAAGGAGCCTCCCCGGTTGGAACAGTAAAAAGTTCTTCACGAAGGGCACTCCTCGACATAGTGAATGCAAGATTCTAATTGCTGCGAGAGTGTCCCTGTCCTAGATCCTCCCTATAGCTATAGCCTCCGAGCTAGCCTCAGCAATATCTGGCACAGATTGGAGGGTAAAGCAGCTGGTCATTTTCGACCCCTTGTAGTTTCCAGCGGGACGGCATACCTGCTCAGATCTTCGCCTTTGTATTTGTGGGCACCAATCCTCCCACGGGAACCTCAGATACTCCCACACGAAATGGAACCTGCAACCCTTGACCAGCCCCACTCTTCAGACCGCCGCCTCATAGTTCGCATTCGCGGCGTTTGCCTCCCGCTGTGGCCCGAAGGGAATTATACCACAAGTGGAAGCCCTCTACGAAAAGAAACCGCGGAGAGAAGGGCCCCTCTTTCCCCTTCGAGTTCTGACCCAGGACCGCGGATGTTCCAAACGCACGCCACTTGAGAGCTTTCTTTGTGTGGTCATTCACCCTGCTTGCTCTCGGCATCGTTTGCTTTTGCGAGAATGTCCCGGGCCAGCTGCTCCTCAAATCTCTTCATCGGGACATCGGCAGGGAGCTCGGGATCGCTGACATCAGCCCACAGCAGAGACTTGGATTTTGAGATGAACAGCATACAAGCCTCGATTGAAGATAGATCTGCATTTCTTCCGGCTACGCCTTCGGGTAGGAGCATGTTGGTCGGGCCGGATAGTGGCTTCATAAACTCGTGAAGTGCCCATGTTTAGGTAATCGAGAATGGGCCGAAACCTCGTAGGCTATCTCCCTAGCCGACAAGCCAATAAGCTTGTGGCATAGCGGGCTTTGGAGAACTTACGGGTCAGGGATAATGAGCATGGTCGAACTGATCGGGTACGGGTCTGGATAGAAGACCGGGGGGATTATATCAACAACTCTTAAACATATCCTCTCTGAAATAAAGTCAAGACAGTTCAGAGAAGATAATCTCCTCTTTATTCTCTAGAAATAGATATTATTACGTTGCACGCCTCTTATGAGGAAGAAGGGAGGGGTAACTTGTGTGGGTGCCTTACTTAAGCAGGTTGGACCCTTACTTGACGGCAAGCCGGTCACCCCCTGGGCATGATGTACCTAGCAAGCCTCGAAGATTACCGAGGTACCTAGGTAAGAGAGGAGGTTCCTCTAGCGCTAGCCTATTCGAGAAGAGCGCCCCCTGGCTCCTTCCCGTTGGCTGTCATAATCTGTCTTTGCAGTCACAGCGGAAGGAGGGATACATGGCGAGGACTGAAGGGTGGTTGAGTTGAGATTATAGAGGAGAGTCCGGGAGTTCGTCTTGACGTGAGATTAGAATGGCGCTGCTGCAGCCGGGCTGGACAACTGCTGATCCCGGGAAGCTGCGAGGTACCGTACGGCTTCTATCGGTACGTAGGTATATTGCACCCGTTGCGTCATTCTGCTCCGGTACCGTCTTGCAAAGTAAGCAGTTCGCGAGAAAGGGCATAATCCAGACCGCGCGGCCAATAGGAACGGTTGCACGGAAATAGTGAAAATGCAAAAAGATACAAAGCATGATTGGCTGATTTTTCAGCATTAGCGACTCTGAAACCGAAAATGGGCAGCGAGTGGGTCCCGGATTATGCGCGAGGCCTGGCGACTGGCAAGCTGGGGACATCTGGAACTTCCATTCCTCCACACGGCGAGGCGATCGTGTTCTAGCGGGAACGGGCTCGGTGTTCTCTCGACGCTTCGAAACTGCCCCTTTGCCGTGCATATACCTGAGGCGCTGCAGCGTGCGTGGACCGTGGAACGTTCGGGTGCCGATAGTGCGGGCCCAGCGGTATGTGTGTAACAGGCGTGACAGCTGCCCAGCGGCGGTGCGGTGCGGTGCGGGTGATGGACGATGGGTTCCAGAAGGATTGCAGAGTGTATGTAGTCTACTGTAAAGTGTCGTCTTGTCGACTCCCCGTTGGGCCGTTGGCCGGTCTGGCGATGGTGCTGGACAAGACAAGCGTGCGTGCCATCCCGGCTCCGTTTGGTGCGCCCCTGAGCTTCTGCTGCTGCGTCGTCTCTCTTTTCTCTCCTCAGCCCTCGTCCGTCCGCCACGAGGCCCAATCGCCATCGCCCAGCTATTGGCTGCTTCTTTCTCGCCAGACGTGTCGGAGCTGTCCTGGCGACGCCTGCCCTTCTTGCGCGCGCACGCTTCAGGCCCGGTCCCGCTGCGTGAGCTGTTGGAGCCCGCTGCTTCAATTTCGCCCGTCTGCAACCACTGCTACGCTCGGCAGCTTTGCTGGCCCTGCAGCTGCAGCAGTACCTAGCTCGCAAACGCTCCGTCTGTCGCGTGTGCCACCGTCTTCCGAGAGCTGCTACCGTGAGTTAATTTCACCGTTCAATCTCAGCCATTCACCGCCCGGCGCGTGCACCGCGTCCGACAAGTACTGACCTAGCAACTCCGACGCAGTTCCCCCTTCAATCTCACCCTCTCCCATCCTCCACCCACACCTTTGGTCTTGCTGCCACAAGCCCGAGAGGGCCGCACCACCAGACCGAAGCCCGCGCAAGCCCGCCGCCCTGCTGCAGCTCATCTCCTTTTCCGTCTCCTAAAATTATCCGCGCGCGCGACGCTGCGTACCCCTTGATAACGTGACGCTGCCGCCCACCCACCATGGCCAACATCACTCCCACAAAGTCCTCCAATCTTGCCCCCAAGGACGGCTCCCCCGAGAACACTGCATTGCCGCAAATCGCTCACCACAACGGCGACCAGCACCAGGCTGGTGGACCACGGCGCTCGAGCTTCAACTTCCTGCGTCGCAAGAGCTCCAGCGAGACGCGCAGCAGCGGACATCGCAGCGCATCAGGAGGCAAGATGAGCAAGAAGCAGAAGGCGCTTGCCCAGGAGGAGGCCCTGCGGAAGCAGCGCGAGGCGGCGATGCTCCCCAAACAACCTCCCCGCCTTCCTTCCCACTCGCCGCTACCCCAGATTGCCCACTTTGGCGGCGTAGACGAGCGACCCGACTCCGTTGCCATTGTCTCCAACAAGGCCGGCGCCTACAACCAGAACTTCAGCAGACCGTCGATGGAGCAGAGAATGGCGCCGAATGCCTATGCCTATGCCAACGCACCGCCAGCCCAAATGGCCGGCGGCTCGCCGTCGTACATGGAGTATGACCCTTACCCCAGGACAGAGAGCATGACGCATCGCGGCCGCTACAGCTATGCTAGCAGCGCCATCAGCTCGGTCAATAGTCCTCGCCGTGTGAGGAGGAGGAAGGACCCTACCCCGTTCAAGTACGCAACATAAGTCTACATTTGTCTGCCGTAAGCTGACTCCCATGCAGTATCCTCGTTATCGGGACGAAGAGCTCCGGCAAATCTTCCTTCATCGAGTTCCTCCGCACCGCGCTCGCCTTGCCTGCTAAGAAGCGGCCCCACACCCCGTCGCCGCCTGCGTCAGCTGTCACATCCGACTCGACCTTCACCTCGCAATACCTAGAAACAGAAGTGGATAATGAGCGTGTTGGCGTTACACTGTGGGACTCGCAAGGCCTGGAAAAGGGCGTTGTGGACTTTCAGCTGCCCATCATCACCGCCTTCCTCGAGTCCAAGTTTGAGGACACGTTCGCCGAGGAGCAGAAAGTTGTGCGCGCGCCCGGCGTTCGCGACACACATATTCATTGCGTTTTCTTGATTCTGGATCCTATTCGTCTGGATGCGAATATTGCAGAGGGGAAGAAGACGGGCACTCATATATTTGGCGGTCTCGACGAGAATCTGGATCTCAACGTGCTCCGTGAGCTGCAGAGGAAGACGACCGTCATTCCGGTAATTAGTAAGGCTGATACAATAACGACAGCGCACATGCGCCACCTGAAGAAGATGGTGTGGGACACTCTCAAGCGCGCCAAGTTGGATCCGCTGGAGGCGTTGCACCTCGATGATACCGATGAGGAAGACGAAGACCTGCTGGATGAAAGAGATGAAGATGCGTACATTCGGTCTGACAACGAGGGCAAGTCTGATGTCCTTAACAAGATCCTCGACCGATCATCCTCTGAGGCTGGCCGATCCGACGCTTCCTCGAACTCCTCTGCTCCGCCCTCACCCCCGACTTCGCCCCCGAGCGCAAAGCGCAACCACGTGCGGAAGCCTTCGGCCATGTCTGCCTCAATTCAGAAAGAAGACTCTGAGCTTCCTTACCTCCCCCTCAGCATCATCTCCCCGGACCCTTACGAGCCAGAGCTTATCGGCCGCAAGTTCCCGTGGGGTTTCGCAGACCCGTATAACCCGGACCACTGCGATTTTGTAAGGCTGAGGGAGAGTGTCTTTAGTGAGTGGCGATCTGAGCTCCGCGAGGCGAGCCGAGAGCAATGGTACGAGGGTTGGAGGACACAACGGCTGCAGAAGGTACCCGGGAAGAGGAGAATCGCAACCTCCGATGGGCTCGCAAACAAGCAACTCACGGTTCCTACGGCGAACGGCCGTGCGGCGAGCGCGGGACGCGAATACCGCCAGCACCGGAGTACGCCGTACTAGCACGAGCAACGACCGCACATCCAGCAGACGTCGTCCGGCATATATCGAGTAGCCATCAAGGATAAGTATCCTGATGAAAAGCTATCAACCCCTTCACAATTTTTGGCGAAGCGCATAAGAGTTGCACAATTACCGGATAGTGTCTATACGATTGCTCAAAAGCCGGCGCGCATTGGGACTCAAAAAGGAGCATCATCCCCGTCTTGCTACGTCACCACACCTCTACACCCCCGGATCCTTTCTCATGTATCCCCTTTGTCCATCTACATTTACCTTCGAATACTCTATACCTTGATTACTTCATACCCCCCCCCCCCCCAAAACCACCTTACCTACTCTTCTCCTATGTCGTTGGCAAGATTAGGACAACAAAACCTCTTTTCTCGAATTACATACTTCTGACGATGTATTGTTGCTTGATTGAGTTTGCGCATACCATACCCCTTTTCCTTTGTGTATGTCTGTCTGTGCGATGCCTTTCAATGAGTATACCGCGAGCTCTATACGCTGAGCGTAGTGAGCTATTTCCAGACGGCGAGATTGATAGCACGGAGGAGAGCGGCCGGGGTTTTAGTGGTGCTGAGCTGAGTGGTAGCGCCTTTCTTGTTGGGCGCTCGCATTACTTCTTCTGCTATGTAGATATCACCTAGCTCACAGCTTTGCATTGCGTTGCGCCATGTGCAGGTGCGCGCAAAGGGTAGACAGACCAGACCAGACCAGATCAGACTGAATGGGAGCCCTTAGCACCTTTCCTCCTTCCGCCTTCCTTCCTCTTTTCATCGTATTCTCTTCCACGACCGCGCGCTTCACCCGCCCACCCAGCCACCCCTTTTATCCTAGTCTACTCCTTTCTCCCAACGCCACCAATGCTCCGTCGTCGCTAGTAAGCGAGCGGAGCTGCATGCCCCTGCGTCATTCCCCCGATCCCAAGGTTCGCGCTAACGCGATGTCACGTGAAACATGTGCAATCCATTGTACCTTCCCCTTTCGACGACCGACTGCGGCTCCCGACGGGGGATTCTTGGAACCATATATACAGGCCGAACTCGGCCACGCTCTAAAGACGACCATCAAAAGCTTGCGTATGGAAAAGATCGTAGAAGAGAATCATGGAAGGGCACGAACCGCTGCTGGGGAGAAACTTACATAGTAAGATGGATCTAGCCGTTGGCAGAGAGAGGAAGCAAGCTTGACACTACATGATATAATTTCGCCATTAGAATTGCGATACTAGGCTCTAGCCCCGATACATCCCATCTCTCCTAAGCCTGAGACTCCTCTCAGCCTCCCTGCCTAAGGCCTGTCGCGTCGTATTCAACGACCCGCTCACCGCCTCTCTATAATTCGACTCCTGCCGCCAGAACCGTGGGGAAAAGGAAACCGCGCCGGGACGCTCAGTGGGGTATATATGTAGAAAGCAGTAAAGTCGACCGAAACCGCCGTACAGGGTCGGCGCTGAAATGTTGCATAGAAAAGAAACTGATGTGAGGGGATGCTGAATGTCATGTGCTCGGCCCGAAACGCCGCGCTATGCAACGCTGTAGTGAAAATGCGGTATCTTGTGCTGATTGAGCTGTAAAATGAAAACCGACGCTCGCGAGGTGGGGTTTCGATAAGTGTATGCTAGAATGAAAATGCCGATACGAATTGCTGTCGGCGCAATATCCCAAACAGCGATCCGGTCCGATCCGATGACGACTCAGACTATGACCTGAGTGTAGAGAGCCAGAGAGCTGGAGCAAGTAATGGGTGCCTCCATGTCCGTAGTCTCGGGCCAGTCCTCGTGCGGTAGTCGTCCGTTGAGTGTGGTCCCATGCTGGTTCTCCCAGTCTCGTCGCCAGATCTCGAATTTGAGGTCCCATCGGTGGATTGCCCTCCTTCTCCTCGATTGAATGAGCGCATCCAAGCGACTTGAATCCTTCACATACTGTAGCTCCTCTGCTCGCTTCTCCTTCTCGTACTCTGCGTCAAGCTGCTGGAGCTCTGTCTGCTGTTTCTGCAGCTTAATCTTGGTATCCCTTTCTTGCTTTGCTCTGAGCACATTGATAGCACTTTCATGCTTGGCGGGCAACTTCGTTTGCATCATCCGTTGCCGTTCTAGCTTTTTGCGGTCCTCTTCGGTGACTTTGTGCGCAGGATCTGGGTTTGCCCCAGAACAGTAAGCCTCCATGTACTTCAGAGCGGTGGCAACATTCTGGATTTCCTGCGCATGGGCCTTGCGAAGGTCGTGTTCCGCGACTATTTGAAACTCGTCTAACCTCTCGAGCGCTAGACCATGCTGCAAAGCGTAAGCAAGCTGATGTGAGGTGATGTCGTCGGAAGAGACCTACCTGTTTTGTCTTGCCGGCTTTGGTACTTTCTAATTGAGTCGCAAGGCTCCTTAGCGACCACTGATGGTATGCCGATAAAGCTTTTCGTTGGTTTGACTCGAACGTTGCCACCCGCCGAAACTGTTCCCTTTGCTCCACCTTTAGGGTCTTGAATGCCTCATTGGCGAGGGCAAGGTTGAGGCTTGTCTCATCCGCTTGACTCGTTTCTCGGTTGGGTGTGTTGGGGACTGTTACTGAAAATTCAGTTGGGGCTGAGCGAGCATCCGCGGCCTGAGGGAGATCGATGGACGACACGCCGTCCTCGCTGTAGCCAGAGTCCCGCAGAGACCTCAAATCAGGCGATAGTCCACTAATAGCAGTTACAAAGTCCACCTCTTCTCCAGTCAGCACCATCGCCAGCACCTCGCGCGGCAAAGGGTGTCCGCAACAGGCGGGTGCTACATGCTCTTTGCTGCCCATAGCTTCCTGTATGTGGACTCGAATCGCGTATTCGGAAAGCGAGTGGCCGCATTCGAGCTTTGGGCTCTGTGGCTTGACGTGAGGACCGTGGTGTGCCCGAGAACGGCAGGCGCTAGAAAAAGCAGTGAGAAAATTGTTTCATGTGCATCGTCAGCGCACGCACCTTGAAGAGTCTTTCCTGAACCTGGAGAAGAGACCCGAGCCTCGCCTATGCTTCCGCACAGTGGACTTCCGAGCTGAAGAGGAATTGGAGAAGACCGAGTTTGGGGCCGAGAAGGCAGAGGACGAATGCCTGTGTCGCACACTGGGGCGGAAGCGGTCCATGACGGAGTCGTACTGGTCTAGTGACAGAGAGGCTCTTGTGAGCGGTGGAGCGGTTCGCTGGACGGGCGATTGGTCGGTGGAGGGAATGTCCCTGGAGGTGCGCGAAGGGTGCGATGTGAAGCCTGTCGACTGGGTCTCCCGGGAATGTACAGACATAGAGCTCCTATTCACACTGGAGACGGTCATGGTAGACATGGCAGTCGAGAGGTCGGGGACATCGGGGCAGAGGTAGCGGTACGGTTCCTCGATGCCAGACTCGCGCGCGAGGAGGGCAAGTTTTGTGTCCAACTCGTCCTCGTTCTCGTTCACCGGGAGGAGGAGCGCCTCGGAGAGGTAGATGGCATCGTCGAATATGGGCGCAGTGGTGAGCTCGGCGAGGTAGTCGCCTCCGGGTTCGAGCATTGCGCCAGAGCGCTCATAAGAATGGTGATGTCAAGAGTCCGCCTAAGAGAGCATGCGGCAGCGGGCAATGGCGATTGCGATTTGGGGTCCTGGCGAGTGGCTGCACTGTGCAGTCTCCGGTGCAGAGGAGATTGGAGCGCAGAGCAGACGCTTGCTCAGGCCGGAATGGGGGGAGAGGTCAGGTGTTTTCAGGGTTGCGGTGAGGAAAGCCCAGATGGGAAGTGACAACACGAAGAGCGGGACAGAAAGCTTGAGAGTTCCCCACCACGGCAGCCGCCAGCGCCAGCAGCCAGCCGCTGGCCACCGCCGCCGAAACTCCCAGGCGCCGCAATCCGGCTCATGCGCAGCCGCGGCCATGACCTCCATTTTGGCGCCTGGGCGCTTTCTCATTTCGCCGCTCAAAACGAAACCAAACAATCTGGCATTGCGGAGCGTTGACTTCAGTAATGCTCGTCGCCGGGCGCGCCTGCCGCAGTACTCAGCGGCCGCCTGCCCTCCAGCGTGCCCGTGCAGCATCCGCCGACCGCCCAAGGTCCCGCGCCCGCCCACCGGTCGATAGGGCAGTTCTCGTGATCTGATATCAGTCGCCCGCTCGCCGAGTCCGCACCAGTCTGCATACCCGGCCCTGATAGGATCGCTCACCGCTCACCGCTCTGCTACGCTACGCTACGCTGCTTATGACATGGTCCCTTTCTAGCCTCCGCGCTCGCCCTGGCATGCAAGTCGTCCGTGGATGTCCGGCATGACGAAGCAGAGCCCAGCGCCGCGGGTGCACAAAACAAAACCGTCGTCGCTGATTTGCAGTTTCAGTAGTCAGGCTGCTCATCTCTGGAAATACAGATGGTCGTCGGAAATGAGCGTGAGGTCATGCAGTCATACCAAGATCCTGGCCGGTCGGGTTCGCCTTCTGCAGTGGTGCGCTTTTACTTTAATCCGGGGCCAACGTCGAAAATCTCAGGAGGGCCACGAAGCCCGTTTGGTCTTGCTTGAGAGGATGCCTGGTCAATCATGTCGAACTCTCGGATAATGATTGTCCGGTCGCTTGATGGAGAACCTAGGTACCTTCGTTGCTTTGAGCACAGTGTCTTCGAAAGGAAGACACCTCATTCCAGCCTCACCGTGAGTCGAATAGGGATGCAAGGAGGGGGCCGTTGGTAACACTGCAGAGGCCTGGGATCGGCTTCCGACAGAGACATTCAATACAGAAATTCTCCGTATAACGACGCACAGCCCGGAGTGTCTGAGAGGCTTGTACACATGCTCGGTAGAGGGATAGCGATTAGCATCCGGGTTCGACAGGGAGAAAGAAATGGAGATTATACTTGGAGTGAATAGCATCTGCACCTATTCCTCGGGTTCCATGGTTTAGCGAACGATAACATGTTGTACATGCATGCAATGCAGCCAAGACATGCAGATGAGCTCGCCTATTCGTCCTCACCGCGTTCGACAGGTTGATGTCCGCCTTTGTCTTTTCGTTCTACTTCTACCATACCTAGCGTATGCAGCCGGAACATAACGACGAGCCAGCATCACGCCATCGCCAAAATGAAATGAACAAGTCAAAGTCTATTAAAGTGCTAATCGGCTCGGCTCGGCGCTCTGTCATCGTGCCATCAATACATGCAGAAGAAAGGAGGTAGTAGTACAACACAAATGAAATGAACTGTGGGCTGCATGCAACGAAGCCTCCCTTCTATTGAGCTTCGAACAACTAGAAAATGGATCCAGGCCGAACTGGGTCAACACGTCCTTGTCTACGAACGCCTTTGACCAATGCCGATGCTTCGCGGAAATGACATGGATGAGAGTCTATCCGGCAATAAGCACCCAGAGGAGGAAAACTGCATCTTGTTAGTGGAACCTCTTGGAGAAGGGGAGGTTGGGTAGACGTACATATCATCAAAACGCCAAACATTTTGGCGACAAGCCACCGGTTGCCTTGCACCCGGCTCCAGTACTTCATCAATTCACGCTGTGCGCCCTCAACGTTGTCCACGACGTCCTCGGTGTTGGCATCGATGCGCTGGATCTGCTCGCCCTGCTCCATTACCATCTGTGAAAGCTGCGAGAATATGCTTCCCAATTCAGTGATGGTGCTTTCGATGGATTCGATCGCCTGTCCCCGTTGCTGGATATAAGAATTCTGCGGCTGTGCTTCCTCCATGAGCAATAACTGGGTATCTGATTGAGCTCCACCACGTGTAAGGGCCGACGATCCTGAAGGGTCCAGCGAAAGCAGATCCTGCTGAGCGGCATTTGTGTTCTTGAAACCTCCTGGCGATCTTCCCCTCTGCGGAGTCTGGTAGAGGGGCGAATCTGTTCTGCTGGGGTCGAGGTTCGTTTGTGAGTGCGAGGCTGCGGATGATAGGAACTGCTCTTGCCGTGACCGTGATGCCTGCATGTTCTTCGTCCGGACTTCTAGCACATCCTTGAAGCTGCCGCCTACGTTCTGCAGTTTGTCCTTCAACAGCACGACCACCTGGTGATTATGCTCGCCCTCCTGATCAACGCCCGGCTTCGCCTTGGGGTGTTCTTTCGCAGTTATCGTCTGAAGTGCTTGAATCTGCCCAGACAGTTGTGCCATATCTTGCTTTATGACATAGGTGAGTTCGTCGATCTCAACAGGCCGGTCGTCGAACAGAGTCTTCCGCCGCGCCAGCTGTGACAGGCGCTCCAGCTTCGCCATTGTGCCTGCAATACCGCGCCCTACTTCTGCCGCCTTCCGTGCGAACTCTGATCGTTGGCGGTGGGGTGAGGTGCCATTTGCCTCGGCCTTCTGCTGCGCTGAAAGGAGCGACTGGCGCTGGGCACCCGTCTTCGACTGCGCCTGTCGCCGTTGTGCCTGGGCAAGGATCGATCGGAATTCATCCGTGCGATCCTGTATAGATACAGCCATGGCGGATGCGGGACTCGGTTGCGATTGCGAGCGAGGGAGGAGAGCGCGGTGCGATCACCGCTATACGCGGAGAGGGTTCGTCGGTCAGGTGCGATTCGGTGGCGGCTGTTGGATCCCTAGTGTATTATGTGGGTTCGAGCGGACTGTACAAGATCTTCGTAGACGTTCCGACTGTAGTTCGCACGCAGAGACGGCGTTTGCGGGTCGTTGCGTCGTCACAGGAGTCGGTCCGCTTTGAGGGCCGCTGTCTCGGCTTTGAGAGAAACCTAATCCGGTCTTTTATGTGGTCGACAGTAGGCGTGAATATGCGCCCATATGGGCGTGCCTGGGTGAATCGCGTGATTTCGCGGAGAGGCCAACGTGGAGTTGAGAGATTAAAATAGCCCTCACCGTGACGGATGAAGCGGTACGTGGTTCGTCGGACGGGTGGCGAAGGCGAAGGTGGCTGGTGAGCCGCGTCGGCTCGCCCATGCGGAGACTATGTTGGCAGCGCGCCAGCAAAGGGAATTGCACAACGGCCTGCGCTCCTCCTTCCTTCACAGGACTCCCAGTCCTATTTTCCCGTCACTCAATCTCGCGCGTATTGGTAACGTGCTACTCCCTGACTTGAAAGAGCCGACAGGGCGGCTCTACGGGAAGTGGCTCGGGCATTTGCAACCCCATCGCTCAGCCTTGAACTCCACCTCGACACCTGAGCACCGTTCGCCATTACCCCATCCCTCGTTCTACGCTATTATTATCGTCTGTTGCCGCAGCTTCGATCGCTCCTCATTCACAGCGACCTTGTGGCTATCCTACGCGGCTTTTCGGCGCCACCCTTCCTCACAAGACCTCCTGGTTTGATTCCCGGGGGTTCAAATAGGTCATGGTTGGTAACAGCAGCTATCGGTAACCTGTGAACACGGCAGGCACCATGTCTGGTCCATATAGATTCACTCATGAGTCGGCCAGGTCGCCGCTGTACGTCGCGCCCCTTTCTTGCCTCTGCGTTGGCAATACTGACATGTCCCAGCGACCGCCCACCCCAAAACGCCTTGCCTGCCCCCGGCCAACCCGTATCCTTCAAGACCAACGTGAATCGCATGAAGACGAAGAAATGGGTCGAGGCTAAGAAGAATGCATACGATGGCGACGACTGGGGAGAGTATGATGAATATGACGAGTACGGTACAGAGCAGGCCCCTCCGCCACAGCCCGCGATGCCTCAAGGGCCGCGAGGATACGGCCAACAATTCGAGCAGCCATCACGCAGCTTCACAGACCCGCAGCGACAAGGACCTCCTCAAGTTGCGCGTAGGAACTCTTTCGAGGCGGGCGACGAGCATCGTGCATTCTCCGCATCGATGGCGCCTCCTCCCCAGGACTATCCGCAACAGCCACCGGGTCCTGCATATCCTGCGCACAGACAGGCGAGTGGTGCAGAGTCAGACATCAGCGATACGCCGCAGCATCGACGAGACTTCAGTCCGTCCGCGATGCCTACTCCGCTCCAGACAAGAATGTCCCCGGCTCCCGGAAGCGGGACGGGCTCGCCAGCAACGCAATTTCCTCCCCGAAAGAGCAGCATTGGCCAGGTAGAGTCGCCCGCTGCCTTGTCTCCCCGAGATCGCGCGCCGAGCAATCCCGCAAAAGCACTGCCGTTCATCCGACCTGCAGACATATACAGGCGCGTCGAGGAGGAGCGTCAGAGGGAGCGCGCATCGCTGGACTCCTCTCGTCCAAGCTTGGATTCCTTGTCTAGGCCGCGCGAGGATGCGGGTCCGCCTCAGGGTCTGCAGGAGAGGGCCAGCTCGGACAGCCTGGGAAGGAGCGCTGAGGCGGGCAGGTCGCTACAGCCTCTGGAGACTGTTGCCGAAAGGAAGAGCGAGTACCTTCCCGACCTAGATATAGGGGCGCAAGAGCAGGGCAAGGGCAATGCACCGGCGCAGGTGAATGCTTCTCAACCCTCGCAACAGCCATCGCTTCCCCAGATTGAGGGCATCTCCGCCTTTGACAACGACTTCTGGTCTAGTGGCTCGCGACCACAGGCCGCCCCCGCTACTTATACTCCTGTCGTATCACCGCCGGATGATCAGGGCTTCCGCTCCGTCGTGGATCAAGCGTTCACTCGCAGCGATGACCAGCGCTCTATGCCCCCTACTCCTATATCCAAGTCCGACTCTACAGTTTCAAGGAGCAATACTGCAAGTACCTCTGGCATTAGTCCGATCATGAGCCGCGTTCCCAGCTCGGCTACATCCGCGCTGAAGGCTCGGAATCAGGCGGGGGGTGATGGTAGTACACCCGTGATTGCTGAGGAAGCAAGTGAAACGAGCACACCCGTCTCCCGGCCAACTTCCGCGGCCATGCTTAGTGGCTCACATCAAATCCCAAGAAAACCATCACCAAGCCACTCGCGCAACGTCTCTAGCACATCCCCACCCCGTAGCGGTCTCGCTACTCCAAGTCCTGGCGAGAGCCCAGCGCGATCTCCAGCAATTGAGCCTCAGAAACCCGTCGCGGAGCCAGAATCTGCTCAGCTGTCTACGCTCAACCCAACGTCGCCCGACGCCATGGAAGGTGGACTGGACGGCCCTTCCCCCACCTATGCCACCCGCGAGGCAGACATTGCAACCGCGATGAGAACGAGCCCGGACAACGCCGCGCCAGAGCTTAGCGCTGCGGAGAAAGATTCGCAAACAGCTTTCCTGGAGTCTCATAACGCAGCGTCTCCAGTTGCCGACGCGGTTTCAAGATCCCGATCAGAGTCTCCAAGCAAGGGTCGTGTTCAAGAGCTAGCCGGCAAATTCGGCGAAGTCTCGCAGCCTCGCCGTGGTTCTACCCAATCGAATGTGTCGAGAAACAGTGTGCAGTCCTGGGAAAGGAGCCAGGACAATTCCCGTCCGTCATCACCGAAGAAGACTGGCAGCCCGACCAAAGAGGCCTCGACCGCGCGCCCCGCCGCGGAACGAGAAATCAGCTTCAGACCGAAGCTTCCAGGCCAGTGGGAATCTTATGCTACTACGGCTGCCACACCGCCCGCCCAAGGGGAAGATTTCGGGAGTAACAAAGCGGCGGCATCGCCACTTGAGGAGGTCGACCTAACACCGACTACCGCTAAACACCCGGTCTCGGCAAATGAGTCATCGACACTGGCCTCTGACACGCTAGCCGCACTGAAAGCAGCGGGAGCTGCTGTCGGGGAAGCTATTCAAGCTTCTGTGGCGCGTGATACACCGCATCAACAAGAGGAAGGAGAGGAAAGAGCGCGAGATCACCAGCATAGAGATACGCTACCTCGCCCTCTGCAGCTAGACCGCCAGGAATCATCAGTATCTACGATTCCCCCGACACCACCCGCAAAAGACACTCCGGAATCCGAGGAGCTACCGCCTCCCCCACCGCTCAAAGAGAAGAGTCCAGAGCCACACTCATCCTCTGTTCCGCGTTCGCCTGTTGAGCGGCCAACGATTCTCCCGCAGCTGAGCACCGACCCATCCGTTGATGATCAAGAAAGCGACAGACTGCGCAAGGAAATTGTCGCCAGTCTCAGCCCTCTGAGGACGTCGGTAACCCCAGCGGCAGAACCTAACACCGCTTCGCTTCTACCGAGTGGCGCACCTGTCAACCGCGAGAGTTCCATATTCCCAAGCGAATATGATAGCTACTGGGCAGATGGAGATCGCACGTCCCCTCGCCCCTCGCATGATCTAGGTCGTAATATTCCGGACCAAGCTCACTCTAGCACTGAGCAGCCCTCTATAGCGGCAAAGTCAACGGCGCAGCAGCCTTCGAATTTTACTAAGCCATCTATATTTACGCGGTTCAGCTGGGAAGAAGACCAAGGCTCTCAGCCCATATTGCCAGAAGGTGCCGCAGCTCAAGCCCCAAGGAACATACAACAGGAGGAAAAGCTACCTTCGCCCGCTGTGGAAGAGGCTGCAAAGGAACAGCGCGAGCCGTCGTTCCAGGGCATTCCGGATCCCTATTTTGGCCCTGCTCATAGCGTCGCCATCAAGAAGCCAGAACCGCTTAGCAATTCGGATCTCCCTGCGCGAGCGCCCACTCCTCCCCCAGAGTCCGCGAAGCCCGTGGCGAGTCCCATACGGTCTGAAATGGTCGGGGAGACTTCACCTGCGTCGGGACTCCATGTTGTTAACACTGATCTCAACCCAGAAGCTGTAGACATGCCTCCTCGTCTTAGCAGAGAAGTATCACCTGCTTCTCAGCCGCCACGCTCGAGTGGAGAGGGACCGGCGGCGACGCAAGAGCAAAAGGCTTCGGAAGCCCTAAGCGCCGCAGAAACCGCTCCTGAACCGAGTCCTACTACTGCGGCTGTCCAAGAGTCAGTCCCAATGTCGCCCACTTCAGATAAACCTCTCGGATTCCGCGACATAGTGACAATGAAGTCGCCGTCGGAGCGAATAGCAACCTACAACAAGACGCGCGAATACTGGGCTCACGCTGACCATGGGCTTGGTGACTGGGTTTCTTCTGCGATAACCGCGAATCCGGATCTTGCCACGCAGTCGTTCCCATCGCAACCGATCCTTGCATCTTCTGGGACGTCCCGTCATAGGCCTACGGGCTCGCTCTCGTTCTTTGGAAAGCATCATGGCTCAAGCAGCCATCAGGCTGACCAAAACGCGGCCTCTTCGCAGGCTCCCACAACTCCAACTGTGGGTCCAGCACGACCTGGTTCGAGCCCCGGAGGACCCGGGAGGAGTGCCAGTCATCATGTGCAATCCAGAGGCAAGGATCTCTTGCACACCGCCGGTGTGCTAGGTGGCAAAGGAATGACAGGCGCGAAAGGCTTGTTTTCCAAGGGCAAAAGCCGCTTCAAAGGGGACAAGGTAGATAAATGATCTCTTTTATATCCGTTCCCTTTCCCCTTATTTCTTCACGACGCGATCCGAGAATGCTTTTCACGACCTTCCTTCTTCCTACAGGCCAATGGACTACGACCGGTCGTTGGATTTCTGGAGAGACCTATGGTTCGGCTGTTTCCTAGTTCCTTGAGGCGTCATTTTCGTAACTCCTCCAAAACCCAAGATGTCGGCCCTATAGCCTTTTATGATGCACTCATCTCTTCTTATGTTATATAGGGCCATGAAGATCTTTCCATAATTATGTAAATGTTAATTCCATGGTCTCTCTTGCCTTCTCGCTTATGGTACAAGTGTTGATTGTGATGTAGGCGTCGCTATCCGAGTCAGCGCCCTCTTCCCGAGAGGCTTCAGAGGAGCCCGAATTCGTTACAACGCCAGAGAAAGTTAGCAGAAGGTCAACGGACACGGACAGCCCTAAGGAGGAAAGAAAGAGGCGCCGCTTCTCGAACCCTTTCCACCGTGCGAGTCGTTCCAGATCGAGACCCAGTAGCATCGTTCTTCCCACAAACGCTCACATGGACTTTGGCACTCCCAAACCGACGCCACCGCGCGAGACGCCGCGCTCTCAAGGCAGTCGCCCGCACTCGTACCATGCCCCGGATGCCTGGAGTGTTATTCCTGATTTGCATTCGCCTACGGCACCAGAAAAGGGATTGCAGGCAGGCGAGAGACTCGGCGTACTACCTTCGCCCGCGAAGAGTGCATTCTCGCTGCTCCCTCAGGACAGAGAGGACGATGTGCCGCCCGTACCCCCAATACCAGAGGGCATGGGAGGCATGCAGAGCGGCAGGACAAGCCAAGAAAGCGCAACTCACAGGCTTCTCCAGAGCGTCATTAGGCACTCCACGCCTCCGGCTGCTGAGACGTCGAGACTTCGGGGCTCGCCTGTTCCCAAGGAGGCACCCAGAGCCAAAGAGAGCAACGAGCGCCGAGATGCAGAGGCCAGCCACCAAGAGGCACGAGCAGAACAGGCCGAAGATGGAGATGAGGACGAAGGGGCGTTTTCGGCGAAAACTCTCCGTGCTCAGAAAATGGAAGATGATGACGATGACCGCCCTCCACTGCTGAACCACGATTCTGTCCCGCCCAGATGCTTCCCAGAAGACGTTGGCCAAATTTCCGACGTTTCGCCTCCCATGGCAGCTAGCGGGCCTGAACCTGGAGAGATCTCGCCAGTAGTGTCAGCCGTGGGGGCAGATCGCTTAGACGGAGACGGGAGCGAAAACGAAGACGGCAGGCTCCTGCAACCCGAACAAGACACTCTGCAAAAACCTCGACTTTGGATGGGCGATGTGAGTCCCATGTTCGCACCAGTCCCGCTCGCCCTTGGCAGCCCAGAAGACGGCCCCCAGACGCCTGTTGGCGAGACGGCGCCGAGCCACCGCGATACGCGACCGGCGTACGAGACAGAGCTCATCGGCGGCGACGTGTCGCCCATATCGTCGCGCGCGGACGGCGACGAGGAAGCGACGCCAACAAGAGACAATTCGAGGGCGGCGAGCGCAGAGACGGCAAGGCAGACGCGCGAACCGGCGGTCGAAGACGCGGAGCCATCCGATGGCCGCGCAGAGTCGGAGCAGCCTGACGCGCTAACCCCGCATGCAGCCGAGGCCGGCCCTGCGCCACCACTAGCCAGCCCCCAGCAGCGCCTGTCCGCATCTCCATATCAGGTCGTCCACGCAGTCCAGTACGTGCCGTCGCACTCCTCTTGTGAGTCATGGGAGCAGGACAGCGTCGCCGCGCCGTCGCATTCGGACGGGAGCCAGCTCGGCGATAAGCACGACGCCGCCGCCATCCCGCCCGTGCCGCACATGCCCAGCCCGGTCGCGCCGGAAGCAAGCACTGGACGAGCGATGGGATCTGAGCAGAAGCCAGTGGTTATATCCATTTCCAACTCCCCGGCCCAGCCGCATCTGACGCGGCCCGAGCCTGCTCACCAGGAGGACCCGCAATTTCCGAAGCCCGACTTGGGAAAGCCGGGCATTCACAGGCGCTCGGAATCGCTCCTCTCCAAGATATCGTCCATGGTTTCGGCCGACGGCGTATCCATCTCTCCTACATCCAGTCACGCCGCGAGGTCGCGGCCATCGAGCGCCAACCGCCAGCGCCAGGTATCCCCTGCCAAGACCTCGCCACTCCCTGCGCAGATAGAGGAGGAATCCAACGCTGCGGAACGGGAGAAAACCGGCGCGAGCAGCAATGACGACTTTGACCTCTATGCTGACCACAACGGCATTGTCAAGGACGTGCGAGACGAGAGCGGCCAGCCGTTGCGCGTTGCGACTCCTCAGCCAGCCGAGACCATGAACGCTTCGCAAACATCTGCGGCGAATGCGCCTAAAGCGCAGGAGGCGTCAAAGGCAGCCGAAGAGGAGCCAACGAGGTACAGCGATGAACGGCCCATGAGCTTTGTATCCGGTCCTAGAGATGCTCACGGCAGACCCCAAGACCAGATCAATCGACCAGGCACAGCGACAGCAGAGGAGCGCATCCCGCCCGTCCCGCCGACTCCAGACCGCTTTCTTGGAACATCTCTCAGCAAAGCTCAATCCAACGGCGCATCAGAGACGCAGCATATGCAAAAGCAGAATGGAATCCTTCAGCAGCAGTCTTCTCAAGTTGGACATCCCGCAAGCCAGAGCGTCTCACCTGCCGCCAGCCAGCGCCGCGATGTCAGGACGCCACCGCACAGTAATGTGTCTCCACCCCCTCCGAGCAACGCTTCCCCGCCACCGCAGCCGACACCCCCACAAGGCCTTTCCCAGAGGCCGCTGCTTCAGGAGCCACGGCAGTCAAATGGCGTCCCGGACCCAAGAATGCAAGACCCGCGGATGATGCAAGATCCACGTCTCATGGTTGAGGCCCGAATGCGCGGAATGAGCCCTGGCCAGCCGTATCCGCAGGATCCACGAATTCAGGCCCAAATGTACGGCCCAGACCCTCGCAGACAAGGCCAACCTATCGGCTCGCCCACGGGCCCTAGAAACCAGTTTGAACTTCAACAACAGATGATGCAACGTCAAGCAATAGACCCACGTTTGCATGCCGGTCAGTATCAGTATCCAGCTCCCGGAGTTGCAGGCCCGCATCCGGACGCGCACTTGACAAAGAAAGAGGAGAAGTCATCTCGGCCAAGGCTCTCATCAGTCTTCAAAGGCCGTGGCAGCAAATCGCATCCAAGCGCGCCACAGGTCACTCCTCCGAATGATAGCCGCCTCGCCCCTAATGCTAATGCCGCGCCTGGGATTGACAGGCGGGGCGCCTCGTACCAGTCAACCCTAGGAGATCTTCCAGAACAGGTTGTAACAAAGAAGGAGAGGAGATCTAGCGCTTTCGGCTCACCCTCCAATTCCACTCGCCCCGAGAGCATAGGAACAGAATCCCATATTAGTCAGGACAGCACAAGGGTGCAGGCGGCAGATTCTCGCCTTGATCTGAGATACCCTCAGAGCCCTGCCCCATTTAAAGGAATTCCACCACAACAGCCGCCTCCAGGCACAGCCGTAGCCCCGCAGTCGCAGCCCCAACGGGCATCCACCTCTGGGGTGTCAGAGATTGGCAAGAAGAAAAGGTTTTCTGCTCTAGGAAATCTGTTCAATCGAAGCGGATCGGCGACCCACTCTGCGTCTCCAAAATCCAAGCTAAGTAAAGAAGATAAGAAAGCCCAGAAAGCCCAGAAGCATACTACTGCGCCGCCCTTCCAACCGCCAACAGGTCGAGAATGGCCACCGCAACCGCGACCGCAGCCGCAATTCAATCCTGCACAACAGGGTATGCAATACGGTATGCAGTACGGGCCACCAGGAGCTGTGCGGCCATTTCCAGGCATGCAGAATGTTGTGCCTCAGCAGACTATGTCGCCGACTTCGCCGCAAGGTATGCCTCCTCAAGGTATGCCTCCTAAAGGCATGCGTCCTCAAGGCATCCCTCAACAGTATATGCAGCCTCCGCCAGCCTTTCAGCACAATCCGCATATTCAACGCCCGCAATTTAGCCCCGAGGGATCAGCGTACATGGACACAAGACAGATTGCTCAAGCGCGCCAAGCGCCACAGGCGCCACAGGCGCCACAGCAATTTGCAGGGCAACCCATGCAACAGCCTCCTCCAAGCTCTCGCCCAGATCTTCCTATTACGAATCCGTCACTTGAGCAGCGCGGGCATCGAGCCGAAGGCACAGTTCAAGCTCCTCCCCCTGGCGGGTATTACAAGCCCGACTCCAAACAGTCAGAGGTCCGACAAGGCGGTCCAGCAGCCTTTGCGCAACCGAATCATTATCAACAACAGCAACAAGTTGCCCCTCAACATCCTCCTAGCATTCGTAGCGTATCCTCGCCATCACCTGCACAAGGTCTCCCTGCCGCGTCCCCACCATCGCAGCGTCGTGTCAGTTCACCGTTGACCGAGCCACGATACGAGACCCCGCAAATTCCCGCGGCATACAGACAAGTTTCTGGAGCTTATGTTTCTCCAAGCTCAGAACAACCTCCTACACGTCAATCTGGCCGTCCTTCTCCAGCTCACTACGGCCGGCAGTACTCCGACCCTCAGATGCAGCCGATTTCGCCCCAAGTATCTGCCCCAACGCAGATGCCTCCCAATCAGCGGAACGGTTCAGACTCGAGCACTGTCTCAATAGTATCGCCTATCTCGAATCCATCACCCGGCATTCCAAATAGTACACCTGTATCGAACCAGAGACAGCAGAAGCCTAGGATGAGCAGTATCTCCGAGGCAACGCATCAGGAGCGGCCGTGGCATTTGAATTTTCCGCATGGAGCCACTGAGCAAGAGATTGTTCGAGCTCGCCAGCGACAGTATATGGAACAACAGCTAGCCGCTCAGGAGCAAATGCACGCCGAGAGGACTGGACGGTCGCCGTCGCCTCGCTCGTCTCATACGCAGTCAGCCAGCCCTCAACCGCCGCAAGATCTACAACAGTCGAATCAGCCGTCTGCTCAATCTGGCGGCGGTTTCCGTGAGGTCCTACCGCGAAGCTCGCCTCAACCTTACCCTATGGCCCAAAACATACCTCAATCCGCCACCAGCAATGGTCCGCAGCAAGAACAGCAATCTCACACCCCTCACCCGCTACAGCCGTTGCCTATCCACCCTGGTCAAGGCCCTACACCGGCAGCGTATCCTCTCCCAATGTCACCAGATTCGGTCAATATAAGGAGTCCTGTTAATCCCGTTGTGGACACTCTGCCGCCTCCGCCTCCTCCAAAGATACCTCATAGCCCAATGCACGCTAGCTTTCCGGTCGACCATACGCCTCCGCCCCAGCCCCAGCAGCAGCCGCAAGATCCAGTCCAGCAATATCAGCCGGCCCCGCCGGAGCAACAGCCCGACTATGAACAACAGCCGCCTGCCGACGAGCCACCACCCTATTCTGGCCCTGGCATGCCGAATGACGGAATAGAAAAAGAGCGTCCACGACCGCCCAACATCATCACCGACGCTGAGGATAGGGGCCGACATTTAGAGCCGCGTCAACGCCAAGCCTCTTTCGGTATCCTACAGCACCCACAACCTGCTTCTATGGCTGCATCACCGCAACGCTCATCCGCTGACATGGGAGCCGAGGCACTTCGTCGCCAGCTCCTAGAGCAAGAAGAACGCGAACGACAAGAGCGGCTGCAGCGAGCCGAGATTCAGCGCGCTGAGTCGGCGCGCGAGAGACAAGAGCGAGAAAGAGCACGTGCAAGAGCTAGGGAACTGGAACGGAGCGTGTCCGGTGGTGCACGCGTAGGCAGCCTTAGGAGCGCGGAAGGAAGCGGAAGGGCGAACGGACCGGGCTGGGAGAGAAGAGGCAGTACCACGAGACCGGTGTTTGAGCTGCCCGCTGAGGAAGACGATGAGCCTGTTATGCGCGCTACATCGTTCCCCGGTCAGGAATGGGTACCAACGTGGACCGAAGATTAGGCCACCTTGCGTATCTACCCGCGTTTTGATCTCTTTTTGAAGGAGTTCCCACTTTATATTTTCTTGTATATCCCAGGTCGGCTTTAATTTTTTTTGTATACTGATTGGAGCTGGATACCCCATTTTCCTTTCTGCCATTATTTTTGGTGTACTAGTCAATCTACTACCTAATCAAAGTGTTTATATTCCTCCTTTATCGGTTCGGGTCATCTCCGCATCTCGTCTTCTTGTGACTCAGAATAATATTATTGTTTTGTCCTGTCCCGCTTCCGCCTACTCCGTTTCCGTGGTTCGTCCTCGGCTACCATATCTCTCGTCGAACTTTGAGCGACTTTGCGGCGGATTTTTCCACGGGAAGGGGACGACTCGGCTATACATTCCGGGTCTCTTAGAGCGGATTCTGTGGTAAGCAGACTTGAGTGGAGTAAAAAGGCGCACAAGCTGGAGCCCGCCCGGGCGACGTCTTGCCCAGGTGCCTTCAAAATTTCTGGTTTTCTGTACCGCACAATGCCATCCTTTGTATATAAGGACACTGTTCCCGGGCTCTATATGCATCCATCGATAGTCACCACATCCCCCTGAAGTACGCTCGGTCGACGAAGATACACTACCCGCTAAACTGATTCACCACCGCAAAACTTCCTCACCACAAAGATGTTCCGCACAGCTACAGCCGTCATCGGCAAACACATTCCGCGCTCCATCCCAGCATCCTCCGCTCGCGCCTGGGACTCACGTCTCCCCTACGACCTCACGGTGGAGCGCTTGAATTTCGACACCACTCGCGCACGAACAGCCGCGTGGGAGCCGTCTCCTCCCCTACTCCCTCTCTACACCAGTACTCGACCACCTCAGACACAACAACACAACGACGCAGACACTGCGCCCCGCAGCCCCTGGGATCCCTGTGCCACCCGCCCACTCCTCATGAGCGGCGTCCTCTCCTCGCCCGCCATGACCCTCCGTACGTCTGCTATCCTGGGCGAAATGGACGTCCATGTTGCCGAGTCGCCCGCCCGCAGCCGGGAACCAGCGCTGAGTAGACCAGCAGACTCCATGGCTGCCATCGCGCAGAAGCCGTCGGTCGTTGTGCATACGCCACAGCCGTGGCCATACCGCCTGCCCAAGTTCCTGCAGCCGAAGCCCGGCACGACGTACCACGCCATGTATGGGAAGGTCGGCGCGGAGGACAAGGATGCAGATGCGGAGCCTGTGGGCGTCCTGCAGGCGGTGCTGTATGGGATCCCGGAACCGGATGGGTATGTGTGGCGGAAGGAGAGGCGGTGGGGGATGTTGGTGCGGCGGGTGCTGTATGGAGAGGGAGAGGTGGGTACTGGGGATGGGAAGGGCGAGGTTAAGGTGGAAGAGGGTGAAGAGGATAAGGGTGGGGTTGTGGTGGCTAAGTAGAGGTGTTGGAGATGTTGGGTAGAAGAAGAGGTAGACTACGTGCAACGTTTGTGTGTGTAGATGGCATTCCTGCGATTTTCGATGTATGGGGGATGCTGTGAAATGGCCTGTTTTGCGCAGTGTGTGTTTGGGATTCTGGGATTCAAACATGGTGTGGGAATGATATGTTGCAAGTGTAGCCGATGCGGGAGATGTCGACGGATCGTGCCTTCCTCCGGTTGGCGGAGTGCGTGAGGCGGCGGCGATGCCGTTGTTGAATGGACGGCGGTTCTTGAAGCCTCATCAACACCTTTGAATACTTTGCTCCGAGTGCACCCTTCTGTCAATGTATATTCGTTCTGCTTTTGCCCTACTATGCTCTTACCGTGAAAGCTGCATTCAAGTCACTCCTTCGATCACGCCTACCCCGCCATAGCCTTGCGTTCACTTTTGCCTCGCTAGTCAGCACGAAGAGTAAAGATAGCCTTGTGGTTGCTGCAACGCCCTCCGCCTCCTTTATATAAGCTCTACTTCCCGCACTTCCAGACCTCTTCTCAACAAAATTTGAATCGACTGCAGCCTCATTCCTTCGACTTCGGAGAACGCAACTTTAACTTGCAACATTACCATAATGACTTTGTGGGACTTTCTCGGCATGTCCGGTGGTTCTGGACCACCCGGAGATGACGAAGAAGCTAGCCTGCGTCTAGCCAGGCAGCTCGACGCTGAGCTGAACTCAGACCAACCAGCCCATACAGCGAGTTCATCGCTTCGCGATCCGGATTACCATGCCAGTCTGGCGCTTGCTAAGCAGCTCAACGATGAGTTGAACCACCCGGAGCAAGTCTACCCCGAGGAGCCCAACCCCTTCGCTTCAGATGCAGGGGCCGCAGCGGAACTCTCATCATCCTCACCTCTTGAACTGCCACTTCGAGGAGGGGGGAAGGCAGGTAAGGAGCCCGTGAGGCCATGCCACCAGGACTCTAATACTACATACTCTGGCACTACATATTCCAAGACTCTCAGCACGCTCAAGGACTTCATCAATATTGTGGCGTCGAGAAAATGCGCCAAGTGCAATACGCACCTCATCCAGTCTGCTGACGACGTCGAGAACTTATTCAAGGGTTGGGTAACTGGGAAGGGTAAGTCTCCCCACTGTCCTCTTGCAGATTGAAGGGCTAACCTGGCGACAGTTGCGATGTGTTCGTGGCTTAAGTGCAAGAAATGTTCTACAACCGCTTGTATTGCATGCCCATCTCAGACATCTTCAAAACAGATGTCAGTCAAGGTTGGGAGCACTCAGATCTCTTGGTGCTGCAGCCGTGGCCGCCTTTTCATGATCTGGGTTGTGCTCTGTGGCTTCGACCAACAGTACTGCACTGCTAAGCAGCGAGAGGCGGCAAAGTCTGGAAAAGGACGTAGCCATACAAGCAGCGGAACCGGCTATGGTGGAACCAACCGACTCGCTAGATTGGGAGACTACGATAGCGGGGTTGGCTATGGCGGCGATGAAGACCACTTCGGTTTTCCGTTTGGCCGTCGTGGCGGGTCTCTCCAGGCACGCCAGGATCCCGGAAAAGCTAAGGCACAGAGTGCTCAGCAAGTCACTGATGAGTTCCACAAGACCATGCTAGCGTACCTCGAAGAGCTGCTCCCATCCTTGGACCGGGAGTCTCGATTCGATTTGGATCCGCCAGAGGCAGTGACAGACTTGCTTTTAGACAGCAAGATCCTAAATTATTGCGCCGAGCTTCTTCGAAACGACTCTTTGGACGACGCTAGCAAGCGGAAAGACTTGTACCAAGCCCTTCTCAACTTCCTACGCATAATTGGCACTCACCACATCACGGCCAATTTGACAATGTTCAAAGAGAGACCGGTCCATCCCGACAGCGTCAACATATTGACTTTATCCTTCGCGCGGAATGACCACGGGCCTGGGAAAGAAACTACGATCTCGCTCGCGGACGGCCTCCGAAACCTCAACATTCAGAGCAATATAATGCTGAAGAATGCTGCACGCAATGAGCAAGAGTTCAAAACCAACGAAGGACAAGACTTACTATGGTTGTGTCGCCAAATATCAGATCTCTCGGAGTGGCTCCTCAAAAATACCAAGGGTGGTTGTGGTTCCGGCGCCAAGTCATCGTCGAACGGACCAAATGATCGCGGAATTATCGAGGTGCGCGATTCTGATATTTTTGCCACACATCGCTTCGCTGGCGAGGCCATGGGAGTTCGGCATTCGGCACCTGGCCGCATCAAACGCCTGATCACTGAGATCACCACGCTGAAGACAGGCTTACCGCCAGGCATCTTCGTAAAGTACGCGGAGTCAAGGCTTGATATGATGAAGTTTGTCATCGTCGGTCCATCGGGAACACCATACGAGAATGGACTTTTTGAATTCGACCTGTTTTGCACAGCTGAGTTCCCCAATAGATCGCCGAAGTGCTTCTTCAGAGGAGCTGCCGGGGGGATGCCTTTCAACCCAAACTTACATTCTGATGGGAAAGGCAAGTTTTGCATCCGAGCTTTGATCAGTCAGGAACTAACCAAGATACAGTCTGTCTCTCTCTGCTAGGCACTTGGCTCGGAGAGCCATGGCGACCAGGCCAATCGACTATTCTCCAGATCCTCATATCCATTCAAGCCATGATCTTCTGCGAGGAGCCTATGTATAACGAACCGGACGAACCCGTAGATAAAGGCCGCAGTCGAATGTACAACCAAACAATCCGTGCACTTACTACGAGCTATGCGTTACTGGACTGGGTGGAGAACCCTCCCAAGTTATGGCAAGACGTGGCGGATCTCCACTTCAAGAAAAATGCAAATAAGATACTCCAGACTGCTGGCCAGTGGGCTAATGAGAACATTGACCCGCCGGGGGGTAGGGGCCGCTACGGGCTACAACCGTCGCAGACGTTGGGCCAGCTGCAGAATGCGTTGCAAAAGAAATATGGCGTCACTACAAGCACTCAGCAGAACACTGGCTGGAATCCGCCATCTGGAACGGGCCCCCGATACGGTAGCGGTTATGGATCGAGCCATGCGCCTGGAGGGGGTAGCGGTTATGGTTACGGTTCGGGCACGGGTCAAGGCGGACACGGAGGAGCACGTCGATACTAAGGTGCTCGGGCTAAGGAGCGTGAACATGGGCTTTATTGAGGGACGAGTAGTTGAATGAGCAAACGCCGTTTGCGAATGTTCCGTAGCGAGCAAGTGTTGCTTGGGCGGCCGGTAGTCTCCATCTAGGCGTCACCAACGGAAAACCCATAGGTCGAGAAGTCATGTGCTGTTCCGGGGATTTGCTTAGCGATTTAGGCAATATAATGTGGACATAAATGAGTTATTCCCCCTCGAAAGGTCGAAAGAAAGCAGATGCCACGATGAGTGAACTTGAAGACAAATATACAGGCGTGCTGAAAGTGATGGAATCGTCTGCGGGATGTGAAGGGACCTCGGGATATTAGGGGTTTCGGAACCATGTCATTAATAATGGGTCGGGTCACGTGCGAGTAGTGTTTACGGCGCACGGTTTCGCCCACGCCGATTACCCTACCAGCCTCCCCTTCTGTCAATGTATATTCGTTCTGCTTTTGCCCCTACTATGCTCTTGCTGTGAACGTTGTCTTGATGGACACGTTGTGTTCACACTTCAATCTTGCCACGCAGACTCGACCATTGATGTGCTGAACGTGTCAAAAACACAGTTTGCCATGCTTCCGTGCATGTGAAGGGAACTATTGAAGACGGCATGTCTCTCACTCTGTGGACAGCTTACTTTATATTCCTGCTCTCTTCTTTTCCTGCATTTACTTTTCTAAAGTAGCGACAAATTGCTTGCTCCTATTAGATGTCTAATTCAGTTACAACTCCGAGTACCCATATGAGTGAGAAAATGTCCGAAGATTGCTGGGTGTCAGAAGATAGAGCAGAAGTGGGCCTAAGCGCTGAAATGCAAAGCAAAGGTGCGTCTAACACCAGTTTATCACGCAGCCTTCCAAAAAGGAGGCCGCTAGATACACAGTGCTATGCTAACATAGCGAAAGATGTGCCAGTCAATGCTTCAGTCCAAGGACCCCAAGTCCGCTTGCGTGGAGGCGGACCCGACACGCGAACCACGTCAACCACGTCATCCACGACGTTCAATACTTACAAGGATTTTACCCAATATCTTGCAACGAGAAAATGCCCGTCCTGCAACACAGCATTCATTGTGGCTCAGAAGGACGTAGAGTCCTTGTTCAGAAGCTGGGTCAACGGAAACAGTAAGTCGCTCGATCTCACTCCCTTCCGCAAGCAGGAGCTGATACCCGGAAGGTTCCATTTCGCCGCAGATAAAATGCAGGAAATGCTCCAAGTCCACTTGCATCGCATGCTTCGACAAAGCAGCCAACAACTCCACCCAAGTCGACGTCCAAGGCACAAAACTAAAGTGGTGCTGCAGTCGCGGCCGCCTATTCATGATCTGGGTCATGCTCTGCGGCTTCGACCAACAGTACTCAGATTCCAAGCGCAGAGAAGCCGCCAAATCCGGGGCAGGTCGTCGAACGACTCAACAGGGAACCGGCACCGGCTATTCCAGACAGGGTGGCTTCGACTATGACGAACACCCGTTCTTCGACACCGGCTTTGGCCGCTGTGGTATGTTTGGGCGGAGTATGCAGACGAACATCGATCCGGGGAGGACGAAGGCGCAAGGCGCCGAGAAGGTCGCGGATGACTTTAGCAGGCTGGTCCTGTCATTCCTAGCGGTTCTGCTGCCGTCGCCGGACAGTAATACGAATTTCGATGTTAATCCGCCTGAGGCGGTGACGTCGATGCTGCTGGAGAGTAAGGTATTGAATCAGGCGGCCGAGCTGCTGCGGAATGATTCTCTGGACAACGCGTCGAAGAGGAAAAGCCTTTACGATGCTTTGCTGGGACTGCTCCGTAACATCGGAACCCATAAGATTACGTCTAGGAAGGCGATGTTTAGCGAGCGCCTCGTTAGGCCCGACGCTGTCAACCTCTTCACGTTATCTTTCCAGGGCGGCTTCTCAGGGACGAAACAGGAACCAGCATCACCACTTGCGGACCTTCTGCGAAACCTGAACATCCAGAGCAATATGATGATGAAGGGTGCTTGGAAGAACAGGAAGGAGTTCGACAACCAGGAAGGCAGAGATATGCTGTGGCTGTGCCGCAAAATTTCCGATCTGTCCGAATATCTCCTGGGCAAAGACCAAGCCAAGACAGAAACGGCAGGGTCCAGCGTTGTCGAGGTGCCGGACGATGATATCTGTCCTACGTATCATTATACGAAAGACGCACAAGGATTGCGCCAGTCGCCCTTCGGAAGGATCAAGCGTTTAATAACGGAGATCACGAGTCTGAAGACTGGATTACCCCCAGGTATCTTCGTGAAGCATGGAACGTCCAGGCTTGACATCATGAAGTAAGCGTTTCAATCGTCCAACTGGCAATGCTAACAAGAAGTAGATTCGTGATCGTCGGTCCAGAAGGCACGCCATACGAGAACGGGCTTTTCGAGTTCGATCTCTTCTGTCCGCAGAGGTATCCTCACGAACCGCCAAAGGTGTGGTTCAAGGGAACGAACGGTGGCACGATTTATATCAATCCCAATCTCCACGCAGACGGCATGGGTAAGCTTCCCCCGCTCGCTTCGAGACGCAATTCTAATAACCAACTCCTAGTCTGCCTCTCCCTCCTCGGAACTTTCGAGGGTGAACCCTGGCAGCCTGGCCTGTCAACCCTCCTCCAAGTCCTCATCAGCATCCAAGCCATGATTTTCTGCGAAGACCCAGTGAGCAACATCCCCAACATCGGAATAAACCAGGGTTTCTTCAACAACTCTGCGTTCAACAAGAATATCCGCGGTTTGACTGTGGAATTTGGCTTGCTGGCATGGGCGAAGAAACCGCCCAGGTTGTGGAAAGAGGTGGCGGATGCGCACTTTAGGAGGAATGCGAATAAGATCCTGCAGACTGTCGAGAAGTGGGCAAGGGAGTTCGATGCGAGGACTCAGCGGGGCGAGTCGCTGATGGGAAGGCCGGTGAATATCCCTACTTTGCTGCCGAAGCTGCGCGAGGTGCTTAGGACGTATGGTGCGAGTTATGCACCTCAAAATGCGGGAACAGCTACGCAACAGCACTCGGGTCGAGGACAAACTGGGTACGGAAGTGGTAATGGCTCGCAAGGGTTTCCGGGAGGCGGTCGCAGCGGATTTACGGGCGGAGGTAGAAGTGGTTGGCGGTATTAGGTGAGTTGGGGTGAATTCTCTGGTCCCGTCTCTTGAAGCACGGGGGTTTACCTGGGATGCGATCGAAATGCGGAGGCACCGGGGATGGGATGCGAGTAGTGAGACATATCTGCGGCTCCAGAATCAAGACCTAAGTCAATGACCATCTAGACGACACCATTAGAGTTCACATCGAGATACAGTCATGGACTTCTGCTGATTCTTTTATCCGCATCTAAGATAACGCGTAAATGAATAAGTACTTGGCTTCACATAAGCGTAAGTCTAAGGATGTCAAAAGCGACTGTGTGCTCAAACGAACGAGTTTGGAAAACAAAACTTTCATTTTCTGAAAGGCGGCGAAAAGGGTGCGGAATCAGGTGGAGGTGAGGAGGGGAAGGGTTAGAGATGTATTTCGAAAGCTGCGTGCCTAGGGGTGGTGATGGTGTGGGGTCACGTGCGGTTAGTGTTTACGGCGCACGATTTCGCCGACGCCGATTACTCTAACATCAGAGCCTCATAGCTACGTCCACACAACCAACCCGTCTGCCCGCTTACCACGACTCGTAGTCTCCCTCCACCCTTTTTCTCTACCCTTGCCCAGCATTTACGATTACCCTCTCAATCTCCGCCAGCTCAACAACCCTGCGCCACAATGTCGAGCGCGCATGTGCTGAAGGCCGACAAGGACTTCACGAAAGAGGTCGATAAGGTTCTTCCGGAGGCGGAGAAGCTTGGAGCCGTATGTATAGAAAATAATAGAGCCAATCCCGGAGCTAACAGCGATGTTCAGAGCAATCCCCAAGCGGCGATCGAGAAACTGCTTGTGCTCGAGAAGCAAACCCGCCAGGTTCGTTGTAGTCGCAAGACCGCTACCCATCGCTGCATGCTCACCTATTCAAGGCTTCCGATCTCGCATCTACCTCCCGAATCCTCGTCGCGATATGCACAATAGCTAAGAATGCCGGAGACTGGAGTCTGCTGAACGAGCAGGTCCTGCTGCTCTCAAAGAAGCATGGACAGCTCAAGCAGGCCGTCACCAAGATGGTGCAGACAGTCATGGGGTTTTTGGATGATACGCCGATCCTAGAGACGAAGCTCTCGGTCATCGAGGCCCTGCGAACCGTCACCGAGGGCAAGGTGCGTGGCGCAGCTGCCGCAGGACAGCGGCCTGATGCTGATGTGTTCCAATAGATCTTCGTCGAAGTCGAGCGAGCGCGAATCACACGGATATTGTCTAATATCAAGAAGGAGCAGGGTGACATCAACGCCGCGGCCAACATCCTATGCGAGCTGCAGGTGGAGACATTCGGCTCCATGACCCGCCGGGAAAAGACAGAGTTCATCCTACAACAAGTGGCGCTGTGCATACAGAAGGGCGACTGGACACAAGCTGGTATCCTCAGCAGGAAGATTAGCAAGCGCTATTTCACACGGAAGCCGAAGAAGACACCCGAGCAGTTGGAGAAGGAGAAGAAGGAGCGGGAAGAGAAGGAAAAGACGCGGAGTGCCGACGAGCCGCCACCGGAGCCGGAAGACGATGTCACTGATCTAAAGCTCCGGTATTACGAGCAACAGATTACGCTAGCCAAGCACGATGACAAGTATCTCGATGCCTGCAAGCACTACCGGCAGGTGCTAGACACGGAGGCAGTCGAGGAGGATCCGAGGAAACTGAAAGCGGTAAGGAGACATCGAATGCAACAGCCATACACTCTCTAACAAGCGCAGGTGCTGCAGCGCGTCATCTACTTCATTATCCTTGCGCCGTACGACAACGAACAATCCGACCTCATCCACCGCATCCAGCGCGACTCCCGAAACTCGATGATTTCACAAGATGCGCAGTTGCTCAAGCTATTCACCGTGCCGGAGCTCATGAGGTGGCCTATGGTAGCCAGGCAGTTCGGCCCTCACTTGGCGGGGACGGGCGTGTTCGACGCGGAGCCGGACGATTCAGACGACCCGAAGGCACACAAGAGGTGGCAGGACTTGCGCAAGCGAGTTATCGAGCACAATGTCCGTGTGGTTGCGAAGTACTACACGCGCATCCAGATCCCGCGGTTGACGGAGCTATTGGATCTGACGGAGGACGAGACTGAGAAGTACATCAGCGAGCTCGTCACGGCGAAGACGATCTACGCCAAAATCGACAGGCCCGCTCGCATTGTCAGCTTCGCGAAGCCTAGAGATGCTGACGACGCACTGAACGAGTGGAGCGGAAACATGAAGAGCTTGCTCGGGCTTCTGGAGCGCATCGATCACCTCATCACCAAGGAAGAGATGATGGCGCGCATTCAGCCTAGGAAGGTTGGGAAAGGCAAGGGAGGGAAAGCTAAAGCGAAGTGAGGGAGGAAAATAGCTGGCTGGGACGTCGGAGTATTCATGATTGGTCTAGACATGGTTGAGCCTCTATAATGCTGGCTCCGCGCATACCGAGCGCATGTAATATAGACGTCCGAATATGCCTGCCTGCGCCGTGTGGTCTATCCTCTATGTCCAACGCCACGCTGCCCGAAATGCATACAATATGATAATTCAAAATGGAACGTCCATATCCTCCACGCTCTCTTCCTTCTTCCCCTCATTATCCGCCTTGTGTAATATCTCCTTCATAAACCCAATTAGCGCAGCCACATACGCCTTCTGACTGCTCGGCAAAAAGTGTCCTCCGGGATGATAGACAACCCTCCCTTTGCTTTCCTCACACGCCGCTACCAGCGCCAGACTTCGCGCCTCTTCGACAACCGCATCCAGCGTGCCCAAGAAATGCAGCATCGGCGTCTTAATCTTCGGCTCGTAGAACCCCTTATACAGATCCGTCCCTCTTGCGGCAAACCCCGAATAGCTGACCGCGAACTTGAGCGGTGGATGTATCGTCCCCTCGACATAGCCCGTATCCGCCTCAAAAGACTCGGGGTACGACATCCCACCCTTGGGGTAAAAAGCCTCAAACGCAGCGCGCCGATCCGGTTCCAGTAGACTCGCCAGCATCGCCGCGCACGCTCCGCCCTGCGAGAAGCCGATGACGCCGTCGAACGGCCCTTCCTTTTGCAGGACGTCCGCTAGATGCGCAAGCCCCTGTTCTATGCCCTCGTAGCGGTACGGCTCGCCCTCGCCCTTGCGCCGCCACCACGCCCAGGCATCTGTTTCTTCTGCGTCGCCGCCGTCGTTGGTGAGCGTGGAGCTGGATACGGGGAAGGGCACGTCGGCGGGGAGCAGCCGGATCGGCGCGGTCGGGTAGTGCAGCGATATGCCCGCGGGGAAGGCTTTGGCGAGGTTTTTCTCCAGCGCGCGCGTTTTGGCGTGGAAGAGTGGGCCGGATTGCGTGAAGCCGTGTAGCATGAGGACTTTGATTGGGCGGGTGGGCGGAGGGGTCTGCGCCATGATGACGGAGCGGAGGAGGAGCTGGATGTTTCTCGGGCGTAGGTTGGGGGGGGGGATGGAGAGGAGAAGGAGCGCGCGCATGTAGGTGGAGGGAAGAGTGGCGAGGTGGTTGAGCTGTTGGGGGGTTTGATGGGGAAGTTCGGAATCATCGGAATCGGACCGAGTGAGTCCACCATAAAAAGACAAAAGAGGAACGTTTACGATATAGAAGGCCTCGAGCACGCCGACCAAGGCTATGAAGTTGGTGGAGCACGTCGCGCTTTACTCTGGGCCCTGTTGCTATGACGCATACCGGAACCCTTTGACGCCACTCCAAGGTTGGCCTCTTTCCTTCCTCTCATCGGCGAGCCTGTTCATGTGCTTGAGATAAATGGACATGCTGAAGGCTCCAATTGTGTACAGAATCTATATACTAAAAGTTGCCTAAATGCTTGGGAGATGGAGCTGCCACTAGACTAGTCAGGCCCCAGGATCCATCTCAAGCGCCTACGGGAATACTTCACAGGCGCATCCTTACTCTGGAAGATAGCACTCCCCGAAATCCCACCGCAAGCCCCCGCTGTAATCGTAGCAGCCGCAACTGGTTGCAGTCGCCGAAACGTGGAGTGCTGGGTTTGCAGTGCTGAAGGGCTGAGGAAATGATCGCATGTTGCAAAGATACGCAGATTGTGTGATCGTATTTGTGAAGAAAACGTAGAATGCATTTTTCGGCTCTATTTCAAATAAATATCACTCTGCTTGGATTGCGGGATGCAGTGCAAAATACCCGACTTGAACTAGATTGGTGTGAATCAAAAACGTGGGAACTCGATTCTTCGCGCTATCGAACAAGACGTCGTCAAGGTGCGCGTCTACCGTCTCGTGAAGGGAGCATGTGTGGTAAGGCCATCTTGATATCTCCATCGATACTCGTGGCAAGCCCTTCGTCTTCCAGATCCCACTGGACGCCGGAGTGTGCACCCAAACCGACGCGGATCAATTTTACGCTGCCTTGACTCTCACGAACAATGTCCTCATTCGGCCACCGCAAAACGCCCGGCGTGTTCATACCTGCGCCCAGCTCCAGTATGACCGTCTTCTTCCCACTCGCCAATATCCTGCTCTTGAAGTTTCCCCAGCGCGTCTCGCCTGTGTGGAATGGCTGGTCGTTGAACCAGGATGCTGCTCGCACGCAGATGAACATAGCGCCGCCGCAGTTCTGGCATGTGGGCACGGCGGATTCGTCCTTCAGCCGCTGTGTCGCTGGGTCCATGAGCGGGCGCGCCGCATCTAGATAAGGCAGTGACGGCCAGTACGAGTCCGGGCGACAGTTTGCCATGCATTGCAAGAAGGCGTACTGACCTTGTGGCGTAGATGTCTGCTCCTCAGGCCAGCCATTCGCCACAAATAGCCCATCCGCATTCGACGTTCTCACATGAGCGTCCTCCCCAAATTTCTGCAGCCACGCGATAAGCGTCTTGTACATATCCGACTGGGGCCACGAGCGAACCAGCTCCAGATGCGTGAAGTAGTAGCTCCAGCGGTCGAGCTCGGATGGCCAGTCGGCGAAGCCAAAGACGTCGTAGAGGCGGTTGAAGCCGTATTGACGAAAGGTGGGGAAGTGCGTCCGGAAAAGGGTCGGGGAGGTATAGTCGAGTCCGTCTGCGGCGGAAAGGCCAGCGCCTGCGCTCAGGATGATGGCGTCGGCTTCTTGGAGCCAGCGGCGGGCTATGAGGAGGGTGTCGCACTGGAACCTGGGCTGTGAGTTGGCTGGTGAGGCTACTGAGTGCCACCCAGGCTTGGGCGTCTCCAGGAGGGAGCTGTAGATGTCATGGTCTTCGTCAGTATATGTCACAAAGATAACATCCGTAATCGACGAGTCTTCGTGGTGCGCTAGCCATGCATAAACGGTGCCGACCGCTATCCCAGCCGCAACAGTGGTAGGGAACGCGAAAAGACCCGTCGAGATCCCACATATCGCAACCCTTTTCGCCCCATCGCTCGACGCAGGTAGACTGTCTGCTTCTTCAAGCACAGAAATATAGCACTGGCGAAGCTGCTGTCGTTCATCCTCAGTCGGCGCGTCGCCCCGCTGCAGCTGAGGTCCCACCGTGTGAATGACAAACGGCGCCGGAAGACAATACCCTCTCGTAACCACGGCATCGCCCACTGGTAGCTCCCCCTTCGTCGCCGACATGATGTCGAAGCACTCTTGTCGCAGTCGTGGGCCGGCCCAGGAATGGATTACGTTGTCGATGCATTTGTGGCTCGGTTGGAAGCAGCCCAGCATCTGCGAGTTCGCGGCATTAGTGATGGCGGTGACATCGGAGGCGAGCGTCGTAATGTCTCCTTTCCAGAGCTTGATGTTGACAGAGGGGCGGCCTTGCCGGTCGAGGGTGGAGATGGGGCGAATGGAGGCACCGGGTGTGAGGATGCGGTGTTTGCGCTCCTGGAGCAGTACGGCATCGATGTCCTCTAGCACATCCCGTGAGAGCGGAGGGCGAGGCGAACGCACGCACAGAAGCTGCCGCAAAAGTTGAAGCTGTTCTAAAGATTCGAGTTCGCCGAGATAAGACTGGAGACGACGCGTTTTGATGGCGGGCGATTCGTTGAGGAGAGCTCGTAGCGCACGCTCGAGGACCGACGCCGGAAACATGCTCAATTGACATGGCCATATGCTTCTCTGAACGAGCTACATGTTATATGCAGCCTGAATTGGGACCGCATTTCATCCTACCGTATCTGCAGCTTTGTCAGCCGCGACGGAATTGCGCCGCGTCGGAGTCACTGCCAGAGCAACCGCTCCGTCAGCGCCGCGATCAAGGGGGCATAACTATCAACGTGTTGACAAAACATTCAGTAGGCGTCGTCAATAGCTTCGAGAGCGGCAATGTCATTAGGCTAGGGACTGGCGATCAGCGTCGGCTCTGCTTCGCGTCACGCTCGGGAGAAGCTGGCCAATCAGGCCCGCTGAAGATGAACTTCATCCCATCTCACGACAGAGCGTCCCCGACGAAACACGCGCACAACGGACTGTTGATATGTCTACAATGCCATTTCAAGCGTTCAGAACGACTCGGAGGCATTAGAGGAAGCCTCTGGTGAGATGGCGATCAGCTGGGGCTCGAAATGCTGCCAGCAGCGCATGCCCTTCAGCGACTGCACTCGGTCGACGAGACGTGGGTTCGCGCTTTCGCAGGTCACCGACTCTCAGCATGAAATGTCTCCTCTCTCTTTGTTGGGTTGGTCACTGAGCTTGAAGTTCTGCTTTGGTGGATGCACGCCGTCGGATTACCTGCTGCGATGAGGGCGGTACAAACTTTCATACTGTCGCACGATTCCTTTCTTCCAAAGCCAAAGACATGCCTCGAACTCTTCAGTATCTGATCTATCCATCTTCAGTCTCCTTCCCCTCTCAGTGCATACTAAGGTTCTCTGATCCGCGTAGACTGCGAGCACACTCTTGTCAGGGCATCCGCACGCCAAAGAAAGGCCCACAGCAACACAAACACCGATCATACAGGAAAGCATAGACTCCACAACCCGTGGAATGGTTGCAGTCACTCGCGCTCGTGGACAATGGCGAGCTCGCACTTACGGGACTGCCCCCAGGGCACCGGCAGACCGCAACCTCGGAGTGGGGGACGACTCACTCACACACTGTCAACGCGTTGCCGCAGAGTCACAAGAACATGCAATACACACTCAGAATGGACTTCTTACAGGACCCGCGGCTGGCGCTCGCAGCTCTGCGTAACGGATGCTCGGCAACACGTCACCGCGACTGCCAAATCCGAGCGACGATAACGCCATCCTTAGGCCGACTATATCACAACAGAACAGCACTGCATCTACAGCACAGATAGCAGCAGGACACGCGTCTACTACGGATTTGCGCTCATTCCTTCGCCTCGACGGCTCTCCAACCCCAAAGCTTCCTGTCCTTCCGCCGCCGCCCCGTCGGCATCGATATCCGACGCGCCCTCGTGCCCTGCGTCGCAGCTGCCTCGCCGGTGTTGCTCAGATCACGAGCGCTCGGCTCATTGGCCCGTGTGATCTTGCTGCCTTGGCTTGGCGCTCTGACCGCGCTCTCACCGCGCTCTCACCAACGTCGCGGCCCCGACGCTATCCGCCTTTTGCCTCACCTTACAGGCTCTCACCGGCCTCCCCGAGCTTCTCGTCGTCGCCAGATCAACGGCAGAGCTAAGCGAGGAGGGCCCGAGCGCGCTGACTGTTCTAGCGCCTGAGGGGGGTCTATATAAACCTCGCCCGCCCCCCTCCAACCAAGTTTCCTTTTCTCCACTCACCCAATTCAACGTCTCAACCCTCCCAACTTCTCCAACCATCCCAACTTCTCCAACCATCCCATCTCTCCAACATCCTTCAAGATGTCCTACCTTCATCTCACCTCTTCGACTTCAAGTCATCTTCAGGTATGTCACCTTCCACTTCACCTTCAGCCTTTGTCACTAACATCATTCAGTCACCTACATCTACATGTGACTCACCTCTACCATGAGCAACATATCTCATCGTCGCTTCACGTCAAACAATACTCACATGCGACACACACTTCAGTCTGTCATGGTCGCCATGACCCCTCTACCTCACCTATTCTGTCGACCTGGTACGCCCTATCTTGCACTCACGCACGGTATGCTAATGCCATCAGCTCTGCTTGCACCTACCGTGTGACTTCAACAACAATGACCTCGCCGCCTTGACCAATCTACCTCACTCGGCAACTATCAGCCACGTCAACACAGCAGTAGAGCACGTCGACATACCACCCTCAACAACCAACCTCTCAACCAACCGTCTCTCTCAACAACCATCTCGGCTCACTCTCGGCTTCTGCGATGCAGCTTCTCATGTTGAACTGGTCTGTGTGAACACTCGTTTCCTGACTGTCATACTAGTAGGGGTCGCGTGGAATTGAGGGTCTCTGTACCTGGCCTGCCCTGAACGGTGACGACTAGGATCTGTTTCGTGCACCGCAGTTAGCCCCTGTGAACTGTATCAAGGTATGCTGGAGTGAGCTGATGACCGACCGACAACCGAACAGTGAGAAACACTGGGCACCGGACAGGAGATCACGACACCGATATATCTCCTGGGCGTTCCTGGTCTGAGGATCAGTGTAACGTTGAGCTCGATCGGATGAACATCAAGGATCAAGTACAGGGTGTGGTACTAAGGCCACAGGGTCCCTTGAGTTGGATGCTGGTCATAGGTGCTTTGATTGTCATGGTCTCAGGGTTTAGGTCTTTCATGGATGCTAGGAGTCAGATCAGGGTTTACAGGTGTTTGGGTTCTATCATGGTTGATGGTCACTTAGATGTTCTACCTTCATGGGTGGTTGCTTGGATGATGGATACAAGGTCTTCGAATGGTCTCACCACATACAATGAGAACATTCACACATCACTCTTTCTGTGCACTCATACATTCTGTGATGTTTGTCTGTACGGTCTGCTCTTTGGTTCTATCGAAGCCTTTAATGACTATCATTCTCCCCCATACAGGACTGGCACACTGACAATCCATTCCATTATCTAACAGGCATCGAGATCGCCGCGCACCGCACCCTCCACCATAAAGCATTGCGCTCGTATGGCACTGCTAAGGCTACTACGGCTCGCTGAGCGACATCGGGGGAGTTTAGTACATTGGAGGATGGGGCAATGTAGTCATGATGGCATTGAGGAGCGGGCGGATTTACAGTTAGTGGCGAAGAGAGCGCAGCTGCGGGAGACGCCGGTATGGAGGCTAGGAAGGTATGAGAATGTTAAGCGGAGGCTTAAAGCTAGGAATTTGTGATTGGCGGATGCTATTTGTGCGGCAGAGAAGGTAGATAATTGGATACTGACGCCGTGACTCTATCCGGGTAGCAAAACCGCGAGGGATAAGTACTCAGGATTAGAAATAAAAAAGAATACCTAATGCATGGAGCTCACCCTCCATACGCATACTATTATATAGTTGTCTTGCGTCTCTTGGCTCCTCTCCCACGACGCCTTCAGCAGAATCTGATTCGCACCGGCAGGCCCTCAAAACCCCGCCACGCAACCCTCGCATTGGCGTACACCGTCTCGGAAACGAATTACGTGTACCCATCCTGGCGCTTCTTCGCCTCGTCAGCCCTATAGCACATCCCGACGATTGCTGCGGCAAGCAGTGTCTAGTACAACTTCTTCCAAGCTTTGACGCGAAGCAGCCTTCGACACCAACGACCCGCGCAAAGGGTGCTAAGATAAGCTGGAAAGCGGCGTCGATGAGAGAGTGGTAGGATATGTGTTTGCTCTGCTCGAGGGGCGTCGCGAACTCTGGGTGTCTCGGGAGATTGGGCGCGTTCGTGGGCGTCGATGGTGTGTCGAAGAGCTGGAGGTATGATAGTAGATGGGGAGGGTGAAGGCGTTGGAGGATCTTGGAGCCCCGCTGATAATGCTACTAACGAAGAGGATGAAGCGCACTGGGCTCAAACTTACATGCTTGACGAGAGAATCGGAGCAGAGCGTCGTCTTGTGCGGGGTATCCTTCAGCCTCATGAGTTTCGCCCGGATAGTGTAATAAGCTGTGTCGCGCCAATGACTTGGGGGTCGCGCAATAAGAGAACGTAAGCTTCCCCGCGCTGACCTTGACAGAGCTTTGCGATAGGGAGACTCGGCAGTGCTGCGTTGAGTGCCTACAGGTACCGACATATCTTGAGAATGGTGCGGCATGTTGAGAAAGCTGCCGGGCGAAATGGGCTTCCTGACAGACACGCCCTGCCAAAGAGGTGGACAGAACCATGATGATCAGGCTAGAGAAGACGTAGCCTGATAAATGAGTAGTGGATTTGCAGTGTATTTTTGAAGGAGCTTGTCACAGTAGACGGATCGGCCGGGAAGGCGTCAGCAGGTGCTGTACATTCACTAGTGTCACATTGGTGTCCCGAGAGGTGATAGAACCGCGTTGAAGGCGAATAGACTAGACTTTCTTCTTCGGTGACTTTATCTCGCCCGTAGACGGAGCTTTCTCTCTCACATCTCGGATGATGATCCCTAGAATGCCGACGTTGACGAGGAAAAACAAGATGCTGGAAGCCCATAGTCCAGGGACAAATGTGGACCGACCATTGAACTCCAGCTGGAATCCTTGCTGAAGCCAGAAGACCTGCATACAATTAGCTTGAAACAGGACTGAGAACCGCTTGCGACGTACTTGACCAAGAACCCATAATGCAAGCGCTGTGATTCCAGTTGATCGAGAAGCCAGGAGTGTAGACTCAGGGAGATAGTAGGGAAGAAACATCATGTACCAGAGGAAGTACTGAGACAGGATAGTCAGCGACTCGTTCCCACACTGTTCGATGAAGGGGCTTACCTGGCTTGTGCAGACCTTGTTGAATGTTACGAACGCAAAAGTCTGCGCCAGCATGGTGGACGACAAATCCTTCTTAGCAATAGCCAAGGGTATCATGACAGCGCTGAGCAGCAGTTGCGGGAGGAAAGCTAGGCGCTCAAGTTCGATGGAAGACGGTGCGGTAAAGCCGGTGCCTTCCTTTGGAGACGAATTGAGGTAGAGCAGGGTGTTGTAGGGGGAGAAGTTGTGTCGGTGATCGATCCGGATGAGGTGGTAGAAGTAGCTGTGCTCAAGGAAAGGCCATCCATACCTGTCTGTCGTCAGAGAACTCAGTGTCTTCTGTGCACTTCAAACTTACACAAGATACATCACTGCGTTCAGGCCGAGGAACGTGATTAAGCTGTAAACAGCCAGGGCAATGCGTTGCGGGGTTGCGAATTTGAATAATAGAGAAAGCGGTGAGGGAGGCGCCGCAGCTTTGTTGGTTCTACTTGGGGCAGTTCGATCCGTATCAAGCCACCAGATAATTGACGTCGCGTATACGAATGGATAAATCTTGAAATGGACTGCGAAGCCGAGAAGGAATCCGGCAAGAGGAACGCGCTTCGCTAGGACCGCCCAAAGCAGCGCAGTAACAAACACACCCAGCAGGCCTTCCGAGCTACCCCGTGTGCTAATAGTCGCAACCATGGGGTTCAGAAGCCATATGCTCGCGTACTTCAATGCTCTTTCTTGAGACATGTTTTGGTAGGTTCGAAGAATGCGGAACATCATCCAGCCGGTGATGATATCTCCAGCCGCGAAAAGAACCTTTCCAAATGAGAACCAGAAGCCGGGCCATGTCGTAGGGTAGATAAGCCATGCGAGAAGCGGCGTGTACCTGTACGTATCGCGGGAGTATGGTGACTGTGCCCGGGAAAGGAATCGTGCAGCGTCCGTGAAAACGAAATAGTCAATGTCTGTATATTTCATGGGAGAATATGCGTCTTGAAGGACCCCATAAGCCAGAAAAATGGCCCTCAGGAGGATGGCCGCGAAGAACACGGCACGAGAGCTGCCGAAGAAAGAGGAAATTGCCATGAGGGAGTGTGGTCGAAAGGTGGAGGTACAGGGAGAATTGGCGAAGGAATGGGCAACGCAACAGTCATAAAGGTGGGAAAAGGACGGACTGCAGGGTGATCGCCTCCGGCAAGGGAAGACGTGCTGTATGGAAAGGGATGAAGAGGTGCAACACCAGGATGAAATGTAGCCGAGCTGCGCTAAGCTGAAACAGGTCAAGTGCCGCCCACTAGTCGATCTCGTCCGTTTGCTGCTTGGCGTCGACATAAAATACTTGTGTTGCGCGGCATTGATGGGACTCAAACGCTCACGAGACGGAGCTAACATGGGGACAGGAAAGCAGGAGCAGCAGGCGGCGACGCCTTACATGTCCATGTTCGAGGGTTTTCGGAACGAGCTGGATGAACACCATGACCGGCGCGAGAGGATCATCAAGGCATCTCGAGACATCACCGCAGCAAGCAAGAAGATGTGAGCAATGAATTCCAGTCCCTCAGACTTTACATTTCTTAACGGATTTTCCAGAATCTTCACCCTCCAGAGGTTAGCTTTATAAACAGACCCCGGTTGAGCAGCCTGCTGAACGTACTAGGGTCCGCAAGCTTGGGCAGCCCGTGCCGCAATTTGTCGTGAAGGGCAATGCACAGTATTGGGAGATCATTGAGAATCGATACCAGTCCATCTCTCCGGAGGTTCAAGGATTGGGCGCGTATCGATATGAGCGCAATGTAACTGGTGGGAACCAGGAGTTCATGGAAGCATTGAGTTTTCAACATTATCTGGAGACGCAAACGCTCATACCCTACAACGACGCCGCATCCCGCATAGCATCCATGAGCGGCGAAGGCGGAGCGGTGAATCTTACACCGGAGGACTATATCCTAGGTGTCTTCGACATGGTTGGCGAATTGATGAGATTCTCAATCACGGCCATGGCTACCAGCGGCGAACTCCCGGCAGGCAAGGCGAAGAAGGCGGAGAGCACGAAGCAAGAGGCGGTTGAGGATCAAGCAGACGACAAGATGGATGTCGATGAGCAAGCGACGTCGTCGAGCCACGCAGAGAAACCGCGCAATGTCCTGGACGACCTCCGAGAGCTTCGCCTCCAACTCGAGATTTTCGAAACACCCCCAGGAACCAAGTTCGAGTCGGACGTAAAGAAGAAGATGGACGTCATGCGGGAGTGTGTAGACAAGGTCGAGAAGGCTCTGTACGGTCTTACTGTGCGAGGGTCTGAGCGGCCGAAGGGCTGGGTGCCGGACTTGAGGGATGAGAGGCCGGCGGAGGTTGAAAGCTACTGAGACGGCGGTCTGGGACTGAGGCGGTGGCTGGCGTCGGAATGAGCGACGAAAGCCCGCAGCTTGACTGTGGCATGTACTACAACGAACAATCAATGATTGACTACTTGACTGTGGCATGTACTACAGCGAACAATCAATGATTGACTATTGCCTGTGAAAAATGTGCACCGCCACATGTGGCGCAGTGGCTCGGCTGCTCTGACAGCCTCCCACCAGTTGAGCTGGCGACGGCCACCCGTGGACTTCACGGCCACGCTTTCACTCCCCGAGCGGAACTCGTGCCTCGCCCGCGCCATGCCCCAGGAAAACTCACTCGCTCACCCGCTGCGACAGACTCGCGCCGACACAATGCCCGCGCCTTGAAACCTGGGCCCGCTCCCGCAGATGGAACCTTGGAATGCTCTGTCGCCCAACAAACTCGCAACCCGTAGCTGAGCTCGCCACCGTCTAACCATCGCTACAGACTTACTGCACAACCATCCACAGTCTCAAATAGCTCCCGAGAGGGGCCACCACCACTCCCGCGCCGCACGATGCGCCGCAATACCTTCCCGCTGCGGCCCAAAGCCGACGATGTCCGCGTGCGAGCGCCGGAGCAGCCAAAGCGCAAGATCTTCAACTGCATCGTCGATGACACCGCTTTGATAGCTGGAGTCAAGAAGAGCACCCGCGACGGCATCCGCAAGTGGATTGCCCAAGACGCCATCCGCCTCTTCGTCCCGCTTCACAGTACGTATCTGCCATCTCGCAGCTACGGCCCATGCTCACCCATCTGCAGCTCTCGCCCAGATTAACCGCCTGAAGATTGGCAATGACCGCACCAGCGCCGATGCCCGCGAGGCCGTCAAATGGCTCGACGACATCACCTCCATGCCCGCCGTCGAAACATCCGGCCGCGTCCAGCTCGAAGGCGTTGACGAAGCATATGATACCTGGGAGGAGGTGGAGAAATTCATGCTGCCCGAGACGCTGCTCTCCATGGAGGAGAGCGAATCAGACGAGGATGAATACCACGAAGACCTGGAGAGTTCCTTCAACGCCCTCGACCTCTCCGACGAGACCTCGATGAGCTCTACCCACAGCGTCCCAAACTCGCCAAAGTCGCCACAGTCGGCAGTATTCTCTGAGAGATCCAACAAGCCGGCCGATGGTAGCCCGCGCAAGCAAATGCCGGCTGCCCTCGCTTTGGAGTCTCCCAACCGCACCGCTCGCAACAGCGCAGAGCTTCCCCGGACTGAAAAGCCTCCCAAGGGCAGTGTTCCCGCCTACCTTCGGCCACTGTTCAATCATATCCTCTGGAGGATCCACAAGGAGAGCAACCCCGACGCCGCCCTTGAGAACTTTATCCTCCTCACAAACGATCCCGCCAAGCAGATGATCGCTCAGAAGTTCGGCATCCGGGCTAAGCGCCTGGAGCAGCTTCGGGATGCCGTCGCGCGCGAGGATCGAGAATACAAGAACCATCTAACGATGTTCAAGATGGAGTTCGAAGCGCACAAGGCGAAGGAGAACACTTCGGCTGAGCCCAAGGCTGCGGATCGACCCAAATCCAGCTACACGCCAGCTAGTAAGCCTACGACGGACTCAGATGACGAGGACGAGGTGCTCTTGAAGCGTGCCCCACGTGGACCGTCTCATCCTACCAGCAACCAGCGGGTCATGGATCCGAATGACTTTGGACGCGCAAATCAGCATCACTCCGCACGCGGCGGCCGAGGTGGCTTCGGGCCCGTTCGTGGGCGTGGTGGACCGCCCCGTGGAGGACCGCGAGGAGGCTTTGCGCCTCGCGGAGCTTACGTGCCTTCAGGACCGACTTTCCGCTCTCCACCTGCCCCTCGTCACGATCCGAACCAACCTATCGATCCGGATTCGTTTGCTCGTCCCGCAGTTCGAGGGGGTCCTGTTCGCGGAGCTAGGAAGCTATGGGAGCCAAATTGAGCAAGTTGCAAGGCATCAATTATGATACGCTTTGATTCGTTTCGACTCTCGTATCCAAGCTCGTCGGTCACGGAGAGCTAAACTACGACATCATAGCTATGGGGTCCCAGCGCGAAGCCCTTTCCTGCAACAGCAGGGGCAGATGGGATCTTGAATGATGTCACTGGAACATCCACCTCGACATCTCTCGACCCAGGCGTTTGAGAATATTTTCTCGTTCAACTTCGAGGATAGTGCACGACGTTGTACCCTCCACTCCCTTGTCGACACTACACATGTCGCCACATCCCAAACAACCACACCTAAAATGGTTGTCTGGTAAGCGAAATTTAGTCATCTAGGCACGAGCCTCAAGATGCAGGACTTTCGCGCTCTGTCGTTTTTGCAAGTTTACCTCTAAATTGAACGGGCCCTTTCCCACTTCCTCATCTAGGAAGTTGGGATTTGCGGATGTTACGGCAACTTTTCTTTCAATGTATTCTCAAATGCTTTGGAGCAGTTTCCACCGGGAGGGGTAGCACACAGGCTCATGGAATGTATTAGTTTTAATGCATCTGTTCTTCGAAACGCTCTGTCCCTAAGCACTGATACGTATCGAGGTGCATGTGGGGTCGTACCAACTTGCCGCGCGGGCGAAGCTCTCCGACTATGGGGGGAGCGAGTCACCCTCCACCCGAGCAATTCTAGTGACAGTGCCTGCGGATCACGCCAGCGCTACCTCTCCACGCCATTAACTATACCATTATGCTAACTGCCTTCAGCACTAATTGCCTTCGGCGGGGTTGAGTCGGTAGCGAGTTCCCCAGATGCGATATGCTGCTGCCTCTCACATATACCGGCTCTACGCGACTGGGCAAAAGCAAGCAATTATCGGGGAAGGCGAGGCACTATCCGACGTAGACTCGAGACAATACTACAGGAATGCGTCTTGGTATCGATTGGAGGCAAACAAGCCTCGGTTACCGTGTCTAAAGCCTTCCTCGTCATGGGGCGGAGTACTGCAATGCACGCTTCACTAAATACGAGCAGGTGTGGTCCACCGGGAGAAGCTGCCGCGGGAGGAAGGACACTGCGAGGAAGCTTTGGCGCACTGGCCGCAAGATTTTTGGACTTTTTGCAGACGAGACTTCTTGCAGATGAGTATCTATCTATAAAGGAGACACCGACGGAAGGCGTGAGGCGATCTTTGAGGGTGAGCCGAAGGCATGGGTTATAGGTAGTTGATGCTACCAAAACGACGTCGAAGAGGCGTCTGTATGGCGGAATCTAGATCGTGAGCGAATAGATTCTCTTAGAAATCTACTGCTTCCCGTCGAATCCCTCCCACGGATACGAAGAAGACACCAACTGCACCCGCCCATCCTCCCATCCCCCTCCCCGTCCAACCAAGCTTCCCCACCACCGCGGTAACTTTCGTACTTGCCCCCATGCCACGCAATTGCAGCGGGAAAGGCGCTGGAATGGACCTGGATACTGGAAACACAGCAGCATTGCAATGCAAAGCATGCGTGTCGCCATGCGTGCCTGGCTGCAAGAAAGCTGGCAGAGCCACCATCTAGATCAAGGAAATATTGGCTTGGCGCCTATATTGAGTATCTGGAGTGGTATCCTGAACCAGGGTCTACATGATAGATGCAAGGTACCCCGCGGGAGGGCATCCTTGATAGGAAGAATCGCCCGGGTAGGTACGACCGGGCGGGTTCACAGGGCGTGCCCCGTGCATGGATTACTTATTGGGGGATGGAGTGCCCTGGTACTGCGGACGGGATAGCTACGCTCGCTCACGAGTGGTCCGATGGATCTTGTTGTGTCACATTCAACTCTATAGATATTGTGTTGCGCGAAGGCAGCAACTTAATCAATTTTTATTCATTTTATCTAGCTAGGTTGAGATAGTAGGCTAGTGCTATACTAGTATTATCCCGAGCAACTTCGCCATGTTCCTCCACAGCGGAAATAGAATTTCAAGAATCGTGAATCGTAAAGGGCCTCCCTCCCATCATATTACTTTAGGGGATTCCCAGAATCTACAATGCCCATGCAAGATTACAGTGCAGCCGAAAATTAAACTCCAACATTGAATGTTCCCAAGAGGCCCACTAGTAATACCGGTAAAATTTCCCAAACCGAGTCGCTGTTCTAATGCATGCCAAAGGAGTGGTAGGAATACAAGATGAAGAGGTAAAGTGTATGGAGAGTGACGGATGATGGGATCAGAAGAGACCCAAGGCGAACTGTTTTCAAGTCAGCTAACCTGTTTGATGAAAGGGAGAGTAGAATGGTACTTACCGGCAGCAAAGCGTGGCAGCCGACTTGGTTGGCCAAAGGAACGATAGCCGCGAAGTCGCTGATCAACCAGCCTCGAGGCGCAAAAAGGGCCAGATATATCATGCCAGCCATCACCGGCAGCAGGAACAAGTACATCCACTTGAAGTCGCGGACGATCCTGTCGAGACCGACGCGGAACCCGGACTCTGTGAGCTCCTTCGCTGTAGTTGTCCACTCGATGCGCACGCTGAAGAAGTGGCAGAAGATGGCCTTGAGGAGATGGAAGGAGATACCACCGAAGAAGAGAAGAAAGAACCTGCGACAGAAAGCATTAGCCGGTGTAGTAGGGGATAGTCGGGATCGAGACTTACGGCATCCACTTGATGGTCTCCATGAGCGACCAGAAGAATGTCTTTTCGCCCAATCGATGGCGTAACATGGCGTAGGCCAGAGGCGAAAGGACGTTGAAGACGACAGCCATGCCGACGAAGATCTTCCAGCTAGTGATATAGAACTGATCAACGTCATCGGTGAACCAGCCGACAATTAGATAGTTAGCGAGCGTGAGCGGAATGGCGGAAGCGATGGCGTAGTAAGTGCCGATGTAGGCAAGGATAGTGACCTTGGACGTGACCTTGATCGGGCTCCAGAGGAATTTCCAGAACAGCGGCGTGATAGGCCCCTTCATCGGCCACTTGATCAATGGATTGAAGACAAGCTCGTTACAGCCGTACGCATACTTCTCCCATCGAGCAAGTTCGTCGTAAACAGTAAGTGACACGCCCTCCTTGAAGCCGCCGTTGTGGTACGTGGCGAGGCGGACGACGAACTTGTTGATTTGGAGCCGAAGACTGACATCAAAGTCTTCGGAGACATGGTGCTCGGACCAGAACTTCGTCATGCCATCTTCCTGGAATGCGATGCTTTGGATGGCTTTCCACCGAATAAAGGTGTTGTGGCCGACGAAAGGAGCGCAGTCACCGTTGCCCACGGCGTATTGGATCGAGGTGTAAACGAGGTCGGTAAAGTAGGTGATGCCGTTTTCGAAGACGTTGTTAACGACCTTCATGATTCCGGAAGCGTGTTGAATGAGAGCGACTTCTGGGCTTTCGTGCATCTCCAGCGCGCCGTATAGGAGGCAGTCTTCCGGGACACGAGTATCGGAATCAACGATGAGGATGATCTCGCCAACACGGACGCTTCCAGCTGCCCAGGTCCGGCCCTCATCCTTCTCCAGCATCGTGCTCATGGCTTGTTCGTAGAGCTCATCTTCCTCTTCAACAGTCAGGTCTTCGAGGCTGCGTTCACGCTCTTGGCATCGTTCGTTCATGAGGCGCAAGAGCTCATCTTCCACGCGCAGAGAGAAGTCGAGGCAGTAGTTCATGTTTGAGGCTTTCTTGAAGTGGCCAGCGCGGATGAAGTAGTTGGTGTCTTCCTCGCCCTTCTCAGCATCCTCCTCCTTCTTCTTCGAGAAGAGACCTCCTTTGTGCTTCTTAGGCTCATTGTGCTTAGGTCGGGCTACCCATCCGATGTTGTTGAGCTCATAGAAAGCCTTCCGAGCCTCTTGTAGTTCGGGCGAAACGCATTGCATGCCTAGGAGTGGTTAGCCTTCCGGTCATGTCGATAGAGTCAGAACACGTACCATCGTCGTTGACGAAGATTGATGCCGTACCACCTTGTTCCTCATAGTGCCTGACAGCCGCCAAGAGTGACGTCACGGTGGGAATAATGACACCCTTAAGACCTTCTTTGTACACGGGCATCTGGATTGTGACATGGGGGAGCTCATAATCGGGATGGCGGCCGCGCTTTGGTGCCTTCCCTGTTGGTAGGTTAGTCCAACCGCAAATATCGTGGATTGTTCATCAGAGGCAGCCAAAAGTGTGCGCATAACTCAGAAGAGCTCAGAAATATAAGTAGAGAAAATCTCAATAAAGCGAGAGAAACGTACCTGAGTAGTAAAGACTATTTCCCTGAAGCGCAGAGAGGGGACCGAAAAGCTGACCGAGAGATCCGCCTATAACAATGAAAAAGAACTATCTATACTTCAGCAATGTCCATGACGGGTTGGATGAGGAGGAATGCCAAGTAGTGAATGTAAAGGGCCGAGATTGAGCCGGCTTCAGCCAGCCACGAAAATTCTTGCGATGCACCAGCGATAGATGTAGAAAAGATCGGCAACATACCAGCGAAAACGCTGCGAACAGTGGAATCGTCGCAACCTTGATCCAACGTCAGCCAAGCATTCGGTCTACGTCGCGCCTATGATGGGGAATCAACATACCAAGGCAAACCGTATCATTGTTCCGTCAAGACGATATTCAGTAATCAACTACCCCAGTGTCAGTTCACAAGACGCTACAACGCGCGATTTGAAGCTACGAACCTTCGCGAGACATGCCATCTCAACCACAATCACCAAGATCTTTGGGAAAATCAGCCGTGTTAGAGCGCGAAATGCCAAGCGCGCAACTCACCATTGCGATGCCTATGGTGACTGCGTGCACGAGGAGGAACCTCCTTTCCGGTATCTCGCCCTCCTTCTCCGGATCATACGCTTTGTCGCCCATCTCTTCCACCTCGATGGCGCGGTCGATAGCGCCAATCTTTTCGGTCATCTCGGAAGGCAGAGGTCCAATCATGGGAGCCGAGATAGGGAACATCGAGGACCTTGTCCGGCCGTATGTGCTCGCCTGCTGAGACTGCACCGGCTGCGGTTGTTGTTGCACCGAGATCGAGTTATGGGATGGGATATGGGATCCCCAAACTAGTCCAAGGAGCCGCGTCTCAATGTCTGTTCCATGAGCCAGTATTCCCGGCACGGTATCTCCCCAGACCAACACCATGCGTTCCTGTCTGCAAAGGCAAACGTATGCGTCGCGTGTGACTGAGGCCTTCCCGGTCGCAATATCCCTCACCGAGTTGGCGATTGGGAGCGCGAAACCCCGAGGATCGAGCGACAATTCCGTTTGTAGCGGAGTAACCTGCTGGAGCAGCGCGTATGTTATCTCAGACGACATCGTGAAAGCAACTGTAACGTTAAGCTTTTCGACGGCGGCTACTAGATCCTGGTTCAAGAAGAGAGGTTCCGCCGTGTAGATGCCATCTGGTCGCCGCAGGAGAACGCCCAGGTTTGCTGCACCGCCGTCCACGACTCCGTACTCGTCTTCTGGAGGCTCTAGCCATTTCGCTTGCGAACACCTTCTATAGAGAAATTTGACCATCTACGAAAGTTAGTCGAACTCGAATTGGAGAGCATAGCCAGCCAAATCATATGTTCGGGATACTCACAACATCGTGGCGATCACTGCCATTGCTCCCTCTTGAACCAATGCTCGAACCTGTGCTATCTCGGAATGCAAGGCCTGGGCGGAAGGGTTTGGGACCCAACCCAAACGCATCCGTAGAAGAGCCTTGGGAATCGCGGTCACCACTTTTGGAGACCATTATTTGGCGGTGGTTCGACGAGAGAAAGGGAGACTGTCTCTACGCAAACAAAAAAGTTGGCCTGTATACGAAGAAGAACGGCCTTCTCGTGTTGCTGATCAGAGATTCGCGGACATTTGGTACCCCGATTTACGACCTAGAGCTCTGCATATAGGCAGGTCGTTTAATCTCTCTATCGGCTCCTGTGACTGGGGTAGCTTCAGCCCGCACTGACTGGACAGGGGACAGGGCAGGGAGACAGCACATGGAATAGGCAGCCCAGGACGAGCGGCACCATTGTCCTGGAAACCTCCAAGACCGCCTGATATTGCTGGCTGATGGACCTCGAACTCTCCACCGGCATACAACCCTCTAAGCCCTATCAATTGGCCACGCTGCCAGCTGGCTAGCTCGAGCTCCTACCGATTGAAGGATGTGCATCTGTGGCGGCACCGATAGCTCAGAGGCTGCACAAGACGGCGCTGAAAATATGCGAGAGGACCCAAACGATTACCTATCCTGGTCCCAACAGCTTTCGAAACGATCTGGAGCTTGGTTGGGCTGAATCCGACCGAGTCGAGTCCCAGAAGCGCCGTCGACGTGCAGATGTGAGAGGCTGGACATTAGTGTGACCCCCACTCCGCATGGCTGTCAAGGAAGTCAATTGACAATTTTAGCAGCCAGGCATCGTCCAGCGCAGAAGCCCGTCTCGTGTCGAAACGACCATACTGCAGTCTGCCTGGCGAGGTGTGTGGGGCTACACCCAGGGAGCTCGCGCTTACGAGAAGCCTCAATTAGCATGATGAACACCAGGATGGAATCCTGGGATCCAACATCAACCATCTCCAACGAGGCACGATCGACATGGCAAAATCGATCCAGAACCATTATCTACCACGCGAGGTATGATTGCTATCGCAGAGGACCGACTGCTGGCAGCGGCTCATCTGTAGGTCTCAGGGAACTCGGTCCGCGCCAGTGCAACGAGGGGCAGCTCGGAGGATACGCCATTAGGCTGCCACCGTACTCCAGGCGCGCCCTTTTGCTCAACTGAAGCAGAGTGGCGGGCGAGAGCGCGAAACACCCTACCGGTAGACCGCCCTCAATGGGTGCCAAGGAGGAGCGGAGTGTCCAGCGTCAAAAGAAACGAGGTTTCATCTGGTGCAGGCGTAGCACAGCGACACTGTACAGCTCAGTGTCGCACTGACCGAAGCGGGATATGGTGGCATGGTGCAATCAATATTGGTGGCTGCAGGATGAAGGAGAAGGGTTCCAAGGAGCTGGTGATAAGGACAGCCTTTCGATAATCCTCTGCATGTGCGACATTTAGCAGGAACGAGGTCAATCTAATCCCCTGTTAACACCAGGGTGCGAAACGAAGTGGGTGAACGTCGACGTGGCTGTGGTGTGGCGTCGGAGCGTTTTCTAGCGGCCGGCTTGGGACTCGAGTTCGCTTTCTCTTGCCCTCTGACCTTATCCGCGTTCGAATGACTCGTCGATGTCTAGCTGAGGGCACGCCTACTCCGTACAGTAGGTCCTCCGCCGATAAGAAAGCTCTGGGAGGAGCGGGAGGATGCAGCCAAGGTCGCACACGGGGGCCGCACTCTAGAAGCGGCTGGTGAGAGGCGGAGAAGGCGCTGAAGAGGGACAAGGCGGCCATTGACGACGGAGGAGTTGATTGCATGTCATTGGGGAGGTGCAGCTGTGTACACCGGCGCGAGAGGGCTGGGACGTCCACGAGGGGGCGGTGGCATCTCCGAAGCGTTGGACGGGATGACGGAGTGTGGCCCGTGCGCACGCTACCCGGACATGGCGTTCGAAGCGAGCCGCTGGCGTTGGCCTCTTCGAGATCCCGTTGTCGATATCTTCAGGCACCGGGATGACTTCCACGATCCCTGCTCCGCCTGCATTGTTGACTTCCGGTTGTGTGCCAGGCGCTAGCCCGGCGGATGCAGTCGAGATGCATACCCTTGATCTCAATACTTCCCTCTCGGTGGGACACCCCTGATCGCCTGCTGACGTTCACTGCGAGAGCGTCTAGGCGCTGAAGCCTCGAACGTCCATCTCTGGCGGAATCAGACTCATGCAGCCCGTGGGCCCCGTTGTGCTCATCGCCGCCAGGATGCTCCGTATCGACTCTGTCGTCACCAGCAACCTGGGCCAGCTCCTTGTCTCTCAGCAGCCAGCCACTGGGTCCATCACTGCCCACGCTTTCCAAATCAATCGTGGACGTTCTGCCTCTGTGTCTTTGCCGCAATATACCTCGCATTGCACATCCGGGGTTGCGGATAGGCGAAGACCCAATTCGTAGCTGCGATTGCCGATCCCTTGAGCTGCAGCGAGGAAGTATAGTACCTCGATCAATTCCTCTTGTCCGCCGGACGGTATCGTGGAAAGACTTTGTTTCGTCAGAGTCAGTCGGCGGAGCCTTACTCGGCTATGTCGAGCAGAAACTCGATCCATACTGGCACCCCGCCAGCGGTCCCCTCAGTCCATGGGACCAATCCCTTTACTACACCATTGCGACAAAGTCGAGCTCCATCGATAGATGAACGGAGTGGGAGTGGAAGGCCGTGCTCATACTTTCCCACTGCAGCCGTGAATGGTAACGCAACCGCCCACTTCCCTAGACCTCTCTCACACCGAATAGGCTCACATCAACCACGGAGGAGAAAGTTCAAGAGCTCTCGGCTCGTCCCCGGAGAATACGATGAGAAGCCTTGGGCATTGGTAAAACACCCGAAGCTGAAATGGGAGAGGGCCATCTTCTACGGAAGCATTGGGATCGGATTTGCGATCGGAGCGCTTCTTTGTTATCGGGCGTACGCAGGTGTCACGAATCATGAGGTGCTCTTTTATATGTCCCGAGCAAAGGTTGCGGCTAACATATTCCCAGTATTGCTTGATCCTCGAAGACGAGTTCCAGTCAATCAACAAGGATATCTGGAGCTACGAGATTCAACGGGGCGGGTTCGGTAGCGGTACTTTCGAGTGGACGACAGACGACCCAAAGAACTCCTATACGGATGCCGAAGGCCTTCATATTGTGCCCACGTTAACAACAGAGACCACTGACATCACCAAGGAGCAGCTCATTGACAACTACATCCTCAACCTCACCACCGATGGAACGTGCACAACGAAGGGTATTGACAATTGCTCGATCCGCTCCAATAAGACTGCAGGGACCATCGTCAACCCTGTGCGCAGTGCTCGCCTTACTACGAAAGGGAAGAAGACCATTACATATGGCAAAGTCGAAGTGATTGCAAAAATGCCACAAGGAGACTGGTTATGGCCGGCTATATGGATGATGGTATGACATCCTCCCGATCCGCTAAGAAGCCGACTGACAATGCCCACCTGCACAGCCCGAGAATGATGCCTACGGCGAATGGCCGCGATCAGGCGAGCTTGACATCGCAGAGTCTCGAGGCAACCATGGTGATAACTATACGAGCGGAGGAAGAGACTCCATTATCAGCGCCCTTCACTGGGGACCGTTGCCTGAAGCGGATGCATTCTACAAGACGAGTGGTCAGCACCAGATCCGACGCACCGACTATTCCGCCAAGTTCCACACCTTTGGAGTAGAGGTACATACCGTGTTCGCATGTTCTCCTTGGTCCTAAGCTGACGTGCATTAGTGGAGCGAGGACTATCTGTTCACTTATATCGACTCCAGGCTGTTGGTATGTTCGGTCCATCTTATCTTCCCTGAGTGCACAGGCTGACACCCTTATAGCAAGTCTTCTTCATCAAGTTCAGCAAGTACGGCAGCATGTGGGACCGTGGCGGCTTCGGCAAGGCGCTCGTGAATAACTCCGCCCTCTACAATCCATGGGCTCAGACGAACCGCGCCAACACGCCCTTCGACCAACCGTTCTACCTGATCCTCAACGTGGCTGTCGGTGGTACAAACGGGTTCTTTCAGGATGGTGTCGGCAACAAGCCCTGGGGAAACCAAAGTCCAACGGCTCCTAAGGAGTTCTGGGACAGTGCAGATAGGTGGTTGTCCACATGGGGCGAGGGAGACAAACGTGGACTCACAGTCAAGAGCGTGAAGATGTGGAAGCAGGGTGCCTGCTAGAGGAGGCAACAGACGTCACTACCCGTGGTTGTAATACGACTGAATATTGGACTACCCGTGACACGGCGCGGGGCTTCAGAAATGGCGCGAGCATTCGGGAATCCTACGGCCTCACTGTTTGTATTATTCTTCGAGGGACGGAAACACGCAGGATACCAGCGGCGTAAATGGCGTTGTGCATATTGAAGAAAAATTGAATCCTGTCTTATTTTTGGCTTCAAAAAAACAAATTCGAGTGGCAGCGGCATGGTTCCATTGATAGCATGTGGGCCGACTGGGGCGGGTCACACTTGGTCGGCGCCGAGCTTGTTTCTTAGTGGCTGCGCACGGACGACACTTAATACAGACCTGGTCGCTATCTCCCACGCATCCTTCCCTCACCTCTCCGCCTTATGCACAGTCCGGGAAGCGTCCGACCGACTCCTCAGCCGTCCTATACTCTAGTGCGGTCGCCCAATACTTCTAGGACCTGTGCCGCTTTGACAGCTCATGGCGGTCCACCTAAATCCGCGCGCCAGGCATGGTCCCATCGTATCTGCATGCATAATCGCCCAGCACATTCAATTGGCCGAGGACCCTGAATCCTTGTCCTTCAGCCTCTCAGTCCTTCCTTTCTCCCTCTCAACGATAGAGGCGTACCTTTTGGCCGTCTGGACCTCACGAGACCGCGGCCTCACCATCTCCGCAATGGGCAACAACCTGCCGAGTGGCTTCCCACTGTTCCTTTCCCAGCATGACGCTCAGCCCAGTCAATAATCCCACCCTCTCGAGCCTCGCGAGGTGAGCTTACAACTCGTCTATCTGCAAAGGCACGCCCACATAGCTCCTGCTCTTTTTCCTTCGCCATCCCGCTCGTTTCGAGGGCCATCAAGTCTTATAACCACATCTGATTGCCATCGTATATCCATTTGTTGCCATTCACTGTCCCTCTTCTGTCATCCCTCGTTTTTGATGATTTGAGTTGATAGTGGGCATGACCTCCGCGGGCTTTCGATCCGGCTGTTCAGCCCTGCTTCTATTATCGTCTGTATGATTTGCCTTAACTCTCCGTAGGACACCGGAACGGCGAGTGCTGATACCCTTGCTTGCAGGCCACTTTATCGATTGCCCAGTCTCTCGTTACTCCAGAGTCACCCTACACCAATTGGACCTACACCGGATGCTACACGTACGTTCTAGCGCAGCCCCCCACGCTGCATCATGAAAGCCTTTAGCTCACGTTGTCAGCGACTCCGTCGCAGCGCGCACCTTGAAAGGAGGCGGCTATGGAAGCGGATCGTTGACCAATTCACAATGTGTTGAATATTGCGCAACAAGAGGCTTCTATTACGCCGGAAGTGAATATTCAACTGAATGCGCAAGTGCCCAGTTTCGCCTCGGAATACATTGCGAGTGCTAAACTTCAATAGTATTGCGGCAATTCTATTCAGAATGGGGCTACGCAGACCACAGGTTCCGATTGTAACATGGCCTGTGGCGGTACGTGGATCCCATTCTGGACCACCTTCTCCAGTCGCTGATGTGCATCTAGGAAATGCTACTGAAGCTTGTGGAGGGCCCAATCGATTGACAATGTTCAACACTACGATTCCCGCTGGGCCGGTTGGACCATTTGTCAATCCGGGTGTGAATGGCTTTCGAAGTATGGGGTGTTACACGTACGTATTCACTCTCTTTCCTTATTTCCAGCAATACCCGTCCCAGATCCTGCGTCGCATCACCTACACCGCCATGCAGTATTCTTCGCCGCCGGTCTAGCATTCCTTCCGATCCGATGAGCTGGTCTGCGCACGCTCAAGTCTGCAGCGATCGCGGAGGTACCAATCAGGGCCAAGCGGAAAAGTCCCAACTCCTTCCTCTTTCGTCTTCGGCTGATTGCTGATCGTTCGTTGGATCTCAGCTGACATTAATTTAGCGACAACGGCGGTGCGCGGACCCTGACGGTAGGCATGGCCACTGCAGGGGGGCCAGGATCCCTGACCGTTGCCCTCTGTACATCAACCTGCGCCTCCGAAGGCTACATGTATGCTGGCGTCGAGTACGCACAGGAGTGTTGTCAGTTCCCCTACGTTCGTTGGATAACTCCTTGCTTTTTCTTTGAACATGGTTATACTCGAGGTCATCTTCTTATTCATCCTCCTAGACTGCGGCACCTCGCTCGCCAACGATGGCGAACCAGCAGACGCTTCCGATTGCAACATGGTAAGCTACCGTGCCTCTAGGCTTGGATGATAGCTGCTCTAATGGGTGATAGGTTTGCAACGGAAACTCGACTGAATACTGCGGTGGTCCATCTCGCCTCAATGTCTACACGAAGCGAGATGCGCCCGATGGATGGACATCCGTTGGATGCTATACTGACTCTGTTGCTGCTCGAACACTCGCCAGCCGTCAATATCCACCTGGTGACATGACGACAGAGTCTTGTCTTGCCACATGCCGTAGTGCGGGATATGTATATGCAGGAACCGAGTATGGCGGAGAATGTGTATGTTTGCTCGTGTCGCCATCAGTAGCCCCTGGAAGCGCTGACTTTTCGTTAGTATTGTGGAAATTCTTTCGAGAATGGTGGTGGCCCAGCTCCTGACGGTAATACTGGATGCAACATGCCTTGCAACGGCGATGCGCAGGTAAGAGGCCTCATTTACTTTCAAATGACATGCCTGACAACCATAGGAAACGTGTGGAGGGCCTAACAGACTGAATATATATCAATGGGACGAAGGTCTGGTGGTCAGATCTACCATAACAGTATCTACCACAACTAGTACCTCTCGATCGACTGCTCTGTCGACAGCCACTAGAACCATCAGTTCGACTGGTCCAGTTGGCCCTACCAGCGTTCCTAACGGCTGGGAATACAAGGGCTGCTGGATCGACAATGCGAACGGCAGAGTTATGGTTGATCAACGGCCCGACAACAGCCAAATGACAGTTGAGTCTTGCATCTCAGCCTGCATCGGCCAGGGCTACACCGTGGCTGGAATGGAGTACGGTGTGCAGTGCTTCTGCGACGATTTTCTCCGGAGAGGAGCCGAGCAGACGTCCGACTCTGCCTGTAGCATGTCGTGTGGCGGCAACCCTGAGGAGAAGTGTGGTGCCGGTAACAGGCTGAGCTTGTGGTCGAACGTCACGGGACCGGTCACTGCGTATCCAGTTCCGAGTACCCAGACAACAAATTTGACCGGCTCGTGGAAGTACTCTGGTTGCATTCATGATGACGCGGCGGAAAGGGCACTGCCTTATCAGATCATTCTGAATGACAACAACACGGCGAACAACTGCATCTCGCAGTGCTCTGCTTTTGGGTACTCCGCAGGTGGGATGGAGTATGGTGAGTTAGACCCGGCCCGGTTCATACGTTAGAATATTTGCTAATGCGCGCCTTCCCCTGTAGGCAATGAATGTGTAGGTAAATGATGCTTTCAATGCCAGCACCGCTAATCCATGATAACAGTATTGTGGCGATCCGAGCGATGTCGCAGCCGCAGGCGCCGGCTCGGCTCCGGAGTCGGACTGTTCATTCCCATGTACTGGCAACGTCACTACGATCTGCGGAGGGTCTTCTCGAATCTCTCTATACACTTGGGACGGTCCCGCCCTGACTGCATGGTCTTATGCCTCTGGAAACGCTGCTGGAGCATATCAGTTCCTAATTGGAGGCGTAGTCGTTCCTCTTGTCACTCAGGCCGCTCGAAATGGCAAAGTCACCTTTTTGGAGAAGTCTGGAACGGGAGCTCCTAACACAACAGGAGCATATGAGCTTGACCTGGCCCAACTCAATAACTTCACCGGCGCCTGGAGACCAATGCACGTCAAGACGGACATCTTTTGTTCAGCATCCATCACTCTACCAGACAAGGTTGGGCGACAGATCAACATCGGCGGATGGGCTCTGGATGCTACCTATGGTATCCGATTCTACTGGCCCGACGGCGAACCCGGCGTATGGGGACAGAACGACTGGCAAGAGAATGTCAAGGCTGTCTCCCTTCAAGATGGACGCTGGTATCCTACCGCCATGGTAATGGCTAACGGTTCCATTCTGGTTGTTGGTGGTGAAGAAGGCTCCAATGGTGCCCCCGTGCCAACACTCGAACTCCTGCCACCAGCCGGTCCTACCATCTACTGTGAATGGTTGTATCGTACAGATCCCAATAATCTTTATCCATACCTGGCTGTTTTACCGACCGGCGATATCTTTGTGCAATATTACAACGAAGCCATCATACTGGATGAAGTCACGTTCGCCGTGAAGAAGCAACTTCCCAACACACCGGGCGCGGTGAACAACTTCCTCGCCGGACGTACCTATCCCTACGAGGGTACCGCCGTTTTGATGCCTCAGCACGCTCCGTATAACGATCCTCTGGAAGTCATGATCTGTGGTGGATCGACACCATTCCAAGGCTACGCCCTCGACAACTGCGTTTCTATCACACCTGAGGTGCCGAACGCGGAGTGGACTCTCGAACGAATGGTCAGTGACTCTATGATATTCGGAATGCTTCAGACTAACACATAGTAGCCTTCTAAGCGTGTCATCACTTGCATGGCAGCCCTCCCAGACGGGACATACATTATTCTCAACGGAGCTCATCAAGGAGTTGCCGGGTTTGGTCTAGCCACGGATCCGAATTTGAACGCTGTTCTCTATGATCCTACCAAGCCGCGCCATCACCGCTTTACTGTCATGGCCAATACCACTGTCGCTCGTATGTATCATTCGGAAGCCATCTTGCTCGATGACGGTCGTGTTCTTGTTTCAGGCTCCGATCCGCAGGACGATCGCTATCCTGAGGAGTACCGCGTAGAAGTCTTCGTCCCACCTTACCTTATGGGTAGTCCAACCCGGCCGGTGGTGACCATGGACGATGCGCAGAAGGACTGGGCCTATGGTTCGACGCACTCGTTCTCTGTGGATCAGACGATCTCCAAAGTGTCGCTTCTGGGCGTAGGAGGTTCGACCCATGGCAACTCCATGGGCCAAAGGACGATCTTCCCCGCATTCACCTGCGGTGGCGGCAGTTGCACAGTCACTACACCACCAAATTCACATGTCTGCCCGCCCGGGTGGTTCCAGCTCTTCGCCCTGAACGCTGCCGGCGTCCCGAGCATGGCGATGTGGGTGCGTATCGGAGGCGACCCTGGCGACCTAGGCTCGTGGCCAAACGCGCCGGACTTCACCGTACCGGGCTCGGGATAAGGGTAAGCACTCTCTGATACCCTATCGCCATTATCTGGCTTTCCTCTGTCTATATTTTACTTCTAATATTTTGTTTCTAATGCGCATACTGCGACGATTGCATCCAGCTGGTTTCGTGTACATCCTGTGCAAGACCACAATAGTCACATTACCCTAGCTGGCAGCTACGAAATAGTAGAGTAAGCTCAATGCATCCTTCTCGTTCTGTCCAAATTGCGAAGAAGCAAGCATCTTGATCGGTGTACCCATCGGAAATGCTCTGATGCGGAGCTCCTCCGATGAAAGGCATCGAACCACGAGAATGCCCTCACGCGGTGACATACCTCCTATCAGAAGGCTGACAGCTCCGCTTGCCGTGCTTCCGCCAAGGGCAATGATAAGCATGCTTCCCAGACGTTGCAATCAAGCCCTGCGAGACCCTGTGGCGTTTCTGGGCCTTCCGACTGGTTCCCGCTAGCGCCCGCTGCCGCCCACGAGTCAAGATCTCCTCCAGGAACGCTTTTCCGGGACTTGTCCTCCCACATGGCTTTCTTTTAACGCCGATTATATTCATAGTCGCCGACTCGCTATTGTTACGCCGTGTAGACGGCATGATATTTGCACAACTTTGCACAACTTTGTGCGATGTTTGCATGCATGCATGCATGTGAAGGCACCCCGCATGTTCCTCCCCTAGCTCCTCCTTCACCCACGTCCGCCATCCGACCCCAGCTTTCAGGCTTTCAGCTCAGCCTCGAATTCCCCCCTTCATCCTCCGTATCCTCAAAGACGTTGCCAGCCACCCGCGGCGCCCGTGAACACGAACGCTTGTTCTTCCACATCGCCTGATGCTGCAGCACCGCCGAGCCGACGAGCGGCCTTCACGGCGCCCCTGCAGCCATTGCCCGGAAGGGAAACGAAGCTCAGCTCGCCAACGCATACGTCACAGCCTTGGTGCTGCAGCACTCGTGTTCCCTTCTGCGGACATGTGAGGTAATATTGGGGGATTGTTCCACACGCAGGGGACGTAATTGCCGCGCAGGGGCCTCAGGTTCGTTGTTCAGCTCAGGTCACGTGGCGCCCTGGAGGACGCTGAGCCGATGACAGGGGTTGGGCCGGTTGATCTCGTCCCTGATGCTCGCCAGGGTGTTTGCTTAACGAAGTGATTGGGATACGACGGCTGAAGGAAGGCTTGGTGTGACGCCGGAAGGATTTCTGGATTGGGATCGGGGCATGCATGAAGTTGGTAAGTTCCTTATCGTCCACGAGCAACTTGGGAAGGAGTTGGGAGGACATTTTTAGGACTTTGCTGACTTGGTGTCTCGGGTGTGAATAAGCAGGTGTATCCTCGGAATGAGCCGAGGCGGAGGCCTGCGATATGTGGGGGTAGGGTACCAGGGTATCCGCGAGGACATTTCACGCTTCTGCTGAGACCTTCGTTCATGGCATTATCTCTTGTTTCGAATACAACTCCGTACACCAAACCCATTCGGTGCCTTCCAGCTACGCCATCGTCTTGGGGACTATTCTATACCGCTGATTTTCGGGGCGCCCGAGAGAGTTTCCCAAGAGCTTCATCCAAGACGTTAGGCTAGTGCACTCGCATATGCCACATGGTACCAGCCTGCAGTGATATACTAGGTCCTCACTGCCGACCGAACACCAAGAGTCACCCAGGAGACACTACGGAGTACACGTCGTAGCCTGCAGATATCCCAGTCCTCCATTTCTTCCCATACAGAGGGACCACAAATTCTAGGATGATATCAGGGGTATGTCTGATCCGCATCGAGAGTGGGAGCGCCACTCATCCACCCGTAGCCAGAACCGGGAAGAACTCGAGGTCAGGGTGCTGAATCCCTCCGAATGTCAAGGTCTGCTTGTTATGTAGCAGCCCGGCAAATGAGCATACTAAACACCTCCAGATATCTCGGACGCAGTGGCATATGCTGTCCGGAAGTGGATTAGAGATACCCATCCGCATTGAGGTCGGATGATTGGCCTTATCGATGACTTCCTACGCCGAGGTCAGGGACTCTGTGCAGAGCATTTAGTTTCAGATGTGGGTGATGAGGACCTCATTTCCTGCCAGCTTGCTTAGGTGGATTCAGAATGTTTTCGCTAAGGGCGCGAAGGCACCAGATCTGCTCTCACTGATCAATTCGCCCGTCGGTGTCTCTCTCTCCGCTTTTCAGGATTCCCGAGCCGTCATGCAGAGATCAAATATATTCATTTTGAAGTGAACGCCTCTACCAAGAAGCACTCGACCTAGAACGAACAACACTCTTCCTATCAGCAGAATATAAAATCCTCAAACTCCTTCAGAACACACCTGCCTCCATCCCCTCGCGATAAACGGATCACTATCCTTAATATGCTCCTGCGTCCACGGCGTCGCATTCGCTACCTCTAACTCCTTACTCTCCAACGCTTCCACCACATCATCAACCTCATGGACAGCGAGAAAAACCGGCGGGCTCTCTCCTTTCGCCAGTGGAGTCCTGTGACCTAATCTGTACCTCAGTGACCTCCGATAGCCTGGAAGCTGGCCGAGCATGTCGAGATGCTCTTCGCGGTACCACTTGTCAAAGTCCGCAGGGTCTCGAGGCTGCACTTCTGCAGTTATGATCTCCGGTGATGCGACTTGCGCGCCGTGTTATAGAGTAGTTGTGTGGTCAGGATGCGTCGGCGCCACGTTCCAGTCGGATATGCCCTTCGGCGAAGGATGGCATCACGCCGCAGCGGCTCCGACTTGACTCCGACTCGCTATCTGATGAGCAATGCGATAGATATCAGGTGTAGCATGTCTCCGGTGCGCATCCGAAATGTCGGGCTGCATATAGGAAAGCGAGCTTCGGCTGTTGTAGGGCGTCGGCGTCGTCCTCACCCTTCCGAACCCTTTCGGCGCGCCGCATCTCAACAACCACGCATCGGAAAATTGTGCAAAAAGTTTCTGGGGCATATTCAAGGAACCCTGCACCTAATTCAAATTGTTGCATAACTATATCGCCCTTCGTGGGGTGGTGTCGGCTCGACCCCCAGTGTCGCGGCGCCCAGTCTCTCGGACCTCATCCGCCCCGCGTCTACGCCCACTCATCCACGATGTCGCGCAGCTCCCTGACCTGCTCCGCAAGACAGTCCACCGACCTGCTCGTCTGCAGCACCATCGCATCGTGAAGCGTCAGGCGCTCCAACGCATGCGCGATCGTGTGCGCCATCTCGTCGCGGCTCGGCAGCATGTCGCCGTCCAGCAGGCCGTGCAGGCGCCCGACCCCGGAGATCACCAACCTCGGGCGCTCAAGGAAAAATTGCGATGGGACAACCACGACCAGTCTGCCACGTCGTTGTGCGCCTTACTTACTTCTGGGCTTGTCAGTCGGCGTTGGGCGGGATTGAATGCGACGAATGCGATACATCGAGAGGTATCATTCTCGTTCTCGTTCTTGGTCTTGTTCTCGTTTTTTTAAAGCACAGTAACGGACATGTTGAAGATACAGGATTACGAGCGAATCGAGGAACGAGATTGATTTTTGGAGCTACCACATATGTTTATTTGTCCTTGAGTACCTATGGAGATTACGTGGATGTGAAGGAATGTTGGCGGAGAAGTAATGAGAAGGAAAGGGAGAATGGGCAATTTGCTGGGGCAGAAACATGCCAGTGTGGGAAGAGTCGGAACGCGCTAGAAAGGAAAGGAAAGGAAATAAACCGGGCTGGGAGGAGATAGAATCCACTCAAACATCTCGAAACCTTCCATCGCCCTCTCCCCCATCGCCAAACCCTTCATCGAAGAACGACGCGCTTCCCCCACCATGCGAATGGTCCGCTGTGTCGAAACGAACCTGCCTCGCGCCCGTCCTCGGCGTCCACTGATGCGACTCCTCCTCCCACCGCTTTTCCAGATCGCCCTGCCTTGCCTCGATATTGCTCACGCGCGTCCGCAGGCTACTGAGATCCTCCTCATGCGTATCCAGATGCTCCGCCGTGTGCACGAGGGTTTCGTTATGGAGTGTAGACCGCTGCATCAGGCTGATGAGCGATGAGCCAATCAGGCCGATGCGAGACTGCGGGCCGAATATAGTGCCGCCTTCGCGGCGCAGGCGGTTCATGCCTTGGATGATTGGGATTGCGTCTTCGAGCTGCTCGGTCTGGTGCTGGGTCCAGGCGGTTCGGAACATTTGCTCGCGGTGCTGGCGGTCGGCGCGCAGGACTTCGTGCTCTGCTGCGGTGAAGGCTGGGTCTGGAGCTGGGGGGCGCGAGCGGGATTGGGATCGTGTTTGGACTCCTGGGCGAGGCCTGGCTTGCGGATGGGTGGATGTCTTGGGCTGCGCGTCCTGGCGGGAGGGTTGTGAGGCACTGGCAATGGGGCGCACTCGTAGACGGCGCTGTTCCAAGGACTGGGCGTCGTTGACGGGAGATCCCGCTCTCATTCTCCGATGTCCAGTACCTGGAGACGTGGCCTCAGCCTGCTCGACAATCTCCTCCCTCTCTTCCTCATCCGCAGCGCGCTCTGGGCCATACGAAACCCTCACCGTTGTCGCCCTCCCATCGTTCTCAACGGTAACCTCGACATAATTGGGAGCCGCATCGGGAAAGTCGTCTGGCTGGAGAACGTGGGTGAAGCAGCGGGTCTCTTCGTCGCTTGTCGACCCTATGGCTGCGTGTTTGGCCGGCCGTAGGCACTGCTCCCCCTTCTGCGTTGTGCCGCGGCAGCGCGGGAGTGTTGGGTTGTCGTGTGAGCGCGATCTAGAGCGACTGCGTTGGCCAGAGCGAGAGCGCGCGAGGATAGCCAAGGATGAGAGTGGAGGCTGTATGATCGAGGGGTTGTACTTGAGCGGCAATTAGTGAACTGGATCGCAGAAGAGACGGTCCAACGTACCAGTACTGAAGGATACAGCGTATGTGTGGGGCTGAGCAGCTATCCAGTGTCGGCAAGACAGGGAGCACACTCAACGATCGATCGAAGGGTCAAACGGAGTACGAGACTGCTGGGCTTTCGCGAAATATGGGACGAGAAAGGAAGAGCAAAGGGCAGTGGAAGCAGCGAGTGTCCGAGGTCAACGAGAGTGAAGGACTAGCGATGGAGATTTGGCCGGTAAGGCGTAACACTTCGGGGCAGGCAAGGGACAAGGGTCAAGAGGGAGCCGCATGACCGACAAGGCTCCGGGGCATCGCGTTGACCCTGAAAAGCCAGAGTGGAAAGGCAGTGGGGCAGGCAAACGCAGCTTGCCGTTGCACATCAACGAAACCAAAAGCGAGAGTCAGGAGCTTTCAATGTCGGAGCTCCTCACGATTCACGCCCATCATCCAGCCAGCACGGATACTCGCTCAGTCAATAGGAGTATCACACTCTCGAAGAGTACAAGCCATTTGTGAGATGCAGTCATCCAGAAGGCTTTGTAAAGCGACTCAGAACTTCGGTTGAGAGGGCCCAGGGGTACCGCAGCCTCCCGTTCTCACGTCGCACAAACTCGTATCTCGTATGGCGACGCCCTGCGAGCCCTTCCCCCTCAGCTTCCGCAGCTTCACGCCGCTTCAAAGTTCCTCAAATCAAAGCCGGGGCCCCCTCTTACTTTCACTGCTACTATGGAGCCTCTCGTCCAGAGGCTGGGAGACTTCTCCTTGGGCAAGCCCTCTAAATCCGAGCCCTCACCTCCCACATCAGAGGTGAAGCCTGAAATGATCCAGGTCACCAACGCGCCTCCGACTTCGACTTCGACTTCGCCTTCTATGCCCTCTTCCTATGGCGCCCTATATCAAGCACCACAGCCTCGAAGTCTCGCACCGGTCAACTCGCCCTCAGCAACAATGAAAACAGACCATCTTTCCATCGCCACTGTTGGCGCCCGCCCTTCGTCTTCTCGAGCTGAACCGCAAGCTCCAGTTCAAGCGCAACTTCAACCTCAGCCGCAATCTCAACTTCAAGCTCAACTTCCACCTCAACCTCGACCTCAACCTCAGCCCCAGCCTGGCACAAAAGTGGATCTGGCTTCGCTACTATTCGTGAAGACATACAACGACCAGCCCACCTGCGCCTTCTGCCACCACGAACTCGGGACCGGCCACGATCTGTGGGCAGAGCGGCATTTGTTTCGTAGATGCGGATGCGTGAGTAGTATTCCCTTTCATCACAACACCAACCACCAGCGGCCCCCACTCCTCTAATAGATGATCAATCCATTGACTAACCAAACGATGTCCACCAGCTCTTCTGCGGCTCCTGCATCTACATGCGCGCCTACCCAGGCTGCCGATTCCACCCCAGCACCGAGAAACCAAAGCTCCTAGCCTACCACGCTTGCCAGCAGAAGCCGTCGTGTGGTGCGGACCATGGAGGAGTGCGGAAAATGGTCGTGTATGACAGCTGCGGTGAGTTTGCGCGTCTTCTCGCTTCCTTTTCATTCTCCATGGTGCTTTCGTATCGGGTGACAGAGGCTGACTATCTTGTTTTGGTGTGCTGTAGGCCACGCTTACTGCGCCGGCTGCGTTGCGCGCTTTGTCCCGAACTCGAGCACTTGCCCTGGATGTACGGGAGGGACGTAGAAGTGAGGTCGTTCAATGCGGGGAGCGCTGTGCTTCTCTCGCTGGGAAAATAGGAACGCGAGCGGTCTATTCTTAGGAGTGCAGGACAATGGCCATTCTTGGGATGAAGGTGTTGATAACAAAACGGATGTGGATGATAGTAGTGCTTCTGAGGACACTGATTATCGCGGAGCTACTCTCGGTCGCTCATTCGGAACGTGGAGGCTCTAAACTTCTTCATAGACACGCAGAATGTACCACAATTACCTCCTCTCACTATCGCTCCTTGCTCGCCAATTTCTCGCAGCACACCTCCAGTCGCTTTCCATACCTTCCCATTTCCCAAGTGTTCGCCCTCGATACGTAATACACACGCCGGATGAATTGTGCCAGTGTGCTCTGCTACCCATTGCTCCCCCTCTCGCTTTCCCTTTCCCTTCCATCTGACACTGCTCTTTCTCTTTCGCTCCAGACAAGGCTCTTTCATCCGCACCGCACGCTGGTCACGTTCATACTGGCCATAGAGCTTTTACGGATTCCGTTTCTGCCATGCCGAGTCTGCCATCAAGAATATGTAATTAAGCAAGTTACCAACAGCCAATCTGGATTAATACGAGGGAGACGCAAGGAGGTTTAAGAGAACTTATTTTAAGCCTAAACGACTCCTGCTAGTTTATACATAACTAGACTGGCGCGACTTTCGCAAAGGAACGAGTACAGTATAGTATGTGTATATGCGAAAAAAGCTTTGGGGCGAGAGAGAGACACTGGATAAAAAGGATGGCCTTTTTATCTCTTTAATGCGCGTCTGCCTTTCTGCAGTAACTGTATATGTTCTGTCTTCTTCTCCCGTCTTTATTCTACCACCACGGCGTCCTCTCCCCACTTCTCTCTCGTTTCTCTTCTTCAATCTATCCCTTCTCGTGATCCGTGTCTGCGAAGCGCGCGCATGATTCTCTTAGCCTTCGCCTAAGCGCCCATCTTTCTTGGCATCGCAATCGTTCGGCGTTCTGCCAGAGAGACTGAGAACAGGGTTTTGGCGTGGGAGCGATGAGATGCGGCGGTTTGGGCTTTGAGTTGCGTTCTTCGAACAGCTAGACTTCACTGAGACGGTGGAAGGAAGGGCTTTATGGAAAGATGAGCAGTTGGGGGAGTGGAGTTATGTCTGTCTGGTCCATACGCGGTAGGACTGGGGGCTATGAATATCGCCTCTACGACGCTTTCTTGACATTACAAGTTTGACCCATGGTCTAACTTCTTCACCCAACCAGATCGCTGTTGCGCTGCTAGAGATTCCAAGATCATATGTGACCAGCGGTCAGACTTCTTCGCCTGATATATTTAACCTGGTCAGACTTCTTCACTTATGATATATTTGACTCGTGGTCCAACTTCTTCACCTGTAATATATTTGACCGGTGGTCCAACTTCTTTATTGTAGGTCTATTCTTGCTTATCGTTAACTACTGAAAGCTCACATGTCCAGGATCTGCCATCAATCGATATCATTTCATGTGCGAGGCCGCTACCGCTCCCTGGTGTATGGCAGAGCCGCTAATGGCTATCGCTCAGGCCATTTTCCATGATTTCGAATAACTCTCCAAATCCGTTGGCTCTCTGAATTCTATGCATGGGATGTGTAGTGCATGGGCTACGACTTACATCTCTTCCTTCCTTAATACCACCTTTCGATAAAATTTGAGGCTCGCTTCAAGGTCCCCCAAGATCGCTCGCGCATATCCTTCCTACCACGTAAAACTTGGAACAGTACGGCAAGATCTACGGCGGCGCAGGGTTATACATATCTACGCTCTGTACACATGTTACGGAGCCCCTTCACTCTATAGCCTTGCTATTAAAGTCCAAGCTTCCAAGCTCGTTCGCAAGTGTACGATGGTTGGCGTGCCTACGTATTGCCTCAATGTTACTGTTTTATTCCTCTTTCCAGCATTGCTCAATGTCAGGACATTCATCGGACGGCGCCAGCTTTCGATGGGGGGTTCTAGTGGAGGGTCGCGGTTGTCGCAGTTCCTTAAAGCTTAGCCGCAGTAACTCTTCAAATGCCAGAGGCCCTGGTGGGGATTTCGAATCTGATTCTTTTCCCTCCCCTTTCCAAGCTCGACGTTTGCTTTGAGGATGACAGGCATGTTTCTCTACTTCGACTTAGATCCCTGAGATATTCCCAAGGCCTTCATATGCGAAGAAGAGTGCAGAGACTACTGTGCTACTTCTTTCACGGATCAGTAGCTTGTTCTCGGCGGCTCGATCGATGTATCGTAAACGCAACGCATTGTGCACATCCACTCACTCGTTCGCGATATCCCTTTGATCCTTCCACTGAGTTAACTGATTCCGTTCCAGCGCCCTCATACAGCGCCCTCGTTTCCATACTCCGATTATCCGTCATCGTATGCCTTACGATGAACCTGAACCATAATGGCAACCTCTCCAGTATGGGAAAGAGAATCACCGGCGCCCTTCCCGCCCATGTATACACCTCAGTAGAGGAGGAGGAGAAGGGGATGAGTGATAGGTGGAGATAGCCGGTTCACACCGAGCTACATAATAGTCAAGAGGTTGCGAGAGCACGTAAGATTGGGGCTGGAATTGGAGCGGCGGAGATGGAATGGTCCAGTGGTGCTTTATGGCCCAAACCGAAGATCGACCAGCAGACAGCTGGGATCGGCGTGAGCATCAGTTTACGCCTGGGGATGGTATCTTGTATCAGTGGGATCAGTGTGAGGAAAGATAGATGGTTCTCCTATTGCATTCGGCACACTACTCGTAGCTTACATGGGGCTCGCCGACGAGAGCAAGCTCCGAAATGCGTCGTTTCGGCTCGCTGAGGGGCTCACCCTATAGTAGATTAGTATACATCATGACAATGGAACATGGAAATCTGCCTACTGCTCTGAATCGGTTGATCGATCTAGTGGCTCCGCCCCTCTCTCGTTCTCTCGATCCCACTTACCACCAACCTACTTCCCACTTCCTACTTCCTACCCACTTACTTACTCACCCATACTCTAGCAAGCTACCCAGCTATCTACTCGTCGTTCGCGTCTATCTTCGCCTTCGCCACGAAAAGCCTTGGGAGGATGGTGTAGATGATTGGCGGCTACACCTGGGGCTTGCTCGACGGTTCGCCGTCGCCGCAGCAAACGTAGGTTCGAATCCTGCTCCTCTCTCAACTTTCGCCTTCAACGCTGCAGAATTTTTATTGCTGGACAAGGATCCTTCTTCAAAAAGGCAAGGACATGCAGATCAACATAATGAGGGGTAGCGACCCACTCCTTACGCAGTTTCAAATTTAAAGAATAAAAGGCAAAAAGAGGGAGGTTTTCATCACTTCGCGTAGTTTTCCTTTATCTGCCCTGCAGGAAAGAATTTGTGGAATAATTGCATAGCTCTTAGAGCCAGGTCAATTCAATGAGTTCAAGCCAAGCCAAGCCAACGAAAAGCCTTGCACTTCCGTCCTTTGAAAGCCGCAGGCCTGCAGCCAAGTTCGGCGATGATTGTTCACTTCTCTTCTCTTCGAGATCAATTCACACGACTTCCTTCCAAGAACGAAAATAAGAATACCACAGCTGCAGCCATCCCCATCCATCTATCTGTCTGGCAAGTCCCCTTCCACTCATTCGATTCGAGAAGAGTTTAGTGGCGAGGGATAGTTCGTAGCTTCACGCCCAACGTAACCCGATAGTCTACCCGCACGCGGATAAGTAGAGTGGCTCAGGACAGCGTACTCGCAAGGTCTGTTTCATATCCCCATACCGGTACCTATCAACAATGTACTCCTGAATTACATCCCTCCTAAACGGACATCATGTAATAAACTCCTCCTTCTCGCATTGTACCCATGGGTAATTTGAGTCCTCTTCATCCAGCGGCTCTGCTGGCACAGTCGTGACATGCCCGCTCGTACTGCTGCGTGAATTACAACCGGCGCGAGGATACTCGGGTGTAATCGCACCGTGTTCGGGCTGTCGAATTAGGGTGTTCGCGTTCCAATGCGAGATGCGCAAACCCAATACGACGGCAGTGACGGCGATGATGATCCACCACCAGTTTCGCTCCCAGAACGATGGCTAGTCTTCCTGCTCTTCTTCTCCCCAAAGCAGCAAGATTCGGAGATCCTCAGGCAGCATGACCTCTCCCATCCCTTGCGCATCAATGTCCCATTCATCCAGCCGATGAGCGAGAATCATAGCCCTATCAGCGACAACTAGGGCCCCATCACCGACCATTCCAGCCCCACCCCCATTCTCAATCGGCTGATACACCACAAGCGCCATCTCCAACTTCTCCACCTCCAGCACTATTTGCTCCTTCCTCATCGTCTGGAATTCCGCCGCCCGCGCTGGGTCCTTCTCGCAAAGCCAGTCTCGGAGGCCGGGAAGCAGGACCTCATCCAACGGGATGTGAATGGTGCGTCGTAGGCGGCAGATGGCTTCGATGAGCTTCGCCTTCTTCATGTGGTTGTAGCGCTCCGCGTTGGTGGGGTCAGCTTGGGTTACCAAGTGTCGAAGGATGCCGACAGTGGTATTTTCTGGGGCCACGTCGACATTGAGGCGGGAGCGGTTGCGGTTGTGGTTGGCCATGGTGAAATGTTGTAGGTTGTGTTGCTGTTTAGGGGGACACAAGTTGGCTGGTTGGAGGTCTTTCGAGTGCGAGAGGTGGGCAAAACAGGGAGGGCGCGGAGACTTTAAAGAGGAATGGAGTGCTGGATGAGTGAAAGGACCGCGACTGCAGTGTTCACTGGATCTTGGCGCGCGATGCGAATCCTTTCACCCTTAACATGCTTTGTCACTTGGCTATACTCTTACATTGCATAGTCGTCGCTGATGCCCCGTGTTTGATATCCGCTTTTCTGATGATCACCTCGGAGAGTATCAGAATCTTCTTACAGTTTCGTGATTCTTCCTTCCCTGGTATGTCCTGGAATCCTCACCTCTGGATTTCGTACTAACAGTTGCCATTTCTGACTGCATCTCGACGAGCACGAGAAGCATATAGTGGCGGTAATGGAGAGAAGCATGTAGCTGGTCATTGAAAGAAGTGATGGCAATCGAATGAAGTATCCAGTGATCTCCGACACCAAACTCAGCCACTGAGAATGTCATATGAAAGGGTTGTTGGATGCGCCGCATAAGTTGTTGGAGGTAAAGAGAAGGTTAATCTGAAGGTTCCCATCACGCCCGCCCCGCTCCCGTCCCTCGTCTGTCTCCTTGCCGACATTCCTGTCCTCAGCGCATTCCTCATCAACACCCCCATCACCCTTGCCCACACCAGCCTCCCAAATGAAGGCTACAGTCCCATCATGTGCTTATAAAAATCTAACTTCTGCACTTTATGGATTATACCCCCTTCGTAGCTAAGCAGGGCAGGAAGAGACGCGTTAGAGCTCGGACAAACTCGTGCCCAGTGGGGGAACTCCAAATCCTTCACTGTCTATCTCCTCCAGATCCTTGTCGCATCCAGATTCTTGAACCATGCCAGTGTATGTGGCCCTGCGGCTGCTCAATGGGTGGTAATGGCTCGACTTGCATGGAGTTTGAGGAGGAAGGAAGGCAGCATATGAAGGCAGCATATGAAGGCAGCATATGAAGGCAGCATATGAAGGCAGCATATGAAGGCAGCTCGCATATGGGTTCATACCGCTGGCCACTGCCCAGTGTCGCGAGCATGGTCATCCTCATTGACAACAAAGGCTTCTTTGGGAGTGACGGGAGAACAGACTAATCCCTGCGGCTGCGCTTGTGCCTCCGCCTGTATTTGACAGGGACCATGCCCGTCACAGAAGGCTGCAGCGATATGAATGGGACACACAATACGGCGCTCCAGCACCTGGATCTGGAACGGCTTCAGCTATTTGCCTAAGAAAACCAGAGTGGAGAGAAGCCTATGCCAATAGCTAGTGGAAATGTGACCACAGTTGAAGTTCGAGAAGCGAATGCCGCGATTGCGATGCAGGTGGGCAGTACGAAAATGCTCAACAATGCAGCTGGAGCAGGGATTGCTATCCTGACAGCTGAAGGGAGAGGAGTTGTGATTACTAAAGTGGCTTAATGTCGACTCCCGAGGTCAGCAGCTTCCAGTCTTCTTGCCTCCTCATGCAGGGCAAGAGTTAGGGCGAACGGAGTCGAGCTAGCTCACATGGTGTGTGCCAAAAGGTTGTTGGATATTTACACAAGGTGTTCCAGGTGAAAGAGAGGTTCAGGCCGAATGGCAAAGCCATTAAGGAGTGTGCGATGGCAGACTGAATTCAGTTACTCCGGAATTTTAAAGCACAGCGCAGCCGAGCAAATAAATAATCTCTTCTAAGGGGATAATCAAGGCCTCCAACTATTTGCAAAAGCGTATACTTTTTATAATGGGCATGGAGGGGATGGAAAGGTCGAAAAGGCCATTTCCCTGCAACTTTATGGCAAAAATAGTTTGGTGCATTTGGGACCTCGAGAACCCCTGGTTATGGAGGGCGTATCGTATAAGACGATATCGCAACGTCGTTGAGTTAGAATCATGTTCCCGCGTCGGGTCCAGGTAAGTTCGCACAGGGCACTAGGGTGAACATTCTGTAGGGCATCCTACCCACAAGACGCCATAGAGACGGGGCGTTCCTCTACAAAGGACTGTTCCTGCATGATTTCATTTAAGTGTTTTGCGTTGGTGAACAAGTCATTGATGTGTACGTTTTCTTATCTTCGTCGTGGCACCAGGCGCCTCGAGGACGTTACCGCGGCATTCTTGGGATCCTTCGGAATTGTTCGCTACCTCAGGAAGTCATAGTGGCCGGAATTAACGAATTCCGCACTATAGTTATGCAAAATACCTAGAACCTAATTAAAGAGTCTCTTAAAGATATTTCTAACCAATTTGCACAAAGCGGAGGCAGCATCCTTAGATCCCGGCATGTAGAGGTGTGCTATATGACGCCAAGGCGAGCGCGCTAGAATTAACGAATTCTGTGCTATAGTTGTGCAAAATACCTAGGACCTAATCGGATTATCTTCTAAAGACGGTTCTGACTAGTTTGCACGACGCGGAGGCAGTATCCTTAGATCCTGACATGTAGAGGTAAGCACTTGCCCATGTGCATAGTTTCTGTTTGGCAGTTCGTGTGGCTCGATGCCAACGTTCTCTACTTATCCTAATTTCCACGCTTCGTGTAGCGCTTCACAGAATGTGTCTATATGCACTTTATTAGCCTGAGAGAGTACTCTACCTGCAACACTATATCCCTTCTTGTCTAGTATTAATTCACAAACGACTTAATTCTATGCAAGACCGAAACGACATAGAACCAATTAGTGCCGCCAAAGTCACTCGGACTGACCGATCGGGTTCAAGCCATACTATGTTGATATCAGCTTGTTGGTAACATCCTGCGGGGAAAGTGCATTTACTTTGAGAAGGAAATGCTCTTCTTCGCCGTATAGGATACAGTCGTTTTCATAACGCTTCTCTCAAGGCCATGAGAAGTTGCTGCTAAAGATAGAGTAGCTGTTGTGGATCCTTCCATCAGCGAGTAATCCGAACGTTCGGGAGCTTGCGCGGAGCAGCGATCTCGATGGGCGCGAAAGAGCTGTTTACCCAGTTGAAGAAAGAAGGCCGAAGAGGAAGCGTACGTTTCTATGTGCTCCATCAATTCATCTAACAACGGCACGGTTGCGTTCTACCCGGATCGACGAACGGCATCCAGCTTCTGTAACGAGCATTCGTACGTCGTGCGATGTAGCGAGAAGTTGAAAGGAAACGGCCTTGAGGAGGTCCTTCCTCGCTAATAACAGCGAGCAGGCAGTGCCAATGGCCTTGCAGCCCTAGGATAGGTTTAGTCGCTCTTTGGCGAACTATAACAAATGATCGAAATGCAGGCGAGTCGAAGCGGCTTGGGATGAGCATAGAGTTCCTAGTACCAGGCTGATTTGTGAAAGATGGCGCATGGATAAGTGTAGAGAGGCAGTAAATGGGCGCGGCGAATGGATTCCTACGATGGAACAGACAGCAGGTGGACAAGAGCTGGAAGCGAAGACGCGAAGGCGATGGCGCGGACAAGGAAGGCGCGAAGACCTCCCACGCCCTCTGATTCCTCCATATTCTCCTGCCCAAGATACCTGAACATTTTGTCTGATCTCAGTGGGTTGCAACGGGGGTTGGAGCTGTATCTTTCCTGGATAATGAGTCCGCAAAGTCAAAGTCCCAGTCCCACAGTAAATCGCCTGCACTCGTTTGAAGGGGAGCACATAATACGAGCAATTGTGAAGACCTCAGCCGTTGACATGAGACTAAGACTCCAGCGTTCTATCGTCTTGACCGTGTCACTAAGACATACTGCTTCAGCTTGACCCAGTAGTCTGTCAACGCGAGAAGCAGGGAAGGCATGTGCTCTAGATTGAGGGCGAGACCCCATGGTGGATATCCTGGATGCCGTGTATAACGGGATGGCTTACCGCCGAGTTAGTCTACCCAAGGCTTGAAAGCGCTCAAGGAGACCGCAGACCTTCTCAAGAGAGATCGTACCTGTCGGAGCTGAACGACGCTGGGAACCTCTTCTGGGAAAATGAGCCAGGGAGAGTTCGTGATACCGGCAGGCAATCTGCTTGGATGTCGACATGGTAGTTGCATTTGGCATGGTAATAAAGTACAGGTTTCTCTGTGCGTAATAGCCGATGCGTTGAACAGTCGTATTAGGAGGTAGGCGAGCGGACCTGAACTGCGATGCAATCGACTTCAGGCACAGTTATTCCGACTGTCGTCGCCGACTAAGCTTTCGGAGGATTGCGATAGAATCGGTCTTGAATCGATACCGACAGTAAAAGGACGTGAGTCAAGGTCCTGTGATGAGGCTGGTTGGAGCCTTTTGACGATTCTTCGTCAACAGTGTCGTTCTCAATTGTTCCACGAGAGTACACATGATGCCAGTAGAGCTATACCGATTGGGTCTAGAATTGTGCAGCACATTGTAAGAGACCCTAATCGAATGGTTATGCAGAGAAAGCCTAATAACGGTTCCCAACGCTTCAGTCAAAGCTTGACAAGGAGAAGCGAGTCCAAATCTAACGGCTTGCTCTGATTCGCATGTTGTACAATCGAATTCGTGTATGCGGATACACCAATATGAAGCTGAGAGATGTCAGTGAGCGAGGCAGTTGGTATAAGGGCACATGCAACCCATACCTTGCCAGACATGTCAGCATCGGGGTAAGTCAACATTCGTTGCGATGCTCGTTCTGACCAACCGTAATGCCGCTATAAATGAAATCTGTTCGTGTTGATGCGCAGCAAAAGCCGATAAAGACGAGCCGGCAGCCGATGCCCGACGGGACTCCTTTTAGCAGTGGTTCCACGCTTGTCTTGCGTAATGGTATGACCGCGAAATCCCAGGCCGTGCTGAGTAGCGTGAGAGATGGTGCTTTGTGCGACTACGGAAGGTATGACAAGTGCGTGAGGCCAATAAGTCGAAATTGTGGAATGCAATTCAAATGCTCGGCCTGCAGAAGCTTTACGAGCTTTCAGGCTCCGGCCCAGATTCGAAGCGCCATCGCAGTCAGAATGCATCATGAAACCGGCTGCGATCTCCTGTAGCGTGTTTAGATTTTTTGCGTGAAGGAACGCTGTAGAAGGACGACAATATGCATCGTGGGGAAGAGGTGGAGTGGAGCTAAGGTTGGCGGGAAGCGTTGAAGATCGATCTGCGCTAGCCGGATTCGGCGGACCAGCCCGCTTGAACATATGGACCATGTACACCTTAAACCGCAGATTCAAGCATCCATCCTAGGATTTCAGGCCCGAAGAGGATACTTTAGACGAAGGAGATCGGAGATTAATAAGACAATACGTGTACACCTATTGACCGACGCAGCCTCCAAGCACGCCTAGGCCTGGGCCGATATGCGAGAGGTACTTATCGGCCTCTGTATTTGATTCTGGCTCTGGTTCCCGTTTGGTCTAGTGTTTGAATACCTTCCAGCTTGGCAAAACATCGTAACAGCAATTCAGTTGTGATATCCTGCGGTGAAAAAATGGACTCTTGACATGAGCAGCCGCTCGCGCCAAAATGCCCTGAGATAGGTAGAGGAAGACCTAGACTCTAGAAGTCTGTGTGCGTGGAAAACCAGACACACGTTTTGTCAGCTAGTACAGCATTCATTTCTCTGTAAACATCCCTGAATCTCTCTATCCCTCTCAGCCACCCTACCATTTACTCTCACACGATCCTGCATCCCCTTCTTCTGACAGCGCCTTGGTACAGCGAGCACTTTCTTCCCCGTATACTCCGACGGATTTACAGTAAATAGAAAGTGTTTCATTTCTCTCCCTTAAAGGCGACGTTAATTAGTTCCGACCTCCTCGTTCGGAATACAATGGAGCACGGAAAGATATCTAACGCTACATCTCTTGTTCACTGACCACCTGAACAAGCATAGCCTGCGGAAACTAAATCTTACGAAGCAAATCGGACCTTACACTCTGCATTATAAGCTTTCAGCTAGTCCATCTTCAAATCCACCAACTTCTCCATCTCTTCCCTTATCTTGTTATTAAGAATATCATCCCCATTCTTGTGAAGAGCAGCCTAATAGACCGCATCTATGTCGAAACTCTTCCTAATTCTATAGTTAAACTAGAACCTTCTAGTCGCCCACGAGTCACGCATCCAGACAGAAAGAAGTGGGTTGCTCTAACTTCCTTCCAAATTCGTCCTCGCCTCCACCCGCTCCAAGGCTCGCAAGAACTATTCTATTCTTGGCATGTAGCGGATCATAAAATCTTCTATAGAGTGGTTTTTAAGCCACATATCTAGACCTAGTAGAAGTAGCCACTAAGGCGAATTGTACGCAAACTACGCTAGCATAGTGTTTGTGAATTCGAAGTCTAGTACAGCTGTGATACGGAGAGTGTCTGGGTGCACAAGCATGTTTAACGGTTGCAGGTCGTTACAGTAGAGCTTGAAAGAACCAGTATTATCGAGACAGTAGCGGGAGATTAGCTGCTTGAATCGATGGCGTGCGATAAACCGCTTCTTAGCGTCTTCTCGGTTATTGGCAATGTTTCGTTGGGTTCGAAGATAGAGAAGGTACTTATTAGCGAGAGGGTGAAGAAAAGCCCTTGCAGACGTGAACAGGGCCGTAGGATATCTGCTTATAGGGTAGTTTAAGACTACAGTCATTAACTCGTTTATATTGTAGGTTAGAGGTCTTTCGCTAGCAATCTATTCGTCTAAAGATAGACTCTTTGATATTGCTCTAATTGTAGAAAAATCCAGTCGAGAGAGTTGTAACATGTAATTGGCAAGTTGCTCGTAAACGTAATCTAGTTTTGTGTCAGTCGCGAGAATCACCTTATCTTGTTCGGTCTCTGTTGGCTGCTTTAAGATAGTCGCTAGCGAGATACCATCAACATAGTCCATGATAATGAATGGACTAAGATGCTGAGGACTGTCTTTGGTGGTCCCCTAACTCACTACCCGAGGTATAGGAATAGTAGTCTTCTCGCTTAGAAAGTTCAGGAATTGGACTTCATTCCTGACCTTTTCATCCCGGAAAGCTGTGGCGGTGCGACCTGGTTTTGGGAAGCGAATTACGGCTTTCGGCCCTCTATTGCTAAATGTGACGACGAGACTAAGGTTGAACGAGCCTTTAAGGTAGCCGTCAAACTCTCCCGCTGGCTTGCCTTGTCGTCGAGAAGAGACAAAGGCGACAATCTCTTGCTTTACATCGATAACTTTTGCGCGCAGTGCGCAGTCATCGATTCGCTCGACCTCGTCATAAAGAAGATGCGAGCATACTACATATACAGTACCAGCAAAAAAGACGCTATATTTCCAAATCCGCAGGCAGAAGGGGTATCATCAAAAGGTTCAGCGGTTTAGTACAGACAGGATCCACGGTTCAGTGTAGGCAACATCCAGCAATGGAGAACGTTGACGCCCAACGCTTTTCGACCAAGAAGACACGCAGTCAACCGGCGAACGATAAAGACTGCGATCCTCAGAGCGATCCGATAACTTTTGACAACCACGCCTTGAATTTATTGTCCCCGTCCGTTTCGGCTAGCTCATCGAATACAGTCATCCTCTGGTGCGGAAAACATGATAAGGTAAACAAAAGAAGAAGGATTGTGTAGGCAGAGTACGAAAGTGGAGAAGGGGAAGGATAACTGTACCTGTGCAACGAGAGAGGTGGGCTGGCGCACTCGCGCACTGACGCATGCTACAAACCCGCTCATTGGGGAGTGCCAGTGCAAGTGCGGGGCGCTAAACTGCGGCAAGTTCCATCCCAATCCCAATAATCACTTCTCCCACTGAACCAACGTCACGTCGAGGCTACTATCAAACTGCCATTAACGCTGGTTTCACACACATTTCGGCCAATGCTCTTGGATGAAGAGGATACTTAGCCTGGTCTATGCTCACGAAGGTCGCCAAGGTGCAGATACTGAACTCTGGAGTCTCAAATACCAAGCGCCGGGACGAACAGCTGAACGGCAGCTCTTCGTATTCCCTTCAGCCCACTAGCACAGCATCGCTCTCCAACAAACCAAACTCCTCCGTTTCAGCCCAGCCTGCTCGATCTATCTCTGCCCAGCAAGAAGCGAATATTGATCAAGCCCCCCTGATCTAGCTCCCCACCAGACATTGGTCGCGCCACAACTAGGCAAGCCACAGCCACGTGTGATTGGCCAACGCTATTCACCATCGCTTCTGCATGTCGGTTCTGGCACGGCGATCAGTGGACCAGGCACGCATAGGGGCGAAAATCACGACTCTTGAATGGATAGGGCAGATGCGAAGTACGACGAAAACAAGTGGGCGTTTGAGGCTGTCTGTTGCCGCGCGGGCATTTTTAGCATGTGGACTGAGGAGGCTTGAGTCTCGGGTCTTGACCAGCGGCACATGTTTAAGAGGAGCAGGCTGCGCTCCAAGAGCTGTTTTCGAAGTTTCCTGCCGCCCTGTCGTGTTGCGAGACAACAAAACGGTTGCGCTTCGGCCTTGTCGACCAGCTCCTCATTTTCGCTGATAGTGTTTGGAGTTACGCCTAGAAGCATTCAAAATGGCTGGATCAGAGCTCCCACCCCACGTCGTGCCTGTCCCTCGCTGGACCCTCGCCATCCATGCGGTTCAGATGCTTTTCGCCATCATCATTCTCGGACTCGATGCCTACGGCATTCGCTGGGTCGCATACAATGCACTGATCTACTCCCTCGTAACCGTAAGTACTACCTCAGCACGCTGTGGTTTGTAAAACGGAAAAGGAGCCCTGACAATTGTAGACCATCTGCACGCTCGGCGTCTGCGGCTACTTGATTGCTTCCCAGCTCTTCCTCCACAACCTGTACAACATGATAATTGCGCTGGCGCTGCACGTGTGGATGGTGATTTTCTGGATCGTCGACCTCGGCCTTGTCGCAAATCTCGCTCGCATCTGGGGCAGCGCCAGTTTCTCGTACTATAGCTACGGCTACTGCTACGGGTACTACTGCACCTATGTAAAGCGAGACCTGGAGAATCTGGGGAAGAGGGAGGAAACGACGACATATAATGCGTACTATGGAGCACTAGCCGCAGGTGCCGTCTTTGCGGCCGTCGAATTGTGAGTATAAGAGAATGATGCGAAAATCGAGTGGACGGAATGCTAATACTCCCCAGCTGTCTCTGGGTCTTCTCAGCAGTCATCCTGCTCATCTACCTGAACAAGCACCGCGGCGAACAGTCCACCCAGCCCAACCAGCCACCGCCCCAATACGCCCCCAACAACGCGCAACAAGCCGTCCCGATGGAGAAGTACAACATGAACGTATCTACGCAGCCCCAGCAGCAGTACACCCAACCTGGTTCTCAGGGACAGGGCCAGTTCGTCCAGCCACCACAGCCAGCCTACAACCAACAGCAATACACAGGCCCAACCGGCCCATACGGACAAGATCCAATCTCGCGCCAGGACACAGTGAGCCCCGTCTCGCAGGTCGGTTACGCAGCACCCAATCCGAATGCGTCTGAGCTGGGTACACCGCAGCAAACGTATAATCCTAATGTGTCGGAGCTGGCGAGTCCGCAGCACACGGGCGGGTATAATTACAATGTGTCGGAGCTGGCGGATCGGAAGTGAAAGGGGAGTGGTATAATTATGACTTACTGAGTCTGCTTCCTTTTCATGCGGAGTTTGGACCGCAGCATTGATGAGTGGCCGTTGGAGGTGGAAGAGTAATGGAGATGTCGAGGATGGTCTCGGATACCCCCAATGAACAATTTCCACTTCCGTCAAGTCGTTTTGATGAGAGGATATTATTAGGCTGTACGAAACGTGCGACCGCTCGTGGTGTGATACCATTAATGGAAACATATATTAGGAGCTGCAGGAAGGAATCTAGGTTCCATATGAGAAAGCCAATCTGGATACTATCCGACAAGAGACGATTCGATTGATAAGTATAAAAGAATTGCCTCAAGATCAATTTATTCCTTCTCTCCTCAGCCCCCGCCGCACGGAGCAAACAACCCTATTTCCGCGGAAGAGGTGGCCCCGTAATAGTCGTGATAAGCGCATCGTGGTTCAGCTCGCAAGGCCTCTTCCCGCCTATCGCCAACAGGTACTGGCCCGTCAAAATCATGCCGCCAGTCTTCTTTGCTGCTACCCTTGGGTCGGTACCCTCGAGCGTCGTATTCGTGTCCTGTGCGAGGACGAAGACGTACCATTTGCCATCCGTCAGCTGCATTCCATCGATACCGACAGTATAAACCCCGGTGTTGGGTCTCGTCTGGAAACGACCCTCATCACGAAGCTCACGGATGATCTTCTGACCATCGTCGGAGATCAGCAAGGCCATCACGTAAAGTTCCTGACCCTCGAAGAGCGTTTCCGGCTGTGGATCCTCTCCGCGGGGTTTGACGAAGGAAGCGCTGACGTAAAGGGTGCACCTGCGATTGTGCGTGTAGATGCCGTCGTCTTCGTGCTTCCAGTCCACGTCGACGTTGTATGAGTCCAGGAGGTGTACGTTTCTGTATGGCTCTTTCTCGACTCTGTGCTCGAGGACACGTCCGCTATCGAGCGTCCTCTTGTATACCCAGTCGATCAAGCCGCCAAAATCATATCCAAGCATGATACCTGCTAGGACCGTGGCAAAGAACTCGGTGACTTCGCTGACGGTGAGCTCGCCTTCCTTGGGGACTGTAGACGACTGTCCTCTTTCAAAGAGATTGGCATCGTCCGACAGTTGTGCATCAAGAACCAGGAGCGCAACCTTCCACCACGGATCGTTGAAGAGAAGTGGGCCGTGTTGGCCCGAGAATGGAGGAGTACGCACCAGCTCAGTCCACGCCGACTAGATAAGGATAGGAGCATGCAGTGCTGCCTCGGAATCGGAAGTGGCGATCGAGGAGCAGCATTCGCAGCAGGGCCGTTTCTGGAGAGGGCAATCCTTGCAACCTGAGGACAGAAGCCTCTTGTTGGTTACCACTGTCTTGATGTGTGCCTTGAGGCGTGCTTCCGGGGTCGCAGCACTAAACGTTTTCGTGGCGCGGTCGAACTGAATGCCCAGGATGAAGATTTTCTTGACGATGCGGACCTTCAGTGTATCTTGACCCTGTTGCTTCTGTACGATGAAGGAGACGTAGCATTCTCCTGTTGCGGCGTTGCTGAAATCGGTGTAGAAAACGGCTTTGGAGAATGCACCTTTCTCCCAATAGGTTGGGCCGGGCATTTGTCTCAACGGAACCGGAATGTTTGGATCCGAGAATCCCTCCACATACACCGACGTACGCGTCAGGGCGTCATCATCATTGCGGACTTCCACCTGAATCCCTTGGAACCCTAGGTTCGAATCGAAAATACCGTCAACCAGCATAAGACCCGTCCTGCGATGAGTCGCATAAGGGCGGAAAGGAATGGATGCTTTGATATCCTTGGTGATGCTCCGGACTAAGGCTGCGGCATCTGGAGAAGCCGTAGCTCTACCAAGTGCCTTCCCTCGTCCCGGACGAGCCGCGAGCATTGCTACACCACCAACGACATTGCCCTTAGTGTCCAGTTGTTCGATGAATTGCAGAGCTGCAGCGGCAGCATCTCCGTCTGGGAGATGAAGTAGCGCGTGTACGCCTTGACGATTTCCTGGGGAGAGACCTTTCAGTTCAAGATTTCGAGACAAAGAACCAATCTGCGGTAGAGGCTGGCCGAGTTCGATTTCAGTGAGGAGGCCGGTGGCTGTTTCGTCCGTCGCGTGAGCGTGAGCGTTCCCGTCAAGCCCCACGAGTCTTAAGGCTGGCCCAAGAGCGGCAGCATCTGCTGGTCGTACCAGAAGCCGAGCAACCTCCTGGTTATGAAGGCCAACTGTAGAGAACGTTGCAGCCAATGCTTGGCTGGGCTCCTCAGTCGGTGGTTCTGGGTCCGTGGTCGAGCCGCTGACGATCTTCCACAGTGCAGGGCAAACGGGAGGAACCCATCCTTCTACTGAAGGATGAGCCTGGATGCATTCGTAGGCCTTATCCTCGTAGGTCACTTTGCTGCCAACCTTGTAGGAAGTCTGAACTTCCCTCTTGGTGACGCCGCATGGAGTTGGCGTAACCCACAGTACGAGAGCCTTAGTTGGTGGCCACTCGGGGGCATTCTTGTGGCTTTGTAGGCACTGTGAAAGGCACTCTTGCGGCGTCTCCTGAAGCAGAGGGTGACCGGTCAGTTCCAGCGAGTTCAACCAGCGCCCAACCCGAAGCCCGACAGCTTGACGATGACTTTAGCCATTCAGCCAATGTCCAGCCATGAGGTGACCATTTCGTAACGACAAAGATGAGTTCCACAAAGGGGCGGCATTGTATTGTTGGCGTGAGAGCATGAGAGACCACGTCGAGTGAGAGGATGTGCACGGAAGCAGAATGTGCGGAATCTGTTTCTGCTAGCGATTAGTGAGGGAGAATAACGCTTCTTGAAGTATCAGAAATTTGAAACTAGGTCATCGTTCCAACATACTTCGCTCAGTACCACGTAGAGGGCACTACGGTGTTGTTTGACCCTCATACCACACCACCCAATGTTTTCGAACCTGCGCGTAAGAGAGCAGCCACCAATATCAATCATTCCATGACGTCGACGAATAGAAACCTTGAAGGCGACGTACAGGCAGTCAATGGAAGTTGGCGTCGAAAGGAGTTGATGCCAGATGTCATGCCATCCTGCCTCGAGCTTTCCAAAGTCAACTGCAGTCTTAAAGCTTCTCTGAGGCATGCGCAGAGCAAACGCAGCCTTAGAAATATCAAAGAACGATAGAGAATATGAACCACTCGATGACAAGTCAGACTAAGTTACGACCAAAAAATAGATATGTCCATCTAAACCTACGCCTTCTAATGCCGATTACGGGGTATCATCAAAATCAATCCATATCCTCCAAGCTGCTCCTTATCGGCGCTTGCTCTTCGCTGACCATAATACCGACCAGACATTCGCCCAGCATATTCTCCCAATTGACCCACGGATGCACCTCCATGAACAGCTTCCCGCCATCTTTTCCCGCAGCTCTTCGTAGCTCCCCTTCACCTCCCGGATGGAAAGGAAGATACGGCGTGATGTTGTATACCTTACCCTGGTAGCTCGACCACGCAGGCTTTCTCTTCCTCCCATTGTTGTGCTTGAGCATGTCGGGCGTCACGCGAATGAGCGACGATACACCTGACATATTCTTCCCGGAACGTTGCAGATTCGCCCAGTCGAGAGGCGAGTGCCCGGGCGAGAGAAGGACTTTGCCTCGCGAGTTTGAGTTCTTGACTGTGGGTGCCAGGCCTCCATTTGACACGGGCGGTCCTCGGTCTGGGACCGGTCCGCGATTAGGAAGAGGGCCAGTCGTCGGTACATGCATTGACTGCGAGGGAGTGGGAAGGGCGCGTAGATTTGAAGCGTTGATTCGTGGGGGCGGCATGAGGGAGGGCGTGGGCCTCGGAGGAGGAGCCATCGACGCAGGTCTCGCCGGCGGGGCCATGGGCGCGGCTCTGAGTGGAGCAGATGTCCTTTGCGCGGAGTTCAGGGCGGGGAATGAGGGCGGGGGGAGGTCGTCTTCCTCTTCATCGGAGCTCTCGTGGGTTGCCAGTGTGAAGGTTGGTATGGTGGCTACGTTCGAATCGCTTGGGGTTGCTTTCGGAGTAGTTTGTGGCGAGGGAGTGGGTTGCAATGACTCTTCCGTGGCGCTATCGTCCTGGGCCGGGGGCGCTTCGGACGGCTCTGTAGCTGCTCTGCGCGGCTCTGCGCTGCCATCCTGCGACTGCGCGGGCTTTCCGTCGATCGATGCGCTTTCCGTGTGAGAGTGAGATAGGCGCCATGTCGAAGGTGGATGCTTGTAGATCAGTATGGAGAGTGATATCGCAAGAAGCGAAAGAGCCACCAGCATGTCTTGGGGGTAGAAGAACGAGGGGAGGGGAGACAAGCCGAACGCCGAACAGTTACAGATCGGTCGGCGGCGTCGGCCGGAGGTTTAGGGCTGCAGTGCAAGGGTCCAGCCGCGACGCTTACTGTACCCGCTGTGGCTAGGTAGAGATCGGCCCAGGGCCACACTAGCCACACCAGCCACACCTGGGCCGTTGGATCTCGAGTTGCAGGCAATATGACGCGGTCCCTCCCCACGTTACCTGCAGCCATTGCACGGCCGCGGAAAGTTCCCAATCATGAGGCAGCCTTGCACATATATCACGAACTGCATCCAGAGCAACGCTTTCCTCGTCCTTGATTGTTCTCACAAACTGCGCATCGGTTCACAGAGTGGAGCCTAGCTCGCGCCTGTCACACACGCACTGGCAAGCACGCACTGCGCCAGGCATAAAGCTCCCGCTGCCCCTCAGCCTATCCTACCACAACCGCACACCTCCATTGACGCAACTCGTGCATCATGGCCGACAGGTTTTCCTCGAATCTGCCCGAGGGCGTCTTCTCCCTCCTCGATACGTAAGAGCAAGCGCGAAGCTGCCCACGTACGTGCGCTAACCGTGCCAGTGACCTCTACAAACTGACAATGCAATGCTGTATCCTGAAGTACTTCCCAGACGTATCCGTCACATACAGCTTCACCAACCGCACTCCAGACAAGAAGCTTACCCGCGCCGCCTTCCGTTGGCTCCAGACCCAAGTAGACCGCAAGTCCAGCCTCCCTCTAATCTGCGCGCCGCTAACTATTCCCTAGGCCTAGAGAGAATCGCCTTGTCCGCCGACGAGCTCGACTTCCTGAAGACGACGTGCACCTACCTCAACGACCAGTACTTGCTATTCCTCTCCCAGTTCCGCCTCCAGCCTTCCAAGCAACTGAAGCTGTTCTTCAAACCGATAGAGGACACCGGGTCGGACAGCGATCTAGGCGATTTCAGCATACATACTGAGGGGCTGTGGGTGGACACCATCCTATACGAGATACCGTTGCTTGCTCTGGTTAGCGAAGCGTACTTCAAGTTCGTTGACACCGACTGGAGCCATGCGGGGCAGGTCGAGAAGGCATACCAGAAGGGAAAGACGCTGCTGGAGGAAGGGTGCATCTTTTCGGAATTCGGCTCACGGAGACGGCGCGACTACCACACCCAAGATCTGGTCCTCCAGGGGCTGCGCCGCGCGGAGGCTGATGGAACACAGAAAGGGTGGAAGGGCAAGCTGACAGGAACGAGCAACGTCCACTTTGCGATGAAGCACGGCTTGGTTCCTGTAGGGACCGTGGCGCATGAGTGGTTCATGGGCGTCGCCGCCATCACGAACGACTACGAAAACGCCAACAAGATTTCCCTGGAGTATTGGACGTCGACATTCGGCGAAGGCGTGCTAGCTATCGCACTGACCGATACCTTCGGGACGCCGGCATTCTTGAAAGCCTTCAAGGAGCCCGTCCCCGAGCTCACGACTGCCGCGTCAGGAGGTGCGACGACACTGGCCTCCGCAGCTGCCACGACCAATCCCGACGTTAACACGCTGGCGTACACTGAGCCCCCCATCAAGGCGGGAATTGATGGAATCAACAAGCCAAGGAAAACGTACGCGGAGGTGTTCACGGGTGTGCGTCAAGACTCGGGCGATCCCTTGGACTTCATCAAGATGATGCGCCAATTCTACGACGAGCAGGGCATCAAGGCGAAGAAGACGATTGTCTTCTCTGATTCGCTCAATATCGAGCTCTGCCTCAAGTACAAGGCTGCGGCGGAGGCTGCAGGCTTTCAGCCAACCTTCGGCGTGGGCACTTTCCTGACGAGTAAGTCGTTCTTAGTGGCGTCGAGTAGGTTTGGCTGACTAGTGATAGATGACTTCGTGGAGGAGTCGACTGGCGAGAAGTCGGTCCCGCTCAACATCGTCATCAAGATCGCCTCCGCCTCGGGCCGTTACGCCGTCAAGATCAGCGATAACATTGGCAAGAACACGGGCGACAAGGCGACGGTCGAGGAGGTCAAGAAGCGTCTGGGCTACACCGAGAAGACGTGGGCAGGCGGAGACGAGAAGACGCGGTGGGGTTGAGCACAGCCAGCCACCTCTTAGCGAGCTGTTCTAGAGTATGAGTCTGGATGGACTTTCCACGTTCACGTGCATACGGCATGTAGGCTAGACAGAGTTGGATGGTTGATTCCGCAATACCCAACCAGCAATGCGGGGCGTTCGCAGCTGAGCGGCGAAGGTGTAAGGCTGAGCTTACCGGATCGGACCCTGGCTTACGAAGTCCGCGGCGGCGGAGCATGATTTTACGGGTGTGCGCAATGCGAACGGCGTGGCATAATGTAGGGCTTTCGGATAAAGTCGCGAGGGGGCGCGCAGTATTGCGCAGGGCGAGTGGCTCATAGACAATCTGACAGACGAACGACGTGTATGGAGTTGGCGGTGCAAAAATAGAGTGATGGGTGAGCAGCTGCAGTGAGCGTTGCTAACAGACGCGGATCCACGAGACTAAGCCGAGCCGGGGTAGCGCGGCTCTCGTTGCGGGCTAGCGCGGCGCCAAAGAGCTTCCCAGGCGAGGCTGAAGGGACCTTCATCTTCAGCTCCGCCCCGGGAAACGGCTGGGAAACAGCGAAACTCGCCATATCTCACTCCACGCCGCACACTTTTCTTGCATTGAAATTACCACCGTGTGCGTCGGCACCAGCGTCTCTCCCGTCCCCCGGCCGCATTCTCCATCTCTTTGTGCTGCATCTAGGCGGCGCGTGTCTCAGGAGTCCCCAGAACCCACACACCACACGAGTCCGGTTTCAGCATGAGTGTACGTCTCTCGACACTAATAGCCGAATCACCCTGCCCGCATTCCTCTTTCAACTCCACACTCCCACAACACACTTACTAACAGTCGCGATGGAGCAACAGTACGGCAACGGCGGCTACAACCAGATCGGCTACGGCGCGAATCCCTACGACCAGCGGGAGGAAGGACCTGCGGGCGGGCGCTACAACAACTTCGCTCAGGGCCGATATGACGACCGTACGTCCTCGCCCACATTCGGCGCGTGATACATACCTAACGTGTGCAGCGAGCGCAATGGAGATGCAGCCCTACGGCCAGCAGGGAGGCGGCGCAGACCCCAATGCCATCCTGAACGAATGCCGCGAAGTCGACCGCGCGCTCGACCAGATCGACGGACAACTCGACAACCTGGAGCGGACCTTCAAGATGGTGCTGGCGCGGCCAGACATGCCCTCGGGCGAGATCACCAACCTCAGCTCCCAGATCATGACGGGCTACCGAGCCCTCGTCACGCGCGTCAAGAACATCAAGTCCAAGCCCGAGTCTGGAAACCCCAGGAACGCACCACAGGTCGGGAAGGTGGACCGCAGGTTGAAGGCGACCATCAACAGGTACCAGAACCTCGAGGCGGACTTCCGGCGGGATTCCCAGGCGGCTGCCGAGCGACAGTACCGGATTGTCCGACCAGATGCCACCGATGCGGAAGTCCGAGAGGCAGTTGAGGACCCTGAGGCTCCCATCTTCCAACAAGCTGTATGACCATATGATAATCCTTGTCTGAGGCCATAACTGACATTTCCGCAGCTCCTGAGCTCCGATCGCCGCGGCCAAGCATCGTCAACCCTCCGCAATGTCAAAGAGCGACACGAGGCTATTCAGAAAATCGAGCGCCAGATGGTGGAGCTCGCACAGCTCTTCCAGGACCTCGACCAGATCGTCATGCAGCAGGAGCCGCTTGTGGAGAACATCGAGCAGAAGGGCGAGGAGATCCACGACAACGTCGTCCAGGCCAACACCGAGATTGGTGGCGCCATCGAAAAGGCACGGAGCGCCCGCCGCAAGAAATGGTGGTGCTTGCTCATCTGCGTGCTTATCATCATCGTCATCGCGGTTATCGTGGCCATTGTGGTCACCATCAACAAGAACAAATAAGCTCGCATCTATACCCCTGTATAGCTGCTGGATCATTTTCCGCCGTCAGCCTTTTTGTTCAACCTCTCATACCCGGTGCCATATCCACTATTGACTCCGCATCCTTTCCTTATCATCAAGGCCGGCCTGGACGTTGTATAGTAGCCACCCGGTGGACCACGCAGTCTTCTCGCCATATCTCTCATCATCTCGTTGCTCTCGGAAAATTGCCGCCAGTACCTCTTCTTATTGCTTCGCTGGGCGTCAGAGGCGTCCGAAACTTGACATCTTGTAATCAGCCGCGGGGGAAATGTGATTCTTCTTGGAATAAGGTCACTGGACTGGCTGAAGCATTTTTGGGGGCTTGGGATTGGGTTGCCGTCTTTGTAGCGATATTGAAAGAGTACTTTTGTTTCTGCTTTTGGCTCCGCTGATGCTCAGTTTGTGATGTACCCTCCGCTTTGCGGCATGTTGTGCTGTGTGAGGAGTCTGCAGATCTGTCTCACTATTTGACTGCTTTGCAGCTCATGTCCTGTCAATCATGACGAAGAAGGAACACTATTTAGGTAACCACGAGCTTCTACTGCGCCTGCAAGGTGACGATGGACATCACGTGTAAGCGCGAGACTTACACACCGAATGCTTCGTTTGACTGTTGGCTAAGCTTGGCCGGCCAATATCGCGGCATGCCGAGGGAACCAAAGGGCTTATATTCCTACCCCACTACTAGAGGATCGAATGTCCTACCTAAGTATTTCTACTAGGAGGGCATAGCCGCCGGCGCTTTATTCCCACATGCATGGGTGCCTCAGGCAGAAACAAACGGGGGCTGTTGCCCGCGTTCACTTTGTTTCGACGTGAAAGTCATTTGCCTTGATGTTGTTCCTTATTTGTACCGAAGAGTGTTCGCTTTCGCTGCTTGCCCTTGGTACCTAGGTTCACGGGTAGACGCGTCGCGCGACTCGTGACGTGACATGGCCACTGGCCTCACCAACTGGCTCGAGGTACGTATTGCGGTCCGCGCACGGCCAGTCTCATTCTATCTGCATTCATTGAAGCCTCGAAAAGCTATCCAGCCCACCGCGTAGAAGCCGAATGCGCCATGCTCGGACGCGGACTCGCCCTTCTTGCGCCGGAATAGCTGCTAACATTCACGCCCACCGTGCTAGGAAGCTATCGCAATACAAATACACCTAGGCAACAGCTTCTTGAAAGAGAAGGCCTCAAACAAGGCGCTAGGGATCAAGTCCGACCCCGTGCGAGCTTGGGAAGGTGTGTACGAGGATACAGGCAGCTCCTTGGACATAATCGAGACGATTCACCCCGAACACAACAGCAATCTGCAAATTATCAAGGTGCTCATTCCCATGCGTCCTCGAATCTGAACTTCGCAACTGACATTCACTATCGCAGAAATATCCGCTCACTCTCACGGACGGCAAGGCCTACGTCGAAGCGACGCTCACGCGCGAATGCCACAGAGACCTCTATACGCGCTACCAACGACTACGAATTTCCACCGCGAGCTTGAACAGCGTCATCGCAGTCCGAAACTACACGATCCGCATTGCTAGCTACGGACCGCCGCGCGACAAGGTCCGCTTCTTCCTCAATACAATTGATTGGCGGGGTGAAGGTAGCAGAGGGGATATCGCCGGTCCGAGGCCCATAACAGCTTGTGAGAAAATCCAGGACGCTTTGCGGAAAGTGGAACGTACAAGAGCGCTAGAGGACCGCCGATGCTTTCGCCGGAACTCTGGCGAAGAGGAGGACAACATGTCGCCGGGTAGGGGTCGTGTGGCTGATGGAGACCTCGAAGGGACCTCTCCGCACACTCAGATGCCGTTTGGTACTCAGATGGTGCGTCCCTCTCGGGCCCCGGTAGAAGACGACGATGTGCAGGTCCTGGGCGTGAATAGGCTGGAGCCTGTTCTCGCTGGCAACACGCGCAGAGAGGAGCTTCCGGCGGACAATACCGGCTCGCATTCGGCGAAGCAAGCCGCTTTATTGAATCTTCTCAATCGCAACGGAAACCAGAATGCCGGACAGCGGACTGCCCCTTCTACAGGTGGATTTGCCCGAACCTCCGCTGTTAACCAACCTCACGGCCTAGGACCTTCTCCATCACAGCTACGGAGCCCTCTTACAATGCGCTACGGCCCACCCGACAGACCACAACCAGCATCGCCAATCTCGACGATCGGTAGAACGGAGTCCTTGAGGGCAGACAGTGACGGTGGTGGCCAACACGACATGGATGTTGAGATGATTTCCGAGCCGCAGGAAGTTGAACAACCTCTAGATGAACCCTTCGGCATTGATCAGGACGACGACGATCTGGAAGCCGCGAGACCAGCCTGGGTGAAGGGATTCCAATTGACGCGCGAGTCGGCGAATCCACCACAAGACCAATTGTCTCTACTCTTGAAACCGGAATGTTGGCAAAAGCCGCTCCCTGGATACCGGTTCCCTGATGGGAATATTCCAATTCGAATATTAATAGCGCTTGGCGAACGTGCAGCTGAGGCCGCGGCCGCGGCCGCTATGTCGGATGATGAGATGTACGGGCCACCAGAATCGCCATTGCGTGACCAAGATCACGATGCAGAAGAGGAGCCACCAACGAGTGAGCTTTCTTGGTCACCTACGCCGACTCCCGAAATGCCTGAATTGCCACACCGACCGAAAAGGGTGGATCAAGCGCTGCCTCCAGATTCGAGCCTCGGTGCTGGAAAAGATGCTGCGTATCCTGATGGCGAGGATGGAGCACATGCATCGGGTAGGATGCTGTCACAGCCCGTCACTGTTGAGTCGTCAAACGAACATGAACCCGCCGGGCCTCCCTCGTCGCCTCCGCTTGTTCCAGCAAACGAAGATTCAGACGAAGAGATGGAATTGGAAACGGCGGTTCCCCGCGGCCTAGGAGAGGATCAGTCAAGTGGTGAACGTGCAGCTGCCTCCAAGCCGCCGCCAGTCGCCGTGGTCCAGGTCAAAGATACCCCGTACGCGAAGGGGAAAAATGGGCAGGTGCCGAAGGTAAACTCTCCTGAATCGCTACGGCAACAGACCTCTAGCGGGACGTCGAAAGACACTTCGTCGACCTCAATCGTGTATTGCACCTATAAAGAGCCGAACTCCTCGGGCGAGCGCCGCGCTGCTGTTAGTGCTGGCGCCAAGCTTTCCACAACAGCTGGCGAGGCGCCAGATAGGCAAGAACGCAGCGTTGAACCTGCTGTCGCGGAGGAAGCTTCCGCCCATGCTCAGAAGCACGTACGCTTGCCTCCTGCCGAAACCAGCGACATACCCATGGCAGATGCAGACTCTCCGGGAGCGGGTAAATTTTCCAAACTCGAGCTTACAACCACCACAAGTGATCCCCAGGATCAGGATATGCCCCTTTTGCAGCCTGAACCCACACCGGTCTCTTTCCAGATGCCACCCAAGGAACTTAGCTCGTCAGGCGAACAGATGGTCCACCGCCCAGATGACTTGGAGCAGCCAAGGCCTAACGCAACCGAGCCAGTCGCAGCTATTCCACTCGCAGCACACACGAAGCGCAAGCTGGACGAGTCGCCATCCAAGAAGAGCAGCCGTCACTCAAAGAGGCGAGAGATCAAGATAGTGGGGTTTGACGATGACTCGCCCGTCAAAGATACCGCTGCAGCAGTTCGGCAGCTGAGGACAGAGTCGATGGAGAAATTCATGGAAGGACGGAGATCCGACGCAAGCGTCACGACCACGTCGCGGATTTCGCCGAACGGCCTACCACCCCGGAAAGAGCGCAGTTCCTTCACGGCGGAGCTCGATGCTAGAGCCGGTGCGGAAAGGCTGACTTCTCCTACCTACAAGATATCGCCCAGTAGAACATCGCTGCCGTTCCATTCTACCTCTGCCACTACTTCTCCTCGACTCATGGTGCGCCAGGGCAGATCACCTAATGGACGAGCCAGTGAGGCTCGGGAGAAGCAAGAAGGCGTCAGGATAGGGAAACGGAAGGAGCGAGATGCAGGCGATCATTCCAACTCTCGGGGAAGGAACGAGGGTCCGACGGAGGAACCTAGCATCACAAGACCTCCTACCACGACGTCACCCCTGTCTGCCGCGTATAGAACCGACACTTCGCGCATGGAAATGGAGATCGACGAACCCCTAGAGGTCCAGAAAGCATCTAAGGAAATCGTTCATGCTGCCCACAAACCTCCGTCTCAGGCCCCTCAAGGCCCTGTCCCAATGTCAAACCTTCCATCGCCAGCTAGTCGGGGCATTGCTACGCAAACGGCACAGCCGAATACCATCTTCCAAGAATTCAAAGCGGCGTATCCCGAGTACAAAGGGGATGAAAAGCACTTCATGGGCCAGTGTAAGCAAATGTACAAGCTGGACATGGAGGACAAGATGGTGCCGAAATGGCAATGGGACGACTACATCATTCGGAACAGGACGGATTATAAGAGCTACGTCCTGGCGTGTATGGATACTGGGGAAGACGCAGAGCCATATTACAGGTTCTACAAGGATCAGATCAGGGATACCATATACAAAAAGAGTGTCATTGACAGCAGGAGGACTCTCCTCGCCGCCCTAGAGGAGCTTGGAGCGCAGCCTGCAATCCCTGAACCGATTGCGGAGCCCGCTACGAAACCTTTCAGGAAGTCCCTACCCTGGGGTACCAGCCAACACGAAGCAGCCGCTGTGGAACCCGTGCAAAGCTCACTAGGCGACCGTCCACGGCACTCCCTCCCAGCAGGTACTCATAAGGGCCTTCATTCATCCAATGGAGGCTCCGCGCTTCGGTCTAGCTCTTTGCACAAATCTGCGACCCTTGCTCCCATCCAACCCACCGCACCCGCCCTCTCACGAAGCGGCACATCAACGCCCCTCTCACGGCGTCAATCAGATAACAATCCTGCGTCGAGCCGTGCTGACGGCGCATCCAAGATCCCAACCGAGCCGACTGGCGACGAGTACCGCGACTTTGTCTTTGCGTATCAGCGCATGACTTCGCTTACCGGCAGCACGAGGGTACGTTCGCGATCTCCTTTGTCAGACGCTTGTGGGGAGAGTGAGTAACTTGAGTAGGTTGATCCGCGGAAGAAATGGCCGGCGAATCTGGCTGTGCGTCCGGCGGCTGCGGTGCCGCGGGAGAAGGTCGATGTCCTGAGCTGGAAGGACGAGTTGTGAGAAAATTTAAGCCACATGCATGAATATCTGGGGTAGTCGGCACACTGCTTTGTTTGCTTTGCATAGTTGGGCGTTGCATGGAGAAGAGTGACATTTCGAGGCGTTTTGGGATGCAAGGTAGGGATGATACCCCATGGTGTTTTCCTTGCTCGCCGGAGAGCCTTTGGTAGGACTGCTGCATGGATTGCGATTATGATTACCCACATTGGTCCCTTTGGTGTTACTCTGCCGCGTAGATATGAAAACATGCGGCCTCAATGTGCCGCACTAGTTCATGTTGGAATACACATATCGTCCGGTGAGATATATATATAGTACATGGTCTAATGAAAGACCCACATCACAATGGTTCAGCCTTGAAAGAGGCCCTGTGCACGCCTCGCTACCCAGCAGATGGACCTCAGAATACCCATCTTCGCCCTCTGCGCAGCACCCGACCTCGCAAACAAAAAGCCCGTCCCGACGAGAGTCGCCAGGCTCAGACCTACCACGCTATTCAGTATCCGCGCCTGCCGCTGTGCCCGTTGGTGGACCTCCGAGTACCGCATGTTGCTGAACGTCACGCGCGAGTACTGGGTCGCCCATCCAGCACGCGGCAGATACAGATCTAGCGTCTCCTCGATCCACTTGCGGAGCAGATACATCGGCCTCTTGACATCTGTAGCCATCTCATGGTAGTTTCTCAGCGCAAGGTCGTTGATGGTATGCGCATCCGGAGTGCGCTGGCGCGAGTACTCGTTCAGCGCCGTCGCAGGATCGTCGGGGTACTTATCTAGGAACTCGAAGAGCACGCGGACGTCTTCCAGTCCGGTATTCATGCCCTGGCCGTAGAAGGGGACCATTGCGTGTGCGGCATCGCCGACGATGACGCCGCTGGAGCCGAAGTGGTAGGGGGTGCATTTGATGGTAATTAGGGGTAGATGTTGATTTGTGGAGTACTGCTTGCGCAGTTCGTCTTCGGTAATGAGGTCTGGGACCACGCCGGGGAATTTCTGGTTGAAGTATTCGACTACCTTGCCCGAGGCGTCGAGCTGCTCGAAGCCGGTGCGGGTCAGGAAGAGTGTCGCGGTAAAAGTCTTGTCCAGGTTTGGGAGCGCAATGAACATAGATTCGTCCTGCGGCCAGATGTGGAGATAGTTCGGCGGTAAGCGGAAGCCGCCGTCCGGCGTTGGCGGGACGTGGAACTGGCACCAGAGCTTGTCAATGTATTCTTGCTGGTAGCTCATGGGCACGAACTTCATGAGGTGATAGCGGACGGCTGAGTGCGCGCCGTCGGCGCCGACCATGAAGTCGAATCTGAGCTCGATCTCGGTGCCGCGCGCTGCGTCGTCGGACTTTGTGTGCCGCTCGAACCAGGCTAGCTGCTTCCTGAAATCGACGCCGACGAGCTTGTGGTTGAAGAAGAATTTGACGTTGGGCATCGACTCGAGCTGGTCCAGGAGAGTCTTGTTCAGGCCTGCTCGGTCCATTGCCAGGAGATTCTGCTGACGTTAGAATCGATGCCAGCTGGATCATGTTGCAGCTACTTACTTTTCCGCGAGCATCGTATAGCTGGGGTTCACGAACGTACTTCCCTTGCTTTCTCACGTGAATCATGCGGCCATGCATGGGGAACGTCTCGCCAAGAACGGCATGCGCGAGATTGGGCAATCCGGTCTTCCGAAGCGAGTTGATACCTCGCTCCGAGAGAGCAAGGTTGATGGATTTGGCGAAGTTTAAGGGTGTAGTGTCCGGGTCGCGAAGGTCTTCATAACATGAGCAGAAACGCCCACATAGTGCGAGGAGGCAACTCACCAGGCCGAAGTTCGTAGATTTCAACATCGTGCCCTCGAACAGCGGCATACAGAGCAGCCAGAGAGCCCACAGGGCCGGCTCCCACGATAACTACTTTCTGAGGCATCCTCAAAGCGTGTACGGGGAAATGGAGTATAGACTGGGAGAACCGAATGAAGAGAAACGAGGTGGCACGATTACATAGACAAGTCCGCGGCCGGATGAAGTAGCTAGATAGCTGAATCACTCCCGGTTCATGTTTACAACGAAGAGGAAGGAAACCTTGGAAAGGCGCTCGAATGACAAGAGGAATAGACGAGTAAGTAAGCAAGCATGACCGCACCAAAACGGAAAGGCCTCGGATGAGGAAGTGACAGGCCGCGCTAGATGACCTAAGCGATGATCGACGCCACATGCCCGGTTCCGGCCTAGACCATTTCAACTCCGATTGTTCACCTTCGGCATTGTGCTTTGGAACCTTGGAAGGGCTACACCACTCGCTATTTTTACGCGGAGCCCGGAGTACGGCACATATACCCCTGCGAACTTGTGAAATAAAAGCTCAGCACTGCTCAGTATAGAACAGACCTCGACGTTCCAATTTCTCATAAGATCCTCCGAGCTCGTACGACTACACTAGACAACATGGCCGGAGACGCGCCACCACCACCGCGCAAATGCACAGGCAAAGACTGCGAAAACGACGCAAGCCAGCTGCAGTGTCCGAATTGCCAGAAGCTCGGCAAGGAGAGCTACTTCTGTTCCCAAGACTGCTTCAAGCGCAACTGGGCGGAGCACAAGAAACTCCACAAGTCGCAAAGAAGTATACTCTCCAACATCACCACGCCCAAAGTAGTTTCTTACCCCGATCCAGCGACCGGCCACTACAACCCGTTCCCTACCTTTCCTTACACCGGAAGCCTACGACCTGTCTACCCACTGTCACCGAGGCGCGAAGTCCCCGCGAGCATAAAGCATCCAGATTATGCGAAAGATGGCATACCGCGCTCGGAGCAAGTCTTTGTTGGGAGGAACAAGATTACCATACTCGACAAGAAGCAGCAGGAGGGCATGCGCAAGGTGTGCAGGCTAGCACGAGAAGTTTTGGACATCGCGGCGAGGGAGGCAAAGCCAGGCGTGACGACAGACCATATCGACGAGGTGGTGCACAAAGCCTGCTTAGAGCGGAATGTAAGCGCAGCTCTTTTCATTGTTGAGAGACATTGATGCTCACCATCACAGTCCTACCCCTCGCCTCTCAACTACTGCCACTTTCCGAAATCCGTATGCACATCACCCAACGAAGTCATCTGTCACGGTATCCCGGATCAGCGGGTCCTCCAAGACGGTGATATCCTCAACATCGACGTAACTCTATACCATGGCGGCTTTCACGGCGATCTCAACGAGACATACTACATCGGCGACAATGCACTGGCAGATCCGGAATCGGTACGCATAGTAGAGACGGCCCGCGAATGCTTAGACAAGGCTATCGCAATCGTCAAGCCGGGCATGCTGTTCCGGGACCCGGGTAATGTTATAGAGAAGCACGCAAAGAGCAGGAACTGCAGCGTAATCAAGACATATTGCGGACACGGCGTCAACCAGCTATTCCACTGCGCGCCAAACGTTCCGCACTACGCCAAGAACAAGGCTGTCGGGCAAGCAAAACCCGGCATGTGTTTCACCATCGAGCCAATGATCAGCCTGGGCACGCACAGGGACAAGACATGGCCGGACGACTGGACCAGTGTTACGCAGGATGGTACTCGGACAGCACAGTTCGGTGAGTTCTTAGCTACACTCTACTAAAGCTAGCTTGTTAATCTGTTACAGAACATACGCTGCTTGTGACCGAAGACGGTGTCGAGATCCTTACGGCTAGGTTCCCAGATTCCCCGGGTGGGCCTGTGCCGATGCCATCACCCACGAATGGAGCGGCGGCTTCAGAGGCCGTTGAGACTTCATAGGGGTTGAAAGTCGGGTCATGCTGCTTCTGGGAAGTTGACGATGGGGTTGAATGGAGGAGAATATTCCAGGGTGGGCATAGGAGGGAGGTTAAGGCAGTCTACTCAAGCATCAGGCGAGGCTGTTGCTTGAATGTTGTGATGCTCCTGACAACCTTGGGAAGACTTGAAGCTAGACCCAACCAAGGCCGCAGTGACAGCGGTCAGTGCTTGTCTGACAGAAGAGACAAACAACCAAACCAAACCAAACAGTCCCAGCTCCACTAGCGCGTCCCAGAGATATTCGGATGTCGTGATATCGAAACTCTCACATGTCCGAGAATGGCGCGCGAACTCGGGGAACTTTGATCCGCAGCTGCACAAGCGAAGGCGCATGGGCCAGGCTTCCGCCAACAGTGCCCAAGTGCCCTCTTCCTGCCTCAACGTCATCCGAACATTCTCGCAGCCTGCCTACGCCTCCAGTCCACCTCGCTCTTCCACGTAACACTACCTCAGCGCCCGTTGCGCTTTTTGAGACTCAATCCGCGCTACGTCATCTCATCCACTCTCAACCCGCGCCCCGCGTTCGCACGCTAGTTTTCCGCGCCTGGCCCGATAAACTCCACCACACGACCACCGCGGATACCCAGCCTCACACGCTCATCGTTTGCTGTTTGCGCCCAGAGACCCGGTCACTGCGTTGCACACCTCCAAAGCTCGAATCCCCACGAACCCGGTGCTACGCCGCACTCGAAGCTCCCACAATGTCCGGCGAAGCGTGGCTATACCTGTTGGCGGTGCTGATAAACGCCGTCAACCTCTTCCTCCAGGTGTTTTTCACTATTATGTACAGCGATTTGGAATGGTACGTCGCCGTACTCCTCTACCCATCAATACCATGTGGCCGCGGGATGCCGCATATCGGACCTCCGAGCTACCCCTCTCTGCTCACCAGATGCTAATTTTGCGCCAGCGACTACATCAACCCCATCGACCTCTGCAACCGCCTCAACACATACATTGTGCCCGAAGCCGCCGTCCACGCCTTCCTGACCTTCCTCTTCCTCATCAATGGCTACTGGATGGCGCTGATTTTGAATCTGCCGCTGTTGGCTTGGAACGGCAGGAAGTACGCAAAGCGCTATGTGTGAGGGATTAGGCGCAGCGCGGCTGACTTGAGCTAGGATCTTCGAGAACCAGCACCTCTTGGATGCGACTGAGATCTTCAGGAAGCTGAATGTGCACAAGAAGGTGGGCGTTTTCCTATTCGTTGCATGACTACCCGCAGTGTGCATTTTCACAGCTATATGCTGTTGTTGTTTTTATCGCTTGAAACCCGTACCTTATGCAAACGCTGACAGCTCGCAGGAATCATTCATCAAGCTGGGTTTCCACTTGATCATGTTCTTCTTCTACCTCTATAGCATGATCGTTGCGCTCATCCGGGACGAATCTCACTAGACGCACGCCGCTCGAAAAGCAATCGACATGCCGCACCCGAAGTGTTTCCAAGCTTGACACTGGCTAGGGGCACCAAGCTCGCTCGGGCGCTGGAATATGGTTTTGGAGGTAGCCCACAAGATCCGCGGCAACGGAACTGTTGGTAGAGAGCGGGGATCAAGATACCATTCCGGATTATTACGCAGGCAATGGAATTGGACAAGGCGGGAACGGGGTTTTGGGTGGATGATTGATAATTGGACTAGCGCGATGGACAGAGCCCACGTTCTCATGGGCCATGACAGCGTGTATTTTGTTGTAAATGAATCATTTCATTAACGTGTATAGACAGCCTTCTCAGTCTAGTCTGGCATCTTTATTACTATAAAGAAAGTACGAGTCTACTAACTTCTTTTTATTCTTCTAAGAGTATTAACGGAACAGAAGTGCCCGGGAGTAAATTGTGAGGAAGAAAAGCAATCCCCCCACAAATGCCGCCCATGCAATCAAAGCGAATAAAATCGGTATGGATATCGCACAGCATAATACTGGCTCAGACTGAGGAAGTGCTATAGGAAATCCACGACTATAGCCTGTCAAGAACCCGTCTCCGACCAAGGCTTTCCCCACCCTCCTCCATCATTCAGTGCTTCATCAAGCCTATCAACCTCTCGTTGTTGTAGTGTGGCGAGTTCAGCATCTGAAAGATCGGTATTTAGCCTTGACTTCTCAAAGTCAATGAATCGAGGGCCGTCCGCCGTTATAATAATATTGAACTTGTTGAGGTCCCCGTGAACGCAGCCATAAGAGTGTAATTTCTAGAGGGCGTCTCTGCACTGGTCATAGTCACCTGGCTCTGCGAAGCGCCCTTGCAGTTCTTCACAGACAAACCCAATTATCTGCTCTTTGCTCCTTTCAAACACGTAACTCAATACGGGAGGGATCAACGTGCATCCGCGACTTGAGAGTACTGTCAGGGCCTTAATTTCTTGCGCCAGGTATGGGAGCTCGAACTTGAATGGGCAGAATTTGAATATGCGCCGTTGCGATTGAAACTGTATGAGAGAGACACGGTTCTTGTATCGATGCCTGACGTCGAGATCTAGAACATTTAAACGAGGAAGATCTCTTACAGGAGTGTCCAGGGGTAAGGAATGTGGCGTCCATTCGTTTTCGGTCGACTGTACTTTGCCCTTATTTTTAAGGTAGTCCAGGCGCGATTCCAGGCGTCCACTGCAAGGCTAAGGTTACGGACAATGGAGGTCCGTATGTGCGGCTATCCTCGTCTAGGATGTCCAAATCTTGAAGGTGGACATAAACGACCGAGCTGGTATCTGTACCATCTCTACGAATTCGGTAGAAACAATTTTGTGCCCATGTCGAGTGATAGGAGAGTGTCTTTTGGGTTCGGATGGTTGCTCATTTTCGACACCTCAATGCACCTAGAGCTTGTTTCTTGCCAATAGCTTGAAATATTTATAGATCGCAGTATTATTCTGTGTCGAACAAGTACTTTTCGTTCGCTTCCTCGTGGTATTCGAACGAGGTAGATAGGGCGAGGCTGGCTAGTGAGCGAGCCAGCCGCGGGGAAGGTAGTTGGGCAGTTGAAGGAAGCGTCGAAGCCGGATTGAATGGATCTGCACAATGCCATCGAGTCTATTTCACGCGTCGCCCGTCGCCCGTCTTTCTTCCCGAGTCCCAATCACTCATCGTCATTCCTTTGAGCCGCACTTCGTCATTGCTCAGCTGCGTCTTTCTGCGTCTGACGCCCCTCTTCATCTGGCGTCCGCGTCTTGAGCTGCAGCGCGTGGATTCCGCCCTCTCTGGATAGTTCGTCTTTCAGAACAGCGTTGACCAGGCGGTGCCGTGCGATTTGCATTTTAGATTTGAAGGCTTCGGAAGTGATGATTACGCTGTGGATGTTAGCTGCTGGCGCATCTCTCGAAGGGGGCGCTCAGAGTGGGATAGCGGATGTACCGGAAGTGTGTCTACAACAGTCAGTCTATATCCATTGGGATAAGAGAAACGTGTGTCTAGGGAGATGAACTTGATGGACGTTGAGTAGGTACCTCTCTGCTAGTGACCCCTTGCATGGCTTGGTGATGGGCATGCTTGTGTGAATCATTGAATATCTCGAGAGTTGTGGGCTTGAATGCTTCTGTAAGCTATGTGGCGGTTAGCTTCCTATTCTGGCAGTTCGCAATACCGTCAAGCGACGTTGTATCTGGAGAGTGGCTTTCCTTTGCCCGCATAGCATCTTCGACGGGAGTCATCGATTGCGCCATGGTCGCTGCGAACCGCTTGCCGGCGACGGCTAGCCTGCGCAGAAACATCAATCGGCCTTTTTCTCTTGCACGCCGCTCCTTCCGAGGTGCGCTTTAGGAGTTTGACGGGGTCGTGATAGGTCTCTGGTGTTGCTTCGGTGCCCAAATTTGCAAGCCGAGCCGAGCGCCAAGACGCGTTCGGGAGTCGATGTAAAATGCCGCCGTCACCCTTCAAGACGGTCAATTATCAATTGAACCCCAGATTTCGAACCAAGCCCCTCAATTTCTCTTTCCCGAAGCAGAAAGACCGCTCTCCAGCTCTGCAGTTCTGAATCGGGGGAGCAAAAGCGCGGAAAATGCTGACACCAGGCGCGGCATGTCCGTCGGCGTGAGCACTATATCCCGGAAAGCGATCCTCCACACGCGAACTGCCGCGCCCCGAAGCTTGCATCCAGCCTCAACTTTATCCTGGGCGACCGCCCTTCCCTCTTAATGTGGGCAAGAAAGCTCTTCTCACAGACACTCGCTCGACATTGTTATCGTATATCCGCTCATTCCGCCAATTGCACGACATTATCGCCGTTTATCGCTGTTAGAATGGCTTCTACGCTGCCCCGGCTCCCCATCTTCGAAGCGATCAAGAAGCACGATGCGGAAAGTACGGCGGTGGTGCATAGCCTGTCGGGGAGGCGCTTTACGTATGGAGAGCTGGTGAATGATGTTGCGGCTGCGAAGGATAAGCTGCAGAGGAATGCGGGTGGGAAGGACACTGCGGGGGAGAGGATATCGTTCCTGGTGGAGAATGGGTATGACTATGTAGGTGCGCATCGAGTACAGCCCAAGCTTCCCACCCCTCCATGGGACACCAGTTGACAAAACGATAGTGACTTTGCTTTCTATCCTCGCTGCACACGCGATTGCCGTCCCGTTGGCGCCAACCTTCCCCGCGCACGAGCTGCGATACATCATCGATCAGAGCGAATCGCTCATGCTTCTCTCCTCGGAGATGTTCCAGGCCAAGGCAGACGAGGTGCTCAAAGACGGCATGGAAACCAGTCCGATAAACTATAAGCAGGACAAGATCATGATGGGCAGAACGGACGATTATGTCACCCTGGAAGAGCCGGTGAGCGACAAGGGAGGCATGATGCTATACACATCCGGGACCACAAGTCGGCCTAAAGGCGTACTTCTGCCTCAGGATGTGCTCACAGCGCAGTCAATGTCGCTGTTGAAAGCGTGGGATTACAGCAGCAAGGATGTGCTACTCCATGTCCTTCCGCTCCACCATATCCACGGGACGGTGAACGCGCTTCTCACGCCTCTCTACGTTGGTAGCACGATAGAATTTCAATTCCCCTTTAACGCGTCCGCGGTTTGGGAGCGACTAGCAGCTCCCTTCCTCCCGAATCCCGACCATTCGAAAAAGCCCATCACCTTCTTTACCGTCGTTCCCACGATATACACCCGCCTGTTGGCCACTCACCCATCGCTATCCCCCGAACTCCAAGCAGCCACGAAAAAGGCGCTACATCCCTCCAGCATGCGCCTCAACATCTCTGGATCAGCTGCTCTGCCTACACCGGTGAAAGCCGCCTGGACGGAGCTCAGTGGCGGTAATGTTCTTCTAGAACGCTACGGCATGACAGAAGTAGGCATGGCTCTATCCTGTGGTCTCTCATTCGCAGACCGCGTAGACGGATCGGTAGGCTGGCCGCTGCCCTCTGTGCAGGCGCGCCTCGTCGATACCGAAACCGGGGATATCATAAAGGAAGGAGAAGAAGTCGACCCCGAAACAGGCCACGAACGCCATGGTGAGATCCAGCTTCGCGGCCCGACAATATTCAGAGAATACTGGAGAAACCCCGAAGCAACCGCAAAAGAATTCGTCGACGACGCGGACGGCTGGGGAAAATGGTTCAAGACCGGCGACGTCGCCGTGCGAAGAAAGGTCGAGGGTACAGGAAAGAGTGCTCAAGACTGGGCCCACGGACCCCTCTACTTCATCCAGGGCCGCAAATCCGCCGACATCATCAAAACGGGCGGCGAAAAAGTCTCCGCCCTCGAAATCGAGCGCGAAATGCTCTCCCTCCCCCAAGTCAGCGAAGTCGCCGTCGTCGGCCTGCCCTCCGAAGCCTGGGGCCAGAAGGTCGCTTGCGTCGTCGTCCTCTCTGGGACAGGCAAGACGGCCGGCAGAGGAGGTAGGCCGTGGTCAGCGCTCGATATGCGCAGAGAGCTGAAGGAGATTCTGGCGAACTATAAGATTCCGCAGGAAATGAAGGTTGTTGAGAGCATTCCACGGAATGCGATGGGAAAGATTAATAAGAAGCAGTTGATTAAGCAGATTTGGGGCGAGGCGTTGGAGCCAGTGGGTGGGAAGGAGAATGGCGCCGTGGTGCTGCCTAATGGGAGTGTGTGATCGGGGTGGGATTGTACGACTATCATAGCTGTGGAGATGGATTGTTTAGAGCGTAAAGTAAAAGTAAATACAATAGTTCAACTTCGCGAGAAGGCTTGCGAGCGTGTCATACGAAAGCGGTGTCTGATGAGGTCGGCGCGCCAGGCAGACAGACGGGCTGCGGGCTATCCAGATATCCATCCCCACCAGTGTCCTCTTCGGCCGAGTAGCGTGTTTCACCAGCAACTCTCCTCGCCGCTTACAGAAGCAAAGTCTCCACAAGGCTACAATATTGGGAGGGCAATAGAAAGGGAGGTGAAGGAATAGTGTGGTAGTCGTAAGCGTCGTCGTAAGCCCCAAGGTTCAGGCACCTACCCGTACCGCGTGCCAGAACCATCGTCTGTACTTCGATGCAAATAGAATCGATGGCAGAAAAGCCGCGGAAAGCGGAAGGGGAATGGATAGAGGCAGGCTGCACTGAAAAAGGGGAGGCGAATGGAAGGCAAATCGTCCATCGTCCATCGTAGCCTTAGAGTACCTGCATAGTGCGAAGGTGACCATAGACACGACAGAGAGACAGCCTAGTCAAAGATCGATAGGCTGGCTACTGTGGAGCACACTACGCCCATGCCTGCATAGGGCTGGCTACACATGTGGGAGTGGGTGTTTTGATCAGGGGCGCCCCGCCAATCAGGAGCATTGCTCCGACACCACCTTCCTCCAATCCCTCCGAGTCCGACCTCACTCCATCATCATCAAGCATCATCAAGCATCACTAACGCATCACACGAAGACTAGACGATGGTGTATAATGATTCGTGTCTATATTACCGATGATGCCAAACCAACAGAAGCGATACTATACTAATACAGCGGAAAGGGAACGTCGTGCGTGCTGGGGAAGTCTTCCTCCGCGGAAAGGAAAGGAACCTCGACCCTGGATAGTTGAAAGTGGAGAAGTGAAGTGAAGAGCAAGCAAGAAGGAAGGGAAGTGCCAAAAACAAGCGAATCGTAACCCAAACCCAGAGATCCAGCGGAATCGTAACAACACAGACAGAAGCAGATAGACAATCTGCTCCATCCGGGCGGCCTTGAGGCCGACAATCCCTTCTAATGCCGTAAACTCAGAGACGAAAAACGTAACGCCATACCCTATGCAAAACGCCGACGATATGCCAGAGCACACATACTGCTGACTGCCCAAAGGCAGCCACACTCCTTGTAGCTCATGAGTCATGAGACGAGACTGATATGACAGCGGCCGCCGAAAGGCAGCCACCCTCCCCGATCCTCAGAACTGGAGGAACGAGACTCGCTCCAGAAAGGAGCGAGCAGAGACGCTCTAGTTGTAGTATCCAGAGTTAGGCGCCGAAGTGCTCGTGTTTGGGTCGTTGGACGCGCCACCGCCGTTGTGGACCACATTGCCCGGTTTGCTGCCATAGCGGTGGGAGCGAGACGATTGGGCCGAGTTGGTATAGACGCTTGACGATGACGACGAGGAAGTCGAGTAGCCTAGTCCTTCTAGTCAGAACTGAGTCAAGACGAATCATGGAGCATAGGCAACGTACCTGAAGTCGAGCGAGGGGCATATGCGCCCTTGTCCTGTGCGTAGGACGTGCTGTAGGAGGATCGTGACGAAGACATGGTTGACTGGTGTTGAGGCGTCCGGAGGCGTCGAGAAGGCACTGTTGATTCGCGAAGTCTTTCGTTTGGGGAGATTGCTGCGGTCGCGGGCGAGCAGGTAGATGCTATTCCTGGCGGTTCACGGGTCAAGTAGAGGAGCGTGAAGCTCGAAACGAAAGCTGATGGAAGATGGTAGACTGAAGCTGAAGGGCGGGATAGAAGCACGGGATCAGACAGCAATGACTGTGACGGGAGGTATATGAATCAGAAGGATGGCTTGTAGACTGATGAATGGATGAAGAAAGAGAAAAGACCCAAACGCCATCCACGGGGTCGATTTATATGCCAGGCAGATACCTGAGGCCGCTAACTACCTAGTCCTCCATTGCTGTTGACTGTTCCCTCCATCGGGGACCTCCTATGGATGGAGGGAGGCAATGTAGGTGCCTGGATAACAAGGTGCGCGCTGGCGAGTGAATGCGCGCGGAGGCGATGATTCAGAGTGGCTATGGTGCCTCTGGCCTGAGCCGGTCAAGGACTGAGGCAAGGAACGATAGGCTGCACTGTACGCCAGCGTGCCAGAAGCGTCGACGAGGAGTCATCGGACAATCTGGGAGTTCACCGAAAGGAACTGTTCGGTCGAGACGGAGCCGCGATGGCGACGCTTCGTGACGGAAGGGCTCAGCGACGATGACTAGACCTGCAAGGCACATCAGGCAGGAGCCAGTGAGAAGGCAGACAGGAAGCGTGACTCTGGCAAAGGCCAGGCTGAAGCATTGCGGGAATAGAGGAGGGCGGAGGTGAATGTCAAGTCACCTGTCTCAAAGGGGAGAAGCGTGTGGGGGCTGGTGACAGTGTTGCCTGAAATCTGAGCGCGGTCGGTCCACGCCGGCGACGGGTGAGAAATTAGGAGGCTGGACATGAGGGCAAGAAACAAAGAAACTGGAGTTTGAGGACGCGCAGGAGGCAAATGGCGGCGGTGTTTGAGGAAGAGGGCGAAAGGGCGGAGGCAGAGAGCTGGTGTCGCGATGCATGACATGGCGGGGCAGCAAGGCGCGATACGAGATAAGCGCCGGTTGCCCCAAGCTGCTGACCGCGCCCGCTTCCCGTGGCGACAAGAGTCATCAGAACAAAAGCGACGTTGAGTCCTCCTTAGCAAGCATAGCTGAGCATTGCTTGCGCAGTCGCGCAGATGACTCCCGTCGGAGCACCGGTGAGCTCGGAAGCATCCCGAAGCGCTTCACCGAACTCACCCGCGCAGCGCTAATGCAGGTCCAATGGCGAGCCGGAGAGATCAATGCTGAGGATGGCAGATTCGGGTATCCGTTGGCTGGTTATGGATGCAATTGGGCGTGGTTCTGCGCCCGGTGAACATTCATGGGTGTCATTCTACTCAAAGCTCCCCTGAAACTTCCGCTCCTCTGACGCGCCGGCTTGCGCGGACTTCTTAATCCCAGTACTTGAGCGCACCATTGAGATCGCCAGTGATAACCTTGGACGTTTCCCGTGGGTGCCACTGCACAGCCAAGACCGGTGAATCGCTCGCCTGAATCTTGTGCCACATCTTGCAAGTTTTCCAATCCCAAAAGCATACGTAGCCACCAGAATCTCCGGACGAGATGTACTGGCCGTCAGCACTGATGGCCACGTCCGGCGCGTAGCCAGCCACATTGTGGCCCCGATAGCTCTTCTTGCGGTTTTGCCGGAACCGATCGGATGAGGAATAAACGACTATTTGATTATCGCTACTCTGGAAAGCGATGTATTTTCCTGAAGGATGTGGCGAGGACCGAACCATCGAGAACATGTATGGTTCCGCGATGAACTTGATGGGAACAGGAATGCCGTATTCCCAGGCTCGGAGAGACTTATCGTCTGAAGTGGTGACAAAACGCCGGTTCTGGTCGAAGTTAGTACGTGACACATTGGCGGAGTGAGTATAACTTACTTCGTCGCAGAAGGTGATAGTATTGACAGGACCCAGGTGGTGATCGTATTCCTGCACAAGCTCCCCGCTCCTCGTGTCATATTGTAGGATCTTCTTGTCCGCCATGCCAGCCAGGAACTCATGCGGCGTGCCAGGATTGATGCGCACAACGTGCGGGGTCTTGCCAGTCGTGAATTTGTTCAGGCACTTTCCGGTCTCCGTATCCCAGAGCTTCATGTAGCGATCGTAACTTGCGGAGATAAACTGCGTCCCGCTTGGATTGAAGTCGATGTCGTTCACGGACTTCGTATGGCCAGAGTATGTCCGCAAAAGCTCCCGCTGGTGGTATACATCCCACAATGCAATCTTCGAGTCGGCGGAGGCAGAGAGGAGCAGGTGTCCGCTGCCAGGGAAGAACCGTACTTGGGTGATAGATTTCGTGTGGTACTTGTATGTATGGACAAGCTTCTTGGGGATGAAGTTCTTGAAGTCGCCGCGGTCGCCAGTAAGTTTGATGTCGAGATCTGCAAAAATCCGTCAGTCCCATGGCGTGAAGCACAAAGATACAGGCGACATACCATTAGGAATATGCATATAGCTCCTTCCCTGGTAGTCATACTGCTGGCTACCCACGAACTCGCTTGTCTCTCCCTCGGCTTCCGTGTCATGATAGTCGGTCCCCGCAAGCTTCTTTGGCGCCGGCGCCGGGTTCTGTTCAATCTCGTCCTCCTCATATACTATCTCCACCTCTTCATCGCTACCAAACTCATCGTCGGAAGCAGCATCAGGCCGCTCTTCTTCGTATCTTGCCCACGGACCCTTATAAGCTCCTGCGCCGGACACTACGCTCGAGTCTCCCTTGTTCTCTCGTTTCCGTTTCTTGGAGTTTGTAGACTTATTCGATTCGATAGCTCGGTGTGCTTCGCGGAAGGTAGATTCGCCGATGAAGGTTTCGGCGGCGAAACCGGTGGGCACTCTGCCGGCGCCCTTTGAATATTCAGCCATGGCTTTCAAAGCTGAATAGTAGCCAGGTGAGGAGAGTTCGACGAGAGCGGGCAGCGTGGGGAAGCGCGATGAAGTTCCGAGTCGCAGTTTGGAGATCCCCGGTCGGAAAATTAATTAAGCATATGCCAAGACGCCTAAGTGAATCTGCAGTTAACCTTAGAACTAACCTACAGGTTATTTAGCGTAAACTATACCTTAACGCTTATTCTAATAAGTTAAAGAGTAAAGTAAAAAAAATCTATAGTTATTTAAACGTAGTTTAACCTAGTACGTAATATAAAGGCGAAGTATAGTGTGCTACTGCACGGACCACGATGCCCGTTATAAACGCCCATTGTTCCGCACAACACCTCCCTTGTATATCGTCGCATCTTTCCATCCTCATCACTCGCAATCTTTACGTCTCCTTTCTCGAGTACTGCTCCCAATGACACACACAACCCGAGTTCATAACTTGAACGCTACGCAAGATTGGACATCAGTCGGCCTTCCTTTTCTGAAACTGCCCGACCAGCTCCCCTGTTCGCTTCCCGATGAGAGAGAAATTACGGAAGGGACGGTTCTCTGTGGAGATGCTTCCAATCACTGCCTTGTTGCTGTCGGCGAACATTTCGTTGTTAAATACGGTCGCCACGTATCTGAAGTTGAAGGACAGAATCTGCTTTTCCTCGAGCAGTACACGGGCGCCTATTTGACTGCGCCAAAACTTTACGCAATGTAGCGCATGGCATCTACGGGACATCTCTGCCTTGTCATGCAACGACTGCCTGGAGAAAGTCTTGAGAAACTCTGGCCCCATCTTACGGAAGGGGAGAAATTGGCTGTCTGCACAAGGCTAAAGAACGCTTTTAATTTTCTGCGAAACCTTCCCTCTCCTGGCTTCTACGGTGGCATCGGCAGGACTCCTCTTCCCCACCACTTTTTCTGGGATTCGGCCAAAAGCCCAGCAATCTGCGGACCTTTCAATTCAGAGGCTGAACTTAATGCCGGAATTGTTCGAAAGCTGAGACAGCAGTCTAAAGAGAACGGAGGATACATGAACCAAAAGGTAGAGTTCTATGAAAGGCACCTGGATGATGTGTTAAGTGGCCATGATTCCGTCTTTTCGCATTCGGATCTACAACGAAAGAACGTCCTGGTACATCGACACGCAGGGGCCATTATTAGTGTTGCTATCGTAGACTGGGAGGACGCAGGGTGGTACCCGAGCTACTGGGAATACTGCCTTGAGTTCGCTACAGCACTATGGGTGGACGACTGGCCGAAACGACTAGAAGACGCAATCGCCCCTTGGCCGTGTGAGGCTGCCGTCTTCAGGATGCTGTACCAGGAACTGTACTTTTAGAGAATCTAGGGTAAACTGCGTAGCGGATAAAGCGTGACTTGTGTATTTTAATTGATAGCCTGACCATCGTGACAAATATCACCCCGACACAGCGTGGCCAAGCTCCCCCACGTCCTGCTACCATTCGGGCAGGAAGCCAGTCCAAACGCTGTGGTCCGGTCGCAGCTGCATCCTCAATCTTGTGCGCCGTAGACGACGAATGGCATTTGGCCACGCCGCGAACGAAGCAGATCAAGCCTGTCGAAGTGCCGTCTCAGCCGCGCTTCTAGCAGCAACGAAGAGTTAACACAAGGGTAATAGCCGCCCTACCACTAAGGATGTAATTGGCTTACTACGGCCGTGAACTGGTCTAGCGTCATCCTTCTCTCTTTCATTTCCGCCTTCGCGGCCCTCATCCGATCAGCTTCAGCACGATACTGCTGCAACCCGGCCATCTTCGCCGCGACAAACTCATCGACCTGCCCCTGAGGAATAGCCGCTTCTTCTGCTTCCCACTGTCCGCGGTATATCTTCCTGACCTGGATCAGCGGAAAGCTGGCCCAGCCGGGGCCGTTGACCGTGAGGATCATGTGTATCCAGCAGGCGCCCGAGTCCCACGACCATTCAGCCAGCTCGACGAATTCCCTATCACTTGCCCCGTGTCCTAACTGCCCCCTCTCGGCCACTACCTCGGCCAAGGTAGCTATGTACATTTCCTTATGCTCCACGAATCTCTCCCAGAGGTCTTGTGGCTCGCCCTCGTCGCAGTCCCACGACTCGTTAGTCGGACGATCCTCGAGAAGCCACCAGGGAATCGTGGCAGCCAGCTGGGCGGGTGCGGCATAAGTGAACTCGAGGTCGATAAGGCCCGCGAAGGCGGGAAAGTCCGGATCGTCTACGGGCTTAAGTATAACATTCTTCATGCTCAGATCATCGCAGACCAGCTTCGCCCTCCTTTGATTGTAGGTCGGATGGACAAAGTCGCCGAGCCGCGACCGAAGGACCCTGAATGCTCGAAATAGGGCGCTCGCCTCCATCTCGTTCCGAGCGGCGTTCGGCTGCATCATGATTTGCTGCCAGCTCTGTCCAAGGAGGTACGAAAGGTATTCGTAAGCCGATCCGAATCTTTCGGATCGGTGGCCTATTAAATATCACCCTTATGTTAAACACTGCGAGGACTGAAATGGCCAAGACAAAACTGAATACCCTACCGAGTCCGTCGATTCCTCCGAGCTGTCCCATTCCGGTCACCTTGAAGGTCAAGGGTGGGCTCCCAGAGCCGACATTAACTCTTGCCTGGGGTTGCAGGTCTAGACTTCCGATAAAATTAAGGTCGACGCTATACAGTTTAAGCTGAACGTCGATCATTTGCCGGAACATCCCTCAGAGGAGCGTCTTGTCAACATCGGCCTTCATCCCGGGATCGAGGAGGAGGCTCTGCAGAGGAAGCCCTTCAACGTATTCGACTAGCATAAACGGTCCCAAGCCCAGACGGTTATCGCTAGCGGGACCCCAAGCGAGGACCTCGGGGACTGGGACGTCGGTCCTCTGGCGGATGATCGAGATTGCCGCCACCTCAGCGCCAATCTTCTCGTCGAGATGTCTGTCGCGGGTCTTCCCCCTCGCCCGTCCGCTCCTCCACTTCCCTCTCCCTCTCTCTTGTCATGGCCTTGCCTCTTTGGCATCCTTGCCTCGTCCTGCCTCTGGCTGACTAGATTCTTTCCCAGCTGAATTCGCAGCCGTACGAACGACTCATATCCCCCATCACCGCTCGTGGATGCTAGTGCGGCGTCGTCTTACAGTCTTCTACCCTTCACTTTGCAAACTCAATCCCTCCTTTTTCAACCGCCGTGGGACCGGAGGCGTGGCTCCAACGAGGCCGCACTACTGAGGCATTCGTAGCTGCCTACAAACCCCGAATGGAGCAGTTTGTGCGAGCCATTGAAAGGGCCGAAGCACGATCAGAACCAGGCGGGACTCTAAATGGTAAACCCCTTTCTAGCTTGATGCGAGAGTCATGGGATACTAGAAGATTCTGGTTTGATTACGCGATACGGAAGCCTTTCGATGTGGATGACGTCTTTTACACTCACTTAAACGAGGGCGATGCTGGTGTTGAATCACTGGACAAGATTGCGCGTGTACACTTAGAGTCGTTCATTCAGATGAAGATGGGGCAGATGAAGGCATATGACGAGGAGTGTGCTGGGTTGGATTTGTGATTTTGACTGTCAACGCTTGGTATGATGCTTGTTCTTGCTGAGAACTTTTTTTTCCTTGTATGAGTGTGGAACGGGATGTGGTGCTTCATAAGTTTTACCAAATCGAATGTCTAGACATATTTGATCGATTGGTTGAGGGTTTGACATTAGATCCATAAGTGCATCGCGGAATTAAACGATACTAGCGAATTATTGAGACTGCAGTCACTGATTCATTTGAAGCAGCCAAATGCCTAAACAAGCAAATCACAGAAAAGAATAATGTAAGCTAGAGGGGTTCCTGTCCGTTCGTGCCTTTGTAGCCACACGTGAACGCTGCTCATAGCAGCATCATCCTGCCATCCGACATCGAACTGCCGTGCATCGATCACCCAGAGACGTACAAAGAACCTCCTCCCACCGTGCAGCCACGCGACGTCGCGCCCACGTCATGCAGCCGCCCTTCCGTCTCCCCGACCTCGCGCCTCCACACTGCAGCTCATCATACCACGACGTCGGCGCGCACAAGACCTCTGACCTCACACCCAAGCCCCGTCACCGCCTGCGCTCCACCGGCGCCGCTCGCTACCAAAGCTTGAGTCCCCGCCGCGCACCGTGGCCGACGCAAGCGTGCAGCAAGCGCCCGGCCTAGCGTCCCGCCGCGTGCAAGGATGCGCCAGAATCGATGATGGGACCCCGCGGAGGAGCTGTCCGAAGCGGGAGCTCTATGTGCCGATCTGTTCTTGATCCATCGTCGCGTTAACCGCCTTCAAGCATGCCGTGCTGTTCAAAGAAAGGCGGTGCCCAGGTTGGTGACGGGCTTGCGGGGTAGGTAGCTCGGCGACGGGCGATCGACCAGAAAAAGGTCGCAAAAATGCAATGAAAGCGGGTTTGGACAGAGCAGAGAGAAGCAAGAGCAATGATATTAAAATAAAATACAGCAGTTCGTCGGCGACGGCGGCGCGCGGCGGGAAAATGCTGCACCGCCCCCGTCGCCGATTGGTGCACTGAACCCCTTAATCGTCGTGCCCCTTTAGCGCCGGGGGAACTTCCTCCGATCGGCGCGCAACATACAGTAGCAATCATTATCCAATTCCAAATCCCAGAGCTTCCTCCGAACGGGCAAGGGCGGGCGAGCAGCTTGTGTGGTTTTTTTGTTTTGGTGGGTACGTGAACTGCTTACGCAGTGTGGGCGGCCGAGGAGTCGGTGCCGTTGGCCTTGGCCTGGCGCATCTCGCGGGCCTTGTCGCTCCACGGGAAGTGCGCGACGGGGATGACGAAGAAGCTGCAGGGCGGTTAGAGCGTGGACTGGGTGGCACTGAGCGGTGCATATGACTGACCTGTTGGAGTTGTCGGCAATACCAGCCAGGGCATTGTACCAGGCGAGGAAAGCGGCGAAGAGGCCGAAGTAGCCGCCGCCCTTGATGCAGGCAGAGTTGGGCCCGTTGGCGTCGGCCTCCAGGTAGCCGATCCCGAGCAGCAGGAAGGCCAGATCCAGGGTGAAGAAGAGCAGGAAGAAGGCAACCGTCGAGCGCAGCGTGCAGATGAGCAGCAGGAAGGTGAAGATGAACCAGCCCATGAGGTACAGGCCGAAGGAGTTGAGGAAGGGCGCCGGGCTCTCGGCTTCGAGCGTGCTGACGATTTCGAAGCCGCCGGGCGTCAGGATGATGGCGAACGAGATCCAGAAACCGCCGTAGGACGAGAGGGCGGTGGCACCGAACGTGTTTCCAACAGCCATTTCCCTATCATCATCAGTCTTAGCTTATGCATGCCGCGAAATGGGCGCGTCCAAACATACCACATGCCGGCGAGAAGCTGGACCAGGCCACCATAGCCAAACGCGAGGGCGACAACAAGGTTGGGATGCTCAATGTTCCGCGTGCCGACGTTGATGAGAGACAGGACGAAAGTGGTCAGGGCGAAAGCCGACAGGCCCAGGGGAGCTGGGTTGGCGAACTTGCGCGACGGAGGGCTAGGCGTACATTAGATCTGAGTGGCCTCTGTAAGGGTCGCGCGTATCTTTCGAATTCATACCGGTAGAGCCCAGGCTGGAATTCACCACCGAATGCGGCCAGGCGCAGTTCGGGGTCGTTGGTGCGGACATGGGCCAGAGGGTTGCCGCCTGTGTGGGAGTCAGAGATGCGGCTGGAGCGGGCGCGGGTAGCGACGTACCATAGTCGAAGGGCTTCCTCTCCTTTGTTGCTGCACCAGCATGGTCAACGTGACTGGTGCCATTGGTCGATGGATTGAAGGTATTACCAGGAGTGGCTTCAGTGCCACGAGTCTACATTGTAAGTCAGTAATTTGTTAGTGAGGAAAACCTGCCCGAGGGACAGCCATCTCGAGCGCGGAGTGATGGAAGCGGAGGTACGTACGGCGTCGTTGTGCTCTGTGGCAGTGGCCATTGTTGTAGGTTGAGGAAAGAATACAAGAAACGGGTATCAAGCTGTGAAGGCAGAAACAAGACCCAGGGACAAATCCAGTGCGCGATGGGGTTGGGAGATCTGGGGCACGGAGGGCTAAAGAAGGTCCCCTCAATCTGGGGAAGGTCGACTGATATATGCCCAGGTTGGCCGGTCCGTGAGCTCTGAGCAGAACGACGTGTGCCAGGAGCCCCGGAAGCGTGCACAGCTCTAGCTCCAGACCCAAGCCGTGTTAATTATGCCAGAACGGTGCTAAAGCGGGCCATTCAAATCACTTTCCCCATCTTTTCCTCCCCATGCCGGGTAAAGGAGTGGCCGCGGGCTGCTGGGATCAGTCGAATGAACGATGGCGCTGCATCGACGCATCAGCCACCTCTACGGTGGATCGGCGCCAGTGCCAGTGGACTGAGAGCCGAGGCGCCGGACGACCGACAGCAGACAAAGAGGCCTTCGCGGCGGGTGCGCCAACCGACATCATCTTTCGATGCTCTCATGAGGCCATGTTCCTGGCCGCGGGCGCGGAGCCAGCGGAGCAACGGCAGCAGCGAGTGCAGTGCCGAGCTGGTCGCCGTCCAGAGAGCCCGACGTTTCGACGTGCGCGCCGTCCCCTCGATTCTAGAAGCACGCGTTATTGTGGTCATCAATCTCGTAACTCGGTGCTCTCGCGCCTGCAAATTAGTGACTCTCGCATGCCTGCAGACATTGATGCCCTGGTCGCAGGGCGACTCGATAGCGCCGTGCAGTAGTATGCATCCGTCGCTCGCGGCGGCAGCAGGGCAGGGCGCGAGTAAGCCGTTTGGACGCGTCGAAATACATAACAAACACCACCAGGCATCGCATCCATGGATGCTTAGGGCTGGTCGCGACTCGCCGAGCTGTGCCTCGCTGTGATGGGGGCGGGCCGATGGCGATGGTGAGCTCTCCGCACCGATCAGCTGCTTGGTCTCCCGAAGCGAAGCTGCGCTGCGACTTGTCACTGCTGGGCAGCGCGATCAGAGCTGCAATTCGCCGGAAGGGGGCGGAAGCATTATTTCGAGCAGTCAAGCCGGGCGTTGCTCAAAACAAACGGGCGACGATGGCATGCATGGTGGAGAGTGGGCTCGTGAGCGTGCTAAGCTTCGTCAAGAGTCTTGGAGAGCAGCCACCAGCTCCTTCGCCAACGTATGACATACAATCTGCCATCCGGCGACTTCCACAGTTTGTTCGCGCGGGTCCTTGTGTCGCAGTCCAGAAAACCGCAAATCCACGCGAAATCCAAATGCCATCCTGCTACTAGCTCAGGGTCCAAATCGACCATCGAAGAACCCTAGAAGCGATACAGAGTGCTGGCCTAGCTCCCCCGGACTGCACATGCGTGGGGATCTCCGGACCTCACCTGAGCTGGGATGGGCCCAAAACAACATCGCTGTTCCACACTCGGTCCAGCGGAGTGGCTGTAGCCTGTCAGCAGCAGCCCTCCCGAGCCCTTGCCTTAGCTCAACGTGGTTTTACGATCGGATAGACCGCCGCTCCACCTGCCGCCTCCCGACGCGTATTCTGGAACGCTTTCTGAAATCATGCCCGGGTTTCTACGTCAAATTGGCCTCTCTGGCGCTCTGAAATGGACATGTTCTGAGATGCTGCGGGCGCGGAAGAGCTCACGAATCCTTCGAGATTCTGGCGCTTACGACTCCATCAGCAATTGGCCTCCGGCCCGTTGGATCCTGCAAGTTCTTACATGGATGGTAGACACCTCAAGAGCGATCAACGTAACCCGTTATTTAGGCTAATCGCATGGCGCCGGCTCACACTGTCCAACAATATCCTCGCAGCCTCCTTTTGGCGTAGATGTCTCGTTGCTGACTACCTACTGCTTTGCACACATTCAACGCCATGTCTCTTATTACACATGTTGTTGAGAGTCAGGCCGCCAAGGTGTTCATGGAAAGGATCAGTCTTCTCGACAGGCCGCCCTGGTGCCCGTTGGTCTGCCCCTTTAGCCTTCACTGCACGTAATATGGCATTACATTCGGCCCTTTTCAGCCAGACAGTGACCCTTTCACAACACTTGCTCGCCCTGCATCAGACAGTTTTCGTTGGAGAATGGTACGGATGCCCCAGCACGCAAGGCAGGCATGCCCAGGCCAACTTTGAAGAGTTGTCGTCGACGCTGAGACGAGCGAGATGGAGCGCTCCCATCATGCAGCCCGTCCGAGGATCATCAACTGCCACATGCACTGATGCGTAGCTGAACTCGTTAGATCTCTTCATGCGGGAAGCAAGTGTTCGCCCGACAACCAGAAACCGCCACATTATTCCAACACAGCGGCGTCGATTCCTCGCCACCTCCAGCTCGAGCGGACCCTTCCATGACCCGCGGGTAGGGCTCGATTTCGCGAGCTCGTATTCCAATCTCCTTGAAACATGGCGCCACTGTACCTAGAGAACTTCAGCCCTCAGTATTGGTGTAAGCTGTCCGTTCCAGAGATGCATCACTCGTGGGATATCTAAAGCGCCGTAAAATAATAGCATCTACGTTCGTGCTTCATCCGAGCTTTGGCAGCTTGTTGGATGCCGATGGGGATTGAACTCGTGTCGCGCACGATCGGACGACCCGGAACCAGGCCAGATCGCAACTACTGCACCAGTCTCGCCACGTGTTCTCTCCGCTCCCACGCAGGGTCCAACGGTTGCACACGTGGCGGCGACTATCTCAAAATACCTCAGCCAAAAAGTAGAGACAAAGTGCCATCACTCTGCCACGTTCCAGCCGTGCAAGCGCGCAACATCATGATAGAACCATCAGGTGACCACGCCCGCCCAGCCTTCGCAAAAGAGGCGAAAAGCCCCAACGCTGCTATACCAAGCCTACACCACAGCGGTACCGTAGCCGTTCGTGTTCTGCGCAACCTCCTTCAGCCCTTCCGATGCCTTTTGCTGACCGCTCGTCCGCGGCTATGTCATAGAACAGTGGAGTGATATCGGGAGTGCCCTTTTTGGAGGCCTTTCGGTGGCGTTTTCTTGAGCGATTCCTACCGGCTTGGTCACTTGGCGCATGTGCCGGCATCCGTACCCGTCGGCAAGCCGAGACCGCTAGATTAACATCCGAACGACGTCTGTCAAAACAAAACAGTCTCTGTGTAGAGGTTGTAGCTTGGCCCCCCTCTCGCTTAAGTCGTCCCACCACGCCAGCCAACCACCCCTGTCTGTGTAGAAGCTCAGGATGTCTTCGCCGCGATGTAAACTTGCTTCACATCACGTGCACAGGACGGTCGGCCGCTCCATTGCGGGACTGCTCGTCTGTGAGGTGCGCCTTCGCACGCCACAGGTGCTCGCGTCACCGGTACAGCATGCGCCAATCCTCCCGCCAGACGCACAGTCCCGGTGCGGGAGCATAGTCGCAAATCACGACTAGGGTGGCAGCCAAGCAACCCATCAACATCAAGCCGCGAGAGAGCCATGCGAGGCTACGATTCAGCGAGAGAAGGACGTGCGAGAAGGCTTACAAGGGCAGCGCAAAGGGTATCTGTCCACTCAGCGTACGCGCATCAAGCCTAGCGAGCAAAACATCTGACTATGCTCCAGCACCGGGGGACTGTAGTAAGAGAAGTGTGCCTGCTTAGACAGCTGGCCAAGCCAGCAGCTCGGCTTGCGATAGCAAGCGGGATGTGGCATCCCATCAAACGCAATGTTCTGCTTTTGGTGGCGCAGTTCAGCCACACGATTCATAAACACGTCCGGCTTCAGAGCAACGCGACACCGAGAATACCACGCAAGCCTCCATTGCTAAGGTCCTCATCGCCGCCGTGCGGGGGAGGCTCAAAACTCTAGGCGGCGACTACGCTCTGCTTCTTCTTGCCTTCAACGGACCATGGACCTTCAAGCTGGTCGACGCACGAAGCATCCCGCAAACAAACATAGGTTTCGTCTTCAACCCGCGAGCAAACCGTGCCTTAGACAGACCTTTCTTTCATCCGTTGAAACCCAAACTACGCTAACCAATAGAGTGCTCTGTGTCTTACCGCTGCGTGACCGCTCTCATTTCTTTATGACAAAGACTGAAGGAAAGTGAAGTTTATTTAAACGGCCTCCTGCACATCACATCTTTCTCCACCCTACCTACTCAGCACTGCTGGGTATCCTGGCCAATATGAATATGTGGAACACGACCACGTCCGGACCCGATGTGGACGATTACCGCATTTGCGACATACCCTTCTTTCCGACTGACGGCAGCCCCAAAACCCGAGCTCTGCATATGACGAAGAAGGAGGAACGCGACGGCACGAGCTTCTTTCTCAAGAACACGACACCGCGTGAGGAGTCCCACCAAACGCCAAGAAACGTCGTCACAATTGGCTATGTCCAGAACGGAGATTTCGAGCGCTTCAAGGCGGTCGTCATGTCAACCCCCGTTCCCACTATTCCAAACCCCACCACTATCCCAGACTTCACCGACCTATCCTCGGAATTCGTTGCTTGGAAAGACGCTGTTGTTGCCAACGCCAGGGCAATCGGATGCTTGAGAAGAGTTTCCTAGAAAGCCGGTCGTGGAAGGACTCTTTTCTTTTGGTAGGCAATGCCGTAACAATTGGATTGGGGCAGCGGCTAATTGCTAAAGGTTCTGCCCGTCAACCCTGGCATCAAGGGTGGTACTACCGCTGTCGGTGTCAACAGTTGCGAGCGGTGGTGGGTGTGCGGGAGAGGAGGCAAAGGGTAAGAGGCTTTTGGAGACCAGCTTTCGAAGGAATGTGACCGCATGTGGTCCGGAATCGATCAACGGTGTTGCTGTTTCTCTCTGTTCTTTCTCTGTGTGCGTACGAGTGAGCTCCAAGCTTAGTCGTAGGTGCACTCGGGTGGCGCCTGCTGCGACAAGATATCATGTGACGTCAAGTTACGCGGTTACAAGGAATCTACTAGAGCAAAAATTGTTGTATTACTTGATATGTCCTTTTCCTTCCCTCCGGTTTGTCCTCTCTAAAGCGCAGTGATCTATTCGCTCAACCTTGTCATACGAAGATGCGAGCATACTACAAATACAGTACCAGCAAAAGACTTTCTTTTGAGGGGTTCTTTTTTCCGGGTTTTTTTTTTGGTTTTTTTTGGGGGGGCGGAGGGGAAGGGTTTTTTGGGGGGGGAGGCGTCATTATCCTCAGCAAAATGTACCGCCAAACGCAAAGCGGCACTCCCCGAAAAAACGTGCCTGAGCAGAGTAAAATGGCTTGATCCCTCTAGACACCCCCCATTCCGCTTCCACGCACTCGTCAGTGTGGTGTCGTGGAAGCTGTTGCCTTGCTGCTGCAGCTTCTGCCCAAGCAGGATACCAACACAAATATTCCCAGTCGATTATCCAGACATCGTAGTCTTCGACTCGATTCGACGGATTTGATGCTGATGGTACAAAGATCATGTTTTCGAGCTTAAGGTCCATATGTGAAAGTTTGGGTTCCCCGCTCTTCGAGGACTCGTCAAAGCAGTCAAAGAAGTTGGAGGAAAATAGCTGATGAGTAGCTTTAATCTCCGATCCGTCTCTTGTAAGTTTGCCCGCAAGGTTGCTCTCAAAGTTATTATAAAGGTGGTCGAGAAAGGCTTTATATGTATTGAAAGGGCCAACTAGGTCTCGGGTGGGGCCTATTATCATATCGTAAGGATGGTATCCCTGGTAATTGATACGACCGTAGTAACTTGGATTCGGAGGTGGGATAGAGCGGAGTAACCGGACTTGTTCACCGATTTTATCGTAAATTTTCATCCTAGCCTCAAGCGTAAAGTCTTGCCACGAATTATCATTGAGACCAACGCCATCAACAAAATCCATAACTAGGTAGTAGTACGTAGGTAGGGTGGAACGAGTCCATGTTTTTCTGAGTCTTCTCTTCAAATAGCCTAGAGGATCCGCTCCTTGGTGGGAAAAGACCGCATATACTTTAGGCGTCCTAATTTCATGCTCCTGGAGAAAGAGGAGATTTTCGGCTTCCTATAAGTATTTTGTTAGTATTGAATTTTGTTAGATATAATTCTGTCTTACCTGTAGAAGTTTGTTGTTTTGAGAAAATTTAACAGCGTATACAGTATTAATACGAAAGACGTCTGCCCAGGAACCTTCGCGGTTACTCCGAAGGTATTCCGGGGTTAGAGCGTTCTCAACATCCTCAGGGGTGGGTATTGGAGGAAGAGAGTCGCTGGGCGCATAATATGGGAAGGGCATCTTAACTAACTTGTTGTCTGGTATGCGGTGTGCCGCCTTCTTGTCTTCTTCTATTATAGCTTTAACCTTTTCGGGATCATCAGTCCCATAATGCTTTAGCATAAGGGTTGAACGGTCTAGCATAATTACTGGAGAAGGCAATAAGTAGTAGAAATGTGAGAGAAAGGGTAGTTTGGTCGAAAGCAAAGTTGCCGGGCTTGAAGAGGGTTTATATACCCAGATGCAAGCCCTGCTAATAAACACAGCACTTCTTTCAGATAAAAGCCGCAGTATAACCATTGATAATGGACTCCTTTGTCCTGCTCATAGACGCGAAATGCCGAGAGATTATGTCCTTTGTTAGCAAGCCCACTAAGAGGCTTTTATATTCCGTACTTGTCCTAGCAGTTGAAGATGCGCTTTATTATAACGCCAAATGACGTCGGAGTGAGCAACTTTCTCAACAATGATGAAAGGATTTTCTAGTAGCAGCGTGACTAGCTGTATATGACAATGTGACTGATGGCCGGAATGGGGTCTCGACGGTGGAGCGAGACTGGAAACTGGAAACGGGATCTACCGCGGAAACCAAAATAGAATTATGACCATTAATAGCACTTCGAAAACAGTTTCCAGTAAAAGCATGGATAGGAACTAAGGTTAGCTTGGCCAAACCGTCTCTGACCAATAGAGGACTGGTTCAGTTTTAAACCCGCTTGCTTAGCCTGGGCGATACAGTATGCGCTCTGCGCCGTCCGTCACCATAGATCGACCCAAAAGCGCACGGCCACGACGATAACGTTACACGACCGGCCAGTCATCCCTCACTGGTGGATGCGTTCAAGAGCCTGCCATTGAGTATGACCTCCCTAAATTTTGAGCTCGTGTATGGCGGATAGAATCAACCCGAAAAACCTCACCTCGTTAATCCGATCTCCAACCGCAAGATGCAAAATGCTTGGGAGCTTGACAAGCAGCGCAGTCTGAGAAGCAGCGCAAGCGACCTGCAATCCATTGCCTCAGGCTTATCTAGACGGAAGCTCTTGCACAACAACAACTCCTCCCAGCATCCTGGTCCGAATGTCACCGAATCTAATCGTCACACTTGTGTCCTCCTGCGGTCGAGCGCGCCAGATGTAGGGACTTTGCTCGTGGAGTCATAGTCGATTTCGTACTGCTCAGTCAACAGCGAAAGCGGCTTCGCACGACGGCAGTCGACATGGTTGATGGCATCGACGAGGACTCGGCAGGACTCGACATCGACAGGGTATGCGAGGATGTGCTTGGTCACTGCTCAACAATGTGCACATAGTCAAGCTGGCCGAAATACTTTACGCAAACAACGAGAATGATAGGACTAATAAAGTCGATGCCCCATCTAGATGGCAGTGTCTGTCCACCGTTCAGGTTCAAGGAACAGCAGCGTTACGCGATCGCTAAGACCGATGACGTAATTGTGGCTGGTGTTGCGCTGAATGCGGACCGTAGCATCACCAATTATTGGCCAATAAGAGACTCCGCTGTGAATTGGCGTGGCGCAGTTGCTGAGTTCGATCAGTCATCCTGCAACTTCGCGACGGAGTCAGTGTTGCAAGCTATCACCGGAAAAGGCGACTGCCCCTTGTAAGTGTATTGCAGAGTACATATGTTGCCGCACGCGGCCGTTTGTGCCAACATCTCCGCCCCAATGACGTGCAAGCTCGTATACAGCAGAGCTCCTTGAGATCCCGCGACAACGGAGGTCCAAGGCAGACACGAGCTTATTGTTGATCCTTCGAGGCAGTGTAGCCTCAATCCCATCTTGTCCTGACAGACACAACTACAGCTCGCAGCTGCAGCCTCCGATTTCCACTCAGCCTCACTTCCGCAATGACGGGCAACAGCTCCACCGTCCAGTCCCACGAGGACGAGACCGCGCGAGAATACTTCCACCATTCCTCCGCCCAGCGCGTCAACACCGACGCCGTGGTCGTCGAATCGCTCCGCACGCAGTATCCCAACCTCGACCTGGTCATCGCTCCCCAGGGCGGCCTCAATCTGCTCGCCTATGCTGCCGCCGGCTTCGCGACCGTCGCACCGCTCGATGACCCCATCGGAGATCCTGTATACGGCACCGCGCTCAAATGGCGCTCCTACATCCCTCCGTCGCGGAGGCTCGACGACAGCCCCGGCGTGATGGCTGAGCGCGTCGTCTTCGGCAAATACATGTACAAATGGAAAGACCACGAATTCATAGTATACATCGCGTCTGGCAGGGACGGGACGATGTCGTATCCGGATATCACAAACCACTACATCCTCACGAGCCAGCCTCATAGAGTGGACGAGCTTATCGAGAAAGCCACAATCTGGGGCGTCCAGCTGCATGACGAGGTCTGGGTATTTGACCAGGGTTTCTGGCAGAAGAGCCGCGACCTCTGGGAATCGGTGGAGAAGAGCCGGTGGGAAGACGTCATTCTGGAGGAAGGCATGAAGAAGGCCATCATCGCCGACGGTACGTAGCGGTGGTGCGCATACGGGCATGTCTAGCCTCCAGCGGGCAAAGACCATAGCCAGGCTGGTGTTGCCTTGTCTCCCTTGTTCCAAGAGATTTGCTAATGGGTGCTGCCCGACCCGCAGTGGAGAACTTCTTCGACGGCCGGGACACGTACGAGAACCTCAAGGTTCCATGGAAACGTGGTATAATCTACTACGGACCGCCAGGCAACGGGAAGACAATCAGCATCAAAGCCATGATGCACTCGCTGTATCAGCGCGGCAAGGTACGTATGGCGGTACCCATACTAGCATGCATGAGTTTTGGCAATGGAGAGCCACCCCTCAACGCCTTCAATGAGTAGAAGTACAGATTGTGTCGCTAGACCGGCCTCTTCCTTCTCTACCAAGCAAGTCATTTGCTAACATGTATCGCTACGTCCGTAGGACGGCAACTCCAAAATGACCGTTCCAACCCTGTACGTGCGCACACTAGCCTCTTTCGCGGGCCCCGAATACTCCATCCGCGCCATCTTCGCCAAAGCCCGACAAGAAGCACCCTGCTATCTCGTCTTCGAAGACCTCGACTCCATCGTCGACGACCACATCCGCTCGTATTTCCTGAACGAAGTAGACGGCCTCCGCTCCAACGACGGCATCCTGATGGTCGGCTCGACGAACCACCTCGACCGGCTCGACCCCGGCATCTCGAAGCGCCCCAGCCGCTTCGATCGCAAATACTACTTCCCGGACCCGAACTACGAGCAGCGCGTCGCATACGCAAAGTATTGGCAGGGCAAGTTGAAGAGCAACGACGATCTCGACTTCCCGGACAAACTGTGTCCGGCGATCGCGAAAATCACTGAGAACTTCTCCTTTGCTTACATGCAGGAGGCCTTCATCGCCTCGCTCCTTGCCATCGCTGCGCGCGGCAACAAAGACCGAGATACTGCGGAGTGTGAATCGCAACGCTGGGCTGGTCCGCATGATCCCATGGCACGCGCTGAAGCGGTTGGTGGAGGGGGCGAGGATCCGGCACTCGGTAAGTTGGTGTTGTGGGTCGAGATGCAGAAACAGGTTCGCATTCTGAGGGAGGAGATGGGCGAGCATAGCGGTAAGAGGAAAAACGTGGTGTTCAGAGGGCCGAGGCAAAGCGAGGCAGCGAGGGGAGGGGGCGGTAGGCCTGCGTTTGCACAGATGCCGCGGGGCTATAGGGATGAGCTCGATGCTAAGCTGCGTAGTGCTAAATTTGGGCTATGAAGCGGGCGAGAGTAAAGTTCTATCGTTCTCGGCTCAAACATGGTGGATTGGGGGAGCTCCGGTTTGATATCGCCCTTCCACATGAAATGTCGGAGTCGGCCCATGATGCGTAGCTCTAGAACATGTGATAAATGCCAATAGCTCCAAAAGAGGAGCAAATCCTGAAAACTCATCTTCTTTTCTCTCCGTAAGAGCTCCCTCTTTCCCATCCCACCTTGGGCGGGTTCCCTGCCTGTGCAGCACCTTCTCAAAGCACGGCAAACGCACTGCAGTACGACACACTGCTGTCTCTCAAGCTCTCTACCTCACTACTCCTCTCATACCTCACAAACTTAAACCTGCCCCTCCCCTCACTCATCCCCTCTACCGCCTCCACGGCGGCCATGAACACGCCAATCGGATGCCGTCCACACACCGTATTCCCCGTCTCCTCCAGCTGCTTCAGAAAGAAGCCGTGCGAGCCGCTCTCGACGGCATCCATGCTCTCCTGGTCCACTGCCGCAATGCTCTTATGGATTGGATAGTCCTTTTTGACGTCGGACGCGGAGCGCAGCGTCTTTGCGGAACCGTCGGGGAGCTGGTAGTACGTGTAGCGGAAGCGGGAGCCCCAGTGGCAGAAGTCGGAGGAGATGACGAAGAGGTTGGAGGACTCGGCGAGATAGGGGGCGAGGAGCCGGCCGAATTTCTGCTCGGTGCTGCGGTTTGTGGCGCCGACCATTATGGGGACGAGGGGGACGGCGGTGGGGTCCGATTTGAAGGCGTCGTTGTGCCTGGGAGGAATTGTTAGTCCACTGAGCGGGAGGGAAGGGGGAAGGGCCGGAGTGTACAGTGAGAGCATTTTGTAGATGTAGGGGAGGTGCATTTCTAAGCTGTGCTCGTCTTCGTCTGTCCTCGTGGACATGGACTGCAGACCCCATTCCTTCTTTATATTCTGCACGAGCTCTCTGTCTACGGCCAGGTTGCCCAGCGGTGTGCCGTACTCATCGCAGGCAGTCGTAGCGGCGCCGGTGAGGTAGTAGTGATGCGAGGGCCCGAGCAGGAAGACGCGCTTGCTATCCAGCGGTCTCAGTACATCATATATAGGATGTTAAAGGGGTTAGACGTACGCATTCGCCCAGTCAGCGCTCTTGTAGGCCCATGCAGCAGCAGGCCCGGAGTATGAGTATCCAGCGTGCCTGCACGTCATGAGCCTTGCCGTTCCTCAACATCTTCCTCTCATAGTAGAAAGCTCACGGTGCAATGATTGCGCGGGCATTCGGCGTGGGGATCGACACGGCGCCCCCTTGCGAGGACTCGGTGCCGATCGGGGTCGTGGAGCTGGGGACCTGGGAGAGCCAGCGGTCGAGCTCCCGCGAGAGCACTGCTTCGTCGTCGGTGTACCAGGACCCGGCGTGGGTGGGCTGGCGGACGGTGGGCGCCATGGGGGCTGCTGTGAGGAAGAAGATGGGTGGTTCAAGCGTAAGAGGGTTGTTGGAGGTTGTGAAGGAGGGTTGGGCGTAGCGGGGTAGACGTTGGGGAGCTCAAGCGCCGCGGGGCACAGAGCTGCCCTTGCATAGGCCATGGCTCGACGTGATTCTGCGGCTCAGATACCCAGGTAGAGAAGAATTGCCTTGAACACGCATTTCTTGAATACCTAGGCCCGTCTCACATGGCCATTCCGTGGACTTTTATGGTCGCGCCGGCCAGGAATGCGTGCAGGTGTGCGCCTGGAGCGCTTCAGCGCTCCCTGAGGCTGGATCTTTGCATTATCGTATATTCTATTAACAGATGTTGAAACAGTGCAAACATCGTGTTAGATATTGGGTCTTTTGGCGTAATGTCAGTATGTGGAGAAGTACTGGTTCTGTTGCTCCCCTCGACGCGAGCGCGTTTCGCGCATCGCATCGCGTTCCAGCCTCGCCATTTCATCATCGAACCATCCCATAGTCCTCCCCCAACAATCCTCTCGACGCATCTTCTACGACTACATAGAGCATTGCATATCGTAAACACGGCATTCTATCTAGCATAATTCTATCAATCCAGCCATGGGTCTCAAGCGCAAGCGGTCAACCGACGAGTCTCCCCTCTCCGCCTCCAGCTTCGGCACCGCCCCGACGCCTGAGGCGCAATCGCCCACGCCAATGCCAGACGCCGCCATGGATATCGACATATCCTCACACTTCCAGACGAATCGCTTCGCGTGGGATTTCTCCAGCGTGGGCAGGGTCAAGGGCGGCGATTGGGGGAACAGGACGCGCAAGCGGTTCCGCGACAATCGGCCTGACGAACGCGTTATCCACGGTAAGAAACACCCGGAATCGACCACGAAAAGGGCGAGAACAGAACGGCGGCTTATGCGAAACCAGAAAACACAATCAACAAGCTCTTCTCCGCGCAGCGCAAGCACCCGCACGCCGAGCCCATAATGTCGGACTCCCTGCCTCAGAACCACGCGCCCGCCGTCCAGAAACCGCAGAAGTCGACGCTGCACTCTTTCTGGAATCTACCCGCTCCGCCTGTCCAGCCTCCCACAATCCACATTCAGCCCCCGACGGACGCGAATACGCCGCGCTGCCAGGACTGCGACACTTGGTTGCACAGTGAGGCGGGCGACATGGACGTCGATATGGACATTGACGGACCGTTGGAGAGGAGTGTGTTCGGTTGCCATGATTGCGGAAGGAATGTCTGTGGCACGTGTGCCGTAGTGTCGAATACAAGGCACTGCCTCCAATGCGCTACTTCGGCGAGGAATTCGAAGCGGTGGTGGTAGAAGATTCTTGCGTTCGCACTGGAGGTGTATATATCTGCACAGCCTGGATTGAGCTTAGCCATGAGCGTTCCTGGGTTCTGCACAGACGGTCGGTACGGAAGGCGTTCGGGGTGGTATGATATCCTGTTACTATGGCGTTGGATCTGGGAGCACCCAGGGCGTTTCCTGGTTTCCGGTCGCATTCTTGGCAAGTCTCTCGAATGCATCCGCTGTTCAGTTTGCAGACGAGAAGTATTTCATCCATAGAATCAAGGGCTGGGGACTGCCGGGCGCATGTTGCAGTCGATGTATTGTTCGTGTCGATGCATTGTTTATGCTCTATTATACAAGAGTGGTATCGTACGGACCCGTCTGAAAACGGGAATTTTGTACACAGTCTTTCGTCCCACTGCGAAAGAGCTGGGGAATAGCGCTTGCACAGACGCGTCAGCCCCGTCCAAGGGAACCAGCCCTCGAACCCCATCCAAACTGCCCTGGACGTATCGTACACATCCCAACGCAGCGCAGCTGCATCCCTTCTCTTCCAAGCCTCCCCCTATCGTACAGCGCTCCAACACTCCATCTCTCCCACCCTCCCCATCCCCTCTAATCCCCATGAGCAGCACTCTCCTCCATCGCCCTAACCGCCTGCTCCAGCTCCCTGACCCTCTGCCCCACCCGTCTCTTGACCTCCTCCGCCACCGCGCCATCCGCCCCCTCCACAACCCCGCTGTAGTACTCCAGCAGCCGATCCAGCTCCTCCCGCGCCGCCGCCCGGTCCTCGGCCGCATACGTAGTATTCTTCTCCGTCTCCTCGGCTGCGATCTCGAACTCGTCGCGCGCCGTGCCGTACAGCTCTTGGATCTCTTCTATGACTTGCTCGATTTGCTGCGCCGCTTGCGGCGAGCTGGAGGCCCCGCTGGCATTGGGGAGCAGCCGCGAGGCAGAAGACGTGAATGTGCGCACCGAGGAGTAGGTGTAGGGCGTGCTGAAGCGCGTCCAGTGCGTTGTTGACGCGGCGAGGGATATGTTGCGCGCTTGGTAGGGCGGGGGTGGGGAGGGGGAGCGCGAGGGAGAGCGCGAGCGCGGGCGGATTTGCGAGAGGGGTTTTGTGAATTGCGTGGATGCGGCGGGGCGGAGGGAGGCCGTGGTGCTGCGGAGGAGCGCGCGGAGGGTTGGGGCGCGGTGTGGCATCATGATTCAGACCAGATGCGCTGGTTCTTGCGCGAATGGAGAGAATTGAGGAGAGTGAGCACTTGAGGGCGGGCGTTCGACTCGGAGGTTGAGAGATGCTGATTCCGAGCTGAGCGGTGCTGCACCGGAATGCTGTCATCAACGCCGAAGGCGGTGGTGGCCGGCAGTATTTTCATGCTGTGGCCAATCAGAGCACAGGGCTGAAGAGGGCTCGAAAAGAGCTCAGGGGTAGTCGTAAAAAGCATTCATGAAGATATTAGGATTCAATTGCTCCACCTGCTCTCTATGCCCGTTTCTTCAATTCCATGCATATCTGTTATGGGTAGCACTTCTTTTCGGCGCCTTCGGCCCCTCAAGCCAAGCCTTCCAATCACTGACCGTTCCTTGGTTCCCCGCTCAATGCCCCTCTCTGAATATCGGGCCCATTTTTTCCAGCTTGTGACCCGGCATAAGCTTCGAGCGGCGAGCTGGTCCAATTTACCTGGAGATATATCTACTCTAATTTGCAAAATCGTTAAATCTGCATCGCCGCGCGGATAGTCTAGTGGTTATGATGTCTGCTTTACATTTATCCTAATGTATTACGCAGAAGGTCGAGAGTAAGTTTTTAAAAGCCACTACTAGTTATACACTTGCTAATGATGATCGAGGTTCGAGCCTCTCTCTGCGCATCGGAATGCCACGATCTCTTTTTTGCTTCAGGGAGTGCAGGTGGTGCGGGACATGGCGGCTTATTTTTGCGCTAGGCCATGCGCTAGAGTTGGGAGGGGCAGGCTCTTCACGAGGTCCACAGGTGAAAATATTTGTAATCTGTACCCCATAATATTTCACTCGTATGTGTACGGACTTCAGGTCTATTTCTCTTGCTTTTCACGTAAAGATGGCCACTCAATCATCACCCGAAATGCAGATAAGAATGATGGAAAAAGCTGTACTTGTCATTTAGATATCAAAGAGTATTAATGCTGAGAAGAGCGACGTATCTGTAAAATCCGCAATCTAAGAACGCCAGCCCAATGCACGACAAGAAGTCTGCGAAACGCCAACGAATCCATACTCCTCTTACGCCTGCCGCGGACGAGGTAGCTGGCTATGTTTTACACTCCAGCCCTGCATCGTTCTTCGCGTCCCTAACGTCTTCCTCTGCGGTGCCGAGTGACTCTGCAACTGGCCCACAGAAGTGGTGTGGAAAGTCGACGCTGGACGGAACCCCGATACTGAGCTAGAGGACGAGGAGGCATGCTTCGTAGGACTCGCAGGTTGCTGCGCATTGCCTTCGTCGTCTGAATAGCTGTGCAGTTTAGTAGGGCTGTCTTGCTTCGTGGATGGGCTCGATAGAAGCACATATCTAGTATTTTCTTCGTCCGGTTCAGGCTCGGGCCTCTTGGGTTTGCTTGACATTGGCGCGTGGCGCGGCCTGTGGTTCGAGAATGAGGGAGGCTGGTAAGGTCGTGCAGGCCTGAGTTCGTGCGGGACGACGTTTGAGATATCCACCAAAGGGGAGCTCTCCGAAAGCGAAGACTGTGATCGTTTGAACGGTGCGATCTTTGGCGCTGATGGAGCTGATTCCTGTGATGAAGTGCCTCTAGGCCGTGTAAAGAAGGTGGTGATAGCGCCCTGTCCTGCTGCGCGCGGCTTGACTGCTTTTGTCCGCGTCGCCTTCGCTTCGACTCTCTTTGCTTCCTTGTATGATGCCTTGCCCGAAGCAGCGCTATTGGCGCTCGCTAGCATCCGAACTGCTTCTGCTTCCTCTTGGAGCGCCCTGAGATCCCGGGCACTGGTGAAACCGGCGTTTCCTGTCTTCAGTGTCGCTGTCGCGACCGAGAAGTTTGCATGATTCTGCATTGTGACCGACATGGTGGTGCTAGAGAATGATGTGGAAGCTTCTAGCTTTCTGCGCTTCAAAGACGGTTCCAGTCCATCAGTGCCCGGGCCAGACGCGCTCCATGATGGTTCTTCTCCGTCTATCTCCTCCCTGGTCAACGGATACTGGTCGTCTTCGATGCGCTCCAAAAGACTACGCGCGGCTTGTACGTCCGCAGCAAGCGGACACGGTCTTCGAAGTATCTGCGCTAGGTCCTGGATGACGGAGCAACCGATCGATGGCCCACTGCGACTGAATAACTTCTGGATAGTGCGATCCGAAACGAACTTCGATAGAGTAGTATCCTCCTGAGCGGACTGCTTGACAGGACAACTCAGATACAGCAAACCCTGCGCGCGGGTCATTCCCACGTAGAGCAGCCGCCGCTCCTCGTCATGGTCCTCCGCTCTGGAATGAGGGATAGATCCATCGTAAACAGCAGGAATAAAGACGATGGGCCATTCGAGTCCCTTGGCGGCGTGGATAGTAGAGATGGTGACTTGATTCGGTTCCCCACCGTCTGGCCTCTCGATTTCGGTAGACAGTGCGACGTTGGCGAGGAATTTTGACAGAATGTCGGCAGCTGTGTCTTGCCGTTGTTCGATTCCCTCTACTACTGGCAACGCCTCGTCTGCAACCTCTTCCCCGTTCGCAATCGTAGTCACCAACTGCGTCGCTTGGCCTACCAGTTCTTCAACATTAGCCCAGCGGTCTTTCCAATTCGCCTTGTAAGTGCTCTTCAGATATGCTTCGAAGGATATCTTTTGCAATACATGGCTGATGAGCTCAAGGAGATAACATTCTTCGCCTTCCTCAGGTAAGAGTTTACGTCTTGAAGTGAGGATCAAGTTCACAAAAGTCTCGAGTCCCTTTTGCGCGGGTGCCGAGATTTTGCTATGCGGCTTCTTCCTGCCCTGAGCGCAATCGAGAATCAGTTTCCAGAGCGTGATCTTCCTTGTCTCCGCCTCTTCCAGCAGCGCCTTTACCGTGCTCTCTCCAATCTTCCGTGATGGGAGGTTGATCACTCTGGTCAGTGCGTCATTGTGGTCTGGCTGGTTGATGACGCGCAGATAGTCCAAGACAATCTTAATCTCAGCACGATCGAAGAAGCGCTTCCCGCCGACCATCCGGTAAGGAACGCCAGCGTTTCCAAGGGCCCTTTCTACCGACAACGAGATAGATGTCGACCGAATGAGGATAGCATAGTCGTTGTAGTTCAAAAGGCCGGCTGTGAGCGTTTTCGTTCGATGTATTTCCTCGACGATCCACTTCGCTTCGAGCTGTGCAGTAGCCAGGTGTCGAAGTGTAGGTTGCTCTCCCACACAATGTGTGGGAAGTAGTGTCTTACTTAGACGACTCTCATCTTGTTCGATGACTGCCATTGCCGAGCTAAGGATACATCCAGAGGAGCGATAATTGTTCTCGAGGTTGATGACGATAGATTCTTGGTAGTCATCTCGCATACGCAGCAAATTTTTGATCTCGGCTGATCGAAAGCTGTAGATGCTCTGGTCCGGGTCGCCGACGATGGTGATCCGTCTCATTCTTTGCGCCATAAGCCTCATAAGCTCATACTGGATGTTATTCGTGTCTTGGTACTCGTCGATGAGCACAGCCTGTATGCTGGAAACGCAAGCAGGGTGCTTTTGTAGAAGCTCTACGCATCGTACCAGCAAATCATCGTAGTCCAACAGATTCTGGGCCTTGAGGTATTCTTCGTACTCGGAGTAGACGCAGGCGAACTCATGTTGGTCAGCTTTTTTCGTGGTGGCGGCAAACTGCTCTGCTGAGAGACCTCTCGCTTTCAGACGCGAGATCCGGCCGCGAGCCTGACCCGGCTCGACATTATATTGCTGGCGCTGAATGATGCGTTTGATAATCGCGCTGCTGTCGCCGGTGTCTGCGATGCCGAAATTCTTAGAAATGCCGATCTCTTGGCCGTATCGAACGAGGAAGCGTCGCGCGACCGAATGAAAAGTCCCGAGAACCAATTTGGCCTCAATACCGTCTCCCACGAATCCGCGTATCCTCTCTTTCATCTCGCGGGCGGCCTTGACAGTGAAGGTGCACACTATGATATTCCATGGCTGAAGGCGTTCATGGTTGATGAGGTACGCGACGCGTGCGGTGAGTGTTTTGGTCTTCCCAGAGCCTGGGGGCGCCAGAACCTGGAGGACCGAGGCCGGGCTGGTAACGGCGCTTCTCTGAGCGGCATTGAGGCCATCTAGGAGGGCTTCCATTGACGTGGTGTGGCATAAACTGGCAGACTTCACGGTGTCATTGTCGGGTGGAGGAAGCCTCGCGCCAGGGCACGGACCTTCGCGGCGAAACACGGCATCACGTGGTTCAATGCACGGGCCACCTACCCGCTTCCCGAGGTCGTTACGATCGTCTTGAGCTCCCAAACGATCGTTCCACTTCTCGACCGTCAGCTTATGACATTGCTTGGATCCTGCGGCCACCGCGCCAGGACAATGGCATGACCCGGCATCCCCAAACTAGTTTGCAAGTCGCTGGGCTATCACTTGAGGTGATCCCCCTGTCGGGTAGACCCTACAGGTGCAAACAAAGCAACGAGGTATCCCATTTCGCTCAAGATCAATTGTGCTCCGAAACCCTTCAGGATATACTATACTATACTCGATTCGCTGTCCTAATCCTGGCTGGTTCCGTCTAAACCATCCTGACTAGGCTGCTTCCTTGGCTTCTTTCTGAGCTCCATCATAACCCCTGCTCGATTCAGTCCTTCGTACAGAGCCCAGGCTGCCAGCGTCTTTGCGTCCCTTGCTCCCTCGCGCCATAGGTCTTCATAATCGCATACACGCAAAGTGATTAGCTCGCCCTCCCTTCTTGTGCCCATCAGCTTGCCGCGAAGGTCCTCGATCTCCTGCCGGTCCAACTCCTTTTCCCAGAGAAAGATGGGTATAAATTCGTCGGAGCCTCCAGGACTAGGATACATAGCCTGCTGCAAGGACTTGTTCTCCGGAATCTTCGAGTGCTGGAGCGCCAAAGCAGTGAGATCTATCAGCTCTGATTGCGGAATCTGGAATCCCGTCTCTTCGTAAATTTCTTTCGCGGCGGCGCCACTAAAGGTTCCCTCGTCGTCCAGCATTCCCGCAGGAATCTCCCAGAAGGCGAGGCTACCTGCCGGCACTCGAGGTTGCTCTGTCATCACCACCAATCGTTCATCCCTTGAATCCTTCGGTCGCAGGATCATCAACATCGCGACGCTGCCGCCGCGTAGAAAAGCGATACCAGGCAAATCTTTCTTGGGATCGTCCTTTCCGGCACGATTGCGAATGACGGCTTTAAGCTTCAGGAATCCGATTCTTTTGCCAAACCAATCGACTGATTGAATCGCAATCGAGCGAAGAGTGTACGGGTCCATGTGGAATGCGTGTTTTGGGTCTGAATACTGAAGCGCGAGATTCGCCTGAAGCGTATTCCTCCATACTTTGAACGCAGGGAAGTCCAGGAGCTGATCTTTTGTGATGTTTGGGGCGAGCGTGACCTCTACCTACGAGTATGACGGCAGACATCAGCAGATATTCTCCCTTCAACAGACCACTTTAGGACAAACGCCGCCTGCTGATACGTATACCAGAATATACGTACCGGCCCTTGGAATCCCTCGAGGGCGAAGGTCGCCATTTCGCGGAGCGGAAGTCAGTTCGTCGGGGGTTAAGAGAGAGCAGGCTTCTTCGTCCAAGAGAAGGGAACGAACAGGAAGGCTATTTCACCGGCGATGACGTGCATGTCGACTGAGGAAGGTTCGGCAGGGTGGCATCGGGGTCGGTGTTCCGGCTTCCGTTCGCTCGCTTACGTTGCACTCCACTTTTTTGGCAATTGGTGGACGTTTACGCGAATCACAAGCTGGAGTAACACACCGTAATGCTGTGGCATTGTGACATACCGGTATCCGTGCATTGCGCCGCATGAAGACGGATTGGGGTTGGCCGGCTTGTCCGGCCCACCGCGTCTGTCCTCTGAGATTGGTCATCGTCCCACTACGATAACAGGGTTGGTGAGTTGAATTGCGTTTTCGGCTTACTTTAACCACTTGGCCCCCAACTGCAACAGATATCAGCTGCGCATGTCTCCCCGCTCACGACTTTTCCCGATTACTTTACTACACCCTAGCTTGAGTGTAAAATGCTTTGCGAGGCTTGCTTTCGAATGCTGCGAGGGCAGGAGGGACGAGTGTGGAAGGGGACGTACGACCTCCATTTCAACCATCATACCCATGGCAAGGACCTCCTCAGCTCTGCGAGGATGCACTGCGGGATATGCCGTGTTTTGTACGAAGAGCTGCAGTCCAAATTGGATCCCACGATTGCCATCGACCAACAGCCACTCTCCCTTACAGCCTCGCTCTCTGTTCTGGACCACCCTCGAGTCAAGGACTTATACCGTCTTGACTTCAAGCTAAGATGTGAGCGAGTTCGAAGCAGAAGGACCTTTGTCTTGAAGAGAACTAGTAAGTACCTTCCATCTTACGGCAAGACGGTTTGAGCAACTACTGAGCATACACATCTCGAAGATTCTGGAGATCCTCCTTTCCGCACTCCGATTTCTCAGCACACTTCATCGGACGAAGTTTACCAGCTGTCCAGGGAGTGGATGTCAAAGTGCAAATGCGCAGACACACATAAGCCACCGTCATGGTACCCTGCCCGATTGATCAGCTTAGAGGAGCTCAAAAGCCAGAATTTCTTGGATACCCGAAAGTTGGTGTCCACGAGTCAGCGCGATGTCGACGCCATCGGTCGGACTCAAGTAAGGCTGGTGGAAACGGAGGATTGGCAGGACGGGCGGCCCGGTCACGGCAATGTTAGATATGTCACGTGTAAGTCGAGTTGCTTTTCGGATGTTGTGTGAAGTCTAAGACTCCACAGTAAGCCATTGCTGGGGCCCCGAGGTAGACAACAAGCTCAAATTAACATCGAAGAATATTGCGGACTTCAAGAACAGTATCCAACTCAGTACCCTTCCCCAGACCTATCGCGACGCCATAGAGTTTTCTGCACGTTTGCCTAGGGTGGGCTACATCTGGATTGGTATGTGATTGGTGTGAAAGTTTTTCGAATTGTGTTAATAGTGCGATAGACTCACTTTGTATCAAACAGGGACCGGAGGAACGGGAGGATTGGCTCAAACAATCCGCTACCATGGACAAGGTCTACAGCGAGACGTTCCTCAATATCTCCGCAACTGCTGCAACATCGAGCAACGGAGGACTGTTCTTTAGCCGGAGGCCTGAACTCCTTCTCGAGGACGAAGTCATATTGAATATTGAGGGACTTCCCGGCGCCATTAGCAGGAAATCAACCAGCGAGGCGGAGGTCGCATTGTCTCCGACATCAACTCCGTCTGCACTGGAATGGTTCGAAGCATATTGGTTAGCAAGCTACCTGCTGCTGCTTCTGCGTCAACTCCACATCATTTTCGGGAGATCTCTCGGCGTCGAGCAGAAGGGTGCTTTGGAGACGGAAGTCAGGATTCATTCCCGCGCCAACTCAAAAAGTGGTGGTGAAGTGGTAGCCACACGCGACAGTAGCCCAGCCCGTGACAGCGATTTGGGCGAGCCCAGCGGTGAGAGCGACCGCAAAACCCTCCGACGTTGCACGATCCTCGATGTCTCTTTCTGGACGTAAGCTACGCCCCGGCTGAAATCGCAGTGTCTTGTCTAGAGCAGCTTCGCCTTTAGGACAGGCATTGATCCCCTCTTTGAAGTGCTTCGCTGACTTCGGGTTCTTACGGTAGAAACCACGTCGATAGGGCCCCAGTGAATCGACGAGGCTGGGTATTGCAGGAGCGGCTTATGGCACCCCGAGTCCTTCACTTCTGCCATGACCAGGTGGCTTGGGAATGTTCCGAGTTTGATGCAGCAGAGGGGCAGCCTCAAGGGATGCCTAACTTTCAGCTGACCTCGGATGGTATTGTGGAAGAGAGCCGGCTTAAAGGTCTTAACCCCATAACAGACGGTAAGCGCCTTCGGCGCATCCGACTGCAAGGACACGAAGACCCAGATCTGCACCTGCAACCTGAGATATATCCCCTAGAGCTCTGGCGGCGCATCGTGGAAGTGTATTCCAAAACGGCAATCACGAACCCAGGAGACAAGATGATCGCTCTATCCGGGATGGCACGATGGATGGCCCGTAAGATAGGTACGCCGGAGCGACCTGCAGAGTATGTGGCTGGCATGTGGAGAACGCATCTAGCCAGCCAACTTCTGTGGAGGATTGAGCCCGTCTTTCGCGAGAGCGAGAAAGATAGTTTCTTCGAGCACCCTTCTACCGACCCTGACAAATACCGAGCGCCATCGTTCTCTTGGGCTTCTATCAATGCTGAAAAGGGCCACGGCGTGACCTACGCTGACATAACCGATCGGGATCTTTTCATCGAAGTGGAAAGTGTTACCATTACCCTGGAGTCCGACGCAGACGAATACGGAATGATCTCATCGGGGGATCTCATCCTCCGAGGCAAGCTCCGAAAAACAACATTCCATAAGAAGCCTAAGGGTCGATTCGGTTGGAAGCTAGTTGACCGCGAGGAACTAGACGCTGAAGAGCATACCAACGTATACCTGGATTGCCCTACCCGCGATTCGCAGCACATTCAAGGGCCCGAGGCCGGTGTGTACGTAGTTCCGGCTGCAAAGGGGGAACGTACAGCGTCTGAGGAGTCCAAGTATCTGACGTGTCTGATCTTGCAGCTTGTCAAGGGTCATGAGCGGGGACCTGCGTTCAAACGGATTGGGCTCACAAAGCTGAGTCCTTGGGCGGACAACAAGGCTTTGCGAGATCAGAAGATTCTGGAGGTTTTCCCGAGCGATATCGATATGCCGCATCAAGGATATGACGCTGAGACCGGGATGCACCGCATTCTCATCATCTAGTCAAGATGCACCATTGCATGAGCTCTCCCGACCTTTCTACGACGTGTTCCACCTTGGGCGCTTCCACTGAACAGATAGTGCACTCTGAAGCCCATCAGACTGTCCAGCAAAGAATATGACGGACGGTATGGGAAATCGGATGAATAGGGAAGCATACAGTAGTTCAATGGAGTTGTCAATGTCGTGAGGTCGAAATACACGCAACCACAACCGAATACGAGCCTCCACATGGGCCGCTCAAAAATGGCGCCAGATCACGGAGTCGCTGATCCACGCGCCACTTCATCTGGGGTTCCTGGGGGCTCAGCCGCAGGTACAAATGAGATCGCCGCCACATGCGTATCTCGAAACATCCTTATTCGCGCAATATGTGGCTGGTTGATGTTCGTCGCGTTTCGTACGACGTCTTGGCAAGTCCGATTTCGTATTCGGTGATTGTGTACTGCAACCGCTCTGATTTCCACTCGTCAATCTGAATCGAGGGAGGGTATCTGGCGAAAGGAGGGGCGAATGCGAAGTACGACTACATTGGTGCGGGGCGTCACACCATGCCTCTGGTATCAATTTGCTGCCTCGGACTGACTTACAAGAGGAGACCCTGGAATTGGGAGGTGAGGGAAAATTGCATACGAAGACCTGTGCAGCTTTACGGTTTCAGAATCAGCTTTCGAGATGGACATCCCTCGATGATCTCCTTTTTTGGTCAGTTATATATACTCCCTCTGAATGTCGAGGTTGGCTCCTTCAACACTTAGTCCTCTCCTACTCTTAGTCATTCGTTGGAGGACTCCCGTGACAGCATTCTCAATTGCCCAATATGCGCATCCAACTCTTCACCTCTCTCCTTCTAACCGCCATTCCATCGGGTTTCGCAAGCGCTCTCTACCCGCGCTCCGTTCTCAACGGGCCTTGCACGGGCAAAGACGGCGTCATCGGCGTCTGCGTCCCCACCACCTCCTGCGACCGCGACAACGGCACCTACATTCACAATGCGTGCCCGGGTACACCCGAGAATATCAAATGTTGCACCAAGCCGCACTGTCAGCTCGCGGCCCAGGCCGGCGACTGTCGCTGGGTGGAAAACTGTGGTGGCGGGAAGAGCCTGGTGCAGTATTTGTGTCCAGGCCCCGATGCATTTAGGTGCTGCATTACGAATGAAAATGCGACCCCGGAGCCAACACCGACACCGAAGCCGCAGCCGGATGTGAACCTAGGGGAGAAGATCCTTGCGAAAGCTAAGGAGGCGGAGGGAATTCCATGTAGGTCACTCGGTTCTTGCGACACCGTGAAAGAGATATTGACCCATGATTAGATCATTGGGCCGGAGGAAACTGTAAAGGCCCTACTGGAGGTGGCTTCGACTGCTCTGGTCTCGTCTCATGGGCGGTCTGTCAAGTCACAGGGCGTAATCTCTTCAGCGAGGGTCTCCGTGTCACCCGGAGCATGTATTGCGCCAGCGCGTCGAAGCTGAAGTACAAGTAAAGCCCTCTTTGAATCTCTTAGTACCTTTCTTCTCCGATGGCTGACCATGTGAAATAGGAAAGTCAAGTGGGCGAACCGCCGTGCTGGCGACGCCGTCTTCTTCGGTGGCAAGTGCGATTGTGAAAACAACCCTGCGGGTATTCATCACGTCGGCTTGATGATGGATGACGGGTATACGATGTGGAATGCGCTGAAGACGGGCACGAAAATTCGCAAGGATAACTTCAAAAACTGGGATGAGAGTGCTTGCCCTTATGTTATTCGGTTTGATTGAGGGCGTATCACTCTGGGCAGTACGAATAATGGATGATTGTGACATCGGAATACGGTCACCTTCTGTGATGAGTTTTCCTTAGCTAGATATAAGCTTCTAATGTATAAGCTGGAGCCTATGCTTGTCCTATTGCCTTCATATCTTTTCGAAGCAGGGTGCTGCGGATCGATGTAGAACAGCACATATCGGCTTCTATCGTTCTTCCGTCAGTCCTGGAGCAGCGTGTCGGCTACCGGACCACGCCTGTCAACGCATTCCATCTTTGAGTTCAAGGTTGGCTGGCTACAAGGGTAGTCCGAGAGCGACTGTACCTGCGAGCGTAAGGGCAAAGAATATCGACCCGTTGCGTGGCTTAGGGAGAAGACAACGCACGGCGGTGGCGGGCAAGAAAGATACGCTTAAAAGCCAGTTGCAGCTGGGACAGGTGCTCTGGACGCGAACATAGAAAGCATACAAGGCAGTGGGTATTAGCGATGACTAAGTCGCTTTGGGAGGAGATGCTGAGATTTTGGCCTTCACCCTATTTGCAGCTGCCCAGGTGTATTACCCCCACTTCGAACGTCGATGGACGCGGGCGTACCAAGAAAGGGCGACTTTTATTTCATTGCGCTGAGCTCTCTTTTTCATGTCTGGCGCTCTACCCCTGTCAGGCTCTATCCCTTTTCTGGAGGCGGTAAAGCCCTCCGTCGTTGCACGGCCTGATAGCGTGGAATGCTGCGTCACAGTAAAGCTGCCGGGCCAATCAGAGAGCTACCATCTCGTCGTCACAGCGAGCAAGCAGCGCAGCCTTCACCTTATATTGCCTTGAGGGGCGCCCCCTCCTTCCAGCAGCTCCACATATACGCTTTCCACTGCTCTCTCGACTGCTCAATCTCCGAGACGTAGCAGAAGCGACTCAAACAACTTCAACTCCAACCCCGACTCCAACCTGAGCCTTAACACCAACAACATGAAGCTCTCCTCGCTTGTCGTCGTCGCGGCCCTTGCCGTCTTCGCCGTTGCCTCCCCCCAGCAGCAGCCACCGGAGCGTCCGAATCCTTGCGAGAAGTGCGACAAACACTATCTCGCCTGTAAGGAGGTAAGTTTCATGACGTAGTAACTGCAAGGGGTATTTGGCTAACAGGAATAGTCGTGGTGGTGCTACTTCTACCCGCTAGAGTGCGAGGAGGTCTGCCAGCGCGACACCTGCCACTTCGACGAGGACGTGAGTTATCTTTGAGCTTATAGGGACTTGGCAGTGGACCTAACGGTGCTGTAGTGTCACGAGAAGTGTGGCTATAACAAGTGTTGATCGGCCTCGAGGCCTTCGACTACTTTGACATCGATTTCGGCCATATCTGAACGAGGTGCATGGTAATCTGGCGACGGTGATGGGTTTCCATGGCGTGGATTCGACTAGATTCGCCGCTCGTTAGCAGAAAAGTCGCTTCAGCTCCGTTAGATATACTTAATGGAGCATTAACGTCCTGCATCCCTGCTCTAGCTCTTGATGATGCCCAGAAATGTTCCTTCGATGACTGATACATAGGATGTGCACGATATCGACGTAGGATAACGTGTTATGGCTCTTGCCGTCGAGTACCCCTCTTCGGGTCGCAATAGGTACGTAAGCTGGAGTGTTGCGAGGTCGATGCGCATGGAAGAATGACCTCGAGATTGTTCGTAATAGAGTTCATTCTAGGGTCGTGCGGTATCGGGCTTGATAGTAGCTGTCCATCCCGAGTTATCGCCTACTGAAGGAGTCTTAGGTAGTTTTATCTCAATCTCCATTGCCTTGAAACCACTTTACGCTCCTCCGAATGCCTTCTTCGGTACCACAGACCGGCCGATATCCAAGCCTCTTCTTCGCCTTCTCAATCGAGAACCAGCAGCCCTTGGACATGAGCTCGAAGTGATCGACCGTCATCCTTGGCCTCTTCGTGCCAAGGGTGAAGAACCAGTATACCCACTCGCTGATCGTAGCTATCGTGATCATCATTGAAAAGGGGAGCACAAAGACGCGCTGCTGCCCTTCTGGCCGATTCCAGTATTCGTCGCCCGCGACTCTCCATACGGCTCTTGAGAAGTCCCAGAGCCTCATAGGCTCAGGATCAGCAATGAAGAAAGCTTCCCCGTCCACACGCATATCTGGGCGTAGGTGTCTGCTGTCCAAGAGCGCCATTGCGGCGTCCACGTGAGCATCAGCCGCGCTTTCCACATAACTCCATGAGTGGACGAGCTCATTCGGTCCAATTTGGATCCTTGTCGCGAAAGTGTTGGTCAAGTGCAGTATCTCTTTGATTGTTTTCTCGTCCCGTGGTCCAAACAGCCCTGTCACACGAAGGCTTGTTGTCAAAAGCTTTCCTCGCCAGTCGGCATCCTGAGAGAAGTCGACAGACGTTGCATCCGTATTGAAACCGAGCACAAGAGACTCCGTAGCACCCTTGGACCGGCTGTATGCGGAAGCGTTGGAATTCCAATCATTGATTTTGGCTTCTTGCTCATCAATCCGCCTGTGGTTGAGTTTAGGATCGAGGTGGACCGCATTAACCGAACTTGTCCATACAAAGGCCCGAACACTTGGATGCTCTTTAGCGAGCTTGAGGAGATGTTTTGTTCCAAGGTACGTGACCCGGTAGTGCTCGGACGGGATAGCGAATGCGCCAGGCGACACGGTGTGGACGATTACCCGCGGCCGTTCTCCGTCCAGCAAAGCCCTCGCTTGGTCTAGATCTGTAATGTCGCATGCACGATATTCGGCTTTTGGTATGCGGAACCGGTTTGGGTGTCGGGAGGCTGCCACGATGCGAGAACAGGATGGCTCAGCAGCAAAGGCCTCCGCGATGAATGAGCCAATGAAGCCGCATCCTCCGGTCACGAGGACGGTGCCGAGAAATGAACCACTATCTTCCATCTTCTCCGCTTTCTGACTGGGTCCGCCTACACACCGGAATACATCGAAAGGGTTTGTTGCCAACCATTGTTGCCGTCAAGAGGGGTCGGGGTCACTGCCTAGACCCTAGGTACCGTGAAACAGACAGAATACGCTAGGCGGTTTCAGGAAAGGCCAGAAACAGAGCCCATCCGCCGATTTTCGCACCCGGCCAACGTCCCACTCTCCTCTCCTACACTTACATCCCACCTCATCTATGCTTGAACCCTACTCCTTCAGAATTGCTTTTGGATCCCGAGATTGCATGCATTCCTGTCGTGAGCAGAAAGGTTGCGGCACAGTCTTTTATCCGCCGGACTCTTCATTCTCATTCCCTGCTTTTCTTCGAGTTCGCCTCTAATCCTCAGTGTTGACGGACTCGGACGGAGTACTACATGTCTTCTGTGTAGAGGCTCACAAAGATGTCTCGATGGCGGATCATGCGATTCAATTAATGTTTAACGCGGGACCGGTCACTCGATGCAGAGTGTATTCTGGCTATGCACAAGAATACGAGAATGCATGTAACCCGGCCATGGCTCTTTACACACGATCCTTCGAGAGTTAAAACATGCTGATGCATAGAATAACTGGGCGCTCACGTACTTCTACCGCACCCGTGGACGGTCGGGACCCGAGCATGCCGTTCTCGGCAGCCCGCCCCGACGGTATATATTGGATTTCCAATATCTTTTCAATCTCCAGATGCGCATTGGCATGTACCACAGGAGTCCGCCGTACTCGGTGCCTGGATTAGCGATAACGAAAGGATGCGTCAAGGAGTGATTTGCATCAAGCATGATTATCTAGAGCTCACAATGAGAGTGCTGAAGGTATAAAGGCTCCTGAAGAGGCGATTCAAGAGCAGAAGTCATCCCCGGTCCACCAACGCATCGTAACCCTGAAAGATCTTTCGGTATCTTACAGTCACCATGCGATCCGTAACACTCATTGCTTGTCTCCCGGCGCTCGCCACTGCCTTACCAACCACATCCACCGAGGCCTACAAGGCTGCCAGAGCCCTCGTTGCACGCGCACCTCCGGAAGCTAAAGCGGTACTCAAGTCCGTCACGTCCAGTGGCACCGGATGCTCCACCAATTCAGGTGGCTTTATCTTCAAGGATGATGCCACGATCGCTTTCGATTCCATGCTTGTCGAAAGCACTATGACCAATCCAAGCACACATTGCTTGATTACCATTGACCTGGGATTGGATTCGAAGTGGAAGTACACAATCAACAAGGCCACCAATATTCGCGGTTACGTAGACGGTGGAAACGCAGTATATAAGGTGACCTACACCGCTGGTGGAAAGACTGTAAGTGTGGTCATGTCATATTCGATACTGTGCTCTACGGTCCCACTGTATGTTTTCTGCTAACGGCTCATGAAACAGTCTGAAGTTAGTGGTACTGTTAAACCGACTAGCGACGGCAACTGGGCCGCTAGCTCCACTTCGGCCGGTGCAACGTCTGCCTACGGAGGCGGAGTTGCAGGTATCGACGTAACGCTCAAGCTCAACACCGAGCCCGGCAAAGTTGCGGCTGTGACAATCGATACAATGGATGTCAAGTTCGACTACTCTAAGTGAGATATGGCAGGCTCCGACCGAATGAGATAGCGTCTTAATGTCATTGAGCTCGCTTGGAGCGCGTTTGGCGATTGGGTACACGTCTCGTTTGCCGAGCCAGAGTCGAGTCGTGGACCGCATTGTGGCTGCAGCTCGCTTTGGCTTCATCCAGGCTACATTCCATATTGAGATCTCCATTACGAATCTTCTCCCATATCCCACACACTGCAACGAAGTCCTGTCCGCTTTCTTTTACAACATGACAAGCAGTCCGAGTGCAACATTGCGCCTTTTTTAGGCTTGGGAGGCTAGTGCTGTGCGTCGCCCTACGCCGACACGGCTGTTATTGTTTAATATTTTCATGTAGGGATTACTACAAACGCGTCACGGGATCCTAGAGTATGACAAGCTGGACGACTGGCTGGGTTCCAAAGTATATTTACCCTTCCCCCCGCTGAATAATGCTGACCCGCACATTCAAGGCTGATTCCTCCATTGAGTCCGATAAAGCTCATATGCCTATCAGTCCGAAAATGATATTGTAATTGGTGTCGGTATGGGCAATTCGAAAACGGAGGAGCGACTAAGAATGTGCCACAGCTCTTGCGATTTTACTCGCCATCAATTTGCACTTAGATGCGGCGCAGCAGCATTTGAGAAGATCCGCAAGGCCTTCAGCCTCCACGATACGACGGAAGAGGCGTTCGTCAACGGCTGCGGGGCGTTCGCACGCCACATCAGTCACAGTAAGCAGGCCAAAGAACCAGATAGCCTATGTAAGTTATCCCTTTCGCGTTGACGGTCAGTAGTCTTTACTAACTGCAAAGCTCTTCTGATAAGAGTTGCAAATAGTACGAATATGGGTTTTGAAGCTTTATCGCTCTCCTTCGATCGGAAGACGCAGACTACACGGGCATTCCTGCATGGCTTATCAGACAACGCTCACCAAGGTCTACTGGCACACATGGGTAATCTCAAGTGTCAAGCGGCATATCGTCATCCTTTACACCTGGCAACGCGTTTTCTCCAAAATCAGCGCTGAAAGGCAGAAGCGTACCGACGGAAAATCCACAAGTGCCTGCATTGACTGGAGCGCGAAATTGGATACGCAATCCCCGGTGTACTGGAATATACGCCGGCTCAGACGTCGAAGTCCCTCGATTTTGAAAACATCCTACACAGACTCCACCCGTGCCAGACTGAACTCGCAATACCAGTGCATGGGTGCGACTATGGCCTGAAGCTTGGTGCCTTCATGAGCAGAACCGAACAGGAGCTAGGAGATCTCGGATTTCTCTCTCAGTATGTTGATGCAATGCGTTCGGTCAAGGATAGGCTTCTGCACCAATCAATTTCGACACCAATCTCTACTGCACAATGTCGGCACAGATCTCGGCACTGAAAGAGCGAGTGCAGAGCCACATTCACCTCGTAAGTTCTTTTCTAATCATTGTAGGCTTGAAAGCTAACCCAGACATGGCGCCAGACCTTCAGTCTCATAGCCCAAGATGAGAATAGACTTAGCCGATCGGTTGTCGAGAAAAGCACTATGATTGCGCTTGCCAGCAAACGGGATAGTGCGGCTATGAAGACCATAGCGCTTCTCAACATCGTCTTCCTCCCTCCTGTATTCGTCGCTGTGAGTCTCGCTACAACACGCATCCGCAAACTTAATAATGGTGCGCTGACCTACTCCAGACATTCTTCAGCTTACCGATGTTCGATTGGCGCTCCGATGAGCTACACGCAGTTGTAGTCTCCCGCTACTTCTGGATCTACTGGGCCGTTGCCGCTCCACTCACGGCCTTCGTACTACTCATCTGGCGAATCTGGTGGACTGTGGAAGAGAAGCGGTACCAAGCCGAACTCCTCGAGGCAAAGCAGGATCTGAAGATGCCCACGAACTATACTGAGCAGGAAGAAGCAATTGCAAGGGCTAGAGCGAAGCTGGGACATCGTGAATGGGCGAATCTGGGAGTGCCCTTTTGGGGATCCTTCTAGTTCATTAGTGACCAAGATTAATTGGAACCGGAGGTGGTGCGCTAAGAGCTATTGCGGAGCAGTGGTCTTGATCCACCTCCCCACGTTCGATAATTGGTTGTGGATCTCGTTTATACTTACCATGATCGGCCGGTGGCGTAGATCGTGGCTTCAGCTGAGTACGACCTCAGAACTTCAGCCTTCCATATCAGTACCATCATTTTAGGCCACGCTCGTTATTGCAGTGTTCCGTTTCTCATCATTCATGATCGCCGACGGTACATATACACGGCGCCTTCCAGATACACCATGTTAGAGGGTAAAGAGCGGCCAGGCTGGCCGTTGCGCTTCTACGAGGCTTGGGAGGACAAGGCTGTAAGGAATATTCCTTTGGGGATTCTATTGCTAATAGGAAACGCAGGGAGGCATAAAGGTGCGGGAGGGCACCGTATCGTACGAGCAGCTGACCCATTGGTTGACCCTACAGGTAGCATCGCGTAAACATATTGAAGGACCAGGCTGACTGCCCATTGCTAGGCCAACTACGCAATTGCGGATAATGACGGGCTTCTGCTTCTTGAGGAGCACATGGTCTTGCGCCTAATGTTTGTGGGCCTCACCAAGCTCGCGCAGGAGTGCTGACCCATTCTTGTAGCACCTGCGACTTCTCCGATTATCCCTTCGCTCTCGGGTGCGGTCAAGCCTCTTTTCTTAAGATCAAAAAGGCTTTCCGGCTCCATGACACGACTGAGGAAGCCTTTGTTAGCAATAACGGAGCATTCGCGAGGTACTTTAGCGCTGGTGTCAATTCCGTGGAAGCGGACAGCCTGGGTAAGCGACTTTTTGAAGGTCTCGTCAGGAGGCTAACGTAGGTTAGCCATGGTCATCAAGATACCGCGTTGGGCGAGGGGCTCAGGAGCCTTATCGTTGTCTTTCGATCGTAAAACAGCAACCACACGAGCATTCCTGAATTGGATACCAAACCATGAGCATGAAGCACTGCTCAATCTACTTCGCGATCAGAAAGACAAGTCTGCATACAGGCACCCTCTTCTGCTACCTACTCATATGCTTAACAGCCACCAAAGAACAATGGAAGCATACAGAAAGCTAGTGGACGACACTATCGTGAAAGTCGAACTCCGCGTTGGTTATGCGCTCCCGGGTCTATTGTACTACAAGCCGATCGTCCCGTTGGTCGCATGGGGCACTGCCGGACCAGATGATTTTGAGGACGTGGTGCGCAGACTCCACGGTACATTGGCCGAACTTGGAGCTCTGTGTTTCGAATGCACTTTCGGTAAAGACGCGGGAGCGTTTCTGATGAAGACCCAGCAAGAGCTGGCGGGTCGGGGGTTTATCAGCCTAGTGAAGGTCTCTCCGCGAGTTTCCGAAGGTTTTGTACACCAGATCGATTTCGCTGCGAACCTGTACTCTACCATGGTGGGACAGGCTGCAGTTCTCAAAGAGCGTGTGCAGAGCCATATCAACTTGGTAAGCGAAACAATTCTGCAACGCTTTCGGTAGATGCTAATGCTACCCACAGACCTTCAGTCTCATCGCCCAAGAAGAGAACAAGCTCAGTCGAGCGGTAGCCGAACACAGCCAACGAGACAGCGCCGCCATGCGAACAATCGCAGTGATGACCATGTTCTTTCTTCCGCCCACATTCGTCGCGGTAGGCTCTCCAATGGCGCCCGATATTATAGAAAGCTCTACTGATATATCAATCAGACACTTTTCAGCATGGAGATGTTCGACTGGAGTCCAGAGGCACCAAGGAAACGCATGGTCTCTGCCAATTTCTGGATTTATTGGGTCATCGCGGGCCCATTGACCATCATCGTGCTGGTCGTCTGGCGCTTCTGGTGGGTGAAGGAGGAGAAGCGCGCACAGGATGAGCTCCGTAAGACGAGACAACGAAGGTGGAGTAAGCCGTAGATGCGTTGAAGGAATGGTGGCCGCCTGAGTACAGGAGCACCACCGGTATGGTTGGACCGGTATGGTTGGGTTAGAAAAGTTCTCTCGGTGTCCTACCGTCTAATTGGAGTCAAGACCCTTGCTAATATGTCACCTGCTCGCCGGAACAACGAACTGTTTCACGTTTCAGCGGCCCCACCTCCAATACCATCAACCGTCAATTTTCCGAACGCTTAGCCGGAAAGATACAAATGTACCGACGTCAGGCCGGTAATAGATGCCACTGGCAATTTCTCCTCCCGTGAGCTTTTGGTGTCGAAGTCGCATGACAGAACGACGCGGCTGTCCCCGCAGGAACAGCACTTTAAATTGTACCCAGCACACTTCTTGGCAAGGATAGGAATGTTTCCACCTATCATCGTGTAGTTTTTCCGGCGTGGCTGCGCCTGTTTCTCCATGAGTACCATAGTTTCGGGATAGGAGCTCAGCCCTACCGGTCGTCAAATAGCGATGTAGTCCACATAGGCTTCGCATCCGGTTGCGATCTTCTACTCTCTTCGATTCGTCCCTTTCTTCTCTTACCCATTCTTTTCTTTGTGCATGCATCATGCGCAGCACACTCGCCCTTTCCCTTCTTTCCTTTTGGTCCGCGACCGTAAATGGCTACGCCAATCCCATGACCTGCAGCGGCACCTGCACCAATGCCCACGACCCAGCGCTCATCCGCCGTGACGATGGCACGTACTTCCGTTTCTCGACCGGCGGGAAGATCGCCATCCACAGCGCTCCCGCCATCACCGGGCCCTGGACGTACCGCGGCGCTGCCATTCCGAACGGCTCGAAGATCGATAAGGCCGGAAAGAATGACCTGTGGGCTCCGGATGTCCAGAAGGTCGGCAACACGTACTACATGTACTACTCCGTGTCTTCGTTCGGATCCCAGGACTCCGCCATCGGCGTCGCGACGAGCACTTCGCTTGACGTGAACAGCTGGACCGACCTCGGAAGCAGTGGTGTCACCTCTTCTGCTGGAAAGGCGTACAATGCCATCGACGGGAACTTGCTGTATGACGGCAGCAACTACTATATGAACTTTGGATCCTTCTGGCACGACATTTACCAGGTCAAGATGGCCAATCCGCCTACGACGGTCGCAAGTGGTGCTACCAGCACCAACATCGCGTATATTCCGAGCGGTAGCCATGCGCAGGAGGGTGCATTCGTGTACAAGTACAGCAGCTACTATTACCTGTTCTTCTCAGTCGGGCAGTGCTGTGGGTATGACAGCAGCAAGCCTGCGGTAGGCGGAGAGTATAAGATTCAGGTCTGCAGGTCCAGCTCAGCTTCTGGCGGATATGTAAGTTTCCTCTTGAGCTCTCAGTGGTTTAATGAAGAGCGAGGCGGGGCTAAGACTCGATTAGGTCGACAAGAACGGCGTCGCATGCACCAACGGCGGCGGCACCACCGTCCTGGAGTCGCATGATTACGTATACGGACCCGGTGGCCAAGGGGTTATCAATGATCCATCCTTGGGTCCTGTCCTGTACTATCATTATGGTAAGCGAACAAGTTTAGACAGCGAAGATGCGTTGCTAACGGTTCCCAGTCGATACTCGCATCGGCTATGCAGACGGCCAGAAGCAATTCGGCATCAACCAGCTCAGCTTCTCAAGCGGTTGGCCAGTCGTATAAGTCTGTAGCGATGCTTGGATTCCTCCCAGGGGCTTCATACCCGTTTCCTGTGCATATTTTCTCGCGCTTGACGTCGCGACTTCTCTTCGTGGTCCATCCCTTTTCGTAGCGTTTAAATTTTGATTCAAGCACGAGGTTGAGCAAGCAAAGCTTCCACGAGGAGAAATTGTTGATTGACAGGTGAAAGTGAGAGGAGCTGGCCGCGCCAGAAATTCGGGTGGATGTCTTGATTACATAAGCGGCGCTACGCCTCTCGCCTCTTCCAGCTTTCATCACAACACTCCACTCTACTATTCTGCACCTTGAACGTCCGATCTCCGAAGCGCAATGGAAGCGAAGGATTCGGAAATCCCTTCTCCCTGCCCTTCGCACTCGCCCGCCTCAAAAGGTGCCGCAAATGGTGGAAGCTGCCTCAGGTGCATACTTCTGAACAAATCCGTGAGGCCGTTTCTATCGTCCCGATGCTGCTGATCTAATACGACGCAGTGTGATATGTCTAGAGGCGCTTGCCAGAGATGTGAGCAGGACTGGAAAGAACATCCTGAGGAGTCCCTGGATCGGTGGCTGCTCTGCTCAACGGAAGCCGAACTGACTGCCTCCTTCGCCGAGGGTTTCCGACGTACGTACTGGGCGTGGACAGCGCTTCTCCTCCAAATTGCGCAGATGGGATCGAATTTTATTCTGATAGAGACATGAGCTAATTCTGTAGCCCTCGTTCAGATTGACCGGGACCTATGTCGCACCTGGGCGGTGCATACCGAAGAGGGCGCGTTTCTGCTAAAACTGAACTACACAGAATGTGGTAGAAAGCTGATGGCGCGATCGACCATCCGGGACCTTTCCGAATTCGACGAACCCAGCGAAGAAGCCTCTTGCTTTGCATTTCTTAGCCAGCTTAGGGACGTCCTGTCTGAATGGGGCACTTTCTTCACACTCCACACGCAAAATTTGCTGGTGGATGCGGCTGACCTTCAGTGCATCCTCTTGAGGTCGGCTGACGGCAAGATCTGTGACAAGAATTGCACAATTCTGACCGCGCTTCGCTGCCTGTTCATCATTAACGACTTCTCTTGGGTCCAAAGCTTCATGACACATGGCAATCGGTACCTTCTGGAGTGGGACTTTGACCACTATAAGCGACTTCAACCTCCGTACGCCTTCGAGGGCAGTTCTGAACCAGAACCTTTCCTCGAAGTCTCAAAATGTCCGGACGCGGACATGCCCACTACCAAGGTCGACGAGGCCAACAACATTCGCATATTACTACAGAAAGCCTTCGAGTCTGCACAATCATTGCTCCTTAGAGGTCGACCAAAAGATTGGCCCGCTGCGTTTTACACGCTTCTCATCTTGCAGTTGGTCCAAACCATATTAAGCGAAGCTGCGTCCTTCACCGATGCCCTGGTACCAGCCGGGATAGCTACGCGCAACGCAATGTTGAACCTCGTGCAGCTCTTTTTGTATTGCGCGGGAGATACTCATCCACTGGTTGATGAACTCGACAAAGAGTGGTATTCACTCATTTTGGGTTCTGTCTCTGAGGTACGTAGTATCTCGGTACAACACGTATGTGTCTCGTCAAAGTGTGCGGGGTAAGTTGCTGAAGTGCTCTAAGAGTTGAATTTTGGATACAGCGAGTACTTGACTAGGACATTAATGTATTGCCTGTTTAAGAGTTATGCTGACTTCGTACCCTACCTTTAGGCACAACTCAGACATTATGGCGAGCAACACGACAGGTTCGCTCAGATGAGTGGGTCACTTCTACAACCTAAATCTCAGATACCCGACTATATACGTGGGGGGAGACTAAGTGATTACAGGAAGTGAAGACGATGTTGTCACCGACGAGACCGAGCTTGATGATGTTATCCGAACGCTGGGCTGGTATGCCCAAGGATTCGACTAAGGAATGGATATGTGGCCCTTTCCTGCCTTCATGAAGTCGCGTGCATCACGGCTCGCCTTCAGTGAAGGTGAACGCGAATCTCGTGGCGCTCACCCGCCAGGAACCTAACCTTCCAGAAGGGCCTGGCTCGCTATAGCAACAGGATACCGCAAAGACTCTGATTCTCAAAAATAAGGCAGGGCATAGGGCTGGGACTGAGGCGGTAATAGGTGCTCCACTTTTAGAGTTCTCTGATCCTTAGGTGTAGCATAAATACCCCAGCAAATGTTGCTACATAACCGCTTCCAAGATCTCCTGCAGTTGGCCAGTCTCCCACAGCGGCATCGGATAAGTCGGCGCCCAGAAGTCAGCCACAGCCCTCTTCGACAGTTTAGGGACCACATCACTTTCGACATCCAGCTCCTTCAAAGTCATCGGTAGGCCCAACGCTCTTATAATCATGTTCAGGAGATCCCCAAGGTCGGCGGAATCTTGGCTGAGGCCTCCGGCCACCTTCAGCATGCGAGCAGACTCTGGCTCTAACTGCAAGATTTCCTGGGTCTTATCTTGTTGATGCGCGATCTTGGGGGTGGAGGAACTGTGCTTGAGGTTATACTTCATAACCGCGGGGCACATTATGCAGCTAGTGATGCCGTGAGGCACACCTAATGGACCTGACTACCGTTAACACAGGATTCCTTTCTGACGCATGGCAAGCACAAACCGAGCTGATGTCCAATTGCATGACTCCCACCCATCGGAATGCCAGCCCGCACATTGTCCATTGCATGGATTACCGCCATCTGACATTGGTGCCTCGCTAGCACATCCTCAGCATGCGCTTTACACTTTAGCAAGCCTAGAACTAGAAGACGAAGACCCTTTTCAGCCTTCTCATCTGACACCGGCGTCGCGCTGAGGCTGCACAGAGCTTCGACGCAGTGATCTACAGCCCGGATGCCGGTCGACAACCAATGGTATTCCGGAGTCGTCAGGCAGAGCTCAGGGTCGGGATAATGAGCTTAGCGCCCGTGCCCGAGTGCAAGAAGCCGTGCTTGTGGTTCATGGAGTCTTCGGTGCCGCCGGCGAGCGAGAAGTACTCGCCGCCTGAAAGACCGGTCGGGATAGTGATGAGAGGGATGGTGGGCTTCTTGATGTCTTTTGGGATATTTCTGCTCTCTACCGAGTAGCAGGCGAGTTGCTTAGGGGCGTTGATGTCGTTGGCGAGGCACTGGAGTAATCAGCGGACGTATGCCATCTCGGGACGGTACGAAAACGACAAGCTTCGCCCCATCAGTTATACTGCCAGCCCCGATCGTAACCACACAGTCCGCCTTACGTTTTCGACATATCGCTGTTATCGAAAGTATCTCGGACCACGTCATGCCCTCGCGCACTCCGTCGACGTTTTCCTTGCCAAGCGCATCGACGAGCTTAGCGACGTTATTCGTTTTCCGCGCCAATGAACCGGAGGCGATAATGTACACTCGGGATGCATGAAACGCCTCCTTGATATGCTTCGCGCACGATTCATAGTAAGGCCGCCCGTATGAGATCCATGGGATGGGCAGATCGAGTCCCTCAACTGGAATACCAGCCAAAACGGCGCCGGGCGGTTCAGTGAAGGCTGGCTTGCATGTTTCTCTGACCTCCATCCTTCTGTGCAACGATCGAATTGTGAGAGTGACGAGTCTTCGTCAATGTTTAGCAAAGAAGCGTCGAGCATGCAAGCCCCTCATTTCCCCGCAAGCTAGCTTTCTGCACCGAAAAGGCTCGAAGCCGGCAACGGAAGCTGCCCTGTCGATCGATTATGAAAATTGGTACAAGTAGTCTATCTACAGTACGAGTTCTCGTCTCATTTACGCGCCACACAAAGGATGTGAGATGAGTTCGCTTCATGTGCATTACATCGATTATTCCTAGCGACCCGCCTATGCAATAAGTCCAACGCCCCAAATTCCTCACCTCTAGGAAACTAACTGTTATTCTTCGACTCAAAAGGTGTCCCTATACCTCACTCCCTTGCACCGCGTACTTACGCTTCGCCCTCCAGATCCGGCACCGGCTCCACTCTCTTCATCACCTTCGCAGGACTTCCCATCGCGACACTCCAATCCGGCACATCCTTCGTAACCACCGAACTCGCCGCAATCGTGCACCCCTTTCCAATCGTCACTCCCGGCAGAATAACCACATGCCCGCCAATCCAGCAATCATCCCCAATAGTCACCGGCCGCCCATACTCGACATTGTCTCGCCGGCTCTGCACCTCCATTTCGTGCGTCGCGGCGAAGATACTCACATTAGGCCCGAACATGACCCTATCGCCGATGGTTACGAGACTGCAGTCCAAGATCGTGAGGTTGAAGTTGGCATAGAAGCGGTTGCCGAGCGAGATATTGCAGCCGTAGTCGATGGCGAAGGGCGGCTCGATGAAGACGTCGGTGCCGACGTGGCCGAGGATGCGTTGCAGGCTCTCTAGGCGATCTTTGGCCAGCGAGTCGAAGTTGGGGTTTGAAGACGCTGGCGGGAAGTAGGTGTTGTATTCGTGGGCCCAGGCACGTGCTTTGAAGCGCGCGGCCGCGAGGTCGGGGTTGATGCAGTCGTAGCTGTGCAGGTTTGTAAGCGCATAATCTCAAAGTCTGGTGAGTGCAGAGTGATTACAGCATGCCGGATATCATTTTCTCGTACTCCTCGCACCATGGTACATGGTTGAGTTTTTTGGCCTTTTCGATTTCGTGCGGAATCTTTTCTATTGAAGCCATATCGACACGAATAGTCTATGACGGATGATTTTGTGATTGAGAAAACACCCTGGAAGAGTAAGAAGAGAACGAAATTCAGGTGCTCGGAAGAATGACGAAGATTTGTGTGGATATCGAAGAGTCGCGGTGTGGGATGTTGTCCGGCCCGACAACCTGCCAATCAGAGAACACCCTAAGACCAGGTCGTAGAGCTTGCGCCATGGCTACCCGGCCCGCGGCGCATGCTATATTGGCTCGACGTAACCTCAAAGCCTTAGACGAGAGAGAATGTCTCGGTGGCTAAGTCCTCATCCCGCTTACCGTCGACTAATTCCCCAGCCATCACATCTGATACATATGCGTCCCCAATCAATTCGAAATGCTTCCCTGTCTCTCTCAAAACAAAGCAAAGCGATCCCCCAAGGAAGATGCACACCAAGTCCCCAGGTTTGGCTCCAGAGGGTCCGACAATGAAGTGACCAGTGTCAGTCACGCCGAATGCCCGATTACTGACCACTTTATTTGTCCATTCAAAGAACGTCCACATTGCCGTGCTGTCAACACCAAGTCAGGCTCCGACAGCGTTTGCATGATGCCATTCATCGACCTCCACATCGGGGTCGTAGAAGGGATGGATAACGGCGCCCGTATCTTTCGTCTTCCATAGGAGCCGCGCTGTCTTCTCACAGGCTTCTTCGGTAAGCAAGTGAGGATCCCTGCGCCTTGGAAACATAATGGCCGTTTTCCAAGCATTTTCCCATTGGGTCCCATTAAGCGATTCGTAAAATGTATACATTTCGTGATTCGCTAAAACGTCCCCTACCCGTATCACTCTGCGCAATTTCCCAACACGTATACCTTTCACACGAAGAATAGCTGGCTGCGTGCTATTCCACCCAATCATGGGCCTAGAACGACCGCCACCGGTGCAGCCCTTCGAACTCCAGACCGTGCTGGGTATAGAGACGTATAGATTCAACGACGGCGTCCAGGACGACCAGGATGCTTTCCAGTCCGGGTGGCTGCGGTTTCCGAGGAGAATATCCAAACATCCATCCGTCTTGATAAGGAAAATGACGAGCCTCCTGAATAGCTCCTCCGCTGTTTGTGTATAATCCGGTACTAGTCTTTGATATTTAGGCTCGCAGATCCCCAGCAGAGAGAAGACTTTGTCTCGCACGTCGGAAGCTTGAAATTTCCACGTCTGATTGAGGAAGGTTGGTAGATCGCGACCACGCGTGTCAGTATTCCCAGGGTTTTGGGTACACAAAAACATGGTGATTGCAGGCGCTCTCTTCAAGGCAAAGATGTGTAGACCCGGCACCTTGTACGCCGCCATTGGTGATACCGACAAGTCTAATAACCATGCACAGACTCGTTGAAAAGTATTAGAATGTATCCATCGCTTCCCGCAACCGATCTCGTAATGTTTACGACAGCGGCCCATTTCGTCTGTGAAGGCTGAGTCCGTGCAATACCCCTGGGCGTGGAGTTCTTGAATGACCCAAACACGATGCCAGTAAGGCCTGTGGAAGAAGCCCCACAAACTGTCCCAATTCTTGGAGACTGCGTCGAAGCCGAAATTTTCGAATAGAAAATCAGGAGACTCGTCCCAAGGGTAGAACGTCAGAGCCGAGCCAAGTTCCTCGATGAGATCCATAGCCGTATTGCTATCATTGCTCTCTTTCCCGGTCCAGGCCAGAACGCGATCGGCGGACGAAAAGATCCTGTACATTGCTTGAATCTGCGTGGACTTCTCCGCTGAATCGACCTGATTTATGCAAACTGCGTCAATCCAAAGGACTCTTTCCTGCGTTTCGTGGCGTAGATATCGTAGTGCCACTTCCAGATTTCGGGTGACGCTGAATGTCGCTCCTTCAACTCGAATATCGACTTTGTCGTTCAGGTCGCCCCAGGTATAGGACAGCGCCTCATATTCCGGACCGTCGTCTAGATCCACGTGTTTGACGTTGCATTCGATCGGAGACGCCCACTCGCCCGGTAGGAGTGTGAGCAGACGAATCTCCTGGGTTGTTGGGGTCAGAGGCTTGTATCGGTATAATGCATCGCTAGTCGGCGTCGATGCCATGACCGCCGTATGAGGTTGTTAATATGCGTATGTAGTGGAGATACGGTTGTTGTGTGCCGTTGCTGCCTGGAGCGTAGTGACTCCCTTACCTAATATTGTTAGCCGAGCGTGCTTGAGGAGCTTGATTGGATGCACTGCGCCACCGAAGGAACAGTGACCATAGAGAGCTGAGGCATCATCGATGAGCTTGTACTAGCGCCGGCTAGACGATGAATATAGTCTTCTCCTCCATTCTCACATCATTATGAAACTTGTCGCGATCCGACAATGCATCGCCTTGAAATCGATGCTGATGCACTCCCTTGCCATCCACGGCACGGCTCCAGCCCATGTGCTCCAGGCCTCCAAGGGACATCATTCCACGCCAGCCTTCAGCTCTTTCAATGTCTCTTCCAGGCCTGCTCTTCCGCCCACACATATATCCATACCAAGAGCAATCTTCCCATACTGCATACCCGACACGCCTGTATTCCCCTTCTTCTCTCCCGGTGGGCACCAGCGCAAGCGAATACACTTGAAGTGGATCTGTTCTTGTATGGGTAGGTATAAGTGATTCCGGTGTATAGCCCGTGTTCTGCTGCGCAATAGCGATGAAAGTGACTTGGGTCGAAGGATTGATTATCTCATCTGGGCGGAAGGTTCCACGGACGAAACGCCAGTTCTGCGATGACATCCGATAAAGGCCGCTTGAGGGATCCGCATCAGAGAAGACGAAGAAATCATTCGGATGGAACGCACGTCCGCGAAAACTAATCAGGTTCTTCGAACCACGCGGTTTCCGACTCGTCATCTCGGGAAGGGCCTCCGCGGCTTCGCGAATAGCGTATGGATAGATAGAATTGACGTATCCGGTACGGAGGTGGCCACGAATCTCTACTTTGCCGCTTTGTTTCGTGGGTGAACCGGAGACGAAAGTACTGAGAATCTCGCATACACGCTCGATATACATGATAGCTGGTACCGTGTAGACGATCGGGACAGTAACCGCGACCCATGACCAGCTCGGTGCCAGACCCTCTTCATGGCGGACATGCTCGTTCTTTTCAAGATTGAACGCATCGGTTGTCGTCGGAGTATATTCGTTTGTATGTGAAATGCTCCATAGCAAACCAAGCCAGAAGTGCTGAGACCATAGACCCGCATAGTACTCCTGGTTTGTATGACCTTTAAGTGCCTGAGCAACCCCATCAAGAGCAACAAGCCGGTCAGAAGGCTTCGTCATGCCTCGATGAGTGTAATCCATGACAGCGTAGAACCAATGCTGCAACTGTCCGCGCAATCCAGTATCGCGGTCTTCAATCCCGGGTATGTTGAAGAGGTCCAAGTTGCCGTTTATACCTTTGCGGATTTCCTTCTGGTGCCCGATGTGCCGCGACATGCCGCCTTGCGGAGAGCGCTCGGAGCCGTGGCTGCTAAGGCACTCCCAGCGAATTTGAGATCCGTCGAAGATGAGCATTCGTGCGGAAAGCAGCTGTTCCTGCAACACCCAGGCTCGGCCGTACAGGGGTGGTTCTGGACCTCCCAGGCCTTGGCTTCGGCCGTATGAAGTGAACAAGATCCGGTGAAGTTTCTGTAATTCTGCTCCTGCTGTCCGAGGGTGTGGTAGCTCGACAATGAAGGGAAATTGGAGAAGACCGTCTCTATTCTGAAAGCATCCCACATCTCCTCCAGGAGCATGCGCCGCTGCAATCGTCAAGGTCGCGTTGCGATACACGTCACACATGGTCGCCGCTTCGGCTTCCCAGTCACTTTTTGAGTCCTGGATGATGCACAAACTGTCAATCCACACATATCTGAAGCCTAGCTTGCGCGTTGCGTGAACTGCATCTCGGAAGGTCTTCGAGAGCCGTACTGGGTCGATATTCCTTTGATGATCCTTGTAGTTCGCGATGAGGGTCCTGATGATGGGAATCAGCCCCCAGCAATGACTGAGGGCGACGTATCTTCGATCTGCGTTGTCTCCTTTGATGTCGTTCTCGCTTTCTATAAGTCGAACAACGTCATTGCTGACGTCGATGAGCCTTGTAGGCACGAAAGGCGTCCCAGTCGCAGCACTTGACTGTCTGCATTTTTCATCCTCTGATAAGCAACGCCTGAGCCAGAAGGAAGCCAGCTCAAATGTGGCATCCGATCCTGTGCTGATATTGTCCTGTTGGGAAGCACGATCCAGGGTCGACGCAAGATCATCTAAAAGGAATCTTAGATAGGTCACGGCGAACTGCTTGATTCCGCTCACCATCAGTAATAAGGCCGCCGACCGCAGCAAGTATCCGCTTAGGGACACGCGCTACCTTTTCGGCGCTGTTCGCTGCGAAGAATGTGACGGAGAGGACGGGATGAGGGCCTTTATTTGGATCGATATCAAGTACGATGTCCAGAGGCTCGTCATCATTTGCGAGAAGGCTGTCGTGCTCGTATCTGGTGGGTGTATAGAGAATCGCGCGGCATATCGGGCATCGATGATCAGAGGAGTGCTTCAGCTCCCGCATGCTGCGATGAAGCACGGTTTCGTAGCGCGTCCAACGAACATCTTCGCACGATCTGATGGGCCCGGAAACCTGCACGAGGGAAATGACGGATTCCCAGAAGAGTTGGCATTGATGACAGAACATGACGCGCTTGTGGTTGGGAGATGCGGAGCGCAACGACCAGCTGAAGTATCTTGAGGTGAACGGGCTAGTCTCGACTGGGATTAGCTGCAAATCCAACTCGGCATCCTCAGGTCCAAATTCATAATTTCTTTACGAAGGAAAGGACTCGTGCAACATTTTTTTATGCTATCTACTAAGATCCCTCGTTTATTATCCAACCAAGCCCGCCAGTGCAAGACTGACAAAGTTCAGGCCAGATCATTCGCCGACAAGACGGAAGATTGGTGCTAGGCGCCACGGTACTCCGACAATCCCAACATAGCTACAACATCCTTGTACTCCTCCATATAAACCTCTCCAGGACTACAGCCTCCCCGATACGACACAGTATCCAATATGACTTCCTGGTATATCATGTTAAATGCGAGGACCGACAAGACGTACAATACCGCAACTTCCCCTCATGAATTTCTTCCTTTCAGTCGCCGACTCGCAAAGCAAAGAAATACGACAGTGAGACAACAAGCAGAAGAGACGACCGCAAAAGGTAGGTCGAAATTAGACCAAAACAGAGCCACAGAACGATCAAGAACTTTGGTAGAGGGTCAAGAAGCGTGAATCGTTGGGCAAGCGCCGCAATGCGCAAACGATTGAGCTGTGGAAAAAGGCCGAAGATGATCGTGTGGCACATTGGGAAAGCGGCCAATGTAGTGACGATGCCTCGGACGTTGAGCTGAATTATCAAAGCGTGCGGTCGACGAACAACCGGGCCGAACAGCATCTCCAGACGCAGTATCGAGAGGAGACTTAGGCCGCCAAAGACAACACCGAGTACGCTGATAAGGACTAGCTGCATGAGCCGGTTCGAACGTCCAGACTTTATCGAAACGACGACCCAAACCACGATAGTGGGAAACAAAATATCAAGGGAGGTATTGACAAATCGGCCACCCATCATCCGCTGCGGATCCGAAGATAAAATGAACCGATGCGTACCGAGGAAACCAGTCGTCAAGGCCAGACTGAGGAGCATCCACTCTCGAAATGATGAATAGACCATGGCGGAAAGCGTGAGTCCGAGAAACAGGGCTAATTTGGTTTCGGAGCCCCTCAAGATGTCTTGAAGACGCTTTTGTCCTGTTTGCACATGCGAGGATGGGGCTGGACTGGGCTGCCGCTCAAGAAGATGCCGCGTCTTCTGTCCATTTCTGCAGCAGGAAGTCCGACTTCCACAGGATCAATCGGCACTGTTCCGGACACCTGTTCATTCGATAGCTCGCGATCGGATTGCTCGAGGTCGCATTCAGCGTGCCCGTTGCGACCGTCGTAAGCAGAGCGCCTAGCTCATGCAATTTGCAATCCGGCTCTAGCGCGCAATTGAGTCGAACAGCCATTTTCTTTTCGTTGGCGGCGGACGCACTTTGATACGCATGGCTGACGAGCATCGAGTGGAACGAAGCGGCCGTATCCATAGCTTGGAACACGTGCCGCACGATCTCAGATGGAACCATTGCCTCGGTTGAGGAGTCGGTCTCGCGAGAGATACCCAGCTTCTCAACTTCACGGCTGAGTTGGTCAACGGTTGCGGCCGCCTGAATAGCGAAGTCCTTCGCATAAACAGCGCTGGATGGAGCGTCTGTGTCCATCTTAGCAAGGAGTTTTCCAAAGTCCTTCTTGAAGTCGTCGAACGAGTTCAGTTGGTACTGCATCCAGTACGACGAGTTACTCGCAAAGTCCACGGCTTCCGACCCGGAGTACGCGATCTGCTCAAAAGATCCGTCAATCGCCCGCGCCTCAATCCTCAGCCTGACTTGATCAGCAAGCCCCAAATGATCCAAGATATAGTACGGCGAGCCCTTAGATCCGGAGAATTCCCTACCGCAAGAGAGTGGTATCCCAACGAAGGCGCGCATTAGTGATGCTTAAGCGACTGTCATACGTCTATTTGAAGTATCGATAGAGAATGTGGGCTATGCACAGCAGCGAGTGTGCGGGTTCCGTCGACATCTGCTGGTGCATATCGCAGGTAGGATTGCTGGGTTGAAATTAGCTTGTCGAATGTCTTGCCACGAAACGAGTGCAAGTCTGTTGCCCAATGTGAAGGGAGACTGTAGTACGCAGCGCGCCCCATTCTACAGCGTGCTTACTTGTACTTGTTGCCGGAGGCCATTACAAGATGGCGGCGAAGATGGCGGCGAGAGGAGGGACGAAGAGGTATGGCATAGCCCGCACACAGCCAAAATCTTCAACTCATCTCCCTCAGAACACCCCCAAAGTCGCTCCTTCCCTCTCTGTACCGACTTCAAGCGCTCGGCCCACCCACCCAGCACGCACCCACGCACCACACTCGCAACCACACCTCTCGCCCACTCTTACACCCCGGCCCTATTGTATGCGTATATATATCCAATAAATCAGCATACTCCTAATTCAACTTGGTAGAGTGGTACGAGTGCGCGATATTAGTCTAGGTCTAATGCAAACCTCACTCCGAGACCAAGTTCGAATACCACCGGCGTTTGAATCTAGGGTTCGCTGTGGGAGAGACGTAGCAACTAGCCAATGAGCTAGCAATGCGAACTCTTTTTTTGCGTTTCTTTTTGCCTTTTGTACGCATTTCTTCTTCTCTTTTTTTTGGGTATTCGGGTGGGGTGGCGTGTTTGGACGGGTTGGTCAAGGCAGCAGAGGGAAGGGTGGCTCGTGCGTTGATACGATGGGTGGGCTAGGAAGGAAGTGCGGATTGCAGGTGTGTGCAGGTAGCCTCATTGCCCTATGTTGCGGATGCCTCAATGCATGGCCTCAATGCTAATAGTAGTACTTCGATTATGTTCCTTCAAGATCTTTAGATCAGTCCTAACCGTAGCTCAAGTTGCAGAATTGCAAGCGTGCGCATGTTGAAGCGCCTCGTTCTTTACATGTCTATATATATCTCTTTCTATGTGGGGTATCACGCTCTTCTTCAGCTTGCTTCTTTGCTCTCCAGAACCTCAATCGCCCCTCCGACCAAATGCAAGCTTCCTGTGACAAGCACCATGACCTCTGCATCAGCTCCCGCCTCCTCTGCCCACTCGCGCGCGAGGGCCCTCGCTGTGCCAATGGCCTCCTCGATAGTCTTGAGGACCCTGACGTCCGCGGTGCTGTCTATCTCTGCCCATGTCTTCGCGAGCGCTTTCTGAACGGCGAGCGTATCGACGTCTTGCTGATTCGTATTGATCGACACAAGGTCGGGCTTGTACCCTTCGCTAAAAGTTTGGTTGGTGGTGAAGATGACGTGCGTGAAAGGCGACGCGGAGCCCGAGGTAATACCTGTCTGCAGCGCCGTATATAGGGCTTTGGCAAGAGCGTTCGCATCTCGAGTCTGCTGATTGAAGATCAGAATGCGCGGTGTCTTGGATACCGATGGGGAAGCCGCTGCGCAAGCCATCCGTTCCGCAAACCAACGTCCAGTCACTTCGATGCTTTCCAAAGTGTGGCCACCGTCAATGTGCCAGGCCACATTCTTCTCGCGGCGGACTTCGCACCGGCCTGGCCACCGCACTTGCTCCAGTCCTCTGACGAATTCGGGTGGGAGAGGAATGCACGGGGAAGCCGTAGGGTCGGGGATAGACGTGTGCCCGAGGGCGCGAAGGTGGGCTGCCGCCACCGCTATGGCGACTGATGCATTGGTCTTCTGGAACGATGCCGACAGCCCAAGCTTGACTTCGTCATTTGCGAGGGATGGGTGGACGCCAATCACATGCAACATTGTCCCCTTCTCCGCCGCCCTCTCCTGTAGCACGGTGATAGCCTCCTCATTCTGCGGTGCTGAGAAGGCAACACTCCCTGGCTTGAAGATTCCTGCTTTATGCCACGCGATTTCCGCAAGGGTAGAGCCCAGCATTGCCGTGTGATCTATTCCCAGGCTCGTTACTGCCGTAACGGTGGGCTTTGTCAGGATGTTTGTGCTGTCATACTCCCCGCCAATTCCGCACTCTATCACTGCCGTATCCACGCCTTCCTCCAAGTATGCATGCAGCGCCATGAGCGTGAGGTATCGGAAGTAAACGGGCTTTGTCGGCGCGTCAGAGGGCGTATTTGCAGTCTTCGCCGCGGCCTCGAGGCGGTCCCATACTTCAAAGAAGTACTTCGCAAACCTCTCCTCCGATATAGGCTCGTTGTCGATCTGTATTCGCTCGCGGACGAACCGTAGATGGGGCGAGGTGTAGAGGCCAATCTTAGTGGGCGGCGTATGCGTCTCGGCGGTGGATGGAAGATATTGTGCGAGAATTGACGAGATGAAAGCGCTCGTGGAACCTTTGCCTTTTGTCCCGGCGACGTGTATAGGGTTCAATCGATCGAAATCCGAGGGCTACCGCGAGCTGTCAGCAATTGACATGCAGTTGGGCTCGCTGGGAGCCGCACACCTCATATCCGATCTTTCGACACCACTCTATCATTTCGGGCATCGCCTGTTTGTTCATGCCCCTTCCCGACTTGCGTATAGCATCGACGATGGAGAAGTTGGACTGCAGTGTATTGAGCGCCGTAACGGCGGCCTGAAGAGTCATCAGCGCGCTCGACTGGAGGCATTCTTGAGCTTACCGCATAGTCCCGCTTCTCCATGGCGGCTGTGCTGTGATACGGGCGCGCAATTGATGCAAAGCGTCGGCCGGACAGGCGCCGACAGGCTAAAAACATGAGGGCATGATGCTGGAATTGTATGCGACGATTGAAGCGTTCATGTTTTCCGTCGAAGCTCCGCCTGTAGCCGATGACGCAAGCGCACGGCCCATCTGGAACTCAACACCACGAGCTCAATACCAAGACTCCTCTACGAACGTATCTCCTTCTCAGCACATGGTCTCCCCGCACCACAACCCAGCCCTCCACCCGCCCCACCCCCCGGTGTCCCTGGAGCTGGGCCTGTACCCTCATCATTGCGAGAGTTTTGCTCCTTGACCCCCCGCCAGCGGACCGCCTTCGAAGCCATGGGAAGCTCGTCACACCTGTTCTTCATTTCCAATGTAGGAACGGCCCGCTCAACGCCTCATGTAGTAAAGTTACCGTTGTAACACCTTGAAGGGGACCGTGAGTCCTAGGGATATACCATCGCCGGCAGCGGGTGTGTTTTCCGATACCCATATCCACCTACCGCTTCGGCCTCTTCTATTTCAGGATTACCTCTTTCTGGACTTTGTTCATCCGAAAATTAACCTCACCATTCGACAACTTATCCGAATGCGCCAATCTGCCAAGCAAGTCGTTTCCTAACCCGCCGCGTATCAGATCCATCTCCATATTCCCGGTTTCGGTTAGCGTAAAACGCATTGAAGTTTGACGTGGGAGGAACCAGCATCAACCAAGGCCTAGCTGCGCCCCGTCAACATCTGGCGAAGCATGCGATGCCTCGAAACCTCGGAGCTCCTCCGCGTTCCTCAGGGCGTTTTCTGTCAACATTGCAAGACGGCCTTGGCCGGCGTCTTGTACATGAGGGCGCGACTGCACCACTCCTACAAATGCCCTCATCGATTTGCGTCCGTAGCAGGCCTGAAGAGCAAGGTTTCAGTGGTTAGCCAGGCGAGACCGCGGTCACCAGGCCTGCCGTGGAAGACACGGCATTCTCCCGATGCGCCAAACGCACCCCTATCACAGATCCCAACCAGGGCACAAACGGCTGCAAGATATCGATAGTACCATGGGCTTCAATCCCTCGGTATCACCCAAGCTGAGCATGACTGCTTGTGTTCCCACCAGGGCCATGTCCGCCTCATAACTCCAATTAGGCAATATTCTAGTACACTCATGCAATGTATGCAATGTAACAGGCTTTCTCCCTGATTGCGCAACCATGCTAAATCTTATCACGGTCTCTTAGACTGTGTACCTGTCGATCAGTGCGCGAGCCACCAATATTCACTCCCTACCACGCCTACCTATCGTTCGGAAATCACCATCGGCTGGATCATCACAAAGGCGTTACAGAAGCGGGCCGATCTCATTCTTTTTCCGGAATTAGAAACCAAGAAGCTGCACCTTCCGTGAGCGTCACACGCCATTTGCTTGCGAGTGCGACTTCATCAGTCTCATCCTGATTCGGCAACGCGTTTCACACGCGATCCACATCCTTGCCTCGCCAAAGTCCGCAGCCTTTCGGTCCGGCTTTTTGTTCGTCCATTCATATGAGCCTTTCGAGGCCCCGACCTTTGCTCCCGTTCTCCTCCGCCGGTCCAGCTCGAGCCCATCGTCGTCGTCCCAATGGCGTGCACACTTTCTTGAGCCTCTGCTGTGCAGTCTTCAGCATGGGGCTGAGCAGCAGATATTTACCTCTGGCAGATGTCACTTGAGGAAGACAAGGGAGCCAAAGCAGGTCTTTGTCTTCAAAGCGGCACCGGTTGTGTGCAATTGTGGTATGTTGACATCTGAATCACATTGCTTTGTGCACTCTTTGTCCTTCGTATGACTTGGCTTGACTGACGCCTACAAAGAAAGCCCCCGCTGGTTCGAAGAAAAATATTCCCAACCTGTCTAAAAACATCACAAAACGCAAAAGACAACACCATAAATTGGCTAGACCAAGATCATATTTCGATTCTACTTAGTCTTAATTTTTAAACTACCACATCACTGCACCAGCAATGATGTTTTCTCCAACAACCTTTTCTGCCATCGCATACCTCGTCTTCTTCATCTTTGGCATCGCCGAGCCAGTCCGGGCACACCCATTCTCCCGCTTCACACAGAACATCCAAAGCCGTGGCGCCCGTCATGCGGCCCACGTCGAGCATCGCGAAACCCGCCTCCAACGCCGTGGCCTACCAGGTGCGGTCTATATCTGCACTGACCGCAACTTCCGCGGCGACTGCGCCTGGATAATGCCCGACAACCAATGCCATATTCCCGGCACTGGCGCCAATGCACCAAAGTCAATCGGCCCCGATCCAGGCGGCTCTTGTGTCTTGTTCAAAAAGGCCGACTGCACTGGGAATCAAGTCCTGACTCTCAGATTCCCGGGGCTCGACTGGGCGATACCGGAGTTTGGGGGTCTCAAGTGTCTCGCAGACGGGCAGGGCGGGACGGGCAACGGCACCGGGATTGTGCAGAATGGAGGCACGGTTGGTAGTGGGATCCTTCCGGCGGGTAACAGCCAGGCGGACCCAAGGCTAGCGGGTGGCACTGGCAGTGCAGAGCGGCTGAAGCTGAAGCAGATCCTCGATGGCATGGAGGAGGATGGATTCAAGGAGGGTATGATAGGGCTTGAAAAGGGCCATTACTATTGAGCAGGGGCTCGATACGGGACTGGGGCTGGACGGACAGGTACTTCATTCTCATTCTTCCTGTATCCTACTATTTCAACATTTAGATTGGGCATTTCCAGTAGCTCGCGCAGAGCATTCCAGATGCTTAAGTTTTAGAAGCAATTCCTTCAAACCCTATCCGCTTGTATAGAACTTGTGCGAGGCCCGCGCTCATCGTTCCTCTTCGCTCAACGGGGCGGTAATATTTACCGCGCGCCAAAGTAATCTCCATTCCTCTGTCAGCTCTATCTCTTGTTGTCGTTTTCACACGCGTACGCGCGACATCTATTCCTGCATCCGGACAATCGCGTCACTCCCGTCTAACACTGCCCAGTACAGCCTCCAATCTCATATCCACCAACCTGTTCTTTGGCAATGATACTTAGTAGCCCGCGCCTAGGCTCTTATAACCCGATGTTCCTCTGCGCCCCTGCATTAATCATCCACCTAAGAACCTGCCTCCCCAGACCAGCTCTCCCTTGGGTATGCGGAGGAAAACTTGGGACCCGACGGAAGCAAAGCAACGCTTACTGGGGTCTTACCGAAGTTCAAAGGATCCGAAACACAATGAGGAAGGAAGGAACACTAAACGAGACCATGGTAACAAGGAGAAGAAAGTAAGAAAGAAGCCAAGCAGAATTAGGCCAGTGTGCAAATCGAACAAGTAAGCGATGAGATCCGAACCAGAGCGTACTGAACTATACCAGTCCAATTGATACTATCTACTGGTGCACTTGCCGGTCAAACGTCGCGCAAGTATGCGAATAAGAAAACCCGATACGCTATGCTATCTATGCCAATGCGGATGCAGATGCCGCTGATGCCGATACCAGACCATATCTGCAGACCAAGTAAGCATGAAGCACTCTCGAATCGCAACGCAACACTCACCATCCACGCAAGCAAGACACTCCTCCTCCACAAAATCCTCCCACGCTACACAACCCGAGCCGACCCCCATCTCACCTACACCGCACACTGCTCCGGCGCGAGAGTCTGTCGAGCCATCAACTTCCGGCCACCCTGAGGTCCTGGCGCATACATGGTTGCCGCAGCAATCGGAGTGGTGCTGGTAGTCGAGGGCCTGCGGTCTTCGTCGTCGGAGCCGAAGTCCGAGTCCCACTCCCAGACCCAGTGCCACCAGGGGGGATAGTTGTCGACGCCGTCGCCAGGCAAGGTGGGTGGGCGGTTCGGAGGCCAGCTTGGGCGGGGTTGAGGCCTGGGTGGGGGGTTGCCGTTGTTTCCTCCGTTGTTACCGCCGTTATTGCCGCCCTAAAGATTAATGTTAGTGTGTGATACTTACCATGGGTCAACATATGATTGGAGTGGATAATCGTAACGAGGAGTGGTAAATTGTGTGACGAGGACCGAGGATAGAGATGCCACGGCCCCGGGCTGCTAGCAATGGCGGGGCTGAATTCTTCGCCGACTGATGAATGAAGCTTTTCCTTCCCGACGGGATGAAGGGGCCCAGCTGGAGACGGATGTAGGACCGGACAGTTCGGAGCCGAAGACCAAAAAGTGGAAATCGACATCACTCTTGCCCATTAGTTAGCCACAGCGTTATTGAGAGGGAGTGACTTACCAGATAGAGCCCATGTTACAAAAATTCCCCATGGTGTCCAAATATTCCAGCCATCCTCGTTGTCATATATCACCACTCATCATATCCGGTTCATGGCCTGGGCCGAAGCGCAGACATACTCACCCAAAAGGCAAACAAACTTCAGAGCACAGAGCTTTCGAGCATAGAAGAGCAAAAAGAGAGTAGACATACCGTAGTATAGTTCGCGTTCTGCCAAACCACAACGCGATTGGGGCCACCTCCAGCTTGCGTGGAGCTGCCGTTCATTGGCGTCGTGCACTCCCCGGCTCCTGCTGGAACAGGAATGAAGAGCGTCTCGTTGCTGCAACGGCAGTCTCGACCAAATTCAACGCCGAAGTATTTCCACGGCGCGCCCGCGTGGCTGTCGCAGAAAGTCTTGCACCCTTCCTGGGTCAGGCCTGCGACGTTCTGTTCGTAGGCTTCGGTCCCCAAGAGACGGGTACCGTTGGTGGCGGTGGCTACGAAACAGCCCAGGTATTGATTCGGAGGAAGCTCTGTTGTGAGTGGCTTTGAGAATGTCAGCAGGCTGCTCAAGGCAACGTCAAAAGACAATGCTCTGTGTGCTCGAAATGCTCTGTGCTCTGAAAAGAAAGAAATGAAATGGAAAACAAAGGAAAGCTGCATGTTAGTGTCCTGCCCTAGCTCACTGTGCTAAGCACTAAAGCAAGAGCAGAGGTAAAAAGAAGACAGGAGTAGTACTCTCTCAGCGTAAAAACGAGTGACAGAGAGAGATGGCCTTGAAGATCCAGAGAAGGAGGACTGCATTCATATATACTTCATCTAGATATGGCACCCCCGACGAACTTGTTTGCCGACTCCGCAAGGAATGGATGAGCCACCGTGAAGAATTCGAAACAATGATCTCGTGGGTGTTCCTCCCCTCCCCAGATTGTCACCCTGATGGCTTAAGATCACCATTGCGAACCAATGAGCACGGACCTCGGGCCGAACCGGCGGGGTATAGGAAAGGAACATGTAGGTCGGTAAGTAGACGAAAGAGCCGAAAGCCTCACCCTGGGTAGTAGTGTTCATTCTTCTGGCGCATCGCGCGTCTCAGCGCGGCGTTCCGTAGGCAGGAGTAACACAGAGAGATGCTTCTGTGACACAATGTTCGCGGAATGCCTCCGCATTTCTGATCTGGAGCAACGGTAAATCGTCGAGTGTTGTACAAAGTCAGGCTCGGAGCGTTGGAATCTATGGAGTACAGCCCAAATGGAATTAGCGCGGGTTAGCAGCTTGGCACGATAGTTCGATGTCGAGTTCCTCTCCACCATCTTTCTTAGATCGGACACGACTTTCGCACACCACCCTTGTTTTGCCGTCTTGTTTAGTGTGACAAGCGCGGAGATGTGCACTGATCAACGTCCCAAAGAAAAGGTGCGAAGGGATGTCCAAAATAACACGAACTCACTTAGGAAGCAAGCTACTTCTGCCCTTCCTTCGGCTGGCCGACCCTACCAATGGCATGTAAGCTTCCTCACCACGGGTTTTTTCAGCATAGATATCGAATTCTCTAGCGTGGTAAATGACTATACTTCTAAATTGAGAGGTCATGACAAGCATCTGTGTCGGCGTCAGGAACGCTCAGCCTGGAGGCCTCCATTGTGTGTAACCGAGCAGGAACGAACTCAACGTTACAGCTTGGGAGTCATACCTTGCTCAGCATCGACACGATGAAAGTCCACCTTCCAGGGGAATACCATCTCCCCCATGCGCTGAATGCGCCCCTGCAGCTCTGCTTTCTTAACCACATTCGCTTCTCGCTTCATGCCCTCGCAAGTCCAGCATTTTCTCCCTAGCTCTTCATTCCCGCCCTCCTTTTCTGCACGGCTGAAAGGGAACCCCTCGCCATCTACCCACTCCATGCTCTCAAAACACGTAACATGCACATAATGCCCGCATCCATGTAATCTCCAAGCCACACCCTCCCTCCATACCCACGAGTTCATCGCTCCCAAACAGATCCGGCACTTCACGTTCGGGGGCGGCTTCGTAACAAACATCATGGAAAGCCACAAGAAATCTTGTCCGAGCGGTGGGAGAACGGGCTCTGAAGCAAATACCACGGCGCTATCCCTCTGCCTGTGCTTCGCTTCGCTTAGTTCCGGGCGTTGTTGTGTAGAAGCAATGCTCGAGTGCTTTCGCCGCGGTGCTACGAGGCCGAGCGAGGAGCGCAGCCTGTGGACGCGCGCTGCGGCTTCGATTTGGCGCTGGATGAGCGCTTGCTGTGTGGGTTCGGATATTGCTCGGCATTGCTGTGGAGCAGAACGGAGGTCCAGAGGGAAGGTGCTGGGATTCAGGAGCTTCGGGGGAGCGTTCTCACTGTCGCCGTTGGGATTAGTGGCTGTGGGCTGGAAGAGCTGCGTTGAGTAGCGCTTCAGGAAGGAGATGCCCATGTTTGTTGGAGGGAGTTCGAAGGTTTTTGTATCGGCGGTCGGAGATTGCCCTGGTGTAGACATGATGATGGAAAAACTGAGAGAAATATAAAGAAATATTCTCAACGTTCGAAAAATCAATTCTGCGCTTTTCTCAACAGTAGCGGACGGCTTCTGGTTGAACCAAGTTACTTGAACCGGCGGTCGCTCTACGTCTCAAGAAAACCAAGACTCTCGCCGCGAGACTGACTCCACTCCCGCACACGCGCCGGCAATATGTCTTACTCCCAGCCTGAGTCCAAATGTATCACCCGTCCCTCCTGTGGGCGTGGAAGTCCCACGTAGAGCGAATCTCAAACCCGCGTAAATCATCCCGCTCAGCACCCAACACTGCCATAATTCGGTACGGTTCCAAACCGCGCCACTAGTGGCTCCATTTCTCCAATCTGTAGGGCTACGCCTTCGCCCGACTCATCGCACTGTGTAAAATCGCGCGGCTCGACTGCAACTACTTGTCTCTGCGCGGCATCATGCCACGCATTAGGGGAAAGCAATTCTGGCCTCGCCCTAACCACATATTCATCTAGCATATCCACTGTATATGCCCTTTTCTCCCCACCTTCTTCGTCGTTGGAAAAGCCAAATCTGCCTTCATGCTCGTCCCTGCTGCCACAGCAACCAAGCCATAAGAGGAGGAGTTGGAGGAAGAAGACGATCGTTTGGGCGAGTGTGACAAAGAGGCCAAGGCAGAGGATATTTAGGACGGTACTATAGAAGCAGATGGCGTAGAGGGTTGTGGATGGTGACAGGGCGGTGGGTGGGGCTGGTGTTGGCGGCATTCTGGAAGTCCACCAGACAGCCAAATAAACGCAGTGAGAACATTTCGAAAGGATAGACTAATATAAGAATCTCAAATTAGATGACATTGTGAAATTGCTATTCAAGCTGGAGTGAGGAATCTGTATTCGTAGAGCGCGACTCGCACAATGCAGGGGTTGTGGCTCACCGTCTCCGCCTTCAGCCACGCCTACTACCCCGAACGACTTCCTCGTAACTCAGTGGTGCTTCCTCGCATTCCTCCACCTCGTCCCGCCTTACGCATGCCACGTATCCGTCCTGCGGATCGTATGGCAGCATACTACCCACACTATCCCGCTCATCATACTCGAAAGCCCCAGCACCCTCAACATCGTAGTCCTCGTCTTCCATGTCATCGCCGCTGCCGAACAACATGAACTCAGCGTATATCTGGAAGACAAAGATGAAGATGCCGAAGCAGATGAGGAGGAAAGGGGGAGAGACGTTGAGGTCGATGATGGAGTGGGATTCCACTGTGTTAGTTTGGGCAACGGATTCATATGGAACGGATGGTGGCATCGCGGCTGTGGGCGTAGATGGTGACTTGATTTGCAAAAGGAGTAAGGGGGTTGGGAGAAGGAATAGTAGGAGAGATATAGAGCAGGGCCTGAGGATGGGAGGTGTCAAAACAATGTATAAGAAAGCATTGTTGAGGCGACCGAACAACGTAGTCTCATCAATTGCATACGCCGGCCTGTTCGATGGGCGTGATGCGAGGGACGAATGGTCTTGAATGGTGAGTTTAGTTTCAGGAAGTGGCGGAGAATGGCGGGCGTGTACGTCGTAATATTGGTACAGAATTATACACAACCTACAGTGTACCCGGATTGTTGCTCTTCAGCCCCAACCCCATAGGCGCTTGAGAGTGTCCCCTATTGTCGCTTGTCCGGCCTCCCTCCTCTTCATTCGATTTATGCGCTCCTCGATGAACGTCTCTTCGACCTTCTTAGCCATGCCCGTCTGCGCTCGCAGCTCTCCTAGCAACGCCTTCCGCTCAAATTCCTGATCTTCGGGGGGTATCTCTGCCAGCTGCTTCTCGTACCGTTGCCGCGACTCCGGCTTGATGTGTCTCCAGACCTCGGCGTCGTCATCGTCTGGCCGATTTGTTTCGGATACGGGTGTGGCAGTTAGGAACTTCCCCGCCATGGCGCGCGCAACATTCTGCTTCGATAGCACACTTTCAAACTTGGGTATTGGTCTGCCCTCCTCCTTCGCCTTCTCAATCTGCGCCTCCTGCTCCAGCATCTGGTGGTACAGCTTGTCCGCGTGCATTTGTATCCTCTCGCTGTCTTCCGGGCTCCGTGCGTCCATAGTGAGATAGCCCAGCGCCTTGAGAAACTTGGACTGCACGTCGTAGCAGCGATTGAACTTCTGCGACTCTGCTCGACATAGTGTAGCTGCTTGCCAAAAGCCCGGGTTCCTGAAGCAGTCGAACTGTGCCATGTATTCGAGCGAGCAGTTTTCGAGGGCTATGCGCCCAATTTCTGCTTTTCGGTCGTTGTACGCGTCCACTATATCGCGAAGTTTGTCCTGCTCGGTCTTGCCTTGATCTTCGAGGACTTGCTGGGGAACGTAGTTTTTCCAGAGGTGTGCATATCGGCCGTCTTGGAATTGCGATTGCGGGGGTACGGCAGGTTGTAGTGGAGCTTCGGCCTGTGTCTGCTCGGGCGCATGAGATTCGGCGGGCTTTTGGGCGGGTTTGGAGGGCAGTGAGGGTTTGGGGCCAGTCGGGGCTTCTTTCTCGAGGAAGTCGCGCAGAGACGGGTCGAGCTTATCTTTGGAGGCGGAGCTGTCGCGGCCACCCCAAAGCCAGCCCATTGTTACTTGAAACCAAATAGGGCCGCGGGGAGGAGAATTGGGGCATGGGAACTGGAGTGGCTGGTGGTGGTGAGGCTTGAGCTGGCGGAAGAACCATGGCCCGCGCGTCCAGGCCCAAGCTTTGCACGTGCCGCCGCCCTAGCGCGTCTTCCTCGGAGCCACAACGGTCAACACCACCACACGACCTCGATCAGAACCAACCCACAATCCTTGCGCCTTCGAGATGGCGCCGATTGGTATGTACTCTCATTATAATACGGCCTTACTGTAGCTTTGAGCTAATACCCTCTAGATCGCCACGAGCGACGGCAGCAGCGCGTGCGCGGCGCTGGGTAGGCCTTCCACCACTCCGCACTACCATTCCCTATATTGATTGCTGCAGACCATCCTCAGTCCAGGCGAGCTTTGGCTTCAACATTGCGGGCCTCGCAAAAGCGCCAGCGAAACAGACGTCGCTCCCTCCGCAACGCTCGTCGCGGCGGACGCCAGTCCACAAGACACCACGCGACGCGAATGGATCCGCACAACGTAATCGAAGCGCATCTGTTCAGCGAAGCAGCAGCGCGCAGCGACATATTACACCCAGGCAAAACACTGTGACGCCGCAATTGGGCAAGAGGAAGCGGGGCTCGAAGGATGCGCAGGCCAGCGAAGACGACGGACAGCTAGACGAGCTCAGCCCTGACCGGCCTGAGGAAGTGCACTCGATTGAGAAGAGCAGGAGAGTTCCTGGAATGGTGTCGCCCATACGTGAAGAGGTTGACGATATCCCGGATGAGCTTTCAATACTGGAAGAGGGGACGATGAGCATCCGGAAACCAGGCCCCAACCCGTCGGTTGTCGCTGGAGGAACGCCTGCTTCTGTGTCTGAAAAACCACGCGACTCCTCTGGTAGCGCACGCGAGAAGACACCCATTGCCAGTCGAATTAGCAGTATGTCCATCAGTTCGCATACTGCAATGGTGCGGAGATCCAAGTCTACCGAACCGCCGCCAATCACACCAGCTATCCTTCCGAACGGTCGACCGAGGCTATCTTCCGCTTCCCACTTTGGGCCCGAGTTTACGACTCCGAGCGCTGTACAAGATGGCGACGACGGTGGTGACAGCGAGGACGAGTTGTCGCCTCCACAATTGAGCGGTGCCACTCCGCGAGTTATTGCCAAGGCGAAGCCGACCCAGCGTAGCGTACAGGATGACTCAATGGAGCTGGATGAGCTTTCGTCACCGCCGCAGCCTACATCTACCTTGCAGACCCCCCAGCCGGGACCACCAAAACAAGCCAAGCAGCAGCAAGAGCCGAGCGAAGCGCAACGAGACAAACAACAAGCTGCCCCTCCCCCTGCCAAGCGCGGCAGGCCTCGACGCGTAGTGATGGACGAAGAAGATGAAGTTCAGGCAACGCCGGCAGCCAGCAAGCAGAAGAAGACGAGTCTCGACGTACAAGAGGAGGGTGATGCTTATGACACGGCTGACGAGATTTCACCCGAGGCAACGCGAACGAAGCCATCCCTTACGAAGGCTGTGCGTCGCGGGAAGGAGATAGCTGACATCTCTTCCGCTGAGGAATCGGACAATTACTCACCGGAGCTGGAAGAGGAACCGGCAGAACCCGCTCCACGCCCTGCCTTAAAACCGAAACCAGCCAAAGCCTCAAGCGACAAACCGCCCCTGAAACGTCCGAGGTATACCGGACCGAAGCAGGCAATTTCCGTCATGCGCATCAAGGGCTCAACCGTCAGGGGAGTGACAGTCGCCGACACGACGCGCACGATCCTCGAACAGAACATCGATTATCAAATCAATAGGATGGTGGAGAAGATGCAGAAAGCTCAGGATCCTGCACGCCGGAGAGAGATTCGCGGCGAGGTGAACCTTACTCTCGCTTTCAAAGAGAGCCTGAATGAGAAGTTGCTGGATCTGCAGGACGCGAATGATACCCTTAGCTCGGGTTTCAAAAAGAGGAAGCTCTTGAAGAATGGCAACATTGAGCGAAGGAAGGAGATCTTGTCTATACAGAACAGCAGACAGGAGATTGCTCTGGAGATGGATGATGAGCAAGCGAAATACGATGCCGAGAGACAAAAGGTGGAGGCAAGGAATAAGCTCAGTGCCAATATATTTGAGATCCAGGCAGCGATCCAGAACGGACGAGAGCGCGCAAAGAGAGAAGGTAGAGAAGATGAAGGCCCGGATGTGCCGCTGAGCATCTTGCTCGAGACTGTGGGAAGAGACGTCGGATCTTTTGGTGGTGGACTCTTGTCGGGCGCCAAGGCCTTCAATAGTGCATTGGAGAGGGCGGCAGGATGGCTTGAGGGTAGAGCTTGAAAGGCTTCGGAGAATTCGCCTTTCGTTTGGGAGCCTCGGACCTTGTGTCCCACTTAGTTCTATATCGTATTGAGATACCCGGCAGCTTCACGCTAACATCCTGATACCTTGGAAGATGGAAGAGTTCTTTTTGTTACGCTTAACCGAATTGGGTTAGTCGCAGCTGCCTATCATGAAGGCAGTTGGCGTCATCAGGCAGAATCGCCCCCTCGTCTGAGCGCTTGAACAATCAAAACTCACCCCTGTCCAACTATTTATTCACTCCACGCCATTGTGTCCCTCATTTTTGGGACGAGATCGCACCTCTCGGAATCTTCCATATCAGTTGAGCGAACCTCGGTCGCCGACCCCGCTTGCGAGCCCAACCTTGCGAGGAGGGCCACAACATGTGCAGCCAACCAAAGCATCGACAGCACCGTGTTCTGTTCGATTCCTGACCTCACAGGCCTGTGTGGTCTGTCTTCGAAGAGGGAAATACCCTCACTACTACTACTACTACTACTACTACTAGCGTTACGCCAGCCCCGAGACCTCCGTTACTTTGGGCTCACGGGAAACTCGATATCAGATTCTATTGGGCCATCCGTGATTTGACTGGATCCTTTCCACACGCAACGTCGTTCATTACCGCGGTCCATTGAGGTCCTTCATGATGACGAATCCGAACTGCATCCAAACTTGCAGCCCACGCTGTCCCGCTACCCCAACCGCAGCTCAACCGTCCACGGCCTTGGCTATTTCGTCTTCTCCAAGGAAGTCGCCAAGGCCTTCATCATCCAGCAGATCTCCCCGGAATCCGGTCAACACGGCGTGGGTTCAAGATCAGCAGCGACGAGTCTTCCTAGATCATCTAACGAAATGGTCTTTGAATCACGATTCGAGCGCATATTTCAACGGCAAGATTAGTCTTTTGTCGCCGTTCGAAAACGCAGGAGACGTCATTGAGCTCGGCAAGTCTGTCAAGTGCATCCTGACAGATAGTGCCTGGACGGATGCGCGAAAACAGATCGCCATTCGACTCTTTCCTCCGCGAGGCGGGGAGGGCAGGTACAAGATGGTGGTCCGATGCGGAGCAGGCTGGATGAGCGCCCGCGACTTCTTCAGCAAAGAGTACTTCATGAAGCGGGAAGCAGAGGGCAGGAAGAGGAAATTCCGCTTATACGGCCGGCTGGACGACTCCCTGAAGTGGCGCTCGGAAGTAGTGCCCCAGCCCGCAGGCAATACCATCGTCATCCGTCCGCTCTTTCTTCCATTTCTTAGGCTACCACTGGAGCTTCAACAGACGATACTAGGAGTCGCTGCCGGTAAGACTGGCATGTATCGGCCATGTCGCGATAGTATTGCAGAGCTTCCAAATCGCCGGACAGCGCACATCATTCTCCGCAATTTTTATCCCAGGAAAGAATCCAATATCCCGTTAGCCGCTATGTTCAGAATTTCGAAAGAGCTGAATAAGCACCTGGTTCCCTGGGTCTACAGGACGACCGACTTCCATTTCGAGGTTACGGGCTTTACGAACTTTCTATGGCAGGCTGGTCCAGTGAAACGAGCAGAAATCAGGCATGTCACTTTTAGATTCTCGGAGATAGCACTGCTGCATTGCCTCCGTTGGTTGGCACCCGATCCCATCTTCGAACTATTCCAGCCTCCCGTCCCCACCAGTCCACGCGGGCTACAGTACCTTTGGCGCTGCCAAATCCAGGATTACGCAAGAGAATTACATCTCGCCACACTCACGCTAGATATATATAACACACCGCTGCAGGATATTCCCTTCGTTGTGCGCATTCTTCTTCTGGCCTTCGGAAGCATCCGACGGATCAGGTTTACTTGGTCGGGCAAAGAAATTGATGCCGATAATGCCGGGCTTGCTGTGTTGAAAGAGCGCAAGTCGTGGAGAGAGATGTCTAGGCGCTGGTATGTGGCGCATAGGTTCGATCGCCAGGGCCTATCGTCGGGAAGGGCGACAGCAAGTCCCGCAGACTTGGAGATGGCAATGGACCAGGACAAGTCGTTCTTTGACCGCGTCGAGGATGACAGGGGAATATCCGGACTCCCAAAGCCATCGTGAAGGACTTCAAGAGGAGATTATAGGCGCTGCATTGTAACGGTATACTTCGGATACGACTTATGAGTAATGAGCTATGCATGGCCTCCGGCGTGCAATGATTCCTACTTGTTCAATAAATAGCAGGTATTGCACGCATTTCTAATTCTGTTCAGCTCGCCATATCGAGTATCGAGAAATCATATCACCTTGCCCAGTCTAGCATCTAGAAGGTGAATTGTAGTTTGCTTGAGACTGAGGCAAAAACTTCCGGATATTGCATGGGATTGGCCAATCAGCGTGCAGACCCGAGCCCCACCAAGGCTGCTGCCTTCAGCTGCGCCCCCTTGTATCTTCCACCTCCACCCCTCTATTGCTCTCATCGAAGATATATCAGGCACGTTAGACCCAAGACTTGGACCGCGTTCTCGAGTCTAGGAACTCAGAGACAGGTGTCTGCTGCACGAATCCTCAGCCTCCTCCTACGTCACAAATTCTTGGTGGGTAATAGTTTCACTACCTCTCTAGCTTTGAAACGCCTCTTGCTTTAAGCTAGGGATATTTGCTGACTCTCTCAATCAAGTAGCTCAATTCCAAGCCATCTCGAAACCATGGACACATCCTCCCCGTCAGCAAGCCCTTCCGGCAACTCTCCTCCAGCTACGTGCGCCCCAACACGTGAGCTACGTAACATCGACCTCACTACTATGCACGACCAATCCCAGTCTCCTCTCTTCAGCAAGATCCCGCCTGAGATCAGAAATGAGATCTTCGACCTCGCGTTGCAGGAGTACATCGACCCCAACAAGCTCTATGGGCGGGAGACGTATTTTTCGCGTCCGGGCTTCGAGGGCCGGAAGCGGGTCGACACCGCGCTGCTAAGGACGTGCAAGAGGGTGTATGAGGAGACGAGGGCGGTGCCGTTGGGGAATTTGGAGTTGTGCTTTTATTTGGGGAACAAGGGACGAGAGCCTCAAGGTACGTCACATGCGCAAACGCTCTGCGCTTGTTCCATCTCCGTACACATTACTGACGCAATCTTATCAGAGTACATTGAAGTCGGGCCCCCTTCGCAAGAGATCTCCGTCCACCCATTCTTCAAGGAGATGTGGCCGGAGCAGTGCAAGCGCATCGATCGCATCCACGTCTTCGCGCAGATGTACGCCCTACACCTAGGCCTGAACAATCTCTTCCAAAACAAGCGGCAGTTCATCGCGCCATCTACGATTACCATCACGATCCGCTACACGGATTGGTGGTGGTGGGAGTACGCGTACCCTATCTATCCGATCCGCTCGGACCGCTTCATACATATTTCCGCCATAACTTTGCCGAACTGCGTTAACACGATTGTAGTAGAGTTTGAGACAAGCGAGAAGAAGGAGAAGCAGTTGGAGAAGGTGGTTGGTGAGATTTTACAGAGGAGGGTCTATTGGACGTGGATGAGGAAAGACGGGAGCAAGTTGGCGATTAAGGATGCGGATGAGGAGGTGAGAACGTGGAAGTGGAATGGGCCTACGAGGTTTGGGGATGGGGGGCGGTACCCGCATCATGGGGATGGGGAAGTGATGGGGTATGTCGTGAAGGTTGTCACTTGGACGGCGTAGAGCCTATTGGAGCTACAGGGTTGGGGGAGTTAGGATCATAGGCCAGAGGTCAGTGTATTAGCCGAACTGGTTGCATCTTGACTGACGGCTTAGTGTCTGCTCTTATTCCAAGGCGAAGTCGAAAGGAGTCTTCCGAAATAATCTTTCTTCTCTCCACAGCTAATGCCTATCAGAGGAGGTCTTCCAGATTCTAAACATGACACCGAAGATGACAATGACTGCATTGTACTCACGGGACTCCGAGATAGAATGTCAACCTCCTGCAATATCGATCCCTTCACGGTCGGAACTGCGCACTAAAGTTGCCCACTTCGAGACATCCTCAAAATTGACGCAGCGATGATCTAGGTCCCAAATTTTTGCACTCCGCTCCTGCGGTATGTACGGCTCGAGCGTCAGGTCCGCATTGCAGATCAGCCCGTTTCGCAAATACTCGAAGCAGTGGCCTCCGCGGTTCCCAATCCGCTCGACTTCCACATCATCTTGGATGCCGGTGTTAGACGACACATGTGATAAGAGGCGGTAGTAGTTCCTTCGCACTGCGAACTGCATTTCGGTCAGTGCAAACTACACGTAACTAGAACAGACGCATACCAGACAGTGCAGTTGATGATACACCACAACGTTGTATAATGTGCTATTGTATTCACTAACGATGGGCAGGCAAATCCAGCCTTGGCCCTCTGAATCATATCAGCCATCCGCTGTCGGAGCGGTACAGGATAGACAGGCGTACTAGGAATCATCGAAGCCCATGCCGCCTCGGCGCCATCATCGGACACGTGAGCGAAAAGCTTGTTGTATTGGAACTTGCGGACGGTGACTGGAACTGAGAGCGCCTGGAGTCAGTCGCCTCTCGGTTTGGATTACACTCTGGGTGTTACTCGTACAGGTAGGCACCAGCTGTTGAGATGCGGGAGATGATGTGGTAGGCGTTGTTCGATGGGGACCCAGCCGCGATTGATATAGGACGCCAGTTAAGAATGAACAGGCGACGAGTGAAGCCAGAGCTAGCGCCAAAGTAAGCTATGCTAAGCGTCTAGCACGCCAAGGGTTGAAAGCGCCTTGAGTTGTTTCGTAGGTACTCTCCTCATCGTTCCCCGAAAGCGGCGAAAGACCAGAGGCCCATGCTCGGAGGTAGTAGGGCGGAGTGACAATGGAAGAGTGCCTTGGAAGTTAAGCATGTGTTAAAGTGTGGAAGGTTATACAGGCTCTGTGCTAATTCCACTTCCAGAATCTTGTGCTATGCGGGCTTTCCATTTCCCGCTCCCAGCCGCTTGCTGCGGGATGCCTTCTGCTGTGCCTCTTTTCGCAAGGCTTAACTTATTTGGAGGAATAGACGGGTTCCAAGAGTCTGGTCGTACGCGCCCTTGGCGTACTGCAGCTCGAGGCGACGTTGTTTCCCGAAGCTATATGAAAAGGCAAATCGCATGTTGATAGGCAACGGTTTGGCAATAATGTGGGGTTGCATCGCGACGAACTCAAATGCGCAACTGTGCCACAAACACAAACATATCATTGGCTGCCGGCGTTCCGTTCCAACCTGCAGCGATAACCTCCGCAGGTGCGGAGAAGCATCATGTCGATTCTGCGACGATGGCTGCGCGCGAGGTAAAGTGGAACCCCCAGCACGGTCGTTTGGTCCAAGACGAGCTCCCTCAACCTTGCCACACGACCTCCATGATCCATAGCCTCCCTCTCGGGGGTTGATGTGCACGGCGGAAGCTGAACCTTGAGTCCGCACGGACGAACAGTTCTCGCCACTCGTCGAGTTCCCGCTGTCGTGCATTCAACAGCATCTGCATACCAACATCCATGTTTCTGCCTCCTGGTCAGCATCGGTCTCGAGTGCTAATATAGGAGACCCACATTATGTTCCTAGCATCTAAAATGGGAATTTTCCCAAAGTCCGTAGGCAGGACTCGTTCATGGATTATGATTGAGGCGCCAGGTTTCAACGCCGGGACCAGGTTCTTCAGGATGTGGATACAGTATTTGTCGCTCCAATTGTGCAGGATCCAGCGAAAATAGTACATATCCGCATTCACTGGTTGCGGGGTGAAGAAGTCGCTATTGACTAGGTCAGCACTGCGGCTCGATACCTTTACTTTGGCAGGACGTCGCAACTTACTGAGCCATGAACTGCACCCTCTTCTTCAAGTCGTCGGGAAGGCGCGCGGCACCCTGTCTCACTACCTCCGGTAAGTCCTGAACGATGCATCTTATCTTCGGGAAGCGCCGCGCAATGTCGACGGCAACGCTGCCGTGTGATCCGCCGACATCAACCACGACACCCTCCCCAGGCCATGAAAAGTTTGATAGAAGAAGTTCAGAGTCGTAATCAGAAGAATGTGACATCGCCCTTCCAAAATCGTTGGCCCGCTCAGGATATGTTTGGAAGGTGTCCCACATGCTTGACTTGCCGTCATTAGCAAGCGAGAAAGCCTGGCACGAGTGAGCTTCAGAGAGAGTCGAGCTGGGAATTAGGAATTATACTACCGTCTCGTTGTTTTCCTCAGATCCAGGCCACTTTTCCATGGCATCCACAAGCTGCACCTCTTTTAGCCTTTGGACGAGCTATCCTGGGCATACTACGTACTTTACAGCTCACCGGAACGAATTCTTCTACCGCATTTTCGACGGCATTGCGCAGGAGATCATCTTCGGCCAAGGCCTTCGTGAGAGCCGAATGCGTGATGACGCCGGGGGACGGCTCTTGAAATAGGTAGTGGTTCAAGATGCCATGTCGGATTAGCCGGCGGGTGTCATGATAACTAAGACCAGAGGCTTCAGCCAATGCTTCGAATGACGACTCCTCGCCGACAGGAAAGGTTTTGTCTAGCTTGTAATGAAGAATGGCTCTCAGGCTAGTATTCGCCGTCCACTGTTATCGCATCAGAATCTAGGTTTTAGGTTTCCCTGTGGGAATCGTACGTTTACCGCCAGAAGCTCTCGAGGGCCCATCATTAGGGCTTTGAGTTGCTCGCATGCCTCGACAACGGCGACGCGGGCTTCCTGCAGTTGGAGATTGTTCTCCGATATCTGGAGTGAAAGTGGCGCAGATGCGTCTAAAGAGGACTTCATCAGATCCGCAGAAGAGAACTTCACGCCATACTACCAGCCATTGATACCTTGGATCAACAGACTACGGAAAGTGGTATTTCCGAATGGTGAGAGGTGGGAAAGAGAGGACACAGGATTGTATGCTCGGATGAGGGAGATCACTGGGGAAGCCCGAGAGGATCCAAAGGTGTTGGCGGATAAATAGACATTGCGGGTTATTGCTCAGCACATTTGACTTGCGCAAACTCTGTGTGCGTAATGTCCTCCACTAGGTCTTCCATTCGGGGGAGGTCTGCAGCGATCGGCTCTTGGTGGTGGTGGGAATCGTCAGGGTGGTTAGAGTTGTCGGAATGCGACCTGCGATTTGCGTCCATAAATGCAGCCCTACGACCCGTCCCGCGAGCGGCCATCAATGGCTGTGGGTGTCGGAATAGTCGACATGGAGTCTGTTCTCCCTCGTCGCTGGTTGGACCGAGCGCAGACGCCAGCGAGGGTGGCGGTCTTGGCAGGCTCCTCGTCGTGGGGCTCGTCCGCCGAGGCCAACAATATCTTCGTGCGGCGAGGGAAATCCAATGGACGGTCTGACGATGACCGGCGGGGATGCCGCCTGGATTTATTGCTTCGTAGCTTCAAGTCTACCGCTATAGCGATGGGAACCTTTCGTCCTCGCCGGCCGCAACCCCGTCCCACTCGCGGAGCTTGGACCGCGGCAAAACATGGACGAGCTGAATTTTGCGCACTGTGGCCGGTCCGACCCGTCACCTTTCGGCCAACATCTCATCACGGGTGGTCTCCATCTTTTTCAGCCATCCCATCGTGCACCTTCAAGTGTGCCATCTCCGCAGCGACAGAAGACCCAATACCCTCCTCAGGAATCTCTGCAGCATGTTTGTATGGGGCTTCGACCTCGTCGATAAACCCTTGAATAGACCACTTTCCAGCCAGCATCTCATCGTATGTGGTCTCCGTCTTTTTCAGCCGCTCGTCGTGCAGCTTCAAGTGCTCCATCTTGGCGGCGACAAAAGACCGAATATCCTCCTCGGGAATTCCTGAAGCAAGCAAGTCCCAGTCTGGAGTATGGTCTTTCAGCTGCTCCCAGGGCAAGCTGCCAGGACCGTGGAAGAACCCCTGCAGGACCATGTGGTACCACATCGTCCCCTCGGTTTCGGATCGCTCGACCAACTTCGAGAGCTCCCTGCTCTGGTACTCTGGCGCGTGCTTCTCTTCTTCTTCCAGAACGCGTTTAAATAAGCCCAAGTGCCTGAGAAACCGAGCTCTCATGTCGGGGGTGAAGTCCCAGAGTTCTGGCCTTTCCTGGAGGAGCCACCAGGGTGCGGTGCCGAGTAGCTGAGCCGGGCCGGTATACGACCACTCAAAATCGACGACTCCAGTGATTTTTAGCTTCTCCCTGCTGTCGACAATCATATTTGCTAGGCCGAGATCGTCACATATGAGCTTGAATGGTCCTTCGTTGTACTCTGGCCAGACATGACGGTCGGTCAAGGACTTCAGAACCCTGAAGAAGATGTATTTCTGTCGGGCATCGTCTTCGTCCTCGACCGAATTCAGCTGTCCAAGAAGCTGTCGCCAGTGTTGCTCGACGACGTGGTCGAAATACTCCTTGGTTGTCGAAAATCCTTCACTGCGTGGGCCTGATCGTTCTTAGTATTGGAAAGAGGCGAGGCGAGGGGGCGGGGAGAGCATAGCAATACCGAGAACGTCAACCCCCCCGAGGCGGATGATCTCGTGGGCCGTCACTGTGAGCGGCCGCCGCCCATGGGTCGATGCAAAGGGTAGACCGCTGATCTGGCTGAAGTTGAGGTCGAAGAGCTGGAGCGTGAATTGAGCGAGCTGTCGGTATATGATCTCGACTTCCTTGTCGTCCAGGTCATTCCTCAAGAGCATAGATCCCTCGGCCTCTTCCCTCAGAATGTTCTTGAGGCTTTCGCCTTGGATAAATTCCTCCATGATAAACGGGCCCAGGCCGAGTGCATTATCGATGGCGAGGCCCCAAGCCATGACTTTGGGGACGGGAATGTTGGTTCGCTCGTGGAGAAGCCTCAATGTCGCCACCTCGCCAGCGACCTTCTCGTCGAGGTGTGCCTCACTCGTTTTGCCGGCTATTGGAAAGCGAATGATCCATGCCTCGTTGTTAGTAAAAACCACCTTCTGACATAGATTAAATCCGCCATAAAGCTCGTCTCCTTCCATTTGACAAGGCAGTCTCTCTGGATGGAATGTCGATGCCCATTCCGGTATCTCTTCCGTTCTTTTTCTCAAACGGTTGAGCCACCGAAGCCCCTTGACTTGCTTGACACGTTCGAGGTTCTTGTCGATGTCCATAGAGTTGATTGGGTTTACACGCTCGCGGCTAGAGGGAGGAGCGGGGGCAGAAGCGCAAAAGAGGAGCCAGGGAAGAAGCGTGGGTGATAAAACTGCTGCGAGAGAAGAAGCGCGGGCAAAATAAGTTGGGCAGAAAAATGGGGCTTCGGGTCGGAAAAGCCTGATGCCGATGCTCGGTGCCTCGTATCTATCGTATGCATAAATCCGTGGAAATCTTGGCAGCCTCTCGATTTTCGCGCGCGCGCGGGGCCCCGCAATTTCAAGAAAAGATGAATTCATCCACGAATTTCTCTTCAACGCTCCATAACTTTTTCTTCAAAATTTGAAGGATTGCTCTTCAAGTCATGAAGGAGAGTTCTTCAAAATTTGAAGAGAAAATACACAAGCATAAGAAACTTCGCATTTTCTCTTCAACGAGACAATAATTTGTCTTCAAATTCTGAATAACTCTCCTTCATATATTGAAGAATGATCCTTCAAAATTTGAAGAGAATCTAAGGGGTGGTGTTATGCATACGATAGATGAGGGGTTTCCGGTTGGCGCAACGGTAATCCCCGGAATTGCGAGATGTGGCAAAGCAGCCCTGACATGACCGTCCCACGTCCCATTTCGCCGGTCGCCGATAATCACACCAGAGTTTAGGATCAGCACGCCGAAGGACCGGAAAACGTCGTCTTCTTGCCTTCGTCCTCGGATTCCCGAGAGTGGATTGACGGCGGCGCGACCTGCCTCCGCCGCGCTCATCACCACTTTCTTAGCTTTTCTGCCGTAACCGGCCACAGCTGCAGCTTGCTTGCTCGTCGCGAAGCGGAATGAGACGCTTCTACTCAGCAATGTCATCGAAGCCTTTCAGCGGCCTATCGCTCGTGAAGCTGGTCGACACGTGAGTCCCCTGCATACAGTTGTGCGGGAGTAGCCTGCAGCCGTTCGTGGGCGATGATGCCTCAGTTACCCATACACCAAGCTAACACGCTCCAGATGGCCATACTACCAGCAAAATCCGGCCGCATACAAGGCCTGGATGCAGGATTACTACTATTTCATGATCGAGGGCTACCCCAAGCCCTTCGGCTACATGCACAAATCCATCCTGCAGGGGCTCAACCTGTCGCCAAGCTGGAAGGTCAACAGCGAGCGGCGCCTGCTGACCATGGTGCAGGCGGACTCCTTCCAGGAGCGGACGCAGGTTATGCGCGAAATGCTGTTGCGAGCGGTGAAGGAGGGCGCGCCGACGAGCCCGCGGAAGTTCTACGACGAGGCCCTGCGCGTCATGTCATCGGAGGGTGAACACGTGCTCGACACGGACCGCAGCGGCCTCGACCCCTTCGGCGTCGTGAGCTTTAGCTCCCACGTGATTGGGTTCGTTAGGGATGGCAACGACACCAAGTACTGGGTGCCGAAACGGTCGGCGACGAAGCCGACGGTGCCCAACAAGCTCGACAGCACCGTCGCGGGGGTTGTCCGGTCTGGGGAGCGGCCTGTCGACTGCATGGCGCGCAAGATTGCCGTTGAGGCATCCGTTCCCAAGGAGTACACGAGGGCAAACATCACCGCGTGCGGCACCGTCTCGTACCAGATGTCCATCACCAGCAACGGCAAGCCTGGCTGCCAGCACATCATCTCGTACCTCTACGAGATGGAGATTGGTAGGGACATGATCCCCCGACCGGGCAATGACGAAGTCGAGGCGTTTACGCTCATGACACTGGATGATGTCAAGGGCGCGTTGATGGAGGGGGAGTTCGTGGCAAATCGAGCCATGATATGGCTGGCGTATCTAATCAGGCATGGCGTGATGACGGCGGAGAACGAACCGGACTTTATCGAGATTTGCCAGAGGCTGCAAAGAAAGCACGATCTGTTCATTGTGGAAGGGTGAGGCTCAGGGCCAAGGACGTAGATCAACTCCATGACACCTTCAGTGCGGGCTACTCTAAAAATGGTTATGATTTCTGTCAAAACGAACCCGACCAAAACTTCGCTCCCTGTATACTCGGGATCCGATTCAATGGTGCCTGTTCATGCCTGTCATTCGGCACCTGCACAACCTCGCGTCCCCCATGAAATCAAGCTGACAAGTTATCACCACGGGCAGCCCACGCAAATCGGTCAATCTGCCCGGATAGGCTAAGCCGGCAGCGAGTGTTCGTTGGTTTGTCTCGGCACCCAGTCGGGATCAAAGATTTGCGCAATGAACCAGTATCCCTCTTCATAATCGTGGGTCAGACTAACAGCCTGCATTACGGCGGCTGTGCCATCTTAGCAAACAAGACAGCTGCGGTGGTGAAGCTCAGGGACACCCACCTTTCTGCCGGACCAGATTCTGGTATTGCTTCAGGAAGCGGATCTGCTCGTCGTCGAGCTGCGCCATCCTCTTCATCTCGGGGGAGTCCCAGTTGGAGTCTGGGGAGAACGGCCGCTGGCCCTTACAGATGTAGTGGAAGTGGGCGAGGATCGTCTTTGCGCTAGAGTGTATAGCCCGGATGATGGGCATTTCTACGAATCGCACCTATCTCGCTGTTCAGCAAGCCTCCAGAGGTTTATCGTTATTGCATCCGGCTAGAATATGCTTACCGGAAATCCACGCCGCTTTGCGAAAGCCCTATGGAACCGGCACTGCAGCTCGCAGTTGTGCAGCAGGATGAACACGCTCAGAGAAATTACGAACCAGTTGCTCGCCTTGTTGGCTAAAATCACGTCCTGGAGCCGCTTCAGGACCGTGATGCGCAGTGGCTGCAGGATCCGCTCCGTGAAGACGGCGGCCATCTGGTAGTTGATGAATGGTGGCACTTGGACGATGGGGTTCCTGCCGTAGCGGTGCGAGAGGCCCTCCGCGCCGAGAGTGTCCCCTCCCGAGCACCGCCAGCGGCCCTCGAGGAATCGACATGCCACCCAAAGGCGAATCACGTTGGATAAGAGTTTGTTCTGAGCTGTCAGTGCCACAAGTTTTCCGATAACTCCCATCTGTAATTGACGGGAAAAGGCGGAGACGTACTGGTTCGGGGAACACCGAGAGCCTCATAGCCCAGTGAAAGACATCCCATACGAGATGATTAGAGTCGTCCAGAATGGTGTTCAGGTACGCCTCAACGCAGCGATCAATGTAGAGGTTCACAGCCCTCGTCGCCTCGTCCGGGTCGGCGATCGCCCACGGGATGCCGTACATCTTGTTGCCCCTCGTGTCGTCAGACAGGAGCTCCTCAGCGGTGGGCATAAACTCCCGCACCCTCAGTTTGAGGACGATGTTGCTGTCCTGCGCGAATTCTAGGACCTTCGTCTCGCTCTGCGTCCACTGCCGTTTGATGTAGAAATCACCGTAGGTGGGACCAACCATCAGATGTAGCCTGAAGAACTCAAAGTGCTGGAAGGCGGTCCGGTAGAGGTTGCTCTCTGTGATCTTGTACCTGAGGCATGGAAGCCTTGCCATCTTGGGAACCGTTCTCATGCAGGTAAGGCACGGCCCATCAAGGTCATGTGGGTTGGGAGAGCACTTTGAATCGGTATCAGATCGGGATTGCAGATCTTGTTTATATGTTATCACTTACCCTGTTTCGAACGAACCTGCACCTGACGCACGAGTTCAGAGTTCGCGTCAGGCTCGTCTCGGCTCTAATAGACGCTGTATTGAAAGAGGTCCGCTTGGTTCTGACGGCAGGCTTGCAGACCCCAGCTTGAACCCGCAGGGCTAGAGTATTGTTGTCAGCGGGCTTCGGGGCAATCTTGCGTAGTCGCGACCTTGGGGAAGGGCAGCTTGAATCATTGAGTAGGGTGTCCGTTGTTGTAGAATTCGAACCATCGGTTTCAGCCAAGTCTTGAACAACCATGTCTGGCATCAGCGGCCCCTGAGCGCCGGCATCGACAGAGACATTGACCAAGCTGGCCATTGTTAGTACATAGTCAGAGGATAGGGAACGAAGTGGCTTACTCGACGGCGGCATCAACAGCTGGCGCCGGAAACAGAGACCCGCCAGGAAAGCCAAAGACGGGATCGTCCAACAGTAGGCCAGAGCTATCATGCCTGAAGATGGCAGTCAACGCTGAGATGTCGGCTCCTGAGCGGCTACTCTCCCCGAGAGCCTCCTCAGGAATGGCACTCCCGACGTACGCCATACTCGCACTGGAACCACTCGCAGACTTCTTTTATTTGCGAATCTGTCGAGGGCTTCGGCGCTTCGACTTTGCGCATGGGCCGCATGCTGTTGGTGCCAGAATTGTCAACGGGTGGTGTCGGGGCGGTGACCGAAGCGAATGGTCACGTGACTTTTAGTGAAGATCCAGTCCATAGCCCCACCAATAGCTTCTTCTACCTTCAATTCAACCAGAATCGGCCCATCCACCATCTCGATAGCACACCATCGCGTGCTAGCGACCCTTCCATTTATCGTGGCGCAATGCGCTCCGCCTGTCTCGCCACCGTCGTCGTCCAACTCTCATCGACAGAGTCCGAACAGGCCGCCCGGGGTCATGCCACGCTGCTGGACGGCCTACCGATGCTGGTACAACATAGTACTGACGTACTAAGACCGCTCGTCCTCAAAATCCTCGTACACATCTCTTGAGGGTGAGATTATATTAAGCGTTGGCTGAAGCCTTCTCTCAACAGGACGATGCCTGGCTAATCTGTGAGTGTGCTCTCATCATTTATGCTTCTCGCCGTTGAGCCTCCAGGGTATACTACAAATGTTCACCTGTCTTGCCCACAGCTTTGCTCGATGCAGAACCCTGGCAGGGCCGAACCGCACGCAGTCCTTCGCAGACGACACACGCCGAGGTGCTTCTCGTTGGCTGGATTACACTACGCCGTGCCGCATGTACATACTGCAAGGGATGCATCATATTCGGCCCGGTGATGGAGCAACACGTCCTCGTGCCCCGCCCGGGCCTAACGAGGCCAGAGAGGTAAGCCCCTACACCGGGTAGGCGGAGAACGAGATCTAATTGGATAACGACAGTTCGGGGTTAGTCTCTTCACCGGTTGCCCAATAATCCAACGTGATTGGACGACCTTTCAAACAGGCAGACTTCGCGCGATGCGACCCCAGCCCGCGTTGCACGTCAACCCCGCAACCCCCCACCGTTCTGTCCATTGTCTCCGCACTCCGTCGCCCAACTCTGTTGGAGCCTTGTCCTAGGGCCTGTTCTGGAGCCTGTTCTGGCGTCCCCAGCAAAGCATAAATAGGCCGTCCTTGGGCCACACCCAGTCCGATCCATGTCGTCAAACTCTCAAGCACACCCGATCCCAAACACTCGACCACCACTTACTCCCAGAACCGTAAAGGACAACCCCAACCCCCACACCCCCGCACCAAAAATACAGAATGTCCGAGCCCGGGCAGGAGGGTTATGTCTCTCCAGAGGCGAGGAAGGAGGTCAATGACTCCATCACCACTGCGGGGTCGAAGAATATCACAATTGTGAATGAGACGGGCACGAGTTCTCAGAAGAAGCGACTGGACGCCAAGAAGAAGAAGAAGGAAGAGGAGGCAAAGGTAACTCCTCAGCCAAATCCATAGTCCTACCAGACGTTGACTATGAGGGACAGGGCGGCAGCGGCGGCGGCGGCAGCACCTGAGCTTGGCGGCGTTCACTGGGGCGTGAGAAAAGGCGACCTGTCAGCTAGACCTCTTTCAAGGTCATCGCCTACTGGTCTGAAGGGATTGACCATAATTCGTAGTTACCTGAGGCACTTCTTGTTCACGGCCGTCATTACCGACGATATTTTGATCCATGCATGTACCGCTGCTCTCGAGGACGCGCGCTTGGGGTCTCCTTGCTTCGAGGGTTGTGTAACTCTTTTTTCCCCCTCCGAATCTACTTAGCAGGAAAATGAGAGACAGCATCCATCTGGTTCCGTCCTGCCGAAATAGCACGCATGCCTCAAATACGTGCCACTAAAGTGCAGTAATGAAATGATATGTGCAGAGCCAGACGGGCCTCCGGGACGCAGTCGAGCCCATCTCCTTCACGGGCAGCTCCCAGTTGTCGCCCGGCGGTCGTTTGACGAGCCCATAGGTAGCCTCGGAGCCGCTATCGTCCAATCACGTTAGATTATTGGGCGACTGGTGAAGAGACTAACCCCAAACCGTCGTTATCCAATTAGATCTCGTTCTCCGCCCACCGGTATAGGGACTTTACCCAATGCGCAAATCTAGGTGGTATATGTCATTGCGAGAAATGCAATTCCAAAGAGCGGCAGCACAAGGATGAGTCCACGGTCAACGCCGGCCAGCGGCATACTCACTGCATCTCTGACCAGCTTCGGCTGTTAGTTAGCTGCAAGAATGAGGTCTTGATGTGTTCGCGGTGTTTCTAGGTATGTCCCAGTTACTCGGTGCATAGCGGGCCTGTCCGTGGTAACAGTCCACCAATGCTGCCCGCGGCTGACTCCAAGGCGTTGAGGCTATGAGCATGTACAATGCAGCTTCATATTCGTGGGAGATGAGGTCCCTGGCAAGTCGTTGGCTAACTATTCTGATGCTTATTTATGGTACTGGCATGGACACTACGCATTCGATTGCTGAACAGGGGAGATGGCTGGGATGATCAGCCACGGCGGGAACGGGGAAGGTGTACCCATGTGAGGAGACCGCCAACGACCGAGTGAACGCAGGGGTCATGCCTAAGGATTCGACGGGACGGAAGTGATGTCCCCAGACTAGACATGTTTGGTTCAGCTCCCGCCAGGACCTGCTCTGTCCATGTTTGTCAGTCGCTCAGCCAGCTTGGATCCGAACACACCGGTCGGCACGTATAAGAATGCCCTTCGTTCCCCGTCAAGAACTCCACCACCGCAACCATGCCCGGTCGTCTCGTGCAACTGCTAGTGTGAATGCACTAATCCGGTCGACGTTGCAAATTCGGGTTTTTGTAGGCGGTGCTGTAACCACTGCAGAAACAGTTCCATCAGCCCACACATCTAAGAGGCCATTGCTGTTCATGTAAGAGGGTCCAGTCACCCAAGGAGGCTGATGTCCCGAGATCGGATATATACTAACACATCATCAACTTCACAGGGCCATCAATCTCAACGCCTCTGCCTGGCATCACATCGCGGCTCACGATACGGCCTATCCTTCTGTCAAGACACATTCCCATGGCCTCTCCGCCACGTCTGGGCCAAGAAACCTGGGCCATCATCTCCTTCACTATGGTGTTGTAAGTTGCGAATTTCATTCGTCCAGGACACAAAATAATCTTTCTAGCCTCTTTCAATCCACACGGCTCGTTATTCAAACCATTGCCCACTGGACATACAAGTCTGTCCGAATTCCAGGCCAGCCGACCCTCACACCGTCCGACGTAACGATCGTTCGCAACTCTTGGCGAGAACCTCGGCGGTCTTTCAAAAGGAATCCAATGTCACATGCGAGCTGGGTGCAAGCATATTTCCGTCTGTGTTCCCTTTTCTGGATATGAAGCCGTCAAAGGTCTCTTTGGACATATCCATAAACAAGACGATGTCACGATTCAGCTGGTGGCAGACCAGGCCAACAAGCGGGAGCAACTCAAACGTGCCATCGAGAATCTCCCTAGCTCTATAAAGAAGTCACACAAGGTCATAGTGTTTGCAGACGATGACATCACTTACGGCGAGCACACTCTCCGATGGATGCTTGCCCCCTTCGAGAAGGAGTCTGTTGGGGCAGTTGGGACTTGTCAGCGAACCAGGCGCGTCGAGACTACGTCCATCGCAGAGAGGGTTGTTGACTGGATCTTTGCCGACTACATTGAGCGGCGACATTTCGAGAACTCGACAACGCTGGCAATAGACGGATCGATCTCGTGTTTGTCCGGTCGAATGGCGGCTTTTCGAGCCGAGGTTGTCTAGAACAGCCGATTCCTCGCAGGTTTTGTGTCGGAGAGGTGGAGCGGCCGGAAGCTCAACGCGGACGACGACAATTTTTGGACACGGTGGCTCTTGGAAAACCACTGGGAGATCGGGTATCAATACAATGAACAATGCCAGGTCGAGACCAAATTTGAACCTCACGTACAGCAGCTCTGGAGGAGAAACTTACGGTGGTCAAGAAGCAACTGGAGGAGCAACTGGACAAGCATTTGCAAAGTAGCAAATTGGCGGTACGCGGCATATATCTCGCAGTCTAAACTGTGCTAACTACTAGCTAGGACATATCCCCGGGGTACCTACTCGTTGTACATGTCGGGTTTTGTGAACTTTGGGCTCCCTACTGATGCACTGCTTTGGCGGCTGTGGCTGGGGATGACTTCGAGCCACGAGCAGTGGGGAACGTGGACAAAGTGGTATTTTATTTGGTGGCTCTTCACCAAGGTTGTGAACAGGATCGGTCTGTACCGGCGAAACTGGAGGGATGTAATATTCCTGCCAGTTGCCATTCTTTGGGGCTGGCTTCACGGGGTCATCAAACTCCATGGATTAGTCAGCCTGCACCAGGTGAGCTCCTGTTCTGTGCAGCAAAGGGATATGGCTACTTACGCAGAGACACTGGCTGGTAGGAAGGGGGTGGACACGGGTGTCGGATTGCGTGCAAGCAGAGGGACACGAATGAGACAGCGATGGGCGAAGGATCTTGCTGCCAGGGTGCTAGATTGAGAATTAGGCGGTCAAGATGCTGTTGATGGGGTGGACAACCCCAAATGAGGAAGGAACGGATGAAGTCCCGTGAGCCACTCGCTGGTCGAGCAACATGGTAGCAACTGACTTAGCTTCTGCGCGTCCAACTGGCAGGAGGTACACTGGGCGAAACAATTAGGGCATGCAAAGCCAGGGATGGCCCGCGTGAGGTCTGCGGGAGTCAGCGAAGTGTCCGAGACTTGGACCCCGTCTTGGAGACTAGAAATGGGCCCTCCAGAAAATTGAGACAAGAAACAGATTTCCTCCAGAATGGAGTCCAGAAATGGACCTGTCTAGAATGGACCAAAAGATGGACCTCTAGAGAGGGCTAGCTCGCCAGCGCTGACGCACTGCTACCTATGCCACATGGCAGGCACGCTTGGCACTGGCTAACATGCTCCACGCTGATGCGCGCATTGAGTTGGGCTTCGATATGTGCTCCTGCATGCTATGGGAGTGATTGATTTGTCTGTCACTGTGGGTCCATCTGGATGTCCTCCTTTTCAACATCAATCACCACTACGGAGCCGGTCGACAAAAAAAAAAAAAAAAGGATGACGGAGCGCAGTGGGAGGAGTTCGTTAACGTTGTCGGGGACACATCGAAGATCAAATCTAGATTTCTCGGTCCTCTGAAGACGCTGGTCCGTTTCTGGGGTGAGCATTTCGTTCAGCACTACGAGCTGGCGTCCAAAGGCGCAAAGTATTGAGGTTGCAGCCAGTGCAGGGTCCCAGAACGGAGACCAGACAGAAGGGACCAGAACAGGGGCCTCAGGCCGTCAAGGGTGAAGACCAAAATAGGGCCCAAGCATTCCCACTTAGCTAGCAGTAGTGAGGCATGTCATGTCAGGACGTCTCAAGGGCACGGGCATCAACTCTGCGGCTCCTTGATAACCGTACGACGAAATGAGGCTCAGTGTGGCATGGATCGGCGAAGGCGGGGCGATTGGGGGCAGCCATTAAGCGCTGGCGCTTAATGCCCTATTCTCGAACAGTCCGCCTGCAACAAAAATAGACCCACCCCACCAGTCCACTCTGATCTCAAAACCCCGAAACTGTGACATCCTCGACAGCATCGATGTCGCCTGGCTGGCTTGCCAAAACTTCTATCCGCCTTGTCATCTAACACTCGTCCGCCAAGAACCAGTGACCTGTCCTCCCATAGAGCCGTTCCTTTGACGGTGCTTAGTTACAAATCCGCGCCGACTGCCTTCGACATGATTGAGGGAGATAAATATAGTAACCTGCCTCTGAGTTTCTGGACGGACGACATACCGAGCGATAGTCTCCCGCGCTCGCGCTCGGATAGTCCGGCTCTCGCCAAGCGCTACAGCTTTAATGCCTCCCTCACTACTGCTTTTCAAGCTAAGGACCCCATTGTCAAGCAGCCTCCTGCACAGACCTTAGGCCCAACCTAGACTAGGTTAGAGACAATTCTTGCGTCGTTTTCTTATGAAGAGGTCATAAAAATTACTGCTTCGTAGGTACTGCCTATTAGCACGACTCACAAATGCCACCGAACCGGGGGCATCGGTTTGCCGAGTCGTCAAGCTCGCAGACCGAAGGAATATTGAGTTTCAGCCAATGATAATTGCTATTGTATCGCGGCCGTTTGACGATGGATGTCGCCAACAGGCCCCCCACACTTGTCGATGGGTGCTTGGGCAAATGATGTCACGCCCCATCCTCTGGATTCTGCAAGTTCTGGTACTCATGTCCCCCTAAAAAGAAAAAGACATCAGAGACTGGACGCTTCGATGTTGCTGAGGCCCCCATAGATTCCGAACCGGAGGAGACCCAGAACAAGGCCCAAAGGCAGAGGAACCACGCACTAAGAAGTGGCCGAAAACTGGGACCGTGGGATGGCGAAGAGACGCGTCTAACGATATTAGTAAGCTAAGACTCAGCAAGGGAGTGCAGGGGCTGGCAGGCCAATAGGATTGCGTCGGGCGGACCCACCAAGTTTTGTGGTTTTTCCACAAAGTTAGGTGGGTCACCGACGACCATCAGCGGGCTGCTCACTTCGACACGACCATAGGTTGCTGCGAATATGGCGCATCCGTTCGTTGAGCGTCCGGCCACGGTTGGGTTGCCCAATACCGAACCCGATAACGGACTCGGAGACGACTCCCTCGTGCTGGGTGACGATCAACTCAAGGAAATCGCCCGATTTCAGGAAGAGATCCGCCACCACGAGACCGACGCGGACAAATATCGGCTTTGTACCAGGACACGAGATGACCTGCTCCGAAGGCATGCCGATTTGCGGCTTCTGATTGCCGTGTACGAGCATGTCATGCTTGACGAATGCGCGGCATATAGAACTTTCAAAGAGAACAGTGTCCCGGCGACAAACCAGAAACACGACGAGACAGAGGAGTGGGAGCTCGCGTTGCTGTAGCTGAGTCTAAGCGCCTTACAAGTCTGAAAGCTGTTGGAAGGCTCTGGGGTCGAGAAGTGATCCAACAATACAAGTGGACTTTTAGAGGGCTCAGGTTCTGCGAAACGCTTCGCACCGCAGCACGCACAGTTTCCAACCTTATGCTTCGACGGCATCAAATTCCCCAGCGACGCTTGATTGAGGACTCGGCAAATCCTATCAGTCACGCAGATTTGGAGAACCTAGCGGCCTGGGACCACACAGAGACCTTCGTCATCAAGGGCGACACTGAAGAGGTAGTCCTGCACTGCCGACCACTGACGATGAAAGACTTGCCGGACGGTTTCGGGTTCGACAAGTTCGGTCTCATAGTGCGGATCGCACATGCCGTCACTCCCGGAACTGGAACTAGCAGCATCGACAGCGTGGGTTCGTACAAACTCGCAGTCGAGGGAACCAACCAACCAGGCTCGGCGGAAGCCAGTGCTGACGACAGCAGCGACGATGCGACGAGCTCTGCACAGCCAGCTACCGACACCACCGATACTTCCTCTTCTACCAATTCCACTGACTTCTCCTCCCCTGACGATGTTTCCGCCACTGCCTTTTCTCTCCCCGGAGACACCACCAAGGAAATGCCACGGGGACGCCCTGAAAATACTACCGCAAGGGGTAGCAACGACGACGACGGCACCTCAGGCGACTTGGCAGGACCCGTTGGAAGGTAACTCCGCCAACGCACAAACATGCCATCCTACCGCGAGACGCCGAACAGTGGATGTCATGCCAAATCTACGCCTCGCCAATCCAGACTATCCAACATCGAAAGTCTACTTCGGAAGCGATGCTGCCCAGAAGTACCGGATTCGCTCTTGAGGCTGCTGGATCGCCCGTCTGACCTCCTTGTGGGGTCTGCAGAGCAATTCGATTCTCAGAAACTATGTTATTCGCATCTCCAGAGGTTCACCAAGGCACTGTTGACTATGGCATCTAAGAGGCACTCTGTGGAGCCTATTGCTGTTCAGGACACTGGTCCTATTACAGACGCGACAACAACTCGCCGACGACGCTCACTCCCCGACATCGGCCAGTGCGTCTCTGACCTCGACCAATACGAACCCCTCCAGAAGAAGCAACGGCTCTATGAGGCTAAGCCATTCTCTTTCCCTACAGCAGCCGGGCACGGCTATGGAAGTCTCCCAATACATCACCGAGGTCACGGCCAGCCCTACGCCAGCCAGGTACTTAGCGAATTGGAAGCCTAGTTACGGTGGGAAAACCTCATCTCCAAGTACATGAAGAGAGCGAACGAAGCCATTGAAACTGCGCGGGACTTTATAAGGACAGTCGATAACCCGGCATCCCAGACGCGACTTCAGGCCCAAATCAGAAAATACGGAGAGATCCTTGAACGCTGTACGCCAGGCAAGCTAATTACTGCTGCCCAGTATCTGGCAGGAGAATGGAAGAGAGCCACTGATTATTTTGTTGTCTGTTCGTCCAGGGAGGCGAGGTCAATTTTGGCGGAAGCTACACCGCTCTTGCTACTTCTGATCCCTGCCGAGTTGAATACTCAAGTCGAACGACTACAGTTAGACCGGTATCTGACGATATTAGAAACGCGACCTACGCTGGACGTCCATGACTTCGACGCAGAAGGGGATGTAGTGGTCCCCGAACGACTAGAATCGAGATCCGCAACCGCTCTGTTTCGCGATGAAAGCAAAGGCCCGATTAACCTGCTGAATCTTCGTGGATAGAAACAAAATCCGATCCTATCTTGTCTGGCTGGACTCGAAGCATATACGACCCTGGACGCCATTTAAGAGGAGCTAGAGAACGGCAAAGCAACCGAACGGCTTCTCTCCGACCTCTCAGAGTGCGCACGCTTCCAGCTCTGCGGCAACAGAGGGGCCTTTCACCTCCCACATATTGATTATCATGGAGTTCTTACAACGGTGTTCGCCGACGATGGCGAGAAGTCATGGCCTGGGTGGCCTGGTTTACGTCTCGAGGACACCCTAGAGTGGGCACAGTCAGATGAACTTCCAGCCGGCGCATGCGTCGGCATTTACCTCGGCCCCGGGTACCTCTTAGTTCAGCCACAGGGCTAGCGCGCACCGTGAAGGAGCAGGAAACGACCACAGCTGCACGAGCGTCGAACGCGATACAGTTGGACACTATACATTGCTCCGGGGATATCTGCCCTTGACATTTTCCAGCAGATGGTGAACTTAGTTTATTCCACTGCCAACTTCACATACTATATACTATGGCCTGCGCCATCACAAACCCAAGAAACGGAAAAAAAAATATTTTCCTCTTCTACCCAAATCTAGTCGGTACAAAACCCCTATTCCTACTTTGCAAACCCGCAAACTTACAATTCCCTTCTAGGCTACTCTCGCGTCGTCCTCGCTATCGCTTCCCTCTACTACATGCCGCTCCACCCCCGCACCTGTTCCCTCCTCTACAGTGCATCCTGCCTGCTTGATGCGCTAGACGGCATAGCGGCGCGGCACTTCAACCAGGAGACAAAGTTCGGCAGAGTGCTTGATGTGGTGACGGACCGCTGTACTACGTCATGCTTGCTTGTTTTCCTTGCTAGCGTGTTCCCGCGGTGGAGCATTATGTTCTAGGGGCTGATCAGCCTAGATCTGGCGAGCCATTATATGTACATGTATGCGACGCTAAGCATGGGAGAAAGCGGGCAGAGCCACAAGAATGTGCATAAGAGCAGGAGTTGGGTGTTGAAGAAGTATTATTCGAATAAGATGCGCCGGACCTAGAGCCCTCATTTTCCACCCCTTCCCTATCCCCCCGTCATGAAACCTGAATCCTCTAACCCCACCTCACCTTATGTCCCCCACGACGCAAATAAACTGATCCTTTTCCAGAAAGTCCTCTTCACCTTCTGCGCCCTGAACGAGCTCTTCTTCATCGCGCTCTACCTGCTCTCCTTCTCCTCGCCCTACCTCTCGCCCACCCTCCTCCAGACCCCGGATAACCCCGCAAGCCTGCCCGTCGGGACGCCCGAGGCGCTAGATTGCTCTATGCTATTCACGAGCCCGTGGTCGGCAGGCGCAATGGAATATGCTCGGTACGTCTACGACTTTCTTCAATGCAGTGTCCGATTTCCATCTCTGCACAAAATCCCCCCATCCTAAATTTCCGTAACCTAAGATTTCACATGTCCGCATGTGCTAAACTTTCCATTGTAGCGCTAATAAAATGGACTCCACCGTCCCCTGGATCTTGGCTGTCATTTCCTTCCCCATCATGGCGGGCAAGCAGATCATTAATGTGATCCAGCTCGTGAAGGCGAGCCGGTGGCTAGCTGAGGGTGATATCGAGGAGAGGAGGGCGCGTGCGCTGAAGGGACAGTAGGTAGACGCTTGGCGGCGTATGATGTGGAACGGAAGAGCGGAGAGGAGATGCGTGCAGGATAGCTAGGTCGGCTTTTTCTTTAGTCAGACGCATTGCCATATTTTTCTGATGAGTTAGGCTCTGTGGTCTGTTCTGCCTGGCTAATTATACCGGCTCGTGTGTGCAACGACTTGTATCATGTAGCCTTCCAACGCTACAAGAAGACTGGCTTGTTTTGTAGATGGCCTTTCCGTGACACTAGTCAAGTCATCCGCATGACCCAGATATCGTCGGATTCATGGTTGCTCGTGGGATACCGATGTGACCACCACGGAGCGGCGAACCCATATCTTAGTCAAAACTCGACGCAGCGAAGTGCAGACTGGGAGTGTGGCCCCTAGAGTAATGCTGCCAACCATGATGCCATCCATCCAGACAAAATGAGGACGACAAAGACAAAGATGGAGACGAAAACGCAAGCGAGGCCAATCCCGATGCTACCAGCGGCTCTAGGCGCCCCAATACAGACGTAGGCACTCACGCCCACGAAAGCGTCAGGGAGTTGGATGTGTTGCAGGAAAGCTGAGATTTGCTCTGGACTATATGCGGACGCCATGATAGGGCAAATTTGCGAATCGAGACAGTTAGGGAGGGGATAAAGAGAGCGTACGTATTTGAGAGAAGCCATCATGTTGTGAGGACGTGGAACTCCATCCCGGCTACGCGGAAGAAAAGTCTTGGCAGGGGCGGTGCACGTCAATTCCTCCTCGCAAGAGTCAACCCGACCATTATCATTCGCATCACCTTCTCAGCCCCGTCCTCGACAAGTCGCTCCGTCTCAGCAATTGCTCGGTCCAGCGACGAAGGTCCCCTCAGGATGCTCGTGAAGGCGTTTATGCCTGCGGCGTAGCACCCGTCCGCTCCCTCGCCAATGGTTCCAGCCAAGGCTACCACCTGCGCACCATGCCGCTTCGCGCGACGAGCCACCTCCGTCGTCATCTTCCCTTGGGTCGATTGAGAATCAAGACTGCCTTCGGCAGTAATGACAAAGTCCCATTGACTCTCAAACACACGATCGAACTCAAAGTACTCGTTGATGGCATCGCTCCGACCGCGCAGCCGGGCGCCGAGGAGCATCAAGCCTGCACCCAGTCCGCCCGACGCTCCGCTGCCCGGCTCTCCTGAAATGTCCTTTTTCATATCTTTCTCCGCTACACGCGCCAGACGTGCTAACGCTGCAGCGAGAAGGTCCACTTGCTGAGGGGTGGCGCCCTTCTGAGGTCCGTACACGCGAGCGACCCCTGCTTCGCCGCAGAGAACGTTCTTGATGTTGCACACGGCTTCGATCGGGACACCGTCTCCTGCGCCCTCGTTAATTTGGTCGTCTCCTCATGGAATTGGGGCATAGGCTTACTGGCGTCGTTTCGAAGCCGGGGATGAATGCTGCTCCAGTCAAGCTTCTCCAAGCCCAGAAGCGATCGGCCACCATCTGCCTTCGCGATTTCGTGCCCTTCTAAATCCAGAAGTCGTACACCCAAGGCCTGAAGCATACCTGCTCCGCCGTCAGACGTTCCGGAATCTCCGCAGCCGATGATGATCTTGGTGCATCCTTCATCGAGTGCCTTCTTCATAAGCTCTCCAACGCCATACGTGGTAGTGACAGTGGGGTCACGCATATCCTTCGGTACGAGCCTGAGGCCTGCAGCTGCCGCCATGTCCAGAACAGCCGTCTTCCCATCATCACCTATGAAGCCCAGGTGTGATTGGACCGGTCTACCGACGGGACCGGTGACCACGTGTTCCACCATGTCCCCGCCGTGGGCTGCCACTAGGGCCCGACAAAATCCCTCTCCGCCGTCGTGTAATGGAAGTTTGCGAGTTACGGCAGCTTTCCCATCTACTACCTTCCTGATGCCAGCCTCAATGGCATCGGCGACGTGCTCTGGACCAAGACTCTCCTTGAATCCAGACGGAGCGATGAGGATCCTCAATGAATGGCCACCCAAGGTCTCCGAAACTGGTGTCGAAGGGTCCGCCGAAGCAGCAGACGAAATAAGGTTATCCACTTCCTGAGGTGGAAGGCCGAACGTCTTCAGCGTATTCAATCGCGGCAATTTCGGATGGATGACTGGAGACGGGGGAATAGGGACGCCGCAAGGTTCCACAGCCGGGAGCATGTTGAGCATCGTAAGTTTACTGAGGCTTCGAAAGCGAATGGGGTGGGTCAATAAAACCGAATATGAAGCGCCTAAGGCCACTAAACGAAGGTATATTGCAAGAAGCGAGTGTTGGAGATGAGCGAATGTCCGATGCCTCATACACAGGGTCGAAACAGTATACTTATATACCCATCGCAGCTGGAGCCAGACCTGTAGATTTCCTGCAACTCACGACGTCCTGGTCTAGGACTTTGCAGCTTCTTACACAGCCCGATAACCTCAAATTCAGGACCCGCTTCGCATGCAACGCGGAAGCCTCAATCTGCTGACGACTTCAGATTTCCTGGATTCCCTGAATTTACAGTATACCGGCACAGAGCCACCGACGGCACCACATATCTCGTAGTACCATCAGCACAGCCTGAGGTTACGCATGCTGGGACATAGCCGTCTTGACAAGGTCTTCTTCTAACCATCCATTCATTGCAAGCACTCGTTGTACAAGGTCGTCTTTCTTGCCACCATACCAAGATGGCGATTTGTTGTTCCCCCAAGAGTCTTGACGGCTGGGCTCCGCCAATCAGATCCTTTCACCCTCGCTTGGGCTCTTGTATACCCTTGGCGGTACATCTGAGCACAGCCCTGTGGTGACGTTAGCCGTCAAGACTGATCGACATGCCGTTAGCCTTTCTCATGAAGTCTTCGCACATCTCTATTCGTCGCTCACCAAGGTACGGATCCACTGCCATGCAGGCACGCGACATGTTTCTATTCCCGGCTCCGTGCTTTCACCTGTCCTGTGTTTCAGCCCTCCCAAGACACTAAAGCACCGCGATGATGTGTCCTGCGGCGATAACGCCCGATATGAATTGCTTCTTTCAGCTTCTGACCGACTTTCATCCGAGTTATGTTGAACAGCCTCACTGCGGCACACTTGGGCGGAGTCACCGCCACAGTCATGGACTGGCAAAGCCGTTGGGCATCTATATTCAAGAGAACCGCAATCTACCTGGAGTGTTCCACAGTATCACTACACTCGCTTTAATCTCGGAATACTAATACTTTCGCTTTGACTTCGGTCTTCACATTCGCTTAATAATGCGCCTTCAGAAGAAAAGTCGCGCTATCGATGAAGAGCAGGGTATAGACTCAATCGCTTTACCCAGGTTCTCGTTTGAGAGCGAAGACCAGGATCGGAGACCGCTTGTTAGCACAGAGCGGCTTTTCGAGAGACTGTCCGCTATTGGTACGGGGTATCGCTCCGATATCCACTCGTTGCACGATGAGCACGACGGCGACATTGAGGAGATAGTGGTACGTCAAGCTCATGCCCTTTCCGCCATTCCCAGTTAACGAAGACACCAGGTGACTTGGGACAGCCCAGACGATCCATCGAACCCACTGAACTGGTCATGGAAGCGCAAGTGGGTCGTAACGATTCTAGTTTCTATGTTCACTTTCATTTCGCCGTTCTCGTCGACCATGGTCACGCCAGCGCTGCCTGATATATCGGATGACTTTGATATACCGGAGGGCTTCATGCAGCAGCTTGTCATGTCCATTTTCCTACTTGGCTACGCCCAAGGGCCTTTCGTATTGGCACCTTTGTCGGAGATCTACGGCCGAGTAACGGTGCTGCAGTATGCGAATCTAATTTACCTTGCTTTTAATACTGCGTGTGGGTTCGCGCAGAACCGTACGCAGATGCTTCTATTCCGCTTCCTGAGTGGAATTGGTGGATCGGCTCCACAGGCGGTAAGTTCCTTCCGTCCTTGAATTCTCCATTCTCCTCGTTTCAAGTTTCGCCGATTGGGTATCCGTACTAACCAACCACCAGCTCTGTAACGGCGTCCTAGCAGACACCTGGTCGAAAGAGGAACGTGGCAAAGGGCAAGCCATCTACGGCATGTTGACCTTCATCGGCCCGTGCGTCGCACCCATCTGCGGCGCATACATTTCCACCAACACTACCTGGCGCTGGATCTTCTGGTCGACCTCCATCTTCGACGTCTTGGTCCAAGTTCTAGCGTTATTCTTCCTCTCCGAAACGTTCGCGCCCACAATTCTAGCCCGCAAAGCGAAGGCGATCCGAAGAGACATCGCAAGGCGCGGCTGCAGGAACAGCGGGGTGGTGGTACGGACGGAATACGACACCTGCGATCGGTTTAGCAAGATCTTGCGGAAACGACTGATCTTGCCGTTCATCATGATGTTCACGCATCCCGCGGTCCAAGCACCCTCCATCTACCGAGCGTTCTTGTACGGCGTCATGTACCTCGTTCTCTCGACCTTCCCGCTCGTCTTCGAAGAAGTGTATGACCAGGACACCGGCATCGCTTCTTTGAACTATCTCTCGCTCTGTCTGGGTTTCATGATCGGGCTCCAGATAAGCCACCCGCTGATGGACAAGGTACATTCTCATTCCACTTCCCCCGCTGGCCTTGCTAACACTTTCTCAGCTTTACGCCCGCCTCAAAGCCTACTACCGCACTGACGAAGGCCTTCCAGAATGGCGCGTCCCGCCCATGCTCATCGGCGGCCTCCTCTGCCCCCTCGGCCTTTTCATCTACGGTTGGACCGCACACTACCACCTCCACTGGGTCCTCCCAAACCTGGGCTGCGTCCTCCTCGCCATCGGTCTCATAATAGCGTTCCAATGCTCCCAAGCGTACACCGTCGATGCGTATTCGGCGACGTACGCGGCGAGCGCGGCGGCTGTGGGAGCCTTCCTGCGAACGATGTGCGGGTTTAGCTTTCCGCTGTTTGCGCCGAGACTGTATGAGGCTTTGGGGTTGGGATGGGGTAATAGTCTCCTTGCTTTCTTGACTTTGTTGTTAGCGGGAGTGAGTCCGGTTTTGCTTTGGGTTTATGGGGCGGAATTGCGGGCGATGAGTACGAGGGGGCTTGAGAAGTAGGGTGCTGCTACGTATTGACCTGACCTGGCTGGACTGCTTTGAAGATTATATCTTGTCGGTCTCTTTCCCAGAGACGTCACAGTTCACAAAGACTAAGTTCGGGGTTTCAATAGCCTTATGCCTTTCCGTCCTAGTCTCATAGCAACTGGGGGCCAGGGTGAGCCGCATAGGGTCACCTAGTGCTCCGTTCATCAGGTCCATCGAACGCACTTTACTTTCAGCAAACTCATATTATAGTGACCTGGAATTCGCGGCACGTTGCGTCTTCCATCCCACCGATTTGCCATCCTTTTGCAACCTCATCATCACTAGCGACGTAATACCCATTTCATTTTGCACAGCCCTGTTTCCTCCTCTCAGCCCAAACGGCCTTAGTCTGCTCTGCAAACCCCAGAACAGCCACACGTACCCACCTATTTCAACTCTGCATTCTCATATGCTCCTTGTCCCCCATATGGAGTCTGGCTCGGCTGCGCGTAGGTCGAGGGTACCGTGCTGCGAATAATCGCCGCGACCGACGCGACATGCGTTGCCGGAGTATACGCCGTCAGCTCGCTCGCCGTCGCATCCGCATGCCGCACCTCGCTCAGCATAGAAGTTAGATCGACGGAAGAAAGCGTTTCCTTTCCCTCTACTTAGCAAAACTCTCCAATCAGCGCAGTAAAGGAGCCAACCTACCGAGCCGCTCCAAAAGTACGAGCAAATAGAATACCCCATGATATTGCTCTCCGCGGCCGTAGTGCGTTTACAAGAGATATTGCCATTGTACTGGCACTCGGAGAACAGCGAATAGACGGGCGGCTGGCACGCGCACGACACGTACGAGAGGCTGGATGTGGGAATCCACGTCTGCGAGCACTTATTGGTCTCGTAGTCGGCGCTCGCGCAGCTTTGGTAGAGGCGGTTGCATGCACCGAAGTCGTAGGTGGCGGTGAGCGAGGTCACGGGCGGGGTAGTGAGGGATGTGCTGCTTGGGAGGCGCGAGTCGCAGGTTGAATGCCAGCGGCGGACGCGAGATTCGAATTGGGAGTCGAACATATGGGATTCGAGGCAGCGGCGGACGTCGTCTTGGCAACTGGGGAGGGTTAGCAAGGAAGTATGGGGAGAGTTCTGAGATGATTGTTCGAACCCGATAAGGTTCTTCGGCTAGGCTGAGGGGTGAGCGAGTGTGGAACATATACATACGCGAAGATTGAGGAAAGCATTTCTTGGGTGCAGTAGCAGTCTAGTTTCTCGTCCTCGGTTTCTTTGGCTGCACATTCGTCTTCTTTATTCGTCATAGCGATACAGCCTGAGAGCTCTTTGAGATGAGATGAGGGGAGACATAGCTCAGCTGGAGGCACGAAGCCGGCGTTTGAGAGAGACCAAAGTGTGCAAAGGATTAGCAACTGAGCGATTCGGAGCATGATGAGGATGTTAGATGTTAGACTGCTTGCTTGACGGAGAAGAGTAGGTGGGCTAGACATGAAAAAGAGGGATTGAGCTCGGGCGCGAATTTGAGTTCCAAGGTTGTGCATCATTGCTTTTCGTTTCAGCCTGACGGCGCCACTCGCGTAGTAGAGACTCTCTCTCGCTGGGAACTTCCGAAGCAGCCTTGGAGGGCGTAACGGGAGGCATTCTCGACGCGAATGAAGCTAGGCAGACAAGCAACACGTTCCCGCGCGGGGAGTCCGGTGAGAGCCTTGGGCACGCTAGGCGAACTTCTCCAGCCCTCCAACTGTCGAAGAATATATCCGCAGCTCTTTCACAGTGGAAGGGGCGCCATAACTCCCTTTGCAATTGTTTTGCTCCTTGCCAGATATGGTTCAGATTGTATCGAACCGCGGACCGGAAGGGAATATGCCCTCACGAAGTAGTACTCCCACTACACCCTCCGCTGGCGAGGCTTCAGCAGCAAGCCTGGCGGGTCCAGCTCCGCGTCGGTCTCCCGTTAGCGGCCTGTCCTTAGTTCGACCTAATGCGGACGCGTCGTACGGCCCTTCGGAGGGTAGCTCTTGTTCGGCGGCCACGACGACGGCATCGACTCAAGCATCGACAACCCCAACAACTCCCGATGCAACGCAAGCGCATCTAAATGGGACCTCATCGAACCCTCCCCCTTCAGTGACGCCAGCTCAACCCAACATCCAGCCGAACCGCCCCGCAGAAGAATGGCGCTCATGGAAGATTCAATACCCTTACCTTACCGTACTCTTACTCCTCTCTGCCGGGTTCATCGTCGCCATTGCCGCACTCACGGCCATTTCCCGCCGCGACTCAGGCTTCGTCAGGCAAAGCCAACCTCCCGGCTTCCTCCAGCGCAACCCGGGTTTGCGGAAAGCGATCTGGGAACAAGGCATCTTCTACACTGCCTTCCCTGCCTTCATCATGACGGTCTACCGGACTATGTGGGATGCAACGGTGATGGCGTTTGCCGACCGTCAGCCGTATGTGGATCTAATGAAGCCTGGCGGGAGGCACCCGAAGAGGACGATACTCCTGGATTATAAGATGGAGCCGCTGCTGCATAGATGGATACTGGCCTTCCAGAACAAGCACTTCCTACTGTCAGCGTGCATGCTGTCTTCCCTGGTCCTGTCGTTCGGCATCGTCCCTTTGACGTCTTTCCTCTTTACAATGGATTCTTCGCTGTCAAATTCGACCTTCCCTCTGACGACGGATACGTATTTCAACGGGACGATCGTGCCTCAATTTCCTGTGTTCTCAAACGAACCAAACGTCCGACTCATCCTGGACACAGCTGCTGGCTTGCGCGTGCAGAACTTGAGCTTGCCACCACGCACAGACGGCACTTTCGCGTTCCCGCATTTTACTCTGCAGGTCGATGTCGGAAGCAGCAACGTAAGCCTGGAAACGGCGGCGTACGGCGTTGATAGCGGCTGTATTGAAATTCCCGAGTTAGAGTACGACAAGGAGATCCGATGGTATGAGAACAAGATATCGATTGACGTCCGTACGATTGATCGTATGTGCGCCATATCGGGCACCCTCGACATCCGACCGAATCCATTCAGTCCTGACATCTGGTTATCGTCATGGCATACACCCACGTGCAGCGAAGCGGCGGGCTGGACGCGCATGAGCCTTCTCGCTGCCCGCTACGATAAGGCTTCACAGACCGTACAAGACCTCTCTTTTCTCTCCTGCAACTCATGGTACTTTGCCACCGCCGGCTATCTCATGGAGAGATCGGAACCCGGACTGAGTCCTCGGTTGCAGCGTTTCGACGAGGATGCGCAGCAAAGAATGAAATTAGACTGGCAAGAGACGTACGTATCGAGAGTGTTCCTGGAGAAAGAGGTCCACAATCTCAGATATCTCGATCCGTCCACTACAGTCGATGGGAATGAGTTCGCCAAGTACGTTTATCGCATGGCGCAGCACGAAAATCCAAAAGAACCATTGGAGCCCAAGGCCCTCGTTACCGCTGCGCAGACCCTGTACGAGACTGTGTATGCGGTGTTCGCTAGCGTCCATCTATTCAAAGAACGAGATATCCCTTTCAACGGGACCGGCGTTTATATGATCGAAGAGAGGCGGCTGTTCGTACAGCCCGTTGTAGCCTACATAATCCTCGGAGTCCTCAGCGCCACGGCTGTCTTGATCGCATGCCTATTCCTCTACTCGCAGCAGAGGTCGATGCTGAAGGAAGAGCCATTCGGCCTGTTGAGCTATGCTGGCATCCTGTACCGGAGCGAGATTAACACTAACATGATGAGGGAGATCGTGTGCAACCGCCATGATCCTGGAACAGCCAGGGGATCGGCTAAGAAGATGTACCACCTTGATCAGGTTCGTTGGTTGTATGACCAAACGGACGGACGGATCACATTTAGGGGTCCGTTTCCAATGCAGGCCCTCGCTGCGAACGGCCGTCCGGTGGTGCCTCCGAGGCGCAACCCTTCTAATCCAATCGTTCAAGCCCCGTGGAAGAGATATGGCGATCATCTTCAGAGCGGTTTTAAGTCCACTTGGAAGGCGGCTGGCGATAAAAGCAAGAGTTTCTGGGGGTACCTACTCTATGGGGTAAAATCTTCCTGGACGTATTTGTGGAACACGTATAACTATATGGAGAGAAAGCTGGTCAGGCTCATGCGGTCGATCTAGCTGCCGATCTTTCGATGTACGCCCGCCATAGCCTAGGCCTGGTTCGTCGTTGGTGATACGTGTGTTACGGCGTTGATGAATGAAGTGTTGGCGGTCCGGCGGGTAAAGCTTGGTATATTGATCCGCACCAGGATTCGCACTTGTGTAACAAAGCTTGCTGCCGAGTATATAATGTGCGCTGGTATGTGGGTCCCGGCAATGAAGTATTTCTGAATATTCCGGACATCCTAGTAGATATCAGTGAGCGGAGCGCATAATCATGTTCTTCCCAAAGACTGTAGGTTGAACACACTCGACCGCACCCTTTCTCTGACACTCACATTAGATCCTCTCTCTGGTTCTTATGCTAGCAGCGCAATCCACCTCAATCCTCGCCTACTCCAAGCCCAACGGCACTGCACCCTGCCCTTCCGCTGCCAACATCCCCATCGGCTACGTTCGCACATACTCTGCGTACGCCTGCCGCGGCGACCTCGAGACCTTCTCCAACGTAACTAGCGGAATTTGCATCGACGCGAAGAATTTCACCACCGTCCGCGGATACCGCACCGGAAATCCTCCTGAGGGCGTCGAGTGCTCGTTCAATTTCTATGCGGCGCCGGGATGCAAGGGTTCGTTCGTGTCAGCGGGGAAGGACACCGATGGGAGCAACAACTGGGTCGAATGCGTGAGAAACTTTGTGAACCCGTATGGGGATGTGGTGGAGACCGGGAGTAGTTTCATGTATGCCTGCTATTCGAGGCTTGATGGGGGTGGTTAACTACCTAGCCGCCCACTCAGTAGAGTTGGACTGGCTTGCTATGGCCATCTGATTCTCTTTTGGTTACTCCGTTGTCGCTATCGTACAGCTCGTGTACAGGCTAGTCATCTCAGCTTTCGCACACGTCGAGCCCTGCTTTGGACATCGCACTTCTGGTCTTCTACCCGCGATGGATCCGCGAGCAACACACCTCCATTTTGCCTCGGTTCCACTTCCTCTTCAATTTCTACGCTCTTTTTGCTCGAAGGCACATTTGTGGTCGAAGGATGAATGCACTCGTCACACGATCTATTGCCTCACTACTCGACTGAGCCGCCTGTCTCCCCGCTTTCCCTCAGAGTTGGCGAGGAGTTCAGTAAGTTTCTTTCGCTCACCTCAACGGCGAGGACGTGAAAAGGCTAACTACTCATGCATTTTAGTAATAAATTCCGTATCCCAGATATTCTCAACGAGCCGTGCTTGCTTCTCTCCCCCCTCACGATCTTTTTATCCTTAGCATTCCTCTACAATGCCTCTACCGCACTGGACTTGACTCCTAAGTCGCTCTATAGCTTAAAGGTTCCCGATGGACAGGGACAGCTTAAATAGAGTTGAAGCCTGGAAAACGCTACTAGATGTTCTCCGTGACGTTGGTTTGGAAGTTTCCTCGTGCTGTAAGGTCGGTAGGTCGATAACTACGGGACTTTATCGGGTCGAGGGTCGGCCGAGCACCCGGGAACTGGTTTAACGGAATGGGAAAAAGGAAATTCCATGCTGAACTGTGTCCTACTACTAGAACAATTGTATTAGACATCTAATGTACATTGAGACAGCGAAAGGAGGGCAACTAACAGGACTCATGGCTCCGAAAACCAAGAGTCTTCAAGGAGCTGCTTCGCCGTTGGCCGATCTCTTGGATCGAGTTTCATGATCTTGACTAAAAAAGTTTTGTCCTCCGGTGCAAATTCCTTATCCTTGATCATGTGAAAAGGCTTTCGTTGGGAAACGCTGTTCATGATGTCGGCCAAGTAATTGAGAGTTTTTGTATCGGCCAGTTCCTTGTATGTAAGAGGGAAAGGGCCGAAAAACATGTGCATTCTCTCAAGAATAATGCGCTCGTATTTCGGGTTATCGACGGAAACCCTGGGGTTGAAGAGGTGATAGTTGCCGAAGAAAAGACTTATGAGCTGTAATATCGTCAGTATGTATCCTTGCGACATAGCTTAGACTAACCATGGCACTAAAAGACTAAATGTTAGTAGATGGTCCCCATGGGAGATGAAGGCTGGCCTCTGGGCTCCTGAAAATCGAGGCACCAATGCCTTCTCCTTTCTTTGCATAGTCCGAGGTAGCCGGAACACAACTCCCAAAGTTAGCTAGCAGAACTTCAGAAAATCTGATATCTGCATCAGCTTAACTAGGAGCCTCTTTTTGCTTATAGTTGCATAAGACGTTGTTTAGTTTAATGTCTGGCTAGCCGTGAGCTTCTATTGTTACAAATTATGCGAAGTCGGCACCTGTATAAACGTAGCTATCCTCATGGAGGACTTCTAGAGCTTTTAGGACGATCCTGGCGACGTATTTGATTTCAGATCGATTGAGCGTCTCGCTAGAGGCTGCCAACAGATTATTATCAAGATGCTGTAAGACAATGCCAGGAGGGTTAGTTGGTTCTTGGATTTCATTAACTAGTTGTCGAATAGGCGCTCGTTTTTAGAACTTTAGCAAGACATCGCGCTTATTCTAGATACGAGAATAGCAAACTCCCTTTACCACAACAGTCTCTCCACTGCTATTTCTAGAGAAAGTTAGCTGCATATAATTCTACGGGGACATACTATCCACTATACAATGCTAACTACACAGTGTTGTAGATCTCCTTGGTAAGAGTATACGTACTTACACGGCCCTTCAAAATCTACTCTAACTTGTAAAGAGCAGTTATAATGGATACGAGAAGAAGAAAGAATGGTAGAAGTTTTGCACAGGAAGCCAGCCAATACGAAGAAAAATTAAGCGGGCTTTACTAGAAAGATCGTCGCTTAATTCGCCGTTTCCGCTAGAGACTCTCGTTTCAAGCTCGCTTACCCTAGAGGCCGTAACTAGAACTGGCCTAAAAAAAGGTTGTTGCCAACTATCTAGGTAGATAGTTAAATTTCTCTAGCACTCTCTTTCCTCCTGTAGCTAGTAAGCGGTGCTGCTTTACTTAGGCGTTTATTACTCTCGACTTACCTACCCCTTAGGCTGCTCACCTGCTGCTTAGTTACGTTGCCCTGCGCTCTACTAATAGCCAATCGTACTTATTTATAAGTTGGACAGACACTTACGATTCCGTCAAGTCTAGACGAGAAGGATTCTTAAAGGCAGGTTTTGGGCTCTAGGGCGCGTTTTAGAAGGGGGACGGAATTGTCCTCTAAGGACTAGGGATAAAATAGGCCCCCTCGCCATGCGCCCTCTAGTGTCCTACAACACAGCGCTATCTCTTCTTGCTAAGGTAGCTTGTGCTATGCCTTTGCACTATAAAGGCACCGTTGTGCTGCTAGGTTAAGCCTACCTAACTACCTTAGCTATTACTACAACACTGTCGTCTTCTTGGTAGCATTACTACTAGTTTTAGAACTTCGTGCTATTTGTTGTTCTATTTCTTACACCGCAGCTTCTTGTGCCGTCGAAATGCCGTAGAAGATTTTGCCAGAAGCCTTCTTTAAGCGTGCTAGTTAGAACGTAGCCATAGAGAAGAAGAAAGACATCGTTAACAGAAAACAGGTTCTAAAAGAACTTTAGCTAAAGACAAAGAAAAACTACGAGCGCGCGTTAGCGCTATAGAATTAGTAAGTTTACAATAGTATCTTTAAGCTACACACACCTCGCTAACGAGAAATTTTTACACTAGATATAAGAAGTTAAATTTAGAAGTAAGTCTAGATAATATTAAGATATCTAAGAACTACGTTATGTCTATTACGCTTAAAATTAAGAGTAGGTATAGTGTTAAAAAGCTAGGCTTATAGACCGTAGTCTAGTACTATAAAGACTTTACTACTAGCTAGAGGCAAGCTAGAATAGAGAAGAAATAGGAAAATAAGAAGAAGAATAAAGAGAGCGAGAAAGAGAAGCTAGTAAAGGTAATAAGTCTAAACGTAACGCTGTTTACTTTAAATATAAGTCTACTACTACTACCTAGACGTTTTATAGTATTAGTACTAATTATATAGAATAGTTTATTAAGTATAAGCTATATAATATTCTTAAGCTACTCTATAGAAAAAGGCTATAGTAATATAACTTATAAATCTATTTTCTTTACCTAGAAATATATTAGTAGAAGAATAATTAGTTCGTGCTTCTAAAGCCGCAGCGTAGAGTCGAGATATAGGCTCTTATTATAGCCTATATTTTTAGTACTTTAAGAATTAGCAAATACGTAGAATCTATATATCGTCTTAGATCTAGTAGAGGCTTACGTTTTTAGATAAGTCTATTTTAAAGTAGTCTATATAAACTAATAGTAATAGGTTAGAATATAATCTTTACTATCTTTTATAATAAGTATAGTAATATAGAATTTACTATATAACTCTAGTAAGACGTAAAGTATATAACGTTTACTCTAGATAAGAGGTAAAATTAATTCTTATTACGCACGCACCTAATACTAATTATAAAATAGACTAGAACACGCGTTATATAAAGGTGTTAAGACTTACCTACTATTTTATAATCTAATACTTATAATAGTTGCTATATATATAGTAAGAAATATATTTAGAGATTATAAGTTAATAGACAAGGTTCTAGCACTAGAACCTCTAGAAGATAAGTAAATAATTTAACTCTACTAGAACCTAAGCGTCTAGAACCTGCCGTTCTTTAAGAGAAGTAATAGAAAGATAGAGACCGTAAGCGTATTCGGCTAATATCTTCGAGAATAGAGCTTTTATACTAGCTATAACGAACTTCTAATAGTGTATAATTTTAGAGTAGAAAGTCTAATTCTTACTAGTACGTATACTATTCTATAGTACTCTATATACCTAACTTATATTATATATAGATAGAAATTATTCGTAGAATATAAGAATAAAATAGAGCGAATAGCGTAACCTAGTAGTATATCGTAATTATTACGCAGCTAATAATACTAGAGTAGATAGTTAGGTAACCTTCTTCTATAATAAAGACTATCGTATAGATATTATAGACCTTTTCTATTTCTTACTTATTACTTAGAACCTAGAGCTATAGTAGTCGCTGCTAGTAGAAAAGTAATATAAGCTTAAGTAGAGCGCTAAGTTTAAGAATATTAAAGTAAAACTTAAGAATCTTTCTTTAGATAACGTACTATTAAAGAATAAACGTAAGAAGTTATAGACCTAAAAATAAAAGTTAATTTCGAAAGCGCTTTATAGATATTAGAGAGAATAGTCTACTTAACCTATAAGTAAAGTTAACGCCTATATAAAAGAATATACTAGCTATTATAGAACTATATTCTAATAAGCACGTAAGCTTATACTAGTACGCGACTATCTAGCGTCTAGTATATTTATTAAGGCTAGTATATATAGCGATATAGGTAAGGCTATTCTCTAAGATCTAATTAAGCTTTATTTATAAGAAGAGAAAGTAGTATTTTAACTAGGTCTTGAGCTAGACAAATACTACTATCTAAAAATAGGCTTTACGCAAAAGATTAACAGGTACGTAACTCTATCTATTGTTTATAATATAGCGTCTAATTAGAGAATTTCTAATAGTTAACTAGCTACTATATAGTAGAAATATATATATAGTTACTATTAGAAGTAGCTTAAGAAAAGTTATAAGTTTATAGAGTTTTACTTTCTCTATAGTAGATAGTTTATTAACTAAGAGAAATAGAACGATTATTACTAAGCCTATTTAGATAAGTCTAAAACAATCTCTACGTAGTACAACCTACTAATCTATAGAGAAACGCTTACTACTCTAGAATTCTATTCTAACTATTTAGGTAATAAGTTTCTACTCTCTAAAATATAAATATAGTAGTTTCTTAAGATAGCTAAATAGAAAGACTATATCTATAACTAGTATTTTAAAGATTCTAAGTTGCTAGTATACTCTCTACGCAAGCTCTATTATAGAGAGTTATTTACGTTATTATAGAATCTCTAGTTTTATCTTAAAGACGTCTATTATATTAATTTTAGAAGTACTCTTAAAAGGTCTAGGTTAGTAGATAAAGAGAGAGTTAGACTAGCTAAGCGAATATACGTTAGTAGAAGGCAGCTATTAAGATAGAAGATAAAAGATCTAAAATATAAATTTGTTAATAAAAGTAATACGTTTTAGATCTAAGAGAAGAGGTTAATATTCTATTCTACTCTAGTTAAAGCCCTATCTTCTACTAACTTAGACTTCTCGTTAATTCTAGAAATTATGTTAGATTAAAATAAAAGTAAAGATAATACGCTACTATTCTTATAGTGTAGTAAATCGAAAAATAGTCTTAATAATAAAGATACTCTTAGTAATAGAGCTAATAATAAGAATTAGAAGCATATTAGTAAGATTAACTATCTAGAGAGTAATTACCTACAAACTAATAGATAAATAGAGAATATTACGTTTTTAGAGACTAAAGAAGCTAAGATAAATAAGTAAAATAATAATTTCTAGAGTATAAACTTTTATAAGAAGTTATAGCCTAGACTTTAGCTTAATTACGCTCTAGTAGTACGCCTCTAGTTTAACCTAGCTTTTTCTACCTAAGAGAATAAAGAAAACAAATATAAGGTTAAGTAAGTTCTAGAAGTCTATATCTTTAGAAGAAAGCTTAAATATCGCGTAAAATAGCTTAGCTATAACGATAATTCAAAGTAGTATAACGTAGCTAACTTTAAGAATAGCCTATATAAGCTTTATAACTTTTATAGAGCTAATTTAACTTAATCTAAACTTCTATAAAGGCTAGATTACTAGATATAGTACTAGAAGAAGAATAGAGACGCTAATAACTATCTAGATAATAATAAGCTAATAAATAGGTTAGTTAGATAGTATAGAAAACTTTACTAAGAAAAAGAATTAGAAGTTAGGTATTAGTAGTAGAATATTTTACTTAGATTATAATAATAAGGTAGACGTAGGTAGAAAGATTTTATAGATTTAAATAGTCTTAGCGTATAGTTAACGTTAAGCGTAGACAGCGTAGAAATTACGTTAAAGTCTTAGTATTACTACTAGTTAATATACAAATACTAGTTCGATCTATAAGGTCTTAGCTAGATTCTTTACTAGCTTTAACTTAAACTTTCTAGATTATATAGAGATGCTTAGGCTAGTATTAGATAAATAGAGACAAGTAATAGTATTATTACGTTATCTACTAAGATAGTATTCTTCTCTATATTACTCTTATCTAATATACGTTATTTTTACTACGCTAAGCTTACCTAGTTAGAGCTATTATTCTATATTATTCTTTTACTATAGTAAGTAATAGTTTATACACTAAAGTAGTTAACGTTACTTAGGTTATAGTACCTATTAGAGAGAGCTATAAGCGCGTTTTTAGAATAGATAGAGTAAAGCAAGCGAGTTAGCAAGCTATTCGCGAATAATAGTAGAGCTAAACGTTAGAGAAGTACGTAGGTACTAGATACTTCTAGAGTTATAGCTAGACAAGATGCTAGGCATGTAGAGTAAGAGTAGAGAAA